GTACAAAAAAATCCAAGTGGTGGAAATATGCCTAATTTGCATAAATTCAAAATGGCCACTAATTGTATGATTTTCATACTGATTTGGCCATAACTCTCGTCCTACATTACTTTTGGGGTACTTTAAACATTTTTTTTTTCCTTTTACGTTGATTTCATCATTATTCTAGTCCTGGGTACCTTTCGAGATCCCTATGTTTCCCAACTTTGCCAAATGCCGTATAATAATTTGCATAAATGCCTTATGTTAATTTGCATGGATTCAAATAAAGTAAAGTAAAGTTGAAGTTACAGCACAATTAGGACCCATGTTGGGACTTAGGCCATGGAAAATGGGTCGCGTGGGTAACTATTCATCAGGTTTTGCACTTTTATTGAGTCTGATTTAAGAGGCGCAAGATACATATTGAGTAATCTTCATCCAAGAACAGAGTGACAAAGTTAAATACTAATTCTTAACAACTAAAAAGGAACAAGTAGCAAGTCAATTAAATAAAAACACAATCATAGTTAAAGTCGCAATTATTTAAGTGGTTCTCGCTAAATCACTTAACAATATCACTTTCGAATATGCAACTCAAAATACAAAATACGGAATAGTAAATGAAATGAAAGCGTAGCTTAACTTCTTATCATTATATGATTACTGTGAAGGGAGAAAACAATTGTACTTTTCCTGATAATCCAAGTTCAGTTATGAATACAGAAATATCACAAAGATTCATATTGGCGGCCTATCATCCATATTGGCTTGCATGCAATGTTAGTCTGATTGTTATCATCTACACGTACATCATTGTATCTTAGAATGAACGCTTATGTGGCAGACTATAATCTTCAGCAGCCTAGGATCAAGGTCTGGTGGTGGCGAGTTGGCACAACTAGTGCCACGGTTTTCAGTGCAAGCAGTTGAACAAGAGAGACCATACTTTCGGCACGTGCACTTTCTATTCGCACAAGTCTTTCTAGCGTCCTTTCGTTTTTGGACGGTTAGTCATGACGGTTCGTCATGACAGCTCGTCATAACGGTCGTCCTGTCCAATCACATTCCTCGCTGAAACGAAGGGGTGTGATCAATAAAATTTTGTCAATCAACTGGCTCCTCTGTACGGTAACCTTTGTCATTCGTAATAAAGACTTTAGAATGCAACAACAATGCAAATTGAAATCGAATGCAACAACAATGGAAATTGAAAGCAAGCCCATGCAGTTGCTCACTTTGAATGGGATTAGTGCGGGAGTTTCAAAAGGGGTACAAGGCCATAGGCCCTACATTTATTTACCACACGATGTTTAAAGTTCTTAAAGAAAAGGAGCAGGAAGAAATCTCTTTCATGCAGGGACTGTCTTAGGGCGCCGATGAACTCGTACGAAAACATGATGGATTACAGGGTTCATTTGTTTATTGCGAGAATAAATTGGCAAACTTTCATCACTACATGTAGTTTTGAACCCAGTGCATGTGTTTATATATACATGTACTATGTACATGTGGATTCAAACACTAAAATGCCACTTTTGCAATATACCCCATAATCCTTCATTTTTCTGTGCGACTTCATCTGTGCCTGCATGGAAGAGGTTTTTTTCTCAATTCTTTTCTTTCAGAATTCTAAACATTGCACGACATGTGCCTCCTGCCTAGTTTAAGTCATATTTGCTATTAATTTAATACACATCTAACAAAATGGGCGTCTGCAGGGGTGTCACTGGGGGTGGGGTGGGCAAATGTCCCGCGCCCACCCAAAAACAAAATGATCAATTGAAAATATGCTAGAGAGAATACAAGGATTTTGGGGGACAATTAATTTGCTTTGCCCCCGCTACAAAAAAAAATCCTGGGTGGGCCAAATGAGTGGCAAATTAAGTGCTTTGCCCAAGGGCACACGCACCACAACCCCAGGGCGAAATAACAAGAACTATTTGATTTCATACACTTCTCTTTTTTTTCGCCATAACTGATTGCAATGGTACCTCACCAGTTTAGTTTCAACAGAACGTAATAAAAAACATGTATTTTTAGATGATAAGCATATGTTACATAAACTCCAGGGACTCAGAGGCTCTGTCAAATTCCAAATTGAAGTCTACCGACACTGCTTATGTTTTTGTGTAGTCAAAAAATGTGAACCAAAAAAAGTGGATCACGTCTCCCATATTAGGCAGCTTTTTTTCTGCTTCTATTACTTTGACTGGATGGCTGGCTTTAAAATAAATTGTCTTCACAAATTAATATTCATGAGTAGAAACGAGGAAGAACAAAAGACAAATGGACAATAATTGCAGCCTGTCATTTCCAACAAGCTTCCTTCTACAGTATCAGATTTAGAGGGGGCGGTTGCAAATCCTCTCTGCCGTTCAGCAACTGCCTAATTTTATAAACTATTAAAATGAGACCAAAAAATAACAGAGCAAACTTTTATTATGCCCTGCAAAAACCAAAAAGCCACAAAATCCTTTTTTTTTTTTTTTTTTAGAAAATATTGAGCATATTTTATTGCTTATGCAGAAAATTATGATTCGTACAGTCTAGCCACGAACCGTTCTTTCGATAATTCAGAATATAATTTTATTACGTCTGTGCAAAGACAAAACAGCCATAATTTTGTGTACATTAACTCCAAGGACTTTAGAGGATCCGTCAATCTCCAAATTGAAGTTTAACGTTTTTATTTTCGGGTAGCCATGTGCAGCACCAGAAATGCGCATCAAAACTTAGATTATGTCTTCCATATTATTTGCCGAGGCAGCAACCAACTTCCAATTGAGCAAGCAGTGATCAAACTCCTTTTTTTGTGCCGTAGTGTGGTTAGGGTTTGTGACTCATGATCAGAGGGTCAGGAGTTCGAATTCAGGTGCTGGCCATTATGTTGTGTCCTAGGGCAGACTTCATCCACGCTTGCCTCTCTCCAACCAGGAGTATAAATGGGTGCCGGTATTAGCTGTGGAGTAACCTGCGATGGACTAGCATCCCATCCAGGGGGAATAGAAATATTCTCTGAAACCGGAGATAAATGCCGGCGCTGCCCATGGCCCAATGGGCCACACTTGCTCCTGACAGACTTTACTATTTAATTACTACTTTTTATCATCAATAAAGTGGTGGGTAAATGCCCCCATGCCCACCCTCGAAAAAAGATAAATTGAGAATATGCTGGCAAAAGTACAGGTATTTGTTTGTTGTTGGGTTTTTTTTTGGGGGGGGCGAAATGTGCATTACCCCCCTCTAGAAAAAATCCTGGCGACGCCCATGGCATTCGACGTGGCAGTCCTTGGCAGGTAGGTGTGTGTGTGTTTTCCATAATTATTTGAATAATAATCTAAAGTCTTTATTCCCGAACAACAAAGTTTACCGTACAGAGGAGCCAGTTGATTGGCCAAGATCCATTGATCACGCCCCTTCGTTTTAGCTAGGAATGTGATTTGCCAGGACGACCGTCATGACGAGCTGTCATGAACCGTCATGACTAACCGTCCAAAACGAAAGAACGCTTCTTACACCCACATCTGATGACCTCAAGTAGTGATGGTGGTGCTGGCGGTTTGTCCGTTTGTATGGGAAGATTATTATACGGCATTTGGCAAATTTGGGAAACATAGGGACCTAGAAAGGTACCCAGGACTAGCATAATGATGAAATCAATGTAAAAGGACAAGTTGTTGTTTAAAGTACCCCAAAAAGCAATGTAGGACGAGAGTTATGGCAAAATCAATATGAAAACTAGAGGTTCGCGTTTGTTGAGTTACAAACGCAGAGTGGTCGGGCTGACATATTTTCTTGTGTTTACAGTGACTTAATCATAATTGAACTGCACAATCCCCCACCCATTACCCTGCACCCATTACCCTGTGTTTGTCACAAAGAAAATCACACAACCTGCAGTTGAACTTGTTGCTACCTCGACAAGACTTGTAGGCCTATCAGGAAGCGCACATCTGGTGCTGCATGGATGGCTACTCAAGCATACAACCAGTTGGGACTATTGGTAGAGTTAACGAAGCCTCTAACGTGGTTGGAGTTTATGCAACAGAATTATGCTAATCTTAAAATAAAATGGCTGGTTTGTTTTTTTGTTTTTTTTGTCTTTTGCATGGGCATAATAAAATTCTGCACTAAAGTTACGACATTGGTAGAATTGACAGAGCGTCTCACGTCGTTAAAGTTTATGAAACATAATTATGCTAATTTTAAGATAATATTGCTTTTATTTTGGTTTTTTTCTTGGTCTTTTGCATGGGTATAATAAAATTCTGCGCTGAATTTACGACAACGGTAGACTTGACGGAGCCTCTAACGTCGTTGGAGTTTATGCAACATATGCTAATTTCATCATAAAATGGCTTTTATGGGTTTTTTTCTTTTGCATGGGCATAATAAAATTCTGCACTGAGTTTACGACAGAAAAGTTTGTGGCTACACGCTGTAGAAATATTAATTTTCAGCATTCAGATATGAGAGGAAAACTGGCGAGGTGCGATTTCAATCGGTTATGGCGAAAAATATCAGAAAATGGACGAGAATATTAGAATTGAATTCATGGTCATTGAATTCACGTAGGACTAGAATAATTATGAAATCAATGTAAACGGACTACAATTGTCGTTTTAAGTACCTGAAAAAGCTAACGAATATAAAAAATATGACCAAATCAATGTGAAAGTCCAAAAATGTTCGGCCATTTTGGATTTATGCAAATTAGGCATTTCCACCACTTGGATTTTTTTGGACTTTTAGTATGTCATTTTAGGGACCTTATTGAAATGCACCGTGGCGAAAAAAATTATGTTGCAATTTGTTTGAGGTTCACTCAAAAAATGAAGTATTTTGCCTGGACTATAACATCAACAATCAGATACAAAATGATGAATCTTAAGCTCTACACATGATTTGTAGATTAAAGATGCAAACAAGAAAACAGTATTCGCGAAAATAGCAGAGCTACAAGTGTCAGTTAACTTAAGAGAACAGCTTTTGAGAAGACGTTTTGAAAGTGTGTTTTGTCAAGCATTGGTAACTGAAGTTGACGGATCTGCCTGACGCTGGGCGGCATGTTGGATGTTGAAAATACTTGTTGACGAATTTTCCGGTTTTGATGTTTTGCGCCAAAACACCATCTTAAACGCCTCACGGTAGCGCGAGTTTGTGATGTTATACACGACAGGATTAATGGAGGAGTTAACATAAGACAACAAGCGGAAAACCCAAATCACAATGGCTTCCTGTTCTGCAGACAGGGGATAATAATCAAATATTTCTGAGATAGATATCACAATAAAGTAACACTCCAATGGCGAGAGAAGAAGAAAGAACAATCCTCCAGTCACTAGAACCATCCTGTCCACCGCGTTGCGCGCGTGTCGCGATTGGGCAGTGGAGTGCGTGAGCGCGCTCCGCATTGTCTTCTTGCGCCTGCGTATGGCGCGCAAGATGGCGACGTACAAGACGACGTCGATAACCAGGCTGACGAAGAATGGCAGAGTCTGTAGAGCGTACCGTACGTAGTAGAAAATCTTGGGAACGAACGAGGTATCACATGCTAGGATCTGTTGAGGGAACTCCGAGGTTTCAAACTCGGGCGGCACGATGCAGAGTAAGGTGTAGAATGCTGGAAGCAGGCAAGCCGCGAATACGATAGCTGTCAACCAAGAGAACAAGCTGACTTTTGCTCGGCGAGTTTTGGTTTGGAGGCGCACCCTAAGCGGCCAGCAGATTGCGATATAACGATCGAATGTCACCGCTGTGATGAAGAACAAGGAGGCGAAGTACGGGGTGTCCAATAAGCCCGGCCGGAGAATGCAGCCCGGTACGAACCCAATCGGCGACATATCCAACTGGATCGGAGTCGAGGAAACCAGCACGATCTTCTCCACCGCGGCAACTAGAAGAAAGATCGTGTCTGACACGGCCAGTTGTACCAGATAGCAACTAGTAGGAGACCGCATGAAGGGGACTTTGTAGACCACAAGGATGAAAGCAAGATTGGACAGGATACCGAAGACAGAGATGACCGGGATGATGTAAAACGTCATGATCTTATCGATGGGTTGATACAAGTAGAAAGATGCGTAATAAGGATCGTCAAGATAAAGGGTGTCATCCGGAGAGCAGTTTCCTGCGCTCATACTGAAGTCGAACGAAGAGGAAAACGAAATCGTGTCAGATGCATTCATTTTGCCAAAATTCAGATTGAAACCTTTGCTGCCGGAGACGGTTAATTGGAGTTGTCTGGTATAGTCACCTCTCCAATGAGGACCTTCCGAACTGTCCCAACAATACCAAGTTTCTCCGATTAGCTCCAACACTTTCCTGCAACTCTGCGACTGTGCATTCAGTCAGCTTCACGTCTGTTCAACTGGAGACAGCTCGTTGCCAGGCCGGCCTTATATATCGCTAGCCTCAATTCATTTGCAAATGAGAGCCGCATTTGGCAGCTTTTTATTGCATCGGTGTGTCTGATGAGGCCGTCCGTATAGAATACTTCCAGCATTCAATTTCAAAAAGCTCTCTATGGATCACAGGTGTCAAAAAAAGGCTAATTGGATTGTTGGGTTCCTATCGTGTGAATAATATATTTGCTTTATAGATCCCCAGCCTCTATATTTTTTTGCAAATGAGATCAGAATTTGGCAACTATCTGTGGTATTCGTGTGCCTGTGATGAGAAAACAAATCTCCATGGAGATCGCAGGTGTCAAATCACGTCAAATTGGACAGGAGCCTGTGAAAAATACTAAACAAATATTGTTGACGAGTTTGCGTCTAAGGTTTCATGGGACTCTTAACCCCCACAGGCCTTGGACTGCCGCATCAACGCAGCTTGTGAATATTATTGTCCATAAACAAAATGGATGCGGAACGCGCACAATCTGAGACAAACAAAGTTCAACGTACACAACTGCATAGGGGTGTCTAAGGAGCTAGGCTAACTCGCAAACGGCGACAGGCCAATTCAATTTGACTGAGATTACCAAGAAAGCCGGATTGTATTGTGTTCTTTATCTGCCACCTCGCATCTCACCTCTCCCCTGGCCGGATTAATCAGATCCCCGGGGCGAGTTGCAAGATGCGAGATGGCAGATAAAGAACATCATAGGACTGTTATTTCTATACAAGTACGATAGCAGATTTGAGGCGAACACGGTCCACAATTGAAAAAATGCTGTCTAGGCCTAATGATCCGAAACAATATATCCATACACAATTATTCAAATGTATACAATAAAAGTTTACTTTGGATTTGTGCCATTTTCTTAGACTTTTTAAGATTGACCAATGTATTTTTTTTTAAATAATACATTCATAACTATGCACGCATGCGCATAAATTAGGCCTCGCGGCAAGAAGCGAAAGCGGTGCAATGTAAATGTACAGGGGTCCAAATATTCGAGTCATATTCTCTCAATTTCTCCAACTTCTGTCGCTTTTTTTCCAGTTAGAAAACCACTTAAATCGCCATAGGCATGACTTTCTGGCCTAAGTGGTATTTTTTTCTTTGAGGCACAGAATAAAACAAATTGAAATTGCTTTCGTGTTTTGCGCACGAGGGTGAAGGAAATCAGCAGGGCTCCTTTCCGCACCAGTGGGAAAAATCAACCGTGTGCTTTGGGGTACCGTTCACCAAATTTCCGGGCCGGATTGCGGTGCTGAATTGCTCAGTCCTGGCCTTACCGTTGCCGAATCACAGGCTGATGATTCTTTCTACGGAGCAAGAGCAGTTTTGTTTAAAATTGAACTGCACTGTTTCAAGCACACATTCACACGAATAACCGGACAAATGTCATTATTCAACCATCCATATTAACATAAAGTCATTAAACGAATTTCCCAGCGCTTTCAATAAAGAAACGTTTTCCCAAATGTCACAGCAAAGAAAATTTCTGAGTGTTTCGCTTGAAATTAAATAGTTTAGTAATTTACGTCACTGTTATAGCGACTATTTGGCAACCATTCTTCCTTAAAATTAGCCTTATGCAAGGTATTGAGCAAATTCATTGAAAGGAAATATACAACATTTGCAAACATAACAAAAACAAAAATAAAAAAAATTATTACGAAATACTAAGTTATTTCGAAATACCAAATTATGAAATACCAAATTATTATGATTAATAGTCTCAAGGTTTCCGTACAATTATGTCACCTTGTGTACTGATAGTTTCAAGAAAATGTACATTTTTGTATCAATGTCTAACTATTATCGGCTGACCATCGTTGCAAAAATAACCTGACCTTTTTTTTAAATACTGCCCTTAATTCACCAAATTGTCCACATTTTTTTTGCAGTAGGTAACACATCCGAGAACGGGTGCAAGCCATATAGTCTGGTTCCCTGTCCTGACAATTCCCTAACGTGTACACATTGGTTCATTTAGGCTGAAGTAGGGTCAGGGAACCAGACACCAAGAACATAGTTGTTTTCTTGGATTTTCCAGCTACTATGAACACAAAACTTGAAACAGTTGAGTGTACAATAATTTGGTATGAAATACTAACCCCCAAATCTATTCATTTCTGAAAATTACAGCAAAAGCAAATCATTACATATTTTATAATCATCGCTAGTATACACATTATTTGACCGCCTTAGTATAACACAGTTTCGCAATAACATCAAGAATCATATACTTACATCTTGAATACGTTAGGCTGTACACGTTCAATATATTATATTTAAGGAAGGGAGTAAGTATGTGTTTGGACGGTTTTAAACAAATCCGTTTAAGACTGGCTTGGTGAATGGATGCTGATAATGGCCCGAGTCGAACGCGAGGTACATTATCGGCGGCAGGACCTTAAGCCGGTCTTAAAGTTAGAGTACATCATTTGTCATTTGTGCATTTTTTTGAGGCAACACAAACTAAAGAAGAGTGCTTAAAATCTAAAGAAGGGTGCTTTTCAACCAACCTGATGAAGTTTCAGCTCAGTGAGTGCTGTATATTCCAAGAAAACCGTATTCTAGGATCTCGATTTCAATTCAAAAGGTGCCGAGTCAGGTTTTGAAAGCTATAGTCCATCATTTGCAGCCATCCGAAAAAGTAACTGGCGTATTATTGTTGAAAAACATACTTGGTTGAAAGATAGTAAGTGGACTAAACTCCCTGTGAAATTAATCTTTCTGGCAAGCTATCATTTTAAAGTAATCAACGAAAGAAGGCCTTTCCAACGGTGCGTCATAAGACGCACATGCCTAACGTGTAGATGCCTAAGGTGTAGATTGTAGAACATTCAACCAATAAAAGGATAAAAGGAATCAGACTTCATAGGCGTCCGAATTTTACGTTACACCGGAAAAGGGCTTAAAACTAGCCAGCCGGTGTTATATCAACCAATTAAAGATCGGCAACGTAACGGGCTCCCGACCAATATGAATGGATAAACTAGTTATCTTAAATGAATTGCCAATAGTAGCATTTTGCCCCAATAAAAGCCGGGTCAAGTGTCAGTAAAATAAAGAGTACAGTCACATTTTGAGAAGATATTTTATAGGTGTGTTTCTAAAGCGTTGGAAACTGAAGTTGGCGAATTGTCATGTTGCTGAGCATGTTGGATGTTGACAACACTTGTTGATGAATTTCCTGGTTTTGATGTTTTGCGCCAAAACACCATCTTGAACGCCTCACGGTAGCGTGAGTTTGTGATGTTATACACGACAGGATTAATGGAGGAGTTAACATAAGACAACAAGCGGAAAACCCAAATCACAATGGCTTCCTGTTCTACTGATAAGGGGAGATAGTTCAATATTTCTGTGATAGTTATCACAATGAAGTAGAACTCCAGTGGCGACAGGAGTATAAAGAACAATCCTCCAGTCACTAGAACCATCCTGTCCACCGCGTTGCGCGCGTGTCGCGATTGGGCAGTGGAGTGCGTGAGCGCGCTCCGCATTGTCTTCTTGCGCCTGCGTATGGCGCGCAAGATGGCGACGTAGAACACGACGTTAATGGCAAGACTGATAAAGAAAGGCAGAGTCTTCATAGGGTACCGAACGTAGAAGACCCACTTGGGAATGAACTCGGAATCACAGACTAAGATCTGTTGAGGGAAGTCCGAGGTTTCAAACTCGGGCGGCACGATGCAGAGTAAGGTGTAGAATGCTGGAACCAGGCAAGCCGCGAATACAATAGCTGTCACCCAGAAGATCCCACTGAGTTTTGCTCGGCGAGTTTTGGTGTAGCGGCGCACCCTAAGCGGCCGGCAGATTGCGATGTACCGATCGAATGTCACCGCTGTGATGAAGAGCAAGGAGGCGAAGTACGCCATGTCCAACAAGCCATGCCGGAGAATGCAGCCCGGTACGAACCCAATCGACGACATATCCAACTGGATCGGAGTCGAGGAAATGAGCACGATCTTCTCCACCGCGGCAACTAGAAGAAAGATCGTGTCTGACACGGCCAGTTGTACCAGATAGCAACTAGTAGGAGACCGCATGAAGGGGACTTTGTAGACCACAAGGATGAAAGCAAGATTGGACAGGATACCGAAGACAGAGATGACCGGGATGATGTAAAACGTCATGATCTTATCGATGGGTTGATACAAGTAGAGAGATGCTTCGTAAGGATCGTCTAGATAGAGAGTGTGATCCGGAGAGCAGTTTCCTGCAGTCATACTGAAGTCGAACGAAGAGGACTTCGAAATGGTGTCCGATGTATTCATCTTCAATAAATTCAGATCGTTAACTCTGCTGTCGCAGACGTATGGAGCTGCCTGGGGTATGCTACTCTCCGATGAGAGCCTTCCAATTTCTCCAAACAGTACCACGTTTTTCCGGTTATTTCCGACACTTTCCTGTAAATCTGCGACTGAGATTGCAGTCAGCTTCAAGTCTGCTCAACTAGAGACAACTCGTCGCCAGGCTGGCCTTATATATCACCAGCCTCAATACATTTGCAACTGAGAGCCGAATTTAACAGCTCCTAGAGGATTTGTGTTCCTGGTGAGATTGCAAGCAGGACATTTTGCAGCATCCGGTTTCAAACAAACTCTATGGAGATCGCAGGTGTTGAAAACAAGTCGATTCGAACAGGAGAGTTCTTATTATGATATTATGATTAATATACTATACACAACGATTGCTGATGAGTTTGCGTCTAACGTTGCAACAGGTCGCGCCCCACGCACGCACTTCCATTTGAATGATAAGTTTACACAGAAAGCCGGCTGGTTATTTCTCAACATGCATGATAGCAGATGATCCCTGGTGCGAAGTCCTAATGGTACCTAATTGCTTTTCAGATAATAAACATTTACGGTGATGGGCATTTTGTACCAGGTGGAAATCATGTGGAAACGACCTTTATTTAGCTAGCTGTGCAGGTGAAATGGAACGGTTCCATACCAGCTGTGCGCCAAAAACAATGTTTTCAAAATTCTCAGATATTCAATTCAATACGGTTTAATTCAATTCAAGAAAACATTTATTTCCGCACCTATTAATCATCAATGCGAATACCATACATTCAGACATGTGTACGTGTCCAGGCATGGTCCTAAAAAGCTGAAGCTTGTGGTGGATGTGCCATCCCAACAAAGCAAGACAAAACTGAAAAGCACTGATGATAGGATTTAATAGTAATCTCAATAATTATATACATATAATCAGTTAAACATGAAGTAGATTCGAACAATGAACAACAAGTGACGCAGATAATGCAGATGTTTTTCAAGAGCAGATTTCACTCAAGATCAAAGAAGAACCACAAGAACATTACCACAAGACCATGGGCGTCGCCAGGATTTTTGCTAGAGGGGGCAAAGATTTTTTTGCCAAAAAATGCTTGTATTTCTCAACACATTCTCGATTTATCAGTTTTAGAGGGGGGCAGGGACATTTTGCCCCCCCCAACTCATTAAATTTACACCACTTTGTCTTCGCGCCTCTTTTTCTTTTTTTCTGTTCTTTTTTTTCTTCCTTTTTTTTTTTTTTTTTTTTTGCTTTTCCGGGGGGGGGGGGCAAGTGCCCCCCCCCTTTCCCCCCCCCCTTGCGACGCCCATGTACAAGACCTATCATTCAAAAACCAGCAATCATTTACAAGCTATTTTTAATAATAATTAATTCAAAATAAAGCAACTAAGTTCAACAAAGACTAACTGTTGCGGGGTTTGAACGTGCGACCTTCGGATTACCGCTCTAGAACGGTGTAAAGATGCTTCAGGTTCAATTGCTTTGTTCGATGAGCCATGGTACTACTTTGCGAAGTCATAAAGCGGATACCTAATTGCTTTTCAGATAATAAAAATGTAACGGCAATGGGTAATTTGTACCAAGTTAGATCGATAATTGGAAATATCCTTAGCTATAGCTGTGCACGAAACCGTGCAAGCTGGCGCCAAGAAATGTTTTAAATTCATAAAAACCCTCGGATATTCGATTCAATTCAATATAACTCAATTTAAGAAAACATTTATTTCCACACTATTAGTCATCAAGGTGAATGCCATGATTCATACAGGTATCTAGGCATCATCTTCAAAACGTGACTGGACTATGATCGCTTTTGCAGGCTGGTGTTTCCTACTCAAGTGAATAAATTGAATGTTATAATCAAAATTAAATTAGCAATACTGGAGCGCCCTCCCCACGAAGTATTGCGATTTACGTTGTGATGGCAAAGGCGAGAAGTGACGAAAGTGCAGCTTCCGTGCTCAACCGGCCATTTTTTTTTTATATAATATGTCCAGTTGCAACATTTTAAAAGTAACACACTCATAACCAAGCACGATCGGAAATATCTCGGAAGCTGCAGGCCAACGAATTCGTGTTCATGCATGAGTCACGTGATTGTGCCATGCAATTTCTGGAAGGAGTAGTGTTTGAGTTAAAACAAATCCGATTCTTGATCCCGGTGACCCCATGATGACCTCAGTTTGATCATGTGACATGTTGGGGCCGGGCTACTGATACTTTTGACAAAGTTTGGTTGAAATCGGTCAAAATATGTAGGAGCAATAGACAATGCCAACGTTTGTTACTAACTAACTAACTATACGGAAAGACACGATGATTTGTTGAGCTGCTAAAAATAATTATAGTCATTGCAACATTTTCCCTTCCAAAAGCATGTGCAATGTATTCACTGGTGAGCAAGGACAGCCCAAATGCTGTTTTTTAACTCATCAGGCAAAATGCAATACCAAAGATATAAAAGGATCGAGTTGATAATAGTTACCAATTAAGTTTAGCGAACATCTAGGCTATCTAGTATACGTCAAATTAAACAGACTGGGTTGTCTCTGTGCCACTCAACTTGGAAATGAGCCACATCTGTGTTGGGACTGCGCACGTGTTAAATATAGCGGGTCAAAGTCATTCGGGGTAAACATAAATCTTTGGTGCATGTGCGCCATCGAAAGTCTTTGTCCATCGAATTACAAAAAACCTGAAGAAGATCATTGCAAGGAATCGAAATACCAAACTGGGTCTGAAAATTGACAAGCCGCCAAAATAAACAGAGAAAGCACAGCAAACCCGCATTTTCTTAATCACAGCCAGGTCAAGTACTTCGGGAATTCAAACGATGCCGTGCAGGTGTCCTGGATTGATTGCCTCAGTTCTCTGAGGGGATATCGGAGTCGGCTCTGTCCATAAATATTAATATTTTCAAGTAACGCCTCAGATCCGAATCTCCCAGTGACTTCATGAACGAGTGAGGTTTGCCTGAATCGGAGCTCCTTACTTCGATTTGGACCAAATTACATGTCTTCGTTTGGCTGATTTTAGAAATATACAACAGTTCGTGCTCGTGGTAATAATACAGTTGTACGGTGACAAAATTTACCACGATACTGGTATTTCAAGGTTATATAATGTACTGGATCATAATATCACCGCACGTACACATGGAGCACCTTTATTTTGTGAAATTTACTGGTATACGTGAACAGTACTGAAAATCCCTAATACTTTTACTATTGAAGGTCGGTTTTGTTCTAATTATGAACGAGTTTATCCTTATGGCGGCAAACCTAAAAATTTCATGTTCTCCCAACAGAATACTTTCTCAAAATTGAGGATATCATCACAAATTTTACGGGACCTCTTACCATTAAGGTAATTTCGCTAATGCCACAAAATCCGGTATCCTAACGATGACAAAAAACGATTGATAGCTGCGATTAGGGGCACTCGATCTTGACTCGTTAGTGGCCCGTTTGATTGACCACAATCTATAGACCGTCTGGCTTCTGCCGCTTCCCCCTTCGCTGGGAACAGAAATCAGACTGGGTCGTTGGCTGGCTAATTTTTGAAAAGTAAAATGACTTCCGAGATTGCTTGACTCGCTAATTGCCGGCTTGATTTCAAACTGGCTGATGTGTAATTTATTTCTCTGTTTAATGATTGGTTAATGTTTGATTCTCCGAAATTGTTGTAAGCCTTGGACTCTTCCCAATAAAAGACAGCAATACTACCCGCATCGGGCACCAAAAGCAACAGACACTCTGTCGTCTTTGAAGTACTTGACCTGGGATCGAATTACCTCGACCCGTCACTCGATGCAAGGATATGAATAGTACGGCCAAATCCATAAAAAAACCTAATGGGTGTGTTCTAATGACGAAGAAAACTTGACATCAAGGAGGGAAATTGTCGTGATTGTACGGGTATAAATCGAGGCTACTACAGGTTAACGTGCGCAATGGACTAACAACTAGATCGGATGATCATGGTACGACCCCCGTCAGCGAATCTGTTATAAAAGCAAAGAACAGTCAATTTGTTCCAAAAAGACAGCTTCAACCCACACGTACAGTGAATGTCTTTGATATTACTTGCTGCAACCTCCATGCTGTAAAAGGTGGTCATTCCTGATTTCTTCCATAGGAGCTTTAAATTGTGTCGTGAGGTGGATTGTTTGTTGCTTGACACCGACTGGGCGAGCTGTTTGCTCCGCAGCCTCACTATGCGCAACCGACGTGATAGTAACCGATGTTTCCTTGCATTGTGTCTACTCGTTTTTTCCCTAGAATTTACTTCCACCGTTGGCCAAGTGGGTAAGTACTGGAAAGAAAATTAGACCCAGAATGAATGAATGTCAGGAGACATTATACATGTATATGCTGCCGCCACTCTAGCATCATCCCTCCCTTCTCACCCCCTTCCTGCCCCACCCAATCCATTTGATCTTCACCTGCTGCCACACTCCTTGGGGATAGCCCTGTTTAGTCCCGCTTGTGTGTTTCTCCTTCCACCCTTGCATGCTTGTGTGTCCCCTATGTTTGTTTCTTGTGCCACTGTCATTTGCCTCCGAAGCATGCAGGGGCAGATAGGGGAAATATTTGGGGTAGTGTCCACTTTGATGATAGAATGTCTTAAGAAAGATATTTGGCTATAGGGCCATCGGAGATTTGTCCTTTGACGAAACTATAGGTAGAATAACAAGCAATGAGGCCATTATGAAACATCTGAATATTGCTTGTTATTCCACCTATATTTTTTTTAAAGGGCAAATCTGTGATGGCTCTATAGCCAATTATCTTTCTCATAGCATACTTCGACTGTGTGCCAAATTCCATGCTGTTGTCATCAAATGAACAATCCGATCGTCTATCTGCTGTACAACTAGCAGGTGTTCTTATTAAAGCCCGAAATATCAGGCCATGTAATTTGGTTGTTGTTGATATGTATATTTCAGATCAATCTAGTCAGTGCACAGTTTGCACCAGTTTAACTGATTTTCTTTTTTGAAGCCGATACTGTTCGTCTGGTGGACGGAAATTCCTCATCTGAAGGCCGAGTGGAGGTCTATCACGATGGAGAGTGGGGCACGATATGCAGCGACTTCTGGACCGCTGCAAGTGCCAAGGTCGTCTGTCGTCAACTCGGCTACGGGTTCGTATTTTCCAAACTGGCCAACTTCGGTGAGGGGTCTGGGCCGATACTCCTGGACGATGTGTGGTGCGCTGACTTCCATGGAATGATTGAAGACTGCTATCATAATGGCTGGGGCAACCATGATTGCAACCACACCCAAGACGTCGGCGTGGTGTGCTCAGAACACTTCATTTATAATGGCAACACCGTGATAACAGGTAAAAACTAATCGGACACGCCATCATTTTGCAATTTAGAATCAGTTTCAACATATAATTGTTCTCTCGGTTTGGGCAAAATGTAACACAAGGCATTTTCAGGTTTAATTCCGAAACATTTTTTTTTTTATTACCAAGCCGTAACTGCAAAGATCCGATATCATCATCTAAACATAACAATATTAAGAGTACCTACACTGGGGAAATACAAGACTCTTTCCAATTTGCTGCATTTTTTTCTTCAGATGAACGGAGGTTTGAGCTGAATTTGACCGACTCCCGGTTCGAGGCCTCCGGCTTTTTGGTGGCGCGCTATAGTCCGGCCGAGGAGTGGGGCGCCATCTGCGGCGACCATTGGGACTACCGAGACGCTCAAGTGGCCTGTCGCCATCTTGGATTCGGACCGAACATCGACACCAAGGCCCGTCTGATCAATGAGAGCGACATACCCGAGACCACGATGTTCTCGGCGGTCGGTTGTCTGGGAGACGAAACTGAGCTGTGGCAGTGCGAGCTGGTATCCGGCGCTGGGGTTACCTGCGAGACGCTTCCTTACATCGAATGCGAAGCAGGTTCGTGGACGCCATCAAGTTTTGTTTCATAAGGAATTTGTTACATGTTCATTTTGCTGGTGTAAACGCATGATGCACCTCTATCAAGATACACATTTTTCTGTTTATTTATTATATTATTATTTTGTCAATATTCTGAATTTCAGAAACTGCAATGTTTGAGGATCCCATCAATTTGTGTGGCCAGATACACTACTGTGGTTTTGAATGCCATCAAGGCCCGCGTGACACACTGAGATACGAGGCCACAGAGACGTGCAAATGCGACAACGCATGCGTATACTTCGAAGACTGTTGCTATGACTACAAAACCAACTGCGACCCAACGCCCGATTCCGGTGGAGAGTTAATGAATGGAGTAGACATACGGTACTACGCATGCGTACAGACGCCGGGAATGGAAGTCGTAGAGAGATACGCCCACTTCGGTTTTGCGCTTGTGAGTTTCTGCCCCCAGCAATGGACCGGCCCCGATTTCTTGAAGCTTGAGTGCGAACAGATGCCCTTCCCCTTAGACGTCATCGCATCCCTCCCAGTCTTCGACAACGAGGGGGCTGTTTACAAGAACATCTTCTGTGCCCTTTGTCACGGCGTCGAGGCGAATGAGATACGCAAGTGGACCGCAAAACTCGAATACGAAGACTACACGATGCCGGGCTCGACTTACACCGATCCGCGATTAAATGTGACAATTATTGACGGCACACCAACAGGGAGGTACGTCGTTGAACCACCCGAGGATGGTTCAGGTGGTTTCCCCCGCACATGTCCGGTCTCCACAATAGGTTCCTGTCTCCAAGAATTCAGTAACTCGTCCCATGAGGCAGCCTGCAAGGAATACTTTGCACCGACGGTCGTGAACTCAGTCCGCTACAAGAATCCGCACTGCGCACTGTGCAACGGTCAGTTTGCGTATCCCACGGACACTTGTCTTTCCACCTGTTTGCCGCCGTTTTGCGTCCCTTTCGAGAACTGGGAGCCATGCTACATGTCTTGCACGAAGGGTCCCCCGCACATCTTGACGGTGGAGGCGCTGTTCGATTTCGGCTGGGGTGGCGGGGAGAAGTCCGCCTGCCGCAGTGGGGAGTTGTACGATCCTTTCCTGGATAGATGCCGTGGTGTGATCTGTGCTGCGGGCTTGGTGCTAGCAGACGATGGCCAATGCTTACCTCTGCTAGAAACCTTCTTCCCAATACCGCCACTTCTCCAATCCCCCGAGACACTTAACAGAGAATGTCATTCAATCATCAACGACAGTTTAAGCGGTAGCTCTGAAGTCGTTCACTGGCAATTGGTTCCACTTAACGATACCCAATCAAGCGATCTCTCCATAGAAAACCATACTCTTTTCATCTTAGGTAAGAGCTATGAAACTCTTGAACAAGATATCGGCGATTTCCTGAACACCTTCAAGAACTACAATACTGAACAAAGTTATTGCAACCTCCTCACAGTAACTGCGTACACTTTGAAAGGTGTGGAGTTGTTGTCATCAATTGACGTCTGCGCTAACTCTACCATGAACATGTGGGAAGTCTTCGATCCCTCGATTGAAAACGAAACACTCTATGACTTGAAAATCATTCGATCATTTCGCTTGAGTCAACAAAATTCCAGCTTCTCTAGAGAGGGATTACTGCCAACTGAGTGCACTGATATCATCCTGCTGAACTGCTCGAAGATGTTTGAACGATTAACAGCTGATGAGTATGTGTTCCAACCTGTATCGCGGTCGATACGTCATCTTCCGACGGGGCTTGCATTTGGTCCGGGTGAATTTGTCACTTTATCCGACCGTACAGCGATTATCTGTGGCCCTGTGGCCTGGTCAGACCCCAGCAAGTACGCTTTGGGCTTACTGTCCTTAATCCTCTACTGCTTGTCACTGTTGGCCCTGCTTGCTACTTTCGTGACCTACTGCGTATTCCTGACGCTGAGAAACATGGTGGGGCTCCAGACTATGAACCTCCTGGTGGCGCTCTTTGTTGCCATCCTCCTGATCGTTTTAGCGGGAAACCTGAGCGTGGAAGGGACATACTGTCAGGCAATGGCGTCGGTGATACATCTCTCGTGGTTAGCAGCGTTCTTCTGGATGGCGACGCTGTCTGTCAATGCCGCAAAGACTTTTGGGAGTAGGAACGTCCTCCCAAGGGGTTCACCACCAAGTTCTCGTCAACTGCTGACTACAATGACGCTCGTCTGGGGGACCGCCTTGCTGATAGTCGCTGTCGGCCTCGTTCTCAACTTTTGTGACTGTACCAGCCTTCCTGCCGTATACAGCGAGTCGCCGCCATGTTGGATCCCCAATGTCAAAGCACTACTCGTTGCCTTTGTTGCACCAGTGGCCGCCTCTCTGCTGATTAGTGTCAGCTCCTTTATTTTCGTCATCGTGAAGGTTCGGAAGATGAAGGGAGAGAGCAAGATGGTGCAGAAGAAGGGAAATCTGGAGGAAGTACTTGGGGAGTTGAAGATCTATGTCAAGGTAATATTAAAAAAAATACTTTGCCTACTTGGCGATGACATTGAAATATGTATTGGTCGTTAGTGTTAGTATTAAGAGCTTATGATTGCTAATTGTTAAATTTTCGCTCGGTTTATCCATAAGTAAAAAATTTCCTGTATTGCTTGTACCCTCATGTACTTGAAGACTTCAAATTAGCATTCAAACCGAGGCTCTGGGTGCAAAGTCATTATGGGTTCCGTGCGTGAACACGAGAGGGCGCTTATTTACCACTGTCGAGAGCCATGTGGACGGGACCAGACGGCAATGCGTTCGACTGTCACTCCCATGGGTATCCCCAAACTCTCCTTTTCTTGCCGGTGAGGGGGTACTTGTGCACGGAGCCCGTGACACTTTCGTACATTACTTTTCCATCCTCGTCCAAAGAAGTCAGGAATTCTCATGAAATAAACAGCATGTCTTTCTTTTACAGCTGGCACTACTGTTTGGTGTGTCCTGGCTGCTAGCGTTCGTGTCTGTGGCCGTGAACCACGTGATCTTGTCCTACACCAACGTCATCGTCAACTCGCTGCAGGGGGTCTTCATCTTCATGGCGTTCTGCCTCAACCAACGCGTGAGGGCGCTGTGGAGGGGTAGGATACTTGGTCGTGGTGACGCCGGCGGGTCAAAAGTGAGCACGAAAGTATCGTCCAGTAGTAAGGAAAAGCACGCAGTTACAGCAACTCATATCTCCACCGTATCGAATAAGAGCCCCGAAACCGAGGATATTAAAGAGGAAACTTATTTGTAGTGTAGCAAATAAAAGATAGAGAAAAATATTGAGTGTACTCCAGTCTTTGCTATTTTCCAACGGCGTAACTAGGGTCAAACCTGGGGTAGGAGGGGGTGCACATCAGTTAAAATCATGTTGACAGTGCAGTTATAATTGTTCTTCAATTCAGGATTTCTAATGGAGGGCAACCGTGTTGCACACATGCCCAGGCGGTAACTCGTCCCCCTCATTCCAGAGCAGGGGTTTGTCCACTAGTAGTAGGAGGATCGGAGTTCAAAACTGCGGTTTGATTTCCCTGATTTTTTTATTTTACTCTTGATGATTATGGTCAATACAATAAGGCCTGCGACATTGCACCATGTACATGATGTAATAAATACAACAACCCTGATATGAAAGCCAATAATATTCCCTTTTTTTAAAGACAGAAAAACTCCAATAATTATCATAATTGGGTCCTAAACATATCTATTAGCTGCCTATTATTATTTAGACATACAGTGCAGCACGGTCGACTGGTTGCTTACTTTAACCGATCGCACACATCTACCGTACCGATTGCGCTCAACAAATACTAGGCGGCTTGTTTGTGGTGTAAATCGAGGATTGGCTATTGTTCCTCATCGTCGGACTTTTGCAACAGCTCCCTTGGTGTTGCACACGTCTTCGTGACAAACTCAGTGAGGAGCAACGCATCTAATAATCGTAAAGAACCATTTAAACAATCGAAGGGATGCGTAGACGTGACACTGACTTTTATAAATTCTGTCGTTATACAAGGGTCAGTATTAGTATATGTGCATTATAAAATAGGAATTATTCTCTCATTGATTTTTCTATGAATGCTCCATATATAAAAATATTAACTGATGTGTAGAATATTCATTAAGCTAAATCACATGATTTTCTTACATTCAACCTAAAAAAACTGTATAGGTTTACGCTGATGTAGAAAAACTTACAAAGTATTACACGTAGCTTGTTATGTGAAAGTACAGGTGAATCACAATAAACGGTTCTTCGATTATCATTTCTTGAGTTTGAGAGTGGATCTTGATTTTTTTTTAGCAAGGGAAGGCATTGTGGGTGTGGTTGGGATCGAAAAAGGCTGTCTTGGTACAATGCTAAGTGAGGGCGCTCTTTGAATTGCAGATCAGATTAAAGCGAATACTATATTATTTATATATCGCTATCTAATTTATTATTCATGTAACAGATGTGTGGGGGCGCTCTGCAACTGTAACTAAAATCACTATCAATCACTGACGTCTTGAGCGCAGATTTAGGAAGTTATACAAGAGGGTGACCATGTTATAACTCGGTGAGTGGGCAGCGGCGTAGCCATGGTTCTCATCACTGATCTCTATATAAAGACTGGATAGCGGATATGCATACAACATTCACACAGTAGACTTTGCATATTGACCAATTCGCCCCCGGTCTCACGAAGATGGCCGCGTATAATGAACGTTCTACGCGTAAATACGCGCGCGTTGTATCAACAGTTGACGCGCATTTTGGTCACGTACACATATTATGATGTTCTAAAAGGGACACATTTCCGTTGTGATTATTATTTCAAAACGCCGAAAAAGTTATATTTGCGGCATTTTAGTAACCACGACGTTAGAAAAATTGTAGGTAACCTTGGTCAGTGATGGTGGTCAAAATATAAGTCAAGTGAACCGCGACGTTACAAAAGAAATCATGTTGTCTATAAAAACGACAACTTGTCCTTTGTAGATCACCAGCCGGTCTCACCAATATGGCGTCAAATTCGTACATTGTGCGGCTCTGTATTAGCTATCCAGTCTTTATATAGAGATCAGTGGTTCTATGATCCTGGGGGGGGGGGTGTTACAGATAATGGCCGGCCAATTGCATCCGCGGGGAACGGTAGACAGGTTTATTTTCATCAGGTAACAGGCCTCCGTTAAATCAAAAAAGTGTGTGGACGGATCGGGGAGCCAATTGGAGCAGCGGATATATCGCAATCAATCCGCGTTTATTTGGGTTTTCTGGTACAATGTTTCGTTTTATAACCAACACATGGCCTTTAACAAAACCTTCATAGAGTTAAGGGTAACCAGCACTTGATGAAGGCTACATTCGCCTGAGATTTAAATATAACAATCAAAAAAATAACACACAAGACGTCAATTAAATTTAACGAGCGCACAGCGGCGCACCATGTAATACGTACCAGTCAGTTTATTACGCAACAAAAGAAGAATATAAAATCATTCCAAATTTCACCTGCGCAATATGCCTACATAATATTGTGGAGCGAACTATCGCAACAACAACACTACCTCCTGTCAGAAACACCGATCCTCGTCGCGAACATTCGTGTGCCTAAAGTAGAACATTTGCTTCGGTGTCTGAATCAGTGTAATTAATTGAGGCAGTTTTGATGCTGACGTGCCTCCTTCTGGAGTGCCAATAATTGATCACTCTGTATGGCTGGTGCAAGCATGGCAGACACGCAGAGGATTCGTCTTGCTGGAGCATTTCTGATCATCCTGGGTTTGGGCGTGGGCCCTTTTGTAACATCTCAAACAACAGGTAAGTGAAACGTAAATTCTCAGCCAAGTCAATCACATGTCAAATCACAAGTCAATGTCAATTTTATGGAGAAACAGTGACAAGAAAATGCCATTGTAGAACTTCAAATTCAAACAGTTGTGGTCAATTCACTGTAACTTTACTTGAGGCTGGGCGACTTGGTCAATGGTTAGACAATCCGGCAATTATTGATGAAGTTTAAACCACAGCAAGCAGTGGTAGACTTTGATACCGTGTGTGGTTTTACTTTTCTCAAGGGGGGATACAGACCCGCCTGTCCGGTGGAGATTCTGCTTTGGGGGGCCGCGTCGAGGTGTACTACAACGGCGCATGGGGGACTGTTTGCGACGACAGCTGGGATATTCAGGACGCCCATGTGGTGTGTCGGTCCCTGGGATATCACTCCGCCCTCTCAGCCACGGTCAAATACGGCACGGGATCTGGGGATATCCTGCTGGACGAAGTCAGTTGCAGTGGGGATGAGGCGGACTTATCAGAATGTTCTCACAACGGCTGGGGCGTTAACGATTGTGAACACAGTGAGGATGTTGGTGTTTACTGCACAGGTAAGACAGAGAACTGGACCTTAGGTTGCCTAGGTTAGCTGCAGCCGAACGTCTCACATAAGGACATTATTTACTCAATAACCCACTCAGGCCCAGTTACTCAGTCAGGACACAGAACAATCCCTGCGAGTCATGGAAAATGGCTTTTAAGTCTCTACTTCAATCATACACAAAACCAACTTTAAAGCTCTTTCGAAAGAAAAAAAAAATCTTTAATACTCCTCTAAAAGTTCTTGTTACTCCTTCAGGGAACCTTATGTACCAATTCTGGCGAGTAAAGTTTCAACCGACAATCATGATATATTCACCAATCAAACTGAATTATTTCAAAGCTGTTTTGCCGAGTTGTAGATAGACAACCACCAATACCATTCTCTAATTCCAATGCTTCGCATTAGTTGAAAACAAAATCGTATGTTTGAAATGTAAGACGTTAAAGGTATAGTCCATCATTTGTAATTTGTGCATGTTGTTCGTTCGAAGCAACAAAAGTGCTCAAAATCTAAACAAGGGTGCTAAACAACTAACCTGATGAAGTTTCAGCTCAGCTTCAGCTGTATATTTCGAGAAAAACAACATTATAGGATCTCGATTTCCAATCAAAAGTTGCTGAATCATGTTTTGAATAGGGCCTGAATTCAGCGCCCGAGACGCATTCTCACTGAGCCGATTGCAGCTACGCGATGTTGCACACCGATCCAACGAATTATAGCAACCACGCGCGCGTGTGCGTCGTGAACGCTTGCGCGCGCTTCGCCTAATAAAAAAAACGAACTACAAACGGAAATTTCCAACGGTGCTTCTTAAGACGCACCATTGGAAAGGCCTTCTTTCGTTGATTTCTTCAAAATGACAGCTTGCCAGAAAGAATAATTTCACAGGGAGTTTAGTCGCATTACCATCTGCCAACCAAGTATGTTTTTCAACAATAATTACGTCAGTTAGTTTTTGGATAGCTGCAAATGACGGACTCTGGCTTCAATGCATGGAATAAGGGCTATGACGAAACAGCTGGTTTTAGGGCATATACAGAATAAATATTACAGAATTGGGCAACTCGAGAAAGTAATTGAATTGATTTTTTTCTGGGCTGGCTCTTGAACCAGCTTTAGTAGTCTAAGCTTGTCTTGTTTCAATCTAATTGTATAGAAACTGGCATCACGGGAGACATAGACATTCGTCTGGTCAATGGAAATTCCGACTCGTCTGGCCGAGTCGAGGTCTTCTACGGTGGTGTCTGGGGCACCGTTTGTGACGACAATTGGGATATTTCTGACGCCAAGGTGGTCTGTCAATTTCTTGGCTTTCCTTTCGCCGTGTCCGCCACCCGGAGATTCGGCCGTGGCTCCGGCTTGATTCTCCTGGACGATGTAGATTGCACTGGGCTGGAGACGCGATTGGAGGACTGTGGTCACGCGGGCTGGGGCCAGACCGATTGCACTCATCGAGAAGATGCAGGCGTCGTCTGCTCAACTGAAAACTCAGACGAGTCCCAGCCCTCTGAACCTTCATCTGCAAGCTCATCCTCTTACAGCTCAGAGGGTTCATCCTCTGAAGACGACACGGAAGAAGAATTACCTCCTGAAGAACCCGGTGAGTCTCCATTCATTTTATTTTTACGAAACTCAGATCAAGTAAAGACAGCTTATGTGCTTGGTCGTCTAGCCATGCGACAATTATTCTTTTGATTCCACAATTTCTCTTATAGACTTTTTACGCTAGATCACAAGTACGGATTGATACTAGGTCGTGTATAATGATGTGTTGCAGGAGGAGCAATGGGCCGAATTCATAAAAACTAGCAATTGCTTATAAGCAAAAGCAAAAGCTCATCAAGCAGAAGCAAAGTAAAAGCAATAGCTTAAAAACACATACATATTCATTTTGCTTTGACTAACAGCTTTTTCTGAAGCTTGCTTAGCAAATGCTTAGGTTCTGAGCAAAAGCGCTCTTCATCCAGATGTGCGCTGAGGTGTGCGTCAATGTAAACGCTTTTGACAGACACATGTTTTGCGTTTCATCCCCACACACTTTCCAAAATGGCTGCAGAAAGTGATGTTGATCAAACTGCTGTCAAATTTGACAAACATTATGAGTGCAGTCTTGGTTAACATTATAAAAAACCTTGTGCTTGCAAAGAAGTGTCAGCTATGCCAAGTAGTAAGGAAAAGAAAGCGAGGACACTTCAGGATGCCAAAGCATCAATTGCTACAATAACTGGGAAAAAAACACGGATGACTGACAAATAATGAAGAAGGTATAGCCAGCATGAAAGTACAGGTCAAGAAGAAAACAGACGCAAATCAAACATGGTCGTCTCTTTTAAAACGGGCATAGACATGACGATAACGGTTGATCTTATCTGATAAGCAGGAGCTCAAGCTACCACGTGAGAACTTGAAACACTACAAGCAAAATGCTTAACGACAAAAGCAGAAGCCTGTTTTATGTTCAATGTATACGTTTTTAAGCTATTGCTAATCTAGGAAGCATTTCCTTGCAAGAAACAAGTTGTTGCTTTTGCTTAAAAGTATAGAATGTGCTTGTAAGCAATTACTTATTGTTATATATAAAAATGTAAGCAAAAGCCTAGAAGAAGCAGTTGCTAGTTTTTATGTTTTCGGCCCAGTGTGTGCAACCAATAGGCACTTTTCGAAGCGTAAACTGCCGCATAATTCAGTGCAACACATATCGTCACTGCATAGAATGTCCGGTCTGGCAGCTATTCAGACAAGGTCTATCTGGCGACCACAACTCGGTGGTGGTACCTCGTTTGCATGCAGGTTATTTCTGGTGTAAAAGTGCAAACATATAATGTGGTACGGAAGATATCTCCCATTGGGTGTGGTATTAATTATGTACTATTTTATACAGATATGCATAAACAATTCTTTGATGATATACGTCTATCCGATGGAAGAGCCCCCTCTAGTGGCCGGGTCGAGGTATTCTATGACGGACAATGGGGAACCGTCTGCAATACTGGATGGGATTTGCAAGATGCCACTGTGGTCTGCCGTTACCTAGGTTACCCCGCCGCCATTTCTGCCGACCCGCAGGTCACTCCTGGCTCTGGACCGATTCATCTGATTTGGGTGGGATGCCAGGGGAACGAACACTTTTTGCATGACTGTTATTACGATGACGGCATCGATACGTCCTGCGACCATACCAGGGATGCTGGCGTCGTCTGCTCAACAGAGGGCTTACAGATATCCTACCCTTCAGGTACGAGTCACATTTGACCTCTGATGTCACACCTACGCCCCAAGTGACAGGCACATTTGCAGACCATCTACAACTGGTTTTAATATTTTTTCAGGGCGTCTTCTGTATGCATGCTACAATAATATCCATTACTGGGCGTTGACGCAAAATGTCACCTTAAAGTTACAAAGGATTATTTGCGTTTTGTACATTGTTTGAAGAATTAAAGGTGCATAACAAACAACCTGTTGAAGTTTAAGCTCAGTGGATACCATTCACTAAAAAAACAGAAACAGAGAAATCGTAGGCCCTTATAGACATAAATATAACTGGATTCCTTTGCTGACGCATGTAAATACTGTGAATATTTACTTAAACCACCTCAAATGGTTGTTTCCTTCTGAGTGATACCATTTCAGAGAGAATAATTTCACGGTATTTTGCTACCATTCCTATCTTTACTTTGAGCAAGGATGGTCTTGTTAAACAGTTGGTATAGGTTTCCTGGTAATTGAAAAATGTTCCTGGTGCCTTTAAGCTACACAATGCCGTAGCATAACATTTAAATGTTTAATCAAAGAGAGGTTGTGATTCCTAGTAGAATGCATACTTGGAGTAAACTGTTATTGCACAGAACCCGTATCCATGACAAACTCCAGGTAAGTGGCCCATAAAGACTTTTGACACCACAAATGAAATCCTTTGCGTAAGCGGTCGGTAAAACTTGATCACACCTCATCAAGCTGAAGTTTCATGGTGACTCTTTTAATGCTGGTAGTTTTATCCGAAGTAAACCGCGTGATTATCTTCTTTGACTAACAGTTGTTTTGTTGATCATTTTCTTTAGTTAACGAGACAATGTTCCGACTCGTGGGCGGGGCTTCTCCAAATGAAGGCGTCCTGCAAATTCGAACTTTTAACGACTCGACCTGGAGTACGCTGTGCAGCTCGAGGTCGGCGATACTACCGGGTGTCGGCGCCGACATCTGCAGGCGGCTTGGATACCCGGTGTTCTGTCATTCTCAAAACGATGTAGCTGTTCCCGATAGCGTTGGAGACTCCCCGTTCGTTAGAGTCGCTGATGACGAATGCTTCTTTTCATCGGTTGGTGTCCTCCAATGTGGTCTGGTGCCCGACGTAGGATACGCTCAGCCGTGTGCGGCTAATGAGACGCTTTGGATTTCGTGCGGCTCGGGTATTTGTTTTAATTTTCCTATTAATTTTCAACTTTGCTCACTAAAGTGTCTTCCATCTGATCCTCCAACAATGAAAAAGTTCGGCCTAGGATCATTACTAGACTAGTGTTGACTTGTGACGTACTTACGCCTGCGCAGTAGTAGCAGCGTCCAAACATCTAGAGCTAGTCAAACAATGGTCAAAACATCATCACGACACTCCTTGGTTCTAGCTCCCTGTTGCGCTTCATAATGCGTGCGGCTATCGGTAACCAGCGATGGAACCGTGCTCTGGGTACAATTACTAGTCGAGTAAAGTCAAATCATTTTGCGTTCGATTGAAGTTAAATAGAAACTGAGGTTTTTTTTTACCACATTCCATGCTCCAACTCGCTCCAAGTCGTTAGCGGTCGACTTAAGGATACTCCATGCGCGTAGTAATACTAATATTGGCTTCTTGTGTAGCAATCATGTACTCACAAGTGACGCTCCTGGCGCTCCATTATTACCCTGGCTTTAGCACGGCTGCCATTACGGCGCTAGCGAATTTCTTCCTACCAGGTACCCAAAATTTTACTACTACCGCAACCATTGGACCACAACACCCCACAGCACGTACCATGGATGCGTGTGCGCGTGATGCGATGCGTGGAGAAGTAGGCAAATGAAACTAAACGGGAGGCAGTATCCGCTTCGTAAGTTACTACGTCATCATACACGAGCACGCACCACTAATTACTAGCGCTTATGGGCTAAACGCGCTGTAGCGCGTTAACTTCAAGTTGCAATGGTTCTGTTCAAATCCGTGTGAACTACGCGTGGTTCAAGTTGAAGTGTCGTCAAACTTACGAGCCGGGTACAGTCAAGAAGCATGGTAACCAATAAGAATTAAGAATCACTGTGGGCGTTGCCTGACCTCATGTGTGAAAGGAGGTGAGGTCTCCAGTCAAGCAGTCGGCCTGCACAGTATGTTCAGTTGGCTTCAACTTGACTTTCCCCACGTTTTTTGGTGCTTTTCGTTGCAGATCTAGACTTTCGTCTGTCTTATGGCGTGCTGGAGGGCACAGGCCTTCTCCAGGTGCGTTGCAATGGTAGCCAACAAGCGTGGAACGCCGTATGCGGTGACGATTGGCTGACATCTGCGCATGCGCACAGAGCCGCATGCCGCTATCTTGGATTTCCCGAGTCAGATGTTGTTGCTCCTTATTCTCTGGCGGAATCGACTCTGTCGTCATTGATTCCTAGCCTCGTTCACGAAGTGGTTTGCTCTGGGGAGGAGGATGAGCTGAACGATTGTGAGATTACCCAACCGACTCTTGAACATTGCACCAACTACGCTGGTTTGAAATGTAGCAACTATAGTAAGTTAATGTTTCGATGTCTTTGTATTTCATTTCATGCAATTATTATCTCCGTCGACCTTGAATTACACCTTAAATTGTCTGCTGATTTAATCACTCAACATTTGTCACAATGCATGGTTCCTTTAAAATCGTTCCATGTTCAGTGTATTATGATTGAATCATTTTCGTTCATTGGTGTACCTTTGACCTTGGCCACGTATACTAGCAAGTCATTTTAGATAAGACGTTCATTATCATTAACTCCTCTACAAGATAATCCCTAAATCAAAGTGTCTATTATTTTTCCGTCACCAGCCGAGACGAAACTGGAGCTGAAACTCATCGATTCACAGTATCCAGCATCTGGAATTGTGGTTGGTCGAGTGAGGGAGACAGACGAGTGGGGCGCCCTCTGCGGTCATCCTTACGACTACCGAGATTCACAAGTTCTCTGCCGCCATTTTGGATTCCAAGAAAGTGTGCAAGTGAGCAGGGGATTTCTGAATGGGACCGTACCACCGAGCTCGACGCTTGTGTCGACAATCGGTTGTTTCGGCACGGAGACCGAGCTGTCCCAATGCGAGATGGTGTCGGATGTCGACAAAAGCTGCGATGCATACCAGTATCTGGAATGTCAAGACGGTACGCAGAGAAGACATTTAACGATGTTCATAGCTTGACTTGCGGTTTAAATGTTCTGCTTTATGTCACTTTAAAATGTCTCCTCAGGTACTAGGATTATATGAATTATCATACACGATTGGATGCTCCATAATTTTTAGTGTAAAGTTATTCAACGTTGCTCCTCATATACAAATTTAATGTCATAATTACATGTATTGTATTGGATATACATTAAAGTCAAACCAGCATTTTTCATAAATCAACAAAATACATACTCAAACAACATTAGGTGTATAGGTTCCTTCTAAGTAAGTATGCATTTTTTTTATTGAATATTATTCTTCTATGTACAGAAACAACAAGATTTGAGGCTCCGGCGTATCTGTGCGGTGAGCTCCACTACTGTGGATACGACTGCAACCAAGGCAGTCGCGATACACTCCGACATTTTAAGCAAAATACTTGTAAGTGTGACGACTCATGCGCCTTCTTTGACGACTGTTGCTATGACTACCACTCCAGCTGTCGAACTCCTCCCGATGGGAGTGAAATTACCATCAACGGCGTGGATCTGCACTACTACGCATGCGTCCCGTTAACAAGTAGAATATTAAGCGAAAGATTCGCAGACTTCGGGTTTGCGTTGGTGAGTGTCTGCCCAGACGGATGGGTCGACAGTGTCGTGAGAAGGTCCTGCGAGATGGCGGCTGCTGAAGATGACTTGCTTGGTTCCTTGCCCGTCTACATCGAAGAGGGGGCCGTGTACAAAAACCTCTTCTGTGCAATTTGCCACGGGGTGAATACCCGGGTCCTGAACACCTGGAGCATCGACACGGAGCGATGGGACCCAAACAAGTTGTGGATCGATCCGCCGCTTGATGGTGAATTCGGGTCGGCCCGTTCTTGTCCAATTACATCCGACAGATCTTGTGTTGGGGAATTTCTCAACACTTCTTTAGAGGCAGCATGCAATGACTATTTTGCCCCTTTTTTTAAGAGTAGAATTTTCTACCGTAACCCGCATTGCGCCATGTGCAAAGGGTTGCATTTGCACCCAAGTGACAGTTGTGGTAAGCAGTGTACTTTGTTTTGCAGCAGTACTGAGAACTGGAAAGAATGTAGATCTGATTGCGCACGGGCGCATGCGCCTCCGACCATAGCCAGGCTTTTCGATTTTGAGTGGGGCAGTGATGAGAACTCGGCCTGTGAGCCCGGGGAGCTTTACGATCCTTTCCTGGGCAAATGCCGTGTTGTCATCTGCGCGTCAGGTGTAAGGGATGAGGATGGTGCTTGCATTGAATTACAAGCTGAAGATGCAGAGTTGCCTCCCTTCCCGATCCCATACCAAGAGCGATCTTCCTTTATCGTCGATGATGGCTGCGACGCGCTCGTCAACCTCGATATGGGTCCGGATGTCTTATACTGGCAAGTTGTCCAAAGCGACACTCAGACGGCCAGACCTACTTCTGCGAGTTGGTTCGAAGTATCAATTATAGTCAGAAGAGTCGACGCCAACGTCACTTCCAGCGAAGGTTTTTTCGCAAAGTATGGCAATCTATCCAAGGCACTGGAACTTTGCAATGTCGATACCGTCACATTGTACTCCACCGAAGGCGCACTGTTGCTAGCACAATTTGACAGCTGTGTCAACGCAACAGTGGAAGCAAGCGATGTTTTTAACTTTAACATATCTAATCATACTGAGCGAAACTTCAAAATATTCAACTCTCTCAGCTGGGCAAAGGGGGTTTCAACCTATCTGAAAAACACCACAACACCGCAAGAATGTCTTGATGTCATCAAGTTGAGTTGTTTTCAAGTTTTGACCTTGTATCCTGAGGAGTATGAGTTTCAGGGAGCTTCATCCATCGTGCATCTATCGACACGAAAAGAATTTGTGTCGAGAGAATATGTCTTTTCCAAGACGGGAAAGCTGCAGTGTGCGGTCCCGTCGACTGGACTGATCCCGTTTCATTTGCCTTGTGGATTGTCTCTCTAGTCTGCAGCTTTCTATCTCTCTTTGCATTGGCAGCCACCTTTGTCACCTACTGCGTGTTACCAGACCTGAGAAACATGGCCGGCCTGTACACGATGAACCTCGTGGTGGCGCTCTTTGTTGCCATCCTTCTGCTAAATTTGGAGGGATTTCTCGATTTGGGAAAACAGGCCTGCATAGCGAGCGCCTCGCTGATTCACCTGTCCTGGTTGGCTGCGTTCTTCTGGATGGCGACGTTGTCTTTCAATGTGGCTAAAACCTTTGTTGGTACGGCTTTTCATAGGGGAACAGGGAACAGCTATCGGAAGTTGCTGGCAGTCATGGGGTTAGTTTGGGGTGGTGCGTTGCTCATCGTATCCACCTGCCTGGTCCTGAGTGTCTGCAGGTGTACCAGTCTCCCGGCCATCTACAGTGAGGCATCACCGTGTTTGATTGCCAGTGGAAACGTCCTGCTCGTCGTCTTTGGCGGTCCTGTGGCAATCTCTCTGCTCTTCAGCATCACTTGCTTTGCCTTGATTGTCAACAGTGTGAGGAAGGCCAAGAGCGATAGCAAGATGGTACAGAACAAAGGACAAATAAAGGAGATGCTGAATGAGGCAAAGATTTATGCAAAGGTATGCGATAACTGTTTTTTCTTTTATTATAAACAAAAACTACCAACTTTGAGCGTTCCACAATTTAGCTTAATAATTTGAATGTTTTCGGAACTTTAAAGAATTACCTTAAAAAATGGTTTTATCCCACCATAATGTTCAAACGAATACAGCGTGTGTATTATACACTCAATGTATCATGTTGTTATCTCCAAATGTGTCTAACCTATCACAACATATATAGGGAGTTTTTCTTATTTGTGGGGATGAACTCCTCTTCAAGGTGATGTTCTAAATTGAGAGTGTTCTTGTTTGATATTTTATTCTCGACAGCTTGCCTTTATTTTCGGGCTCACGTGGGTTATTGCCTTTGCCGCCGAAGCGGTGAACCACGTGATCTTGAACTACATCAACGTCATTCTCAACACTTCGCAGGGGGTCTTCATCTTCCTGGCCTTTGCCATAAACCAACGCACGAGGGCGCTGTGGCGGAAGAGGCTTCCTTGTTTTGCGAAGACCAAGACTGGATCTTCGTTGGGATCCGGATCCAGCTTCCAGACATCGAAAAAATGTACCGTTACAGAAATGGACGGTGCCTCACGAAAAGCCACAGCATCCCCCGAAACCAAGATGTAGAATTCTAGAACCAAAAGTCCAACTATAGGCCTACAGTTGAATTCGAGTGATTAGAGTTCTCACGCATGGACCATACTATATAAATATTTTCCCCAATAAAATTACTTCAAACACTACGTAGCCTCTTTGATTATTTTTTTTCAGTAAACATAATGGGCAATGCCGTTAATTCGGTCGTACATAATTTTATAGGACACTTTAAACGTCGGCTTTTGCCTGAAAAGTGAAAGTGACACATCACTTGTGACTAATGAGCAGAAAATAAACTAGGATACCATCACCTTAACGGCTTGGTACCTCAAGTGCTCAGACGCACGCAGAGAATTGGATTCTACCATATATTTTTATTTTACCCTTATGTAAATCTTAATCATCTGTATGATAATCTACGTCTTTAGTGTTCACATTTCAGCAGTTCAATTGTTTCGCACCGGGTATAAATTGTTTTATTTCACTTTAAAGATCATTAAATTAGCTATGGTTTTAAAATAAAAAATGTACATGTAAATAAACAATAGTTAAAAAGGTTTTGAATTTTAAGGATAACAGCCACAGGCGCGGTTCTACGGGGGGGGGGGGGGGCTAGGGGGGGCTGTAGGCCCCCCCCCCCAATTTTTTTTGTCTAGCCCCCCCCCCAAAAAAAAATAAATTCCGTAAAAAAAATATTGCATTAGCAAAAAGAAGGATTGTGATGTACATGCGAACGGTCTCCCCTAAAGAAGAAATAGCCGTGACAAGGGTGCATTAGTTAATATAGTGTGAATGATTTTAGGATTTTATTGGCGCTCCCCATTGAAAATATGGCATGAGCCCCCCCCCCCCCCCCCCCCCCCCCCCCCCCCCCCCCCCCCCCCTTTTGATTTTCGGAGGCCTAAGTGTCTGGAAAAAATAACCGGTAAACATTTCAGCACGCCTCCCTGAAAAAAATCTGGATTCACCGTGCTAGCCCTCCCAAAATATTGGTTCTAGAACCGCGCCTGAACAGCCATTAGTGATCATACACAATAGATACGTTTTGTGCTCAACAAATGTATATACACTAAGCATAGGACATATAAACACCCTTAGTAAAACGGCTACGTCGTCTGGATTTTTTGACTGTTTAAAATGAAGGGTGGTTTTCAAAGCAGCCGATGTGTTGGGATAAATTAGTGACTTGTGTGTTTTATGCGATCATTTAGTTTTGATCTATTACCCGGTACCCTGTGGAGACATGTGCATAATAGGGGACAAAGATTGTATACGTCTCCCAAGGGCAATTTCTATATGTGAATACGTCTCAACAAGGTTTTCACGAAGTAGATATATGGATTTTACAAAGGAACTAGGTATTTCCAAGGTGTGTTGATCCGTCGCAAATTAAAGTATGTTATGTAAGGAATATTAAGTCCGAATTTCAGCCCAGGAAGTTAATTCTGGTTAGAATTGGAGCATTTTCAATTTGAAACTACACTTTTTAGTACACGAGAACGAAGAAATGATTCCACAAGGATACAAATTCCAGTATGTAGAATGTTTAATTGTAGTCTATAACTTTGTACATGTATTTTAATTGGATTGGATTAATTGGATTTTTTATTCTTATTCAACTGGCTGGCCCATTTAGTGGATTCCAAGGGGCCCAATAAGACGACGTCAATGTGAAGAAATGATAGTCTTAGATGTAGGAGGAAAACCCTAGAGGAATTTTCTGTGGGGAAACCCGCGGGATTAAGTAGGACTAAAACCCCAATCCACATTTTGGCCCAGGTGGATTCGAACCTGGGTCACAGCGGTGGAAGGGGAGGAACGTACTGCTACGCCAATCTGACTCCCAATGTAAACATATTGTATTTATAACAGAATGTTTTAATGATGTATATATTCACACAACGATTTCAGATTTAGCACAGAAATAAACTAATAGATAAGTCGTTGTAAAAGGTGTTCAACTTACCTTAATCCAGAACGGCTTCATCACTGCCATTGTTTCAACTTCATCGGGTCTGTTCAATACGCTGGAAGTCACCAACGCGTAGGCGCGGCCTATGCAAAGATCTTCCCTGTTCCATTAGCGGCCGCTAGGTGATGATAAAATGATGAAGTTCGTCATTTTGTAGTGGTAATTGTAGCTCCGTCTTATAAGTCTTTTACACATTGAAATGGCGTACGTTGTGGTAGTACACAACGCTGAAATGTATACATGAAGTCTCACTGAATAGTGTTTAACAGCAAAACAATCGGCTCCAAGACACTACGGGTATCTCTAGACGTATCACGCTCATGAGGCTTCTTATATGTTGTTCTGTTGTGTACTGACTACGGATGTCTTAGTGTTATTGGAGGAGTTATAATTCCTCTATTAAGTGTTGATGTGCGTTTGTCGCTAATCCTGGTGCTGCGACCATTGACTGACGAGGAAGAAAGAATGTTTGCATTCGGTAGACAGCCGAATCCAGCACGTGGAATTTCCTGGGCGAGAGCCCGTTGTCATTGTTGTATTTTGTTCATTTAATCGCGATGAATGGCAAAGCGGTTCGGGCAATCCACGGCGTTCACTACAATTTCATCTGCTTTACCATTTGATCACAACCAGATTGAACGAATTATTATTTACTAAATATTAAATAAATTATTATTTACTAAATATTAAATGAATTATTATTTACTAAATATTAAATAATAAAAACAATCTGTGTATGTTAATGTAAAGGCGCTAACTGATCCATTTTAAAGTAAATTACTAGTAGAAATTGGTAAAGTAGCTGCACGCGGGCCGGCTGTGGGCGGGGCCTGGGCCTCCGTAGGGAGGAGAATGAACTCCCGGTGCGTATGGGAGTAATCAGCGTTGATGTCGCAATATTATTTTATTGTTGCCCTCTAATCACCAAGGAATAAGGATAATAAAACAAACACCCTACAAATCAACATAAAAACATGTCCTAATTAATTACAATAATATATTGCATTTTATTCGATTATTTTTTTTACATTTCAAACTACAAACCATGGTCCTTATTCACGAGTCGGCCATATTGGATTGAGAGTGAGGTTAAATCTTGATTTTTGAAATTTGTGTAGAGAAATGAAGTAAATTTCTAATTAATTCCTGTCTTCTTCAATGAATAATATAAAATTAAACATTCCCTAATGTTTAAAGCCAGATTTAAAAAAAAAATCACAGTAAATAAGGCTGCATTGCGCGTACATAAATAGTCTGGTGCCATCTCATTCAACAGTTCACAATTAATGAAATGCCTTCAGGGAACTTAACAAAAATGGCCAACTCATGAATAAGGCCCATATACCACTGATCTCTATGTAAAGACATAGACATCAGTGCCATACACTAGCACTGCACGCGAGCGTCAAGCGAACGCGCGAGTGTTAAAAGGGCGTGCAAGTATCGAGCGACCCTCGCAAACACATAGGGAGGTTACTTTAACCGTACACATGCTACTTACTGTAGCATGTGTACGGTTAATTACATACGTACAGCGCGCACACAACGCGTTACGTGTCACACAACGTGTTACGTGCATGTTAAAAAAAGGTACAAACAATATCGTCGAAAAACCCACAATTCCGCCGCAAGGATATATGAAACACTCTACAAAACTACTCACGCGGACACCAAGGTGTTGAAGGACATTCTTAGTGGTCAACAGGTCCAGGCTGGAGTCGCTGAACCCAGGTTTTCTGATGTATTTTGTCGCCCGAGTAGTGTGCGAGCTCCGCATCACACGGATTCAGCCATTGAAAATAACCAAATAACACTGTTGACTAGATTACATATTCATGCGCAGCAAAATACTACATATAGGCATAAAAGGCTCGAATCATCATTAACTCAATATCTAAAAACTTCAGTATAATTTACAAAGCAACACTAAAAAGGAATTCCCACCCAACTGTGTCTGAAACAAACGATCATTTGAAAAGTGGCAAGGACTACTTCACATACAGGCGCGGGCATACTATAAAGTCTAAAGCAAACTGACTGCTTGTTGCTACGCAGTAAATTAAAGGCGAAATTAACCGTGCAGTTGATGGGGCCAGGGCAGTACAAAAACATATACGCGTACAGTGACATGATAAACATCTTAGACTTGTTACCTGTCCTTCGGCTCTTTAATTTGTTGCGCTTTAAAATCAAAGAGTATGTATTTACTAATTACTAAATATTTTTTAATTGAACCACAACGGGAAACTGACTAGGTGACAAGTATCAATTTTTGAAAAGTTGAACAAAGAAATTGACTGTGGCTTGAATTTGCGATTTTTACCGTACCGGTGGCAATTAGTTTTCATGCAACAAAGTATGATCGATGACAATAATGCATATGAGTGAAACATATCACATGACCAACTAAATATGTCAGCTGATTTGGAATAGGTTCTTACAGCTTATGCCACGTGGTCTCGCTGTGGTGTGTGCGTTAAATCGCTGAGCTGAATGTTGATGAAGGTTAAAGGTTCAATTGCTGGAGGAAATGTATATTTTTATTTTTATTTCCCCCAAAAGTGATTTTTGTTCCCTAAATTGCGTTTCATCAACTCCTGATGATTGATGAAATGAAACTCAGCTTTTCTCATTCATGGCTCAGGAGTATTTTTTTAGGTGAAGCTAAGTCCAAGAACCGCTCCGTTATCGACTGACGCATGCGCATTATGGTCATTGACTGTACTTGGTTGCGCAAACAATGATTTAGTACCGGTGGATGGTCTTTCGACTGAGCTTTCCAGCCCTATGTTGGCAGTTTCCCAAGAGGTCAATTATTTGATCAAATGGCGAAAGTCAGGAGTCATAATCTTGCACATACCATGCAGCCTGGTCTGCGTCTTGACATCGGGCGTATCCCACGGCTGCATAGCATGTGCAGATTAGCTTAGTTCAACCTTTCATGTATATGAATATTGGGGAATCATGGTTATTTAAATCTGTACAATGTATTAAACTCATCTCACGAAGTTCCTGTTTGCATTGTCAGTTTTTATTCGCGGCAGAACTCGTTGTTGCATCGACAGTAGACACAGTTTCAGACAATCGCGTCGTGGTTGAGGCTCCTGACGTTCGCGTTGTAGTCAGCTGCTGTCCGTTAGCGGCTCTGCGCTTGCCTGTGCGACGCTCCTTCCGCAAAAGCGCCCTCACGCGTTGGTTCAAGCAGAAGGCCACAAAGATAAAGACCCCCTGCAGCGTGTTGACGATGACGTTGACGTAGGACAAGACCACGTGGCCCACAGCATCGGATATGAATGCGAGAATCCACGTGATCCCAAACAGTAAAGCCAACTGGTATTAAGATAACACAAAAGTTTCGAAATTATAATGTGATAGCTACCTTAAAATAATTGTGGGCACTCATCACCAGGATGAGGTGAGAAGGCAAGAAAGGTTAAGGGGCAAAGGCCAGCATCATCTGGCAGACCTGGAATATCAGTATTTTTTGCTAACTTGAGGGTGAGTTGAGATTGAATAAGGTTGGGCCTGGTTTGATTGATCGTGATGTACTTTGCTAACAATAAAACTGCGCGTGCCTTGCAGCAATATTTTATTTTGCGACCAAGTATACAAATAGCTATGAACCGGGACTTGTATTGGGCCGTCCGATGCAAATAGACTTAGGGCTTCAAATCTGACTACTTCACTGTATAGTTGAATGCAAGTTATAAACATTACCTTGGCGTAGATCTTCACCTCATCCATTGCTTCTTCAGCCAGGCTCCTGTTTTGAACCATCCTGCTCATCCTCTTGGTCCGCCTTACACTGACAATGACCACGATGAAACAAATCGTGCTGAGAAGCAGAGAGGCGAGCACGGGAACGCCGAAGACTACGAGCAAGACGGTTCCTGTCGTGAACAGACACGGAGAGCTGCGATTGTAAATTGCCGGGAGCTCGGTGCAATCGCAAAGAGTCAGAGCTGTACACACGGACACGATTAGTAAAGCACCGCCCCACACCAAAAGCATGGCAGCTACTACCCGGCGGCAGTTTGGCCCGTCTCTGCTTGTCGACATTCGCCCGCCGAAGGTTCTCGCCACGTTGTATGATAACATCGCCATCCAGAAGAAAGCAGACAGCCACGAGAGGTGTGTCAGGGATGCGAACACCACGCAGGCGGGTCCTGCTGCGTTGAGAGCTCCCGCCAAGCTCAACAGGAGGATGGCAACAAAGAGCGCCACCACGAGGTTCATGGTGTACAGGCCGGCCGTGTTTCTGAGCACGGGAATCATAGAGTAGACGATAAAGGTAGCTGCCAATGCCAATATTGACAGGCAACTGCAGATTAGAGAGACGATCCACAAGGCAAACGTATTCGGGTCAGTCCAGTCGACTGGACCACATATGGCAGCACTACCATCCGACAAGAGAACAAAGTCTGCCCCTTCGAACTTAAAACCTGTTGATGAGTGCCTGATGAAGGAGGCACTCCATTCAAATTCGCTCGGATTCAACACGATTAACTCTAGGCAATTCATATCGAGGATCTCGAGACATTCACTTGGCGCTGCATCGTGCTTCGCCGATCCTACGCCAACCTTTTTCCACAAGTAAGTCGAAAATATCTGGAAATTGAGACTGGAGTCATTTCCGTCCATCGTCTGGAAAACGTCTGTGGCTAACAAGGATGCACTTGCGCAGCTGTCGATTCCTGAGAGTACAGCGCCCTCAATCGTGTAAACAGCCACACTCCCGATATTGCAGAGTTGAACGTCTGTGGTGTTCAGTTCAAAAAGTGCGGACAACTTGCTCTCAAGATTTTCAATCAAATCAAAACTCTTTACCAAGATATCAAGTCTGACATCTTTAGGGTTGGTCATCTGTGAATCAAGAACTGCTTGCCAGTGCAAGGCAACCTCTCCAAGACTAATGTTTACGAGAGAGCTACAGTTTTCGTGCAGTATAGTAAAGGGCGAGGAAGGCAGTCCGGGGGCATCAAATGAAATCTGAGTGCATCTGCCGTCTTCGTTAATGACACCTGACGCACAGATAACAGCACGGCACCTGTCCAGGAAAGGATCATAAAGCTCCCCTGGCTGACAGACCGAGTCCTCGCCACCACCCCAGCCGAAGTCGAAGAGGGCTTCTATTGTTGGTGTATCGGCCGATGGGGAACACACCGCAGGGCATTCCTGCCATATGTCATCTTCGCTGCAGAGAATGTTGCAAAGTGGTCCACAATTGGCATTGGGTACTACGTTTAATCCGTTGCACATGCCGCAGTGAGGGTTTTTGTAGTGACTTCCGTTCAGATGAAGAGGAGCAAAGTAGTCCAAGCAAGCAGCTTCAAGAGTTGTATTTGCAAACTGCGGACTACAGGAACTGACAGTGCGTGCGGGACAAGTGCGAGCAGTGCCGAGAGAGTTGTTTCCCGGTGGTTCATAAACATATCTCCCCGTTGGTGTACCGTCAATGGTGACATTGAATCTGGAATCGAATGTAGTAGATCCAGATTGATCGTACTCGTACTCCAAGTTGGCATTCCATTTCTGCAAATGAGCAGGCTCGACGCCGTGACAAATCGCACAGAACACGTTTTTGTACACAGCGCCCTCGCTGTCGTAAACGGGCAAGGACCCGATGACGTCATCATCACTGGCCATCTTCTCACAATTTTCCCTGATGAATGAAACATCCCAGCTCTCGGGGCAGAAACTCACCAAGGCCCAGCCGAAGTATTGGTACCGATATTTGCCTGACTGACCCGGCATCCACACACATGAGTAGTACTGGATGGCCACGCCCTTCATTTTGGCTTCCGTCCAATCAGATGCCGGGTGGCAGTTTGAATGGTAGTCATAGCAACAGTCGTCGAAGAACGCGCATGCGTCATCGCACTTGCATGTTTCTTGTCTTAGTGGCCTCAGTGTATCTCGTCTTCCTTGTTTGCAGTCATAGCCACAGTAGTGAATCTCTCCACACAAAAACGCGGGAATGTCAAACCTTGACGTTTCTGTAGGTGGAAAACAAATTGAAGAAAATTTAATGTATCAGGTCATTCATAACAAACTATTTAACTTATTGTCAATCCTCAGGTGCCATAAAAAGATGTCCTCCATTCAAAATGTGTGGTACCCTTAAAAGTACCACAGGGCCATAATCTGTAAATACATTTTTTTTGCAAATTTAATAATCACGAATAAAGAACTATATTCATTGGTTTACCCCAGAAATTTAAAGGACCAGTTGATGAAACAATTTCCTCAAAATTGTTCACTGACTTGCCAAAAAACCGCTTGAAATGTTCACTCGACATACCTTCTTGGCATTCAACGTAGAGATTTGGTTTTAAAGTACAGTTAGAATCAACTCCAGGCTGCAGCGCGCACTGTGAGAGTTCCGTCTCACTGCCGTCGCATCCCACCGCTGACACCAGGACTCTCGCTGGTATTGCATCAACTTTAGGCTCCGGTCCGAAAAGCACTGACACGCTAGTCAAGAAGCCCAACTGGCGGCAAATCACATCTCTGTCTCGAGAGTCCGGATAGCCACAGATGGCGCCCCACTCGTCAGATGGTCTAAGACGGCCAACCACAAAACCTCCCCCTGAGAAATAAGATTGCGCAAGCTTCAGCTCCATTCCATATCCTGGAAGAGGGGAAAGAGAAACTGGAGAAAAACAAATTGCAAAGTTGTTTTTAATGCTGTCAGTCAACTTAAGTCTGATCAGTAGTTAGTTTATTTCATTACTGCCTGACACATGTCTTCTCGTGTGCAGCGAAGAGAAACAGGTTACTCTGGAAAGTCATTATCAAAAACAAATAATCACTTGGATACCACATAAATGTACGCTGATAGCATACTTTTGAAGGTGTCTATGCAGATTTATGCAGTGTTACCTTCTCTTTAAAAGGATATTAACGTCCTGGAACGCGCAAAATTGGGCTATAATAAAACAAATGCAATATAATTGAAAGTATGTTAGGGGGCAATCAAAAGTAGGATATTACGTCCACACAATCATCCTTTAAAATCTGGGCGTTTTGCCATTCTTACGAGAACGAATTTCGGGGGTCAAAACTATGACTCTCAAAAATCGAGCGCATCTCATTCTGCGGACGTGCAAAAACATGTGTGTTATTGGTGCGGTTTGTATTATGTAACACACTCACAACGTGTACCACACATTAAACTGACACAGCTATACGTATGTACGTATATATGCGAATGCCACAAAAGTCCGCCGCGTCCGATGTAAACAACCGGTTTTTTCCTGGTTTTTTTCGGAAATGGTGATTAAGACATTCGGTTAGTCGCCTTTCAAGCATACCTTTGAACTTGGACAAATAAACAATCCAAATTGTAAACGTTTCGGGGATGTCAGGCCGTAATGCCCCTTTAACTACTTCTGTTAATGAAACCAGTCAAACGGTAGTACATAGCTCCATGGTGGTACTCACCGTTGCACTTTAACCCAGCAAAGCTGGAACATTCTTCAAACAGTGGCTGCTGAACTGGACAGTCCACCAGCTTACTCTCCGTGCCAACGCACTGAACACGCTGAAGGAGAACGTCCATCGAGTATAGCGACGACTCAATAGGCACAGTATAGGGCTTAGAGGCCGCTGTGTCCGGGTATCCAAGATGGCGGCATGCGAGTTGATGCGCATGCGTGGCGAACATCCAAAACCAGAGGTCGCTGCACACGCCGTGCCATTCCGCACTGTTATTGCAGCGCATCTGCAGGACGCCCTCGTCCTCAAGAACGCCGGTTCCGAGACGGAAGTCGAGATCTTTATTGGTAGAATAAAATTAACATAAAGAGAAAAAAAATTGACTTAAAATGTAGCAGGTGCTATGAGTTTACATCCGTTAATGTCCTCGTCTGCTAGCAATAAAAGCTTGGACCAGACAGAAGATAGACTGCGCTGTTCACTGACGATAAGCAAACCGGTTGGAATTTTTCTGTAACCATTACGTACACGTTATCCTAAACCGAATAAAGCACTAAAAAGCTAAATGTAGTAAGGAATCATACAGGAAAAAGGTTAATTGAGTGAGATTTCCGATGTAACTTACCCATGGCGCAGACCACCCATAATGCGTCACTAATACCACAGTGCTGCCCGTCAAAAAGCGTCAAGCTACAGGTAGTACCACCGTGTGATGAGCCCCAGCAAAAATAACCTGCCCAATTCGATGGGGATGTCCTCAACTCGTCATGTGATCCATTGCTTGATCTATTACGTAATCCGAAGGTTTCCGAGTGGCAGAAGAACTTGTAGCCAGCCCGACGGCATATGTCGGCACCGATGCCCGGAAACAAGTCCGAACCAGAGAGGCAAACGGTGTTCCAAGCCTCGTCGACCGAACTGCGAAGTTGAACGACCCCCTCGTTCGGGGAGATTCCTCCAAAGAGCCGGTATGATACCTCTTCATCTGTTTGAAGCGGGTCATCTGGATGTAAATCGATGCGTTATTATTTTGTTTTGTTTCTTCGTGTTTTCTTGTAATGAATATTTCACATTTGAAATAAGACATTTCACAAAGACATTTCACATTTCACAAGCTTGCCTATTGGAGCCGAAAACGAATGTCTTTTTTTTGTCAGTCCGTCGGGGAGTCGGGGAGTCAGTCAGTCAGTCGTGGAGTCGGGGAGTCAGTCACTCACTCACTCACTCCCCCCTCACTCAATCACTCACTCACTCACTCACTCCCCCAGTCAGTCGGTCGGGGAGTCAGTCAGTCAATCAGTCAGTCGGTAAGTCGGTGACGTCGACTACGCAGCCCTACCTAGAATAGTAAGTGTTCTGTTGTCGGTAGAATTAGAGCAGACGACGCCAACGTCTTCATCGTGACTGCAGTCATGGTTGTCCCTGCCCACATGAGGGCAGTCTCCAAGTACCTCCTCGTTCCCAGAGCAGCTGACATCGTCCATGAGAATCGGTCCAGACCCCGGTCCGAACTTGGTGTGCTCTGATGCCACGGAGCTGTAGCCCAGTTGACGACAGACGACTAACGCGTCTTCGATGCTCCAGTAGTCGTCACAGACGGTACCCCATTCGCCGCTTAAGTAGACTTTTACCCGTCCTTCCGAAGACGAGTTTCCTCCGACCAGTCGGACACTACCATCTGTAACTTGAATGAAATATAATTTCTTATTTTTAATTTTGTTTTTAAGCCAAGTGTATAGTTTCAGATGTGATGAATCCAAACGAGCCAGCATAATGACAGTCAATACATTTCGCGAGGCTATATAAGTTTCAGCCAGGAAACAAATGTACTTCCGGTTTTTATAACTAATTTCTTTGTTGGCAAATTTCTTAATGACTTAAGGGTAGAGTGCGTGGACACCATTTGTTATTGGTGTATTTTTTCGTTTGAAGCATTAAAAGTGCTCAAAATATCTAATGACGGATTTTTAATAACTAACCTGATGAAGGGCTAGCTCTGAGCCTGCTGTATATTTCGAGAAAACACACTATATATATCGATCTTGATTTCGATTCAAAAGTTGCTGAGTCGTAACACAATCCCGAAATCAGTATTCGGGACATGATTCTCATTCAGCCGATTGTTGCTACGCGATGTAACACACTGATCTCGCTTATAATAGCAACTGAGCGCATGCGTGTGCGTCGCGTCAACGCGGCTGTACCCATTCACGGATTCACCCAATTGCAAACCAACAGCCAACGGAAATTTCCCAAAATTTGTCACTCGACACATCTTTGGGAATGACCTTCTTATATTGCTTTCTTCAAAGTGACAGCATGCCAGAAGAATAGTTTCACAGGGAGTTTAGTGTCAGTACTATCTTAAGTTTAAACCAACTTAAAGCCATATAACAACAATTTGGTCGATTACGTTTTGAAAAAAAAAATGCAAATGGTCTGTCTCTACCTTTAAAAAACCTTTGTATGACGACTAGCGTGACGCGAAGCAGAGAAGACATTAAACGCAACGTAAGGTTATCCAAAAACAGAACTATGAAATAATTGTAAAAGAAATGCTTATGAAGATTAACGGTTTAAAGACAGAAAATGCACTAATAATAATGCAAAGTAGTCACTGTAATGATTAAATACAATAAGTTACAGCATGCGAGACGTCTTGTTACTTACCAGCTTGCGCTGTGGTAGCAGAACCACAGCAAACTAAGAGAAACACACACATCACGAAAGAACTGTTTGCTCTTTTTGCCAGCATCATTCTGGGATAGGACTCATAAAAACAAGCACCGACACAGTACGATCTTCGTTGATGATTGGGACAGAATTTGAGCGATATCCGTGTTTCAAGTCGTGGCCCATGCCCAGCAAGCTCACTGCCGTTTTATACACAAATGGCTTTAATTCTATACCTACGTGTCAGCCAACCATAGGTGAGAATTAAGATACGCGGGTAGTGACTGATTTATTGTGGGATAATCTTTAATGATGCGGGTTTGTGTTTTACAATATTCCCGCTAAGTGCACTGCATGGAGTCACTATCTGTCACGCTTGTCGGATTCGGTCCAATGACGAGTTCATTACGTACTTGTCGCTGAAATTGGATCGGATTTGCCATTTATTGTCCTGTCCATTATAGACACTTTTCCGCAAGGGAAGTCTAAATTCAGTCCAGCTTATAGGCTGTTTTCGTGGAATGGACGGAGAACGCACACAATGGACGGAGAACAAACACAATCTGAGACAAGCAAAAATTAACGTGCAAAATTCCATATAGGCTAATAACTCGCAAACAGAATAGTTCAACAATATTGCAAGGGAAAACGTGGGAAAGCAATTATATTTGCGAGAACATGTTTGTATTAAAACAAGGTTTGAATTTTAAAAGTTAACAGATTTTTCCCTATAGGAACAAATATGACATGTAATGAATGCATGTGTTCACTCCCACCAATGCAATCGAATGGTACCAGGCTTTTTAAACATAGGCACTTGACACAAAGTCGTAAAACAACAGACAAAGTCTCTCTCGTCTTTTCGAGGTCGAAACAACAGTTTAAGGATACTTATTAAAACATAAGACAATGAAACAGTTGTATTTCAATAAAACAAATAATAAAATAAATGAAAACACTTTTAAAATTATTGATGTGCATGTATTTTCCCTCTAAAATCCATTGTAATGACTAAGACATTAGATATTACATACAGAGTGAGTAAAAAAAAAAACCGAAACCCAAATGTTGGGAGCATTGATTTAGTGAAGTTCTGCATGTAGCACTTTCAAAATCAAGTATATGTAAGCCCAATTCATAAGCTATACTTTAGTACAAGAATCATTCAAATCACTCATGTACTTTTCAAGTTACGGAATTTTAAACGCAACCACCGTTTTAAGGTTCTGTCCACGGATCACCAAAAAAGGTGTGCGTTCTTTCAGCAAAACGAAAACAATTCACACACACCCCTATGTGATCTGTTTTCGTTTTGCTGAAAGAACATTGGACTGTTTTGCGATCCGTGGACAGAACCTTAAAACGGTGGTTGTGTTTAAAATTCCGTAACTTGAAAATTACATAAGTGATTTGAATGATACTTGTACTGAAAGAAAGCTTATTCTAGATTTTGAAAATATAACATGCAGAACTCCCCTGAAACAATGGTCCCAACATTTGGGTTTCGTTTTTTTTTTTACGCATCCTGTACATTGTCAGTTTTGTATATTTTAATATCTCAATTTCACAGTGTTGCCTTACCTGATCGTCTACTGTTTATTCCATGTCTATATGATTTATTGTCACATGATATTGCGATGCAGTTTTTTTTCTGGTAATGTTTAATATATCAATGTCATAGTATTGCCTCACCTGATCTGCTTACTCAATAGTTCCTAATTAACTCTAGTTCCTTCACATCTGTTCATCTATTTTATTTGTTGCTTTTTAATGACAGTTGATGCCATAGATCATACGTTATTTATGTTCTGAGCAGTTTTCTAGTGCAATATTTTTTGTCGAGTATTCCGGGGGAGTTTTTTTGGGGTCAGTTTTTTCTGGTACTTCTTAATATTTTAATGTTAATAATTTTTTTATGGGATTACTATTTTGTCCAGTTTCTGTAAATCATGCTCTATTCAGCCCTTAGCTGCGAGTCGTGATTGATAACGAATGAAATATTGTTCACAATCGAAAAACTAAATCTGTACAACAGCTCTTTATAACGATATCCTTACACTTATCCCCTAAGACAGTGCTAGCTTTTTATAATGCCCGCTATATACAAGCCATTGGCAGGCCATTATTGCATCGTGGCAGAGCCGACCCCTGGTCGAGCTCGTTATATACATACAAATGAGCTAATAACGAACAGCTACTGCGTGGTGCAATACATCAAAATAATTATGATATGGTAAAACACACCCAGCCACCGTACTCACACAAATTATTATCAGGAGGAATGGTTTACATTACGGAGACATCCCCATAGATAGGTGCACAAAAAATCCGGACACTTGAACCCTAACCTAAACCTTATTACCAATACTCTCACCAAACTTAGTATCACGCGGAATCGATTTAGGCTGTTTGAGACGATAATTTATTCAGAGAAATAGGATTTGAAACATTCGGGAGACGTTCGGACATCTCCCTAATCTACCATGTTTCCGTAAGGTACAACTTTTCAGCAAAACGTGTCCGCTTCCCTAAAATGGGTCATTTACGAGAATTGGTCTCACCTACTATAGATTTAAATTATGTTGTTAAAGCCGAATGTGAAACAATCTGATCTATAACCTCCGACGGCTTTGGCCACAAGTTTTCACGTTATGGTGTATTTTCGTTATTACATATATGGTGATTGCAAGATTTTCAGATTAAGTTCAGGTTTTTCTCATATTCCGACTAATAGTGCACGAGTCCCACAGAATCTAAAAGACTTAAAAATATACACATCAGTTAAAAGAAAGATTTATTAATGCTTTACATACAATTCTTGTTCATTATTATAATATTGAGAACCAATATTGAAGTAAATGATTTTTTTTGTCTTATCTTACGCCCGTTAGTACTTTTTTAATACCACAAATACCTTTAATGATACACTTTTTACAAACAACAGCCTCATCAACATGACAGGCCTGTCAGCCGCCTTCACATCGGGGTACAGTCTCTCAATTACAACTTAGTGTTTTCTTCGAGCACAGCAGGTGCACCAACAGAATTGACTGTCGGTGGAACATTAGTCTCCTGGGTGTTTTGTTTGGGATCAGACGCTGCTTCCTTCTTCGGTTTAACCTTTCGTCCTCTCAGTTGCTCCTTCCACAAGCCCCGTACCCTCTTGTTGAGGCAGAAGGCGATGAAGATGAAGACTCCCTGGAGGTAGTTGAGGAGGATGTAGATGTAGGAGAAGACGAGGATGCCCGTCACTGACTGAGACACGAAGCCAAAGATCCAGGTCACGCCCATAAGGACGCACAACTGGTCAAAAAAGGTAACAATGCACCTCCATTAAACCTCAAAAAAGTTGACATGCATGGTAAAACATTGAATAGAGTTCTGGTGACTTAATTTAACCCTTGTGTGGTTGCAAAAATGTGTCTAAAATTTAAGAAATTGTGCCCCTTATCGACGTTGCGCTACTTGAAAGGGCCTAAAACGCACCGTATCTGTTCCATTTGATTGGACCAATGGTATTCAGCTATTAAACTCTGAAATTACGAGCTTACCTTGGAATAGATGGCGAGCTCCTCTCTGGCGCCCTCTACTCTACCCTGCTTCCTGACGATCTGCGTAGCGCGCCGCCTACGTCGGAGTCTGACCAGCGTGAGGAGATACAACCCAGTGCTGACAATCAGACTGATGCCGACCGGTACCACGAAGACGACCACGCGAACGGTGCTGTTAGTAATCCAGCACACCGCGCCCTCTGCGTAGATCTTGGGAAGGCTGGTGCAGTTGCAGAACTGGAGGATGAGGCAAATGCCGACTACGATAAGGGGTAAGCCCCAGCCGAGGGCCATGTACGCCACCAACGTTCGACTCACACCTGAAGGTTTCTCCCGCCTCTGCACAAGAGATGTTAGTGTGCGCTCTACGTTCACAGCGACTATCGCCATGAAGGCAAATGCGGCCAACCAAGCAAAGTGCGCCACCATTGCACCAATAACACAAGCAGTGGGGTTGGGACTCAGGTAGCCAGGTATCATGAACATCAGGATGGCTGTGAACAGCGCCACCACGAGATTCATGACCAATTTTCCCGCTAGCTTTCGAAGCTCTGAGAAGACGCAGTAGGTCAGGAAAGTGGCGGCCAGAGCGAACAAGGACAGACAGCTCCCGATGAAGGAAATAACCCGACGGATGTACGGCTCTAAGCCCTCTGGCACCGGTCCTAGGAAGGAACAAACGACCGCTGTGCCGTCGGGAAAGAGAACATACTCCTCAGGGGATAGACTTGAACCGGTTGCGGCAATCTGGATAATGTCATTCGAAAGGTTCTTGTATTCAGAGTTGTCCAAAGACAGGAGAGACGAGCAGTTCAGGTCCAACATTTCAAGACAGAGAGGGAATGCTTTAGTTTTCGAGTACTGCAGACCAATGTTTTGATATTCTAAAGCATTTAACAGTGTGCCATTGTACCTTGGGGCGAGGTCGCTCACAACCACTGTGCTCTTGGAACAGAGATTGGAACTGTTGAAGGTAAACGGCAAGAGGACGGAGAGTTTTGAGATGTTACAAACTAATGCCGAATCGACGAGAGAGGCATTTTGCATGGCCTCGGCTGCTCCGTCAAAGGCTGCTTCAAAGTCAAAGACTTCAGCTGGGAAATTCAGTACGAGAAACACGGATGTAGTGGCAGGACTCTGGCCAGATGCTCCAGGAAGATTTTCAGCGGCAAATAGATTTCTCCCGAGGCTAACTCCTAGGGTTTCTGACATACACTCAGCTTCACTGGAATTGATGGAGGGTTGAGAGTAAAAGGTTGTTATCACACATTCATTGCTGACGAGGTGATACCCGGCAGTACATGTCAACACGCGGCACCTCCCTAAGAAAGGATCGTAGATCTGCCCCACTGAGCAAGACGTCCCAGTGATGGAATTGGAGGAGGTGAAATCAAAGAGAACCTCAATCGTGAAGATGTTGTCGATAGGTCCACAGATGGACGAACAATTTGTCCAGTGCGTAGGTTCACAGGAATGCGAGCATACCTGATCGCTACACGAATTATCCGCTACCACCTTCAAACCATTGCACATCACGCAGTGGGGGTTGCGATACCTCGTATCACCATCTCCGATTTTGATAGGGGCGTAGTAGGCCTTGCATCCTTTCTCTATATTGGTCCCGTGGAACTCCTCCAAGCAGGTGTCTACTAGATGGGCGGGGCACTCTCGTATGAACGGGTGTCCCTGGGGTGGCTTTATGACCCAGCCTTTAGCCGGTAAAAACATGCCAAGAGACGGGTAGTACATAATTGATGAACTTCTCGTATTCCCAGCGGCTGATATCTCCCACGGTGTCAACCTATCATACGACCTCCCGTTGCAAATGGCGCAGTAGATATTCTTAAAATCCACGCCCTGGTCGTCGTGAAGCAGCAGCGAGCCAATCACATCGCCAGCATCCACAGGCCTCTCGCATAAATCACGTGTTGGCTCGTCCGTCCATGTGATTGGACAACGGTCGACGGCCACGTAACCAATGTGAGTGAACTGGCTGCCGGTTACCCATACGCAGCCAAAGTCGTCAATGGTAAACTCCCCTCGCTCTAGTCTCGGAGGCTCAGGACCGCACATGTCCGCGTAGTCGTAACAACAATCGTCGAAGAGGCTACAAGCATCGTCGCATTGGCAGTAGTGAAATATGTAATCATGTGAGCCATTGATTGGGTGTTGTTGCTGACACTCATCACCACAGAGCTGCTTGGAACCACAAAGGTACCCCGTGTTGTTATACCCTTCAACACCTGTAGCCAGACCAAAAAATAACTTCAAATCACTTTCATACACACCACATGGCGTTTCAAAAACAATCTTATTGTACATGTACATTGATGTTGATATTCGACGAAATCGGCATACAAGTCAAGATGTGAAAATGCATGTGACTTTGTATCGATAAAATTATTGTTACCCTCCGTCTAAACTTTCGCAGGAAAGATGTCTACCAAAACGTTTCAAACTGTTTGCATTCTATGAGGTTGTGACTCAACTGAGTGAGATATGGTGAAACCATCACCTCTATGATCCGTTTCCCTTTATTCCCGACACCTCTTACCTATAAGCCCGAGGTGACTTAAATCTTCTGAAGTGCAACTTCCATACGACAATAGCAAAAACTGGTACCCAACACCGCTAGAACAACATGCACAGAGCAAGTGGAATGAACTTAATTAGTTTGCCAAATCTGTTGAAAGGGTCTAAATATGAAAACATGTGGTCAGCACCGTGACGCCTACCGGTAAAGCACTCAAGAGCAACGTAAGAAGTGCACTCCCGCAAAGCGTAATGCAGGCACTCGGTCAGACTCGTCTCGTCCCCTATGCACCCGTAGTCGACGAACAGTGTAAAGTTTGGTCGGTGTTGCGGCGCCAGTCTATCCGGAGTTACAAAGTCGTTACTCAGTGCCTCATCAGCGTGGCCCAGCTCCCGGCACACCACTTTACCCTCCTTGAGAGGAAAGAAGAGGTTGCCGCACAGGGCGCTCCACTCGTTATCCGGGCCGCAGCGGGCTTGCACTAAACGGTTGCCTGGTCCGAATGTTTCGTCGACCTGCCGGAGCTCGAAATCTGGCATGCCTACATAAACAAATACAACGATTGAACACTTATTTGGGGTCAGACATCACTTTCAGTCACTTTCACACCAGTCAACACACGCACACACCATGACACACTCTCACAGACATGTTTTACTACACTCCCAAGGACAATGCATTGTGTTTTTCTTTGTCCCTGTAAAATATCCCGTAGACTAAGCACACAAACCTACTACGGATGAACGTTTTAAATAAAGCCCAACTCCCGAGGACTAAAAAGATGTGTTATTCTCCCTCAGTCCTCGGGGGTCATGTAGAACAAGTACACAACTTGATTCCTGAAGAAGAGCAGTTTTACTGTCTCGAAACGTAGATTAAATCCACAACTCCAGCCAGCAATGCAATGGTTCTGTGTCATTCTCCCTTTCTTGCCATAATAGAACAATATAGAATCCTTGCTTGGAGCGCCCTCGAAGAGGAAATGTGACAGGTCTTTGCTCGTCTATAATATGCATGAATAGAAACTTTACTTTCAGCGTTACTGAATTTACATAAAGCCTCAGCGAAGGCGCACCATGCAGTGGGTATATTGATATCATTGCTATAAAGAAGGTAAAACACGAACCAATGCCTTATTCTCACATCAGCAATTCAATGCTATACGTCATAACGTACAGAATACTAGATGAATACCATTATAGCCTCGATCTTTATATGGCACCTACACTGACCTAGCTTTGGAACCTTAGGCCTAAGGATCTGTCTATTGGCCTACAGCTGGTTGTCCTAAATGATACTTTGAATACAGACATTAAGGACCATTCTATATAGGTGCATGCACCTATAGAATCACATAGGGTAACCTATTATATTGGCGTATTGTTTTTAAGGATATGTACCCAAAATTGGATTAAGGTAACTTTTTTTGTATTACTATTAATCTTCCTTATTGTTAACACGTGCATTACTTTTAAAGTTAAGTATTATTGTGTAAAAAAGGCATCAGCCCTTCCTTAAACTTACCTGGGTATCCACAGGTCAGCCACAGGTCATTGTCATGGGAACATGTCGGGCCGGCGCCAGGACCAAAAAGCTCAAACAGTTGCAGAGAACACCCTCCATCAAAGATACTGTCCTGGTTGTAAAAACAACCGCTAACGGACCATACTTGACTGGTCACGTTTACCAGCGAAGACTCGTTAGTGCGTCGGGCTCCCGCCTCGCTGTAGCCGCACGCGAACGAGTAGCCGGCTCGCCGGCACATCTGCCAGGCCGCCGCGGTAGGCAGGTCGGTGTAACACATGACGATCCAGGGCGAGTCGGGAGACCAGCGAATGAGCACTCGTCCCTCGTTGGGGGCGCTGCCGTCAATGAGTTGGATGTCCACATCCTCGATCTGTCCGAAATTAGCTGCCAATAAAAACATTAATCGCGCTCTCATTAGTCGTGGGTATAAAGATGCAAAACAAAGTGCTCAGTTCCGTAAACACAAGAATAAAAGCTAGAATCTACATTTAAGAATATCATGGTCATATGCATTGCCAAACATGAAGAACGCATAGGCCTACCCTGGCTATTAAAAATTATGCTAAATTATCTCAACACTAAACTTCCGTTACTTCATTGTAATAGGTTGCCACGAACAAAATTAAAAAGCAAACGTTTCGAACTGTGAACGTGTAGGTCTGTATCTCAGCATGCATGAACTGAATCAGAACAACAGTTCACAATGCATGACAGTACGCCCTCAAGCGTTTGTTTCAAGGACGCCACATGTGAATTGTACATGTTTTAATTGTATTGTTATTCGTTGTTGGCATGTGGTACAACCGCGGATCCTCTACACATAATGAAAAACTCGTATGTAAATGAAGTCATTGTTGTTAACAAAAATTAACTCCACGTTCAATTCTGATGGACAGTTGTGGTGCCAAAAATGGCCACTGTGGGAATAACTTGTTAAGCAATTGTATTCATAATTACTGAAAACAATATTAGTGTCCTAGTTTGAAGTTTAATATTAACGGTGGCTGCTGCACGACTTTTAATATTAACGGGTCTTTATGTTTACGAATGCCCTTTACAAGCACTTCAGAAGTTGACTTCAAACATGCTGGTATACAATAAACCCATTTCATCTTTCAAGGGGATCAACATTCTCGAAACTGCCATCTCTGATTAAAATTTCCTCAGAGGTCAACTTGAGCTAGATTGCATTTGGTACCTGCAACTATTTATTCCTCAAACGATTCGAATCAATGACGAGCGCCAAAAGGCAATTAAATTTCACACAGCGCCAACTAAATCGCAATAAAAATTGTAAACTACTGAAGTACAAAATAATTTACAAGAAAAAAATAACACATAATTATGCAAATCTAAATCCAACAACTTTTTCTGTAGACCACGCATGCTACATCTGAAAAGTCAAGTGACAGTTTATCCGTTTTGAGCGCATGTTGGGCATGGCGCATGTGGGATGCCATCAAGCAAATTATTCACACAGAGAGGTAACGTCATCTTGACGAGGTCTTTAAAATATAGCGTTTAAAAAGATTACAATTTTTTTGTTTGTTAATTAACTTGATCAGCAAAATTACAGCCACGAGAACACCGACCTTGCGTTTCCACGATGTCAGGTCTCAGAAGAAGCACCAAGAAGGACGATAAGAGCACCTGTAATTTTGCCATCGGAACCTGCGCTTGTTTACTCATGAAGAATCTGTCGACGAGATTTTCCTTTACCGCTGCATCTTGGGATTTGACAGTCCCTAGATCTTCAGATTTTCTGGAACAAGAAACAAAGACGGCGTTGAATGTCTTCAAAAATGGGATTGGATGGAACACAAGTTGTGGCAAGTGCTTGAGATATTATAAAGCCTTTTTGAATACATTTCGACATAAACATTAAATTAAAGATTTATTTTATTAATAAACAGTGTAACCGTCTTTCGTGCATGAACATGACAGACGAACTAACCTTTTTTGTAAATGAAATTTTGATATTTTCGTTTCACTGCTCCAAAACTCCTTTAATTGCAAATGTCTCTGTAAGGACCTATAGTGGGGCGCTAGTAGTCAGATAAAGATGGGCCGTGTTGATTAGACATTTGTTACGGGCTGGATGGATGGTCTATGCACGGAACCGTGATTGCAATGTGCAGATAATGGTGGGATGCTCGACAGCGTTACGGGGTAATCCTGTACGATAGCACTGCCCGGGAGTCAGTGGGGTACAAAGAGGGCATTTAGCTGCCACTCTCGTGGACCAGCAAATTATGGCAATCGAGAACGCTGACTGAAATGCTTTGTTCTTATCATTGTCAATATTTCTAGAGCTTTTTCAATGTTAATGCAGCCAATCCAAGTGAGCGATCCTAGCCTGATCGAAAGCTCATCGGATCCCACGAAATGAGTCTTAAGAACCAATAGAATGGGCAATCTCTTCTCTTCATTTTGGTGTATCACTCACTTATCTCAATGCATACAGATATGTAGATATTGTATGGGTAAAAATGTTGACTGTTTCTATTGATTTCCATTACTCAACATGTGGGTCAGTTTGGCGTACCTAGCGGTACTTTAATTCCTCGCCTCCCGCAGCTGTGACCCAGGTTCGAATCCTGCCTGGGCCAATATGAGAATTGGGTTCAGTCCCTGCCTGATTCCGTGGGTTTTCCCCAGAATAGTCATCTGGGGTTTACCTTCCACATCTAAAACTGTACTTTCTGCACCATGTCTTCTCTAGTTTCTGGTCCCATGGTGGCACACCAGTAGATTCTGAATAAATAAAATAAAAGCACTTAAAGGATTATCGCTAGCTGTGTATCACATTGTTCGGATGGAGCTCAACTAAGCAGTTAACAGCTACAATTATGCCCTATACCCAAAGCCAAAGACAGGAGTGGAGATGTACTTTGCAATGGATAGCAGTGCGATGCACCTTGTTCTAATGGCAGGAAATGGCGGCTGATCAGTCATATTCTACACGCTCATCCTTGTCTGTTTGCTAAAAGCCTCTGCGGAAGTACAATAACCGGAAGCACATCCATTTGTGACCCGGGGCTCCGCAAACAAGTGAACGGTTCAATTTTAATGGAGTCGAGACTTTAGGTTGTGGAAAATGTGTAGATCACTCTAAAAAAACCCATAAAAACAACAAATGATTTTGACTTTGTATGCCCAAAAATGAACCTTCAAAAGGAACCAATTACACGAAAATTGAAGTGGTTGGTTTCAGATGGGATAAAATCGGTTGATAAAATACCCTTTGAAGCAAAACAAAATAAATCATTTCTCTTCTGGACTAACTTGATTGTTCCAAACATAAATACGTCTTTGACGTTTTTGTGACATGTTTACCCGACCGTAGGTGCACAAGTCAATGTGGTCTGAGTGCATCTAATACGAAAACAAGAGAGACACCATAAAACAAAATCAACCAAACAACTGTCAAGACACTCGGCATGTAGAAAGTCCGCTATTGTTATTTTTTTCATTCATATTCATAACTCCCCTCTGTACTTTCTGAAGTGGTTCGTGTATTTTTAAGAGCTGGGTTATCAGAAGTGTGGAGGCCGTTCGAGCAAGGTTGACCATCCGGTTGACAGTAGCCGTGACGCGCGCGTCATTGGTGAGGTCATTCAAGAGTACACTATTTAGCTGTGGCATTCACAGCGCACCGGTATATTCTGGTATAAACGTGCTGTGTTCGTCCTTGGAGTTGGGTTGCGCCGGAAAGAAATTCTTCCGTTCACGTTTGATTTTGTTTCTAGGTGACTGGTTCAAATCAATAACAGGGATTGTTTCGATTTCACGGACCAGTTTGGTCAGCAGTGCTCCACACAATTGCGTGGGAAGATAGTGCATACCTGAATTGTCAGAGGAATATTATCACATGTATTATTAGCTGTACAGTGTCATCACGTTCGATAGCGTTCTGATACTCTTTCAAACTCCACAACATTATTAAAGGTAAGTTCAATTGCTTCGTATATTAACTCTTGTAAAAACAGTAAAAAGTGTACTCGTAATTGTTATCATTTTAGTTAAGTTATGATCTTCCTAAACGTCCATGGGGTTTGAAGATTGTCTGTTGTGTGTGGCTACATGATATAACCGATAGTTATTCTGGCGAGTTTTATCACCATTTACCGACATAAGTTCGTTTGAGCGGACTCATGATCCCTGGCTACCCGGCTATTGCCTGGTTGTGAAGAAAAAAATAGCGAAATTTTGTTTAAATAGTCCAAACATAATGATGCCACACTTTGTTTAACTATTGTCTTTCTATGGGGTTTTGACATCATTCTGTCGGAGGGAAGAGAAATATATTACTTCTTTTTGGAAGAATAGATTCATTGTGCTACCTTTTGAGGCGGAATTGGCAAAAACGGCAAGATGTAAAATGTCTCTCAGTATATTTAGTTCTGATAGGAATTGTCCTGCTTAGTCCTGCTTAGTTCAAAATAACTAGCCCTGCTTATTATCTACTTTCGCCAAGTAGGTTGGAAGGCAGTGACACTTAGTTCTCGCAATTGTCTTCACTGAGGCTGAGTGAGATTAGTTTGGTCTCAACGTTTCGACGTACCTGCTCATATCATCGTCAGGAGACTTCCAACCTACTTAGCGAAAGTAGATAATAAGCAGGACAAGTTGTTTTTGAACTAAGCAGGGGCAGTTGTTATCAGCACTAAATCTACGACAGTACTCCACCATGCAAAGCCTGAAATCATATATAAGACATAATTTACGCACACATCACTACGGCATCCAGTCAAGATAGTTTTCCCTTCACGTGGGCGAAGAAAGCGTTTGATGCAGTTTTAGTCTAGTTCCTGTCCTGTTGATCAACTGATAAGCCGTCCTTTTGATGGGCGGGACTAACTGCTGCCCCGTACATTTCGCACCAACTGGATAAGCAACACTATAGCCGTTTAGCTAGTTTATTACATTGTATATAAAACTGGTTATAGTCGAGTTGGTTGACAGGGTATCTATAATACAGGACTTACCATGTAAAAACGTAACCTCCTGTCGTCTCAATGAGATCACATCTCAAGACACTAATTAAGACGGAAGTAATGGATATACTTTATGGGAGATTCGCAGATTAACCAAGAAACTATGACTTGAAAGGCCGACTACTTCGTAATGCCACATCTAAGTCTTCCACCAGAACTAAAAACATACTGCTGGTTCCTATACGTAGCTGGGATTTTATTCTCGTTTATCGCTGCCAAAAACTTGCCCTTGAACTAATACATTTTATATGTCGTCTTCCAAAGATTTGCTGGTATTGTCCAAGTGGAAAAATACACTGATTTATGTGACCTACAATCCTTTTTGACCAGGTTCCCGACAAGAAGAGTAATAAAAGCAGATTCACGACAAACATGCCTGGATAATTCCACTAAAAATGAGCCAAGAAATCCGCACCAACAATCTCTCATATTGTCCCATTTGGTTCTGAGTTCTTAGTTTTTAACAAATAGTCAACGACGACTTCCCAGTATTCTTGGGTGTTCGTTTGAAAGTAACTTTCGTTTTGGTAAAAAAAACAAAAAACAAAAACAAATGTTTAATTTTGTACAAATTAACTCAGTATGTCAGGGAAAGTGCCCCAAGCCCAAGTATCCTTGTTGCTAGGAGATCGCTTTGTTTGAGCTTCTTCATACCTTTTAGTATCAAATGAATAACTAAATCATTTTAAGTCTCCTTTGTGTTATTAAAAGGTCGTGACGTCATTTCAGGATGAGGCTACGAGGGTGGAATATTGTCCTCATTGTCCTGAGTCTAGTGAGCCCAAGTTGCCTCCAGTTCACGTTAACCACAGGTACGTTCTAATTGAGAAATATGTCCAGTGTCCACTAACGCTCGTGTGTACTTTTAATCAACTTTTCAAAATATCTCGCGTCAATTTAGTAGAGGGCTATCTTTTGAAGAACATTGAATTTAATTCGATATACTTCAACTTCATCCCATATTTGGATATATTATGTAGTCCTCACTCAAAGAATGGCACCCACCGCTACATTTTTATCCTCTTTTTCCAGAACATTGAAAAATGTTTGAGGTCAACCATAGATCGGAAAACATTGATAATTGTGTTAAAGACCCAAAGCCCTTGTAAATTGATTCTTTGTGTTATTTATTTTCTTTATGATTTCCTTTGCTGAACATCAAGGCCGGATATCTACAGACGACTTCCGCTTGGTGGGTGGCAGCGCCCTCAACGAGGGCCGCCTTCAGATCAGACATCCACCCGACGGTAGCTGGTCCACCGTGTGCACAGACGTCAGCGCCATCGACGACGCCATTGCGTTTGCACTATGTGCCCGGGTAGGTTACCAGCTAGCCTGCGAGTACGGAGCTGGTGACGAGTTCGGCAGCGCCGGCCCAATTGCAGATCTGGGCCCGATTGAGGAAGTGATCTTTGGGGCTTGCGAACTTGGTCCCACGTTCACAGAGCAGGACTGTGAAATTACCGGGTTCCCATCTGGGAGCGACGCCTGTCCTCCGAACAGCCAGGACTTTTGGCTTCACTGTGCCTCAGGTAAAGATGAAACGAATAGTAAATTTGCTGCCACCTTGCGTTCTAAAATGTGTAGTCGAGAGGACAATATTTTGTGATGGCACAACATTTTGAAAGTCAAAATTATCAAACTAGAATGGTTGGTTGATCGTTGAATGTATGACAATTTTATTACAATACACTTTGAGTAAGACATAAATTATCATCTTTATAGCGCCCTCAACTGTGTGCACCTAATATTCAAATCTTGATTATTCGCAATATCAGAACAATATTTTATCAGACGTTATTCATTTTCATTCTGTACCCTTTGCTCCACAGGTCCGGGTGATCTTGAGCTCCGCTTGGCCTACCCCTTGTCCCACTACACGGGGACGGTCCAAGCTCGGTGCCGGGGCACCCAGGCCTGGTCCTCTGTCTGCTCGACCAGCTCATGGGACCGTCGTGACGCGGAGGTTGCGTGCCGCCATCTTGGATTCTCTTTTGTTGCCGAGCGTGCCGTCACCAGTTCTTCGAAACTGGACCCAGCCTCGATCCCGGCACGCGTCGTCATTTCGGAGTTTGGTTGCGCTGGGAACGAGACTGATCTTCTGCAGTGTGGGCTGGGACTGACGAGATCGTCGTGCACAGTTTTTCCCCGATTGTCTTGCGGAATTGGTACAAATGTTGTCTTTTTATTCTAATAACGAACCTGATTTATTGTAAATGGGGTGAATGAATGTCCTTATGTCCCAATCTTTCAGATCTACCTTCAGAATTATTGTTCATATCTTCTGGGTAAGGTTTCTAATGAGACAAGTTGTTTTTATTGCTCAGACTCTCTACGCGTAATACGTTTTCATTTTGTGTTAAAGTTGTACTGTTGATTTTCGAGAATATTGAAGCTATCTGAGGATTGAAGTTATGTTTTTATTCCTTTTCCGGCAGAAACCACCAAATATGGACCCGACGTGGGCCTTTGTGGTAACCGCCACCTTTGTGGCCCGAATTGTACCCAACAGCGCGACACTACCAACTTCCCGAGAAGTAACTGCCATTGTGACGACGCATGTGTCGTCTTCGGTGACTGTTGCTATGACTACCAGGCGAACTGTAACCCCGAGTCACGTGATCCACCGACGTCCCTGAACGGGCTTCCTATTGGTTGGTATGACTGCGTGGACGTGCCGGGGTTCGATACCACTTTCGATGGGTATTACTTAGTGCAGATCTGCCCCGATTCTTGGTATGGGAGCGAGGTGCGAGAATTGTGTGAGCTACCAGCGAATGACTCGGATGTGTTTCGGTCCATCCCAGTCTATAACAACGCTACCTTTGCTCAGTACAAGAACATCTACTGTGCGCTGTGCCACGGCGAGTCACATGAAGAGGTTATATCTTGGACCGTGGAAGCGCGCTATTCAAGGCATGGAGCAGGTGCACCGTTTCTTCCCAACTTTGGCTTAGGACCGCCGGGCTTGGGCGGTGTTTACACCGGTAAATTTGTGGTCAGTACGCCGGAGCTGCCGGGGGTAGACCTCCGGAGATGCTCGGTTCCCGCCATCGACACGTGTCTTGAGGAATACCGGGGGAGTGAGACCGAGAGAGGGTGTAAGGAGTTCGCAGCATCCGTGATGTACCGACCCTCGGCCTTCTCAGGATCCATAACCAATTACCGGAATGCCTACTGCAGCAGGTGCAACAATCTGGCTCTGACTTTGGGTGACTCTTGCGATTATGATTACTGCGAAGACGTGTGTGGGGAGGGTCCCTGGTCACGATGCAATAGAAGGTGCGCCTCGCCTGAGGGATTTCTCACCATCGATGTCTTGTTCAACTTCAGGAGCGAGGGCAGCTCAATGACAGGCACGGTCTCCTGTGCGACGGGGGAAGTGTACGATCCGTTCCTCGGCAGTTGCCGGCTCTTGTCCTGCTCCCCTGGCTACGAGGTCAAAGGTGGCGAGTGCGTCAAGATTGTAGCACCACCTACAATCAAACCGGACCAGCCAGACGTTGGCGGCGCTTTTGCGTATAACCCAAATAACACGGTCAACGTGGAGCTGGTGGATTGTCTGAGGTCGCTGTTTGGTCAGAAATCACAGAGCATCGTCTACTGGGATGCAACTGTGGACAATTCCTCGCTGACACGCACGGTTAACCTTCTCGCGGGAAACGAAACAGCGGTGGATGATCTGAACAGCGCCCTCAGTCGCCTTGCAAACAGTAGTTGGTGTAACGTGACCCAGGTGGCGTTTTTCCTCGAGTTTATGAGTGTCCTTCCGGTGGCCTACTGCTTGGAGTTCACTGCAACTGGACTCAGCCTGTTTGAAGGTTATTTCGGTTCAGATAACACTACAAAGGTCACTCGCGTGTCACAGTTTGACTACGATACTTCCGTTGGCGTCTACAACCTCTCTGCAATCGACATTGTGTGTCTAGGAAGCAACCTGACCTGCCCTTCAATTGTAACACTGACCTCAACAGATATTTCAATGTTTGAAAACGGGAATGAAACAGTCGTAGTATACATGCATTCTGGGCTTGTGTTGCCAGTGGGATCGTACGTCATTCTTGCCGATGGGAGCGTGGTTGTGTGTTCCGATGTTGTGATTGTAACCCCAACCCCTGGACCACCGACTGCAACAGAACTGGCGTACCGCTACCTCTACCTCGTTCTCACGATTCTGTCGCTTATGGCGCTCTTAGTGACGTTCGTGGTGTACACCTTACTTCCCGCACTGCGAAACTTGGCCGGCCTGTGCATCATGAACTTCGTGGTGGCGCTCTTCCTGGCCAATCTCCTCCTGCTGTTGAATGGGTTCTTTGTCGAGGTGCCCGCACTGTGTCTGGTTGCCGCCCCCCTCATCCACCTCACCTGGCTTGCGGCGTTCATGTGGATGCTGACGTTGTCGTTAAACGTGGCGCGTACCATCACCAGCAAAGTGATCGACAAATCCAAGGCGTCCGCGACCAGACCATTGTTGCTGTATATGTTATTCGCCTGGGGAACGTCGCTGGTAATCGTCTGCGTGTGTATAGCGCTTCACTTCTGTCAATGCGCTGGTAGCGGACCCATCTATGCCAGCGAGATTAGCTGCTACATTGTCAACTCAAAAGTCAACTTGTATGCGTTCGGCGTCCCCGTGGCTCTCACGCTGACGATTAGTATTTGTCTCTTCGTGTTCACCGTAGTTAATCTCCGCATCTCGCGAAGTTCGACGAGAATGGCACGGAACGAGACGAGAATACAGGAGGCGAAGGTGGAGTTCGTCATCTACGTCAGGGTACGTTTTAAAAACAGGGTGACCGTTTTAGCTGATTATCGGCTAACTTTGACATATTTTTTGTTAAAAAAACGAGTTTGACAGAAAATTTGACAGAATGGATTTTTTTGGCAGATTTCTGGCAGAATTCTGCAAAAACGGTTATATGACAGAAAAACAGCAAATTTGAACAAAAAATGGTACACATTTGCTTTAAAAAGCTTCAATATTTTCAAACAAACCCTTGCATCATGGGACAGGTTGGCTGGTCTAGGTGCTGATGTTCAGTGGGAAACGGACTTGGTCGTGGCCGGATCCACGTTTTGCCCGAAATTTACGCGATAATTTCATGACATCTTTATGTGACAATAGATTGTTTATACTGTAATTTGAATCTTAATGAAGGCAACACTACCGATCTGCCTGTGATTTTAAGTGTTTATAGTGTATTTCGAGTAATTCTGGGGAGGATTTTTGATGTGCATTTAGCAGAATTTGGCTCTGACCTTATGGTCACCCTGGTATTGAATCTGACTATAGGTAGAGTTGGTAAGGGGTCTATCAGGAAACATCACACCCGCTTGTTTGGTTTATAGTTGGGGGCGTATTTTCCCACAACAGAAACAAATATCCATTGCCGGAACCACTAAACAATTTGGGAAGTTCCACTTTAAGATCCACGAAACTAATACCCGATACAATAGTATCGTATATGGCAGCTGGGTGATGGGATTGTGCCTTTTTATATGGGCATGGAATCTGGTACACAGTCAGAGTATGTCATGGGAAAATGATTTTGGCTATAGGGCCATTGCAGATTTGTCCTTTGAAAAAGATACAGGTGGAATAACAAGCAACGGCAGCCATTTTAACAATTTTGACAATTGCTCGTTTGTCTACATAACGTTTTTCAAAGGACAAATCTGCGATGGCCGTAGCCAATTATCTTTCTCATGACATACTCTATGTGCCAAATTCCAGGCTTGTATCATCATAGGAACAGTTCCCCAAAATTTCTCCCCAATCTGCCCCGCTGCAAGGGCCAAGTGCGGGACAAAACTTGTCCGCATCTTAATACCGGACAACAATATTTTAACGAGATGACGTACCTATAGATTTCACCTTGTTCCCGGTGTATTCTTGTCCCGCAGCTGAGTGTTCTCATGGGAGTGAGTTGGATCTTCGGCTTCCTGACCCAGGTCGTCCAGGGCTACGCCATGCTGTTCATCTTCGTCATCCTCAACTCCTTGCAAGGCTTCTTGATCTTCCTGAGCTTCTGTTTCACGGCACGGGTCCGAGGCCTGCTGGCGGAGAGATTCGGCGGGGGCTGCCGCTCCCCGAAACGGCAGAAGACCAGGCGAAGGGCCGCTGCTCATTTAGACACCGGGGACACGCACAGCCAGACTAATCCATCGCATACAGCCAACACCTACACAACAAAGTTGTAAACAGTTGACATATGTCATATAAAGGAACAGAAAATTGAGTAGAGTGTGTAATGAACCCACCACCATCACATTACAACTCCAGAGCTCTTAATGAGTTCCTTTCCCGCTTATTAAATTGAAGGTGTTGGATTAATTTGTTCACGCCATACTCAATTGACTCAAGGAGAACGGGTTCATATTGCTATATTTAATGTTATAATTGAAATACATGTAAGAAATAACTAATAATGATGCATATAACGTATATATAGCGCCATAAATTGAAATATATATATTTCAGTAAAGGATACAATTGTTTGTCTGTATTTTTGTTTGAAATCAAATTATGTAATTGCCTTTAATTCGTGGTTTTTTTCCACTATATATTTTGTTGGCATCATTTGTCTTTGTTTTCTGGTTCATATGTTTAAGATTTTGAAAAAAAACTGAAAGTCGTATAAAATTGTGAGCTTTTTAAATGATCATGTTGAGAAGCAGTTGTAAATTGTACGAACTATATTGAATTAAATAATATCACAGTTCTTTTAAAACTCTTTTTATTTAGCCATTGTTGAGTCTTTTATTATCACAACCTATAAAAAGTGTAAACTTTGTAATATTTTATATCTGTCAGCTTGTTAGTACACGCGATATAAAACACATTGCCCCCCAAACCTGGGTCCCAGGTACTCACAACATTATTGACGTAGCCTTAATTGACCTCGCAGTGCAGTGCGCATGACAAACATCATTGTCGTGTCCCCCCCCCCCCCCCCCGCCCCCAAAAGGTTATCATAACGGTATAAACCGACCGTGGGGTACCAGTGTTGTTGGTTCGCAGGTAAAGGCATATTTATCTTTGCACCGTCTGCGTTTGTGTAGGGCCTCTTTGCTATCGTCTAGGGAAAGCGTTGACCTTATTACACTGTTCACAGTTGTGGCCAACTTCAAGAACTGGTTCTTTTATGAGTTTTACGTTCGCACAGCGAGTTGTACAGTATTAGCACTCTACAGTAACAGAAGCATTTGGACAGGTTCCGCGCTTTATAGGGGAACATTTACATCGACGATATGGAGAGCCCACCGGGCGAGAAGCATGTCTTCCAGGCAGCCGATTACGCCGTCTGTGGCGCAATGCTGCTGGCCTCTCTCGGCATCGGCTTATACTACGGCCTGAGGGGCGGTAGGCAGCGGACATCGGCCGAGTATGTCCTGGCCGACCGCAGTATGACCGTGATCCCCGTCACTCTCTCCCTGCTGGCCAGCTACTTCTCCGGGGTTTCCCTCCAAGGGATCCCGTCCGATGTTTACTTCAGGGGGACCATGGGCATGTGGGCGGCCGCTCCGGTGTGTATCAGTGGCATCGTCTCGCTGTTCTTCTTCGTGCCGATGTACTACAACATGGGGATCACTTCTGTGTTTGAGGTAGGCCCCCCTCCCCCCCCCCCAAAAAAAAAACAATCAAAAAAAAAACCCAGTTTATGCTAACATTTGTTGAGGCTGAAATGCAAGGGCGGATCCAGAACACAATTTTTTTTTTTGGGGGGGGGCCAAAAACATTTTGGTCCCCAAAAAGTGTGTCCCAAAAATTTACGGCGTGGGGTTCGGGGCCCGCTTAAGGGCTCCGAAAAATGTTTGGATTCTAGATGCTCTGTGGTGCGATCTGAGGCAATTTCTGACCACTTTAACCAATGTTTTTTTTTTCAGGCCCTAACCATGAGCACAACGATCGGCACAGCAGGTCCGCTATATCCATGGGCACCAGGCCCTAACCATGGCACAACACACGCCGTTATTATGGGCACACATATTGCCATAACCATGACTCTGGCAATGAATACAAAGGCCATAAATTATTCTTTGAGTATAACACCTTTTATCATTTGCCAAAAGTTTTAATACTCCCGACTCGCACGTCAGTGACCTTTTTTGAACTTTGCATAATTATTATACCACGTACATTTTGGAAAATACTTCTTTCCTTTGCCCCGACGCGACACAGAATTTGCGCACAACCATGACTTCCCCGAAGCCATCGCCGAGTATAATATTAAAACCTTTCATCATTTGCTAGATGCGTCATCACTCCTGATTTGCATGCCAGTGACCTTTCAACTTTGCATAATTATACCATATTTGGAAATGAGTGGGAACAATTTGAACTAAGGGCTATTAATATATAGTTCTTTGCACTAAATGTGCACACAACCATGACGTCCCGAGGCCATGTTTTATTGGCAGGACCTTTCAGAATGAAGTTATGAAAGGAATAATTTGTGTATTTTCAGTACCTGGAGGTGCGGTTCAACAAGGCTGTGTTGGCATGCGGAGTATTCGCCTTTATATTTTTCGCGGTAAGTAGACCTGGCGCACACATTGTGTACCAACACCGGATCGATCTATCCCAAGTTCTTTTAGAACTTACAGCAGGACTGTTCTAAACAGAACAAAAAACTACTTAGCAAAGTTGATAATAAGCAGGACAAGTTCTTCTCAGAACTAATATCCTCTAAGCAGTAGTTATTACCACATGGTGTTACCGCAAACCGAAACGATATCGATCTATCCCGTTCATTAAAACAGTCTGGTACCTTCACTTAAAAAGCTAAAAATGAAAGGTTGTAAAATTATCGTTTTTGAGTTGTTCCAACATGCACTCGCGTCCATAACTTTGGACACACGTCTGTTTATACCCCAAAATGGCGTCTGAGCGCCCTCATTTTGTTCTAGAAAAAGGCAAATAACTATTTGTGTAGTTGACTTTTCAATTGTCTTGGAGCAATGTTGTTTGCACAAAATGATTTGTATTTATTTTTGAATTGATTCACTTCACAGATTCTGTACATGGGTTTGGTCACTTTTGCCGCTAGCTTAGCGGCAACAGCAGGTATAGTTTACGAAAATTTGGGAAACAGTTCCAATCAACAATTCCACAGATAATTCCCTAACAGTCTCGAATCATCCAAGTTTAATAGACGTAATTTTTTCTTACGCCCTAGGGATGAGGGTTCAGAGCCAAGAAAGGGGGATCATGCGATAGTTGGTTCCTTCTGTGTTTCTGTGTGTTTGATTTTGGTTAGGTAAACTGAAAAGTACCGCCATGAAAAGTCAGACTTCACTCTCAACAAAACTTGGTGGAATTAATTTTTGGGTGGAGGGACTTAATAAAGGTGACTTCATATATTTGAGGTCAAAGGTCATCTACTGGCCAAATGAGGTCATTGTTGATTTTGGTTAGGTAAACTGAAAAGTGTGCTTACTAACTATGCCAGGGGGATCGCACAAGTTTAAAATGCAGTATTCTTTATTCATTTTATGATTAACTTGAGGTTTGGTTTTTCTTCATATTAATTTTAGTCACGGACGTAAGTTATGCGGTAGCTGTAGTCTGTCTCGTCGGTGTTTGCACAATCTATACCGTCATTGTGAGTAGATAGTCCTAATCCACTTTGTACTAAACTTGAATAACAGAAAACACCAACATACCTATATTTTTAATACAACGCTCAGTTGGCCAAGATCAACTTAGCCTGATGGACAGGCTTAAGCAGCCTGAGATGATTTGCTGTTTACGATCAACATCCGGAAAAGCCTTTGTTTTTGTTCGGATTTTGTGTTTGTTAGTTTCTTTCTTTCTGGTAATGAAACCAAGGATTCCTCAAAAGTTCCCAAGGCACTGTAGCTCGAAAGCCTGAAGAAACCTGTAGAAAGGAGACAATGAGAAGACATTACAGCTTTACAAATGGGAGGAAAAGCCTACAGGAATATTCTGAGGAAAACCCACGGAATCAGGTAGGGACTGAAAACTCAATCCACATATTGGCCCGGGCGGGACTCGAACCCGGGTCACAGTGGTGGAAGGCGAGGAAAGAACGGCTACGCCAACCTGACTCCCCTTGTTCTGTATTTGTTTGGACTCAAAGGGCGGCATCAAGGCCGTGCTATGGACGGACACCCTTCAGATGCTCATCATCATAGCAACCATCATCATCGTCATCATCAAGGGGAGTGTGGAGTTGGGCGGGATCGAAAACGTCTGGAGAATCGCCGAAGAAGGGCGACGGATTCAGTTTCTCAAGTGAGAGTCATCTTAATGGTATCCGGGTTCGTGCGTGACTGCGTCATACACGCGTACGCCTATACTCTCGAGGACAATGCTTTGTGTTTCCCTTTGTCCCTGTAATATAACACTCCCCCATGGACTAAGCACACAACCTTACTACAGAGGACCGTTTCCACCAAAAGACCAAACTCCCGAGGACTGAAGGATGTGTTGTTCTCCCTTTGTGTGTCTGTCCTCGAGGGTTATGTAGAACAAATACCGCTGATTACTAGCGCCGCGCTCATTGGCTAAGCACGCCACTTTATGGAGATCGATGTTCCAATGCTACTCTGTGTGTAGTGGGCGTGGTTTAGGTTGAAATGACTTCACACTTTACGAACCGGATTGGTCGAAGGAGCAAGGAGCGCGTGCATACCACCGTGCACGGGGTTTTACCTTAAAAAGCTTCCGGTTGAGTATAAGTTGCCTACGACTACGTTTATGTCGTCTCGGTTCAATTTGGTACATTTTTTATACCACAGCATCAGCCCCGATCCGACTGAATACTACACCATTTGGGGACTGGTCATCGGCCAGTTGGGAACTGCAGCCACGATTCACATTAGCAATCAATACATGGTCCAACGCTATCTAACATGCAAGAGCGTCACTGTTGCAAAAACGTGAGTTACAAGATTTGGTAGAGTTATTTTCAGATTTTCAGATGTATTTTCAGGTTTATGGCAGAGAGTTATTAGTGATTCCTTGAGGTTCTGGCAGCTATCGGTTCTTGCAAAAAGACCAATTGGTTTCTTCGTGTGGACTTCTTATTGGTTCCTAACGATGATGAATTAGGTCCTGGCAAAGGGTTATGCGTTGAATTTGTTCCTAATAGTAATGAGTTATCGGTTCCTAAAAATTAGTTCTTGGTTCCTGGCGATGAGTTATTGGTTCCTGAGAATGAGCTTCCGTGGTTCCTGGAAATACGTTTTCAGTTCGTATCAAAGAATTGGTTCCTGGCAACGAGTTGTTCGTCCCTGGTAATAGGTGTCGGTTCCTGGCCATGACATATCGGTTCCTGACAGTCAGCTTTAGTTTCTGGAATGACATTACTGGTTCCTGACCGACACATTTTAAGTTCATCAGCAATTGGTATTGTGATCATCCTAAATTACTTTTCAATTGATAACATATTTATACTAGCTTGACCTTTCGCCTGATGATTTCTCAACAGGGCTCTGGTGAGCTTCATCGTGGGATCAACCATCTTCACTTTCCTCTGCGTGCTGGGCGGGGTGACCATCTATGCTTATTATGCAGACTGCGATCCTAAAAGCCAGGGCCTTATTGAAGCACAGGACGAGGTGAATTGTTTCATCTTCATCCCCGTCTTATAGAAGAACTTAATGACATCCAGTTCAAGAACGGATAATAAGTTATACCCCGCAGTTTTTGGGAGGTTTGAGAGCAGTTTTGGGACAGGTACAGGTGGTGAATAATGATGCAATGAGTTAATTTGTAGGTATGGAAGTAGCACAGTTCTTGTTCCAAATGTAGGAACATCATCCCTGATTGAAATCAACCATTTTGTTGATCACTAAGACAATGTTATCCAAAATATAATGTTTCAATGTTTTTCCGTAGATCCTGCCGTACTTTATCACCGAGGTCTTCCGAGGAGCACCAGGCGTGGCTGGCATCCTGCTTGCCGGTATATTCGGAGCAGCACTAAGGTGGGCTGAGTTGCCTCTTATGGCTCATGCACAAGCAGCATCACTTTCATCATGTAATTAATGTCCAACTAATATGTCTTCTTCCTTTCCTTGCCAGCACCTTGTCTTCTGTGCTAAACGGCGTGGCTGCCCTACTTGGTGAGCACCTCATCAAACCGTGCTGGAAGACCCTCAGTGATGAGAGATACACGCTGATCTTGAAGGTCATTGGTGAGTTCTCTCTGCTCATCTAGTATCTTTTTTGGTCTCGATCCGAAGGCCATGGAGAATCCAAAGAACACCAATTGAAATTCACCTGCAACTACGAGCTTTGGCGTGGTGTTACTCGAGCTCACAAACTAAAAAACTATCACGGTTCATTACTTTGATATACCGTGACGGTCTTACATGCAGAAATCACGTCCGAGTCCCTACGATGGTGAAGTCTTGAAGGACTGAGCATCTATTCTTTATTGAGTCTGTTTGATTATTGATTTAAGTTCCCCCTTTTTTGTTTCGTATTTCAGCAACTGTTTTCGCACTGATTACATTCGGAATGGCCTTCCTGATGCCGCTGATAGGTAGCGTCACGCCTGTAAGTTCAAAGAGTTCTAAGTTTCAAGTTCTCCCAAAACGATGTAAAGAAAATGGATATTCATGTATAGCCTGTACCCATTGAAGATGCTGTGACCAATAAAGTTTTCTTTTTCGTCTCCACAGACGATGTTTGTCATTAGCGGTGCAACGAATGGCCCCGTCTTGGCCTTGTTTCTCTTGGGGGCGTTCTACCCTAGATGTGGTGGGAAGGTTTGTCAAACGACATTTGTTTCCTAATTGAATTTACTTACTAACTGTACACATGTTTGCCCAGACAGACTGGTCACGTTTTTGTACCTTTACAAAAAAACATAAGACCAAGGGTCGATCGCTCTTTATTCAAGTGTATACAATAATGGTATCCAAGATTTTCAAAAGTTTTTGGGAGAAATTAATGATAATATTTTTGGATTTTTTTTCAAGGCTGCCTTCTTCTCCTTTGTGGTCGGAACTGGCTTTGGAATATGGATTGGTATCGGTAACATCCTGCACGGTGGATCAGCCAGCGCTGAGCTGCCTCTCTCCACTGAAGAATGCGTGGAGATGAACATGTCAATGGGAACCATGGCAACGGATACCATGACAACCAATGATGGGTTTTGGACTACGGGCGAACCAGTAGAGGACAGGTTTGTAGATCAATGATGTTTTTTTTTTTTACGAAATCTGGAAGAGGCTCTTCCATTGCCTACGAGGTTGGCAATTCTGTCGTTCATTGTTTTTTTTTTTCGTCTTTTCCTTGCTAAACAGTGGACCGTTCTTTGGACCGCTGTATTCCGTATCGAGGGTCTGGTACCCTACCATGACGTGCGTCTTGTCTATTCTGGTCGGCGTTATCACCACTCTGATATTTGGTGAGAAATTATTATTATTATTATTTATTTGCCATCGCAACAAAAAAAAAACACAACAAAACATGATGACTGGAACTAAACAAGTGAACCATTTAATCACTGTTGCCAACAGGCATTCAATTACAAGACGGTCAAAAACGAACATAAACACATTCATTAAAACGAACACTAAACATACTAATACAATTGTTAATTTGAGATCATTTTGGTTTATTTTACTTGAGTGGAGCCAGAATCGACCCGGTGGTCAGGATCCTCATATACCTATTCTTACGGTGGGCCTACTCAAGAAGGGAAATGTAACGTAAAAATTTACGTAAACTTTGTTTATATTATTTTATTTAGGTGGTAATGACCAGGGGACTGTGGAAACAAGACTTCACGCGGCGGTGCCTGACTGCTGTTACTGCGCATGGCCATACAAGAGGAGGAGGTCGGGTCCTCCTACAAAAGGCGAGGCTTATGATCCTGAGGTAAAAACACGTTTGCATAATTATCATGTGCACTTTTCATTAAAATGGATAAGGCCTGCATTATGGTACAGCAGATAGGTGATGGGATTGTGCCTTTAATGGTACAAACATGGCATTTGGCACACCGTCAGATTATGTCATGAGAAAGATATCAGGCTTTAGGATCATCGCAGATTTGCCCTTTGAAAATAATACAGCTAGAATAACAAGCAATGGCAGCCATTTTGAAAATTTTGAAAATGGCTTGTTATTCTATATATTTTTTTCAAAGGACAAATCTGAGATTTGTCTAACATAAGATAGCTAAAAATCTTTCTTAAAAGTTTGTGCCAAATTCCATGCTTGTATCATCAAAGACACAATCAGGCCCCAAAATATCTCCCCTATCTGCCCCACTACATTATCAGCAAGAGATAGGGTCAACCAAGGGTAGTTCTAATGATGTTTTCTTATTTTACTCATCATGACTACAGGATAACGATGTGACATTTGTGTCGAGCATCTCCGTGAAGAAGCGTCAGATGGAACCCCCCGGTTTGTTGGTGGAGGACTATGACTATGACACCAAGTTGTAGAATGAATTCCCATCTGAATATTTAACAATGCATTATTGACTGCTATGATGTAGGATAAGATGTTATTACACCCGAGGGGCGCATATAGCACCCGAGGCGAAGCTGAGGGTGCTATAGCGTCCCGAGGGTGCATGTTAGCAATGGCATATCCCACATCACAGCAGTCAACAATTGTTTTGTTAAATCGTGCCAATAACTCAAAAAGATAACTTGTACTTGTGTAACTTACTGTGAGAAATCAAATTAAATCACTGCGATGTAACTTTTGAAAACTGAAGGTTTTGATATTCTGCCACTGAGCGTTTGATGACGTGGTTCTCATGGCGCAAAGCTAGCGCACCGCGGCTGGTTCACGTCACACGCGCAAACGAACGCAGTGCCGCGGCGATATCCCTGAGTGTGTGTGACATGTGTTTTTATAAACCAGACACGTGGCCGTACTTGACCAATGAAATGACAGTATCCATCGCAAGCGCACGATATAACAGTAATGGTTTTATAAGATTTGGGGCTTTGCGGTAACACTATGTGGTAATAACTACTGCTCAGTAGATATTTTTGTTCTGAGAAGAACTTGTCCTGCTTATTATCAACTTTCGCAAAGTATTTTTAGTTCTGATAAGAACAGTCCTGCCTTAAGTATCCATTGCAAGCACACGATATAACAGTAATGGTTTTATAAGATTTTAAGCTCTGCATGGTAGAGTATCAGTATCGTTTCGGTTTGCGGTAACACCATGTGGTAATAACTACTGCTCATTAGATTTTTATTTCTGCTTGTCCTGCTTATTATCAACTTTCGCAAAGTATTTTAGTTCTGATAAGAACAGTCCTGCTTTTAGTTCTAAAAGAACTTGTCCTGCTTATTATCAACTTTCGCAAAGTATTTTTAGGTCTGATAAGAACAGTCCTGGTTTAAGTTCTAAAAGAACTTGTCCTGCTTATTATCAACTTTCGCTAAGTATTTTTAGTTCTGATAAGAACAGTCTTGCTTTAAGTTCTAAAAGAACTTTTCTGGTAATGGTTTTAATGGCTGAGATCGGAGTGTCGTGGCCTCAAGCGGAGGATTGGTTATTTTTTTTAATCGACCGATCGGTGAACCATGAAATTCGGAATTTTTTTAATTATGAACAAGGGCGGATCCAGAACACAATTTTGGGGGGGGCCAAAAATTTTTTAGGTCTCCAAAAAAAGTGGGTCCAAAAAAATACGGCGTGGGGTTCGGGGCCCGCTTAAGGGCCCCGAAATTTTTTTTGGATTCTAGATGCTCTGTGGTGCAATCTGAGGCAATTTCTGACCACTTTAACCAATGTTTTTTTGAGGAAAAGATGTTGGTGTACTCATTGCCAGCCTTTATTGCGATGTCACTTAAAAAAAAAAAAAAAATTGGTTTCGTTTTGGGGGGGGGGGGGCCATGGCCCCCTTTGGCCCCCCCCCCCTGGATCCGCCCTTGATTATGAACTCATTAGTTGTTTTGCGCATGCCTAAGTTAGGAAAATTGGGACAGTGATATATCACATGGGTTATAGAGTTTGGAGACCAGGTTTTCGTCGGAGTTCAAAGTTTACTATGGTTTTGTTTTGCATTTTTTTTTAATCGACCGATCGGTGAAGCGTGAAATTCGGAATTTTTTTAATTATGAACTCATTAGTTTTGCGCATGCCTAAGTTAGGAAAATTGGGACAGTGATATATCACATGGGTTGTAGAGTTTGGAGACCAGGTTTTCGTCGGAGTTCAAATTTTACTATGGTTTTGTTTTGCATTTTTTTTTAATCGACCGATCGGTGAAGCGTGAAATTCGGAATTTTTTTAATTATGAACTCATTAGTTTTGCGCATGCCTAAGTTAGGAAAATTGGGACAGTGATATATCACATGGGTTGTAGAGTTTGGAGACCAGGTTTTCGTCGGAGTTCAAATTTTACTATGGTTTTGTTTTTCATTTTTCCCGTGAAGATACGGTTAATTTAAAAATAATTCGCTTGAAAATGGCATTACTAAGTTCATGGATTAAGGTATTTGCCAGTGGCTGCTAATTTTAATGTTTAGTCTTCCCAACAACTTTTTTGTTACATGCATTTATAAACTTTGGTGTGTACGACAACCTATAACTTTGGCTAAGATAAAACAACACAGAATAGAGTTGTATATTGTTGATGTACCCTAACGTGGCGCGGCCCTAACGTGGCGCACTTTGATTTGTTTCGCCTCTAACGCCTTGCTAGAGCAAAAGTAATAACTAAAATTTCACAGAAGGTGAAATTTCATTAAGTTCTAAAACACTCCCGTTCATAAATCACGAGTTTATGTACCCGTTACAAAGTTAAAAGAAAAATGTATTTCGGCGTGATTTTCCAATTTTATTTCGAAGTGCACAGTGAGCCCTTTGAAAATTTCCCCAACAAATTAGAAAATAATTTTCTGACAAACTTCTAGTTGGGTATGTAAGTGGAGATCATAATGGTATATCAGAATTTGTCAACTTAACAGAAATTCTGAAATGTTAATTTGGAATTTTCCGAGATTTATTCAAGTGCGCCACGTTCGGGAACACTCAGCCGATTTGTGCCTAATTTCCGGACGCCACCGTTTTTGAATTTCGGATTAAATTTTATGACACCGAAATTGTTCACAGAGGTTAAATAGCAAGAATCAAAAAGGTAAAAGTACCTGTATTTCAGTGAATGAATTTAAAGTTTGTCAACAAAGAAGTTTGGCAAATATCGGGGTATCACGTCCGAAAGTGCGCCACGTTAGGGAACACTATATTCTAATAAAATTTTAATTAGATCCATGATTTTGTTTTCTTTATTAAAAATTAAATTCAAAATTTACTGCGTGCAAATTTCAATTTTAAGTGACATCATCTTGTATTTTTTGGATTTTATTTTTTTAGCTGGAACTTTTTAATACAACATAGTCAACTGTTCAATTGTTTTTTAATATGATATTTTGGTATTTCTTTATTTTTTTATTGATTAATTTTGCTTTTTAAATTTTTTTTTTTATTGTTAACTGCGTTTAATTCAGCCGTTTTGTATGTGTCATGGTGTATTTAATTAATGGCCAACCAGGTACGCGAAAAATAAAGGGCGCCCTCTTGTGACCAACATTTTCTCGTATTATTATCGATTCTGGTCGTGTACCCAAGCGTCTAGTACTATTTCTGTGACTTTTAAGTATAGGGTAACCAGACGGTAGTTGTTAATTACCTTGGTGAAGTCGATTTGTCGCAGACGTTGTACCAAAAAAAGACCTTCAAATTATTCCTTTGAAAAAGATGCGATGTCATTTTAAGATGTAAAAGTGTATAAATACCCCTGGACATGGTGTGGCGTTGTGAAGTAAATTGTGACTTTGTAATGTAGCTGGGGAAAGGTAAGCTAACGTAAACAAAATCAAAACACTACCAAGATTACACATTTTATTTTATGACTAGCGCCAGCGGGAGGGGGAATGGTGCCGGGGGGGGGGGGGGTATACAGTGTCATCTGTAAGTCTTTAAATATGCCTATTCTATTTTTTTTTTGGGGGGGGGGCCTAGCCTATTCTGTCATGTCTGTTTTGTTTCAAAAAAGTTAAATACAAATCATGCTGTTCATCACAACAGCATTTGGTTAAATAATATACATCATTTGCTTTTGCTGTAATTTTCAGAAATGGATGGAATTGGGGGGTTGGAAATATATAGCAAATATAGTTACACTGACTTTTTTGAGGTTTTGGGTTCGAAAATCCTATAAAAACCAAGAAAACAATCATTTTCCTGTAGTCTGGTTCCCTGACTCCATATAAGAAGAAACAGAGCAGTTTACATATATTGGGGACTTGTAAGGTCAGGAAACCAGTCTAGCTGGCTTGTACCTGTTCATAGGTGTGTAATCGATTGCAAACAAGTGCGATGGTCAATTGGGGCCAGTATTTGAAAAAAAGCCAGTTTTTTGCAACGCTGATCGGCCGATCAGCGTTAGAAATTGATACAAAAATAGCACTTTTCTTGAAAATGACAGTATACCAGGTGCCATGATTTTACAGGATGCTTTACACTGTCATTCACTAACAGTCCAGCAAGGTATTTCAAAATGACTTGGTAGTTTTATTTTTTGATGTTTGCAAATGTTGTATTTTCTCTTTAATCTGCAGTTTGTATTCAAGAGAAGACCACTTGCATCGTCAGTATTCATAATTCAACAACAAGAAGCAGTCAGTCACTGAGTCAGCATAGCTGCATCAAGCTGCTCCCTCAAGCCATCCACTGCAAGGACCGACCCAAACTTCAACTACACAACGTTCATGACATGTAGCCTTCATTTCATCTTCCCAAACCAACTGGCTGATCAGACCGATACACCAAGACTTGTTGGAGATGCCGGTGATTGAATTTCAGCGACTGCCTCCGGAGAGCGACGAAGGAGAGGCCAGCAACCAAGGTAAGGCCGTCAAATGTCGCAAGAATTAAGGACTTTAGATACATCTTATAGCAAATACTGTTACACTGACCTGTTTAAAGTTTTGTGTTCATAGGTGCTGGGAAAACCAACAAAACAAAATGCTATTCTTATAGTCTCAGATGAAACTTCAGACGAAACGGAGCACTTTATAGACGTCGGGGAATTGTCAGGTCAGGGAACCAGACTAGCTGGCTTGCACCTGTTCACCAATTGCAAATAAAATGTGGACTAACTACATGTAAATTTGGTAAATTGGGGCAGTATTTGAAAAAGTCAGTTGTTTTTTTTCCAAACAATGGTCGTCTGACCATCATTGGAAATTGATACAAACATTACACTTTTCTTGAAAGTGACAGCACACCAGGTGCCATGACTTCACAGGATGCTTGAGACTATTATTCACTTACAAAGTTACAGTCAAGTGAGGTATTTCATAGTAATTTGGTAGTTTGATGTTTGCAAATGCTGTACATTACCTTTAAAGTACAAGTCCATCCAGAGTACCCCATCAGTAAAGGAGGAAAGTGCCTTCAGCAAATTTGACAATTCTCGTGCACCCATCCACCATTCAGGAACGCGGTTGAAGGATTAACCCTAACCGAACTCAACCCATCAACGAACAGCAGGTTTTGTTGAAATCTGTTGGGATAGGTACAGTACCCCTAAACTGATGGTCTCTTACATTGGGGTTGGCATACCTCCAGAAACTAAGTTCAACAGTGTATGTGTTCAGTTTCCCATGTGGGTGTTGGAATTTGCCAGAATGGGTATGGTTCCTAGTAAATTATGCTAGAGAGTTTAATAGGGTTAATGTACAGGGGTAATGGCTCACTATCTTTTTCCGTCTTTAACCAGGTAACTTTCTCACCGTGGCCATGTACTCTACCGTCCCTGAGAACCCGAACTACAATGCTCGCTTGGCCAAGTATCTGGGCATACTGCAGCTGTCCATAGCTCTCTGCAGTGTCATTGACGGCATTGTGACCGTCTCCATCAGTTACTGCAGTGTCTCTAACTCGGCTACGCCAATATGGAGCGGTTTTCCGGTACAACTCTCAATTGCATAATGTTCTTAGTGTTGCCTTTAATGGGAAATATTTTCCATTAAACATACAACAAATCCAAGCACATGAAATATCTTTCAATTTACATTATATGATGTTTTCAAAAAATGTTAATGTGAATTTTCAACAAATGTGGTTAGTAATAAACATGTTAAAAATGGGATAATCAAAATCCAGATTTTTCTTTAGTGACCGTAATTTACTTAATTGGCCTTTTCTCCTTATATTTTTTTTTTCTCAGTGTTTCTTCTTGGCGGGCTTGATGGCGTTGTGGTCGGGAGACAAGAAAACAAGAACGGTGAGTTTTTTGGGTTAAATTTTTGTTTGTATATTTTGGTTTTCGTCAAGAATAAGTACGTTTTACAGTTGAGTTTCCCTTTGCACTTGTGATCTACAGGTTGTAGAAATACCCCCCCCCCCTCCAAAAAAAATGAGAAGAAGAAAAGGCAAAAAGTAGTACCACCCATCACATTTGATGAAAATCTATTTTTTTTCTCTCTCTATTTGGTCTAGATCCGTGTGTACATGGTGTGTTCGTTCATCGCAATGCTTGCTGCCCTGACCATGATTGGGTTTATGTTAGTCAGTGCCGTCCATGACTACCACAGGGGGTTTCCCTTCATGTATGTCAGAGACGAGGTTGCATCCAAACTGGTAAGAGACATCACTTTTACCTTAAGTCTGTAGGAACCGCCCTGTATCCTTTAAAATTATCCACTGTGCAGGATGATCTCTTTCCTACATAATCCTCGAAGCCTTGAAGGGTTCAGCTGCCCTTGTTTCAATTATCTATCATTGACTCTTTCAGAGAGCCTGTTTCGGCTTTGACATCTTCGCTATTATCCTGGGTTTCGTCGAGGTCTTTGCTGCTCTTACGGGGATCCTGATTGGTTCTGATCGCAACCGGCAGCTGTCGGCAGCCAATCCGCTGAGTTGTCACGTGATGGGGGACGTCCTGTGAATGGGGAGCTGTTCCATTTACAGTCAGCTAGGTGGACTTACCAACTGTCTATTTCAACGAAGTTCATTCATGTATGAGGTATTATTGCCCTTGAGAAGGGAGACGAGTTGTAGTCAAGACAGGCATAAGCCAAATTAAAAGTCAATCAGGAGGCAATCACAAGTCAGTCACAAGTCAAATCTTGAGTAGATCACAAGTCAAATCACAAGGCAAATCACAAGGCAATCACAATCACAAGCTGATCCTAAGCCGGACACAAGTCAAATACTGAGGACATCGCAAGTAGGTCACAAGCCACATCACAAGCCAATCACAGAATAATCTCAAGGCGGTCACAAGTCAAATCCTGGGTAGATCACAAGTAGATCACAGGTCAAATCACAAGGCAATCACAAACCACAATCTAATCGCAAGCTAGACGCAAGTCAAATATTGAGTACATCACAGGTGTGTCACAAGCCACATCACAAGCTAATCACAGAACAATCTCAAGGCGGTCACAAGTTAACTCCAGGGTAGATCACAGGTCAATTCACAAGGCAATTACAATCACAAGCTAATCCAACGTTTTACACAAGTCAAATACTGAGTACATCACAAGTCACATCACAATCAAATCACCAGTCAATCGCAAGCCAATCTCAAGGCGGCCACAAGTCAACTCCAGGGTAGATCACAGGTCAAATCACAAGGCAATCACAATCACAAGCTGATCCCAAGCTGGACACAAGTCAAATACTGAGGACATCGCAGGGAGGTCACAGGCCACATCACAAGTCAAATCAGAAGGCAATCACAAGTCAATTACAAGCCAATCACAAGTCACTCACAAGTCAAATCACAAGCCAATCACAAGGCGGTCACAAGTCAAATCCTGGGTAGATCACAAGTATATCACAAGTCAAATCACAAGTTACATAAACCAACTATCTCATATGAAATCGCGGGTCAATCACAAGCCAAATCACATGTAACGTTGCAGGTGCCTGAAGCGCGTCTCTTGATCTAATCAATATCGGACAAATTTTGATTATTTGGCTAAAACTACGAGAGGAAGATATATTAGCCAGGATAAGAGTGACGCAAAACTTGAAATATTCTTGTTCGTTTCTGAACACTGATGACAAAAAAAACAGAGCTCAGTACTTTTTTTCTTAAATCAGTAAATAAATAAATGTCCTCTGTGCAACCAATTAAGTTTAATGAAAACAAAAATTGAATGAAATATTTTTGTCCTTGTGGTGTCATTTATTTGTGCAGCTGTAAAATATGCATAGTTTAAGCTGAGTACGAGGTGGATGTACATGGTCAGACAGTAGATATGTGTTACTTAAATACCTAAAATATGTGTGCAATATCTGATTGATAATTTTCGTAGCTTTAATTCAATTTGCCGTGCATGTGATGAATACTGAATTTGAAATTCAATGATAGATATGTGGTAGAGTATTTTTAATTGTCATTTTTTTTTTTTTTTTTTTTGAAGTATTTTTAAGATATGACGATTTTGTTCAGGTTATTTAGGCCCAAGAAGGCCAGCATTGCAAATATCTGTTGGAACTGAAATGGTTTAATAGTTTATTTTTTTTAACTACGTTTGTAAGAGCAGACGTAGAATTTTTTTCTGAGGAATTTTGTCTGAGCACAGCAAAAGTATATAAGAATGTGTGCAAAGTTTACAACGATACTTTTCAGAAGTTTGAAAGTTGAAGTTATTTTAATGAAGGCCATTCACACAAAGAAATTTTATTTCAATTTTGGGTATAACATTTTCATCGATAGTAAAATGAATGCTTATGAGTGCAATGGTAAGAATAATTTCATGAGATGACAGATGGAATGTTCCACAATTCCAGGAGGTGAAGCCGAGTGGAATGGAGCATTCCATCTGTCACCAAAGTAAATTATTCTTTCCTATCCTCTCCACGAATAATGTGACATAACATTCATTATTTCATGTACATGTATACAACGCCTGAATAAATCCTAGCCTTCTGATTGGTCAGAGCCACCAATCATGTGACCTTGCATGGAACTTCTATTTTATAGAATACAACTTGGCCGGGCTGTGGGTTGGGAAGAATAATTCAATGACATGTGATCAACGACCCACCAATCAGATGACAGAGATTTATCAGGCGTTGTAAAAAGTATAATACAGGGTGAGTCAAAAAGAAGTTGACCGGGATTGGTGATGTTTTTCAAAACAAACAAATGACACTCAAAACCCCAGTGAAGCACATATTAAACAAGCATTCTTTTTTGCTTATCTGAAAAAAAAAGAATGAAACAAATTGATCATTCATAAGAGAAGTTATGCCTGTTTTACTGAAAGCACTCATGTTTGTAGCTGTCCGTGGAATGTTAATGTACACAGCTAAAATGCTTACTTTACATTTGCTTGTTCAAGTATTCCGTGGACAGCTTGCAAAATGAGTACCTTTATTAAAATAGACATAACTCCTCTTAGGAATGATCAATTTGTTTCATTCTTTTTTTTCTAATAAGCAGGAGAGAGTGCTTGTTAAATATATGCTTTACTGAACTTTTGAGTGTCATTTGTTTGTTTTGAAAAACATCACCAATCCCGGTCAACGTCTTTTTGACTCACCCTGTATAAAAGTTTCATATTTTTGTCAATTCATGTAGTTGGTAACATACATAAAATTTGCATTTTAAAATGTCTTGTTTTGGTGCTATTTGCAGTTAGGTTATAAAGTGTGCAAGTGTTAGTATATACCAATAGCACATAGTTCATGTGTTTCTATTTTCATATTTTGCACATCAATATCGTTATGGTATCTCAAAAAATATCAGTGTGGTCTTCAACAACATTCTGTGCAACTTTTTTGATTGATTGTAGATGGTCATTTTCTGCCAATCTCTTTAGGTATCATATGAAAATGAATGACAGCGTATTTTCACATGAACTCTTTTTCTCTGCCTGGCAATGTCAACAAGGTTAGCCCAGCAGTCAAAATTAATCAAGCGATTGTTCTTACTAACAGTTGAGTGCTCCCTGCCTTCATAAAGCAGGATTGACTGACTGCTTTTGTCTGTTGATGGAATTTGACTGTCACAGTGCCTACACGAAATAATATCTGACTGTCAGTGACTAGCCTGTGTAAAAGGCATTGCAGGGGAACAGGATTTAATTGAAAAGGAGAATTAATGGTTGCAACTAGTATCATATTGAATAGGATGTTTAAACGCTTTCCTCTATATGTAATTTGAATTGAAGTATTCAAGTGTGTCAAAGTTTCGAGTATTTTTACAGGGTTCAAGTAAGTATTGAATGTCCAAATGTGCTAAAATTTAACAAAGAAATGTAATGTCCAAAACAAATTGTATATATTCAGAGATTCTCAAACAATTTTCTTGGTGAACCAAGGACACTATATAGGCTTTGAGATTTTTGTAAAGGTTTATAATGGAATTTGATTATAAATTTCAACAACAGAACAGAAGTGCATTGCCAATCTCTGTATTGCTTCATGATTTATTTATTTTTTCTGCAATATTGTGTTCAATACATTTTGTAGTACACTCCTCAATACCAAAGTGAAAATCTGCTGAATATGTATTTTTAAGGGAAAAAATCACATAGATAAAATATTCTGCAGTATAATATATTGAAATAATGTTAATATATCTCTTGATTGTACGATTTATGTGTTGTGTCGAATAAACCAAATTATGGTATTAAAAACAAAAATATTTTGTTTGGTCTGATTTTTATTTTGAAATAATTTGTGATTGTTTTTTTTTATATTAAATGTTTCAGAAAAAAACCCACCACTATTTGCTGGTACATTTAGCTTATATACGCGTGGTACCGGAACCGGTTACCCGTATAAACACGGGTACCCGTTAAAGAAACCCAATCCCAAACATGGGCGTCGCCAGGATTTTTTCTAGAGGGGGGCAAACTTTTTTTTTGCCAAAAAATGCTTGTATCTCTGAACACATTCTCGATTTATCAGTTTTAGAGGGGGGCGGGGACATTTGCCCCCCCCCCCAACTCATTAAATTTACACCACTTTGTTTTCGTGCCTCAATAAAGCACGATAATACATGAACTACTACATTTGAGCGTCAATTCAGCCAGTACAGGGAACTTTATAGCTTTACGGTGTAAACTGCAACTGAAGCGAGCGTCGAAAACGTGAAATATTTTTTGTTTTCCCATGTAGCCTGGTTTTCATTTTGAAAATTCCTCACAAACGACATTCAACACCTTTCATTTCATTGTCTGAGAAGTTACTAAGTAATTTCTTTTAAAAGTTGGTTACGGGTACCTGATCCCATAATCTGGAACCCGTTCCTGAAATCAACGGTCAGGCACTCGGGTACCCAGTTCCGATGCACAGCCCTACGTGTAGCTCTGGTAAATCAGGGAAGTCACTTTGTAATGAAAAGGCAAAATACGCTAACTTCAGAGTGACGAATAATCAACAAACTTTATGAAACAATGGAAGTATTGTACAAGCACAAACCAAACATAAAAAAACTGCATGCAGTTAAAGAAATAAACTCTGATGTAGAAAATAAACAGAAAATAAATCACAAATCATATACAGAAAATAGATATTATGGTCGCTTTCTATAGATATTATGGTCATCGCACGCAGATATTTTTTGGGATAATATATGGCAAAAAAAAATAGTGTAGAGAATAGATTGTTCATCAGCGCAGCCTATAATATGAATGCAAAGTATATAAAAACCATCAAATTAATGAAACTGAATACATATCCGAACACAAACTGAAATAAAAAAAAAAAATTGCCTGCAGGAAACGCAAACTGATTAAAAATAAAACAAACAAATAAACAATATATTGCATAGAAAATAAAGATTTAGTTTACTGTAAATCAACATTTTCGGAGTATGCTGCTGGAGAGAATATTCATTGATAGAAATATAAAAAAGAAAGCATAATATTATATCTTCATTCATAGCATTATTTCAGCGCCAAAAACAATTAGAAGGAAGACAACGAAAAACCTCACGGTTGCCGACATATATCCACCGTCTTTTCTTTGAAAATAAAAACATAACTGGCTTTCAGGTGCCCTTTCTACCATATAGAAAAAAAAATTCAAGCAAAAATATACCATTTTACATATTTTTATAAAAGCCAATTTTTAATTGTTGCAGCTGTTTTACAAGTTCTCCAAGCTTCATTCAAAATGGCAAGTTAACTCGTAATCGAACATGCGTCCACCCGTAACAAGAGAACAAAAACTTCACAGTAAAACCGTGTTCGGCAACGCCCTTTTTGGCACAGGCCACACCTTTTTTACACAACACCACGCCCTTTAAAAAAAAAACAGCCATACCATTTTTGGGCAAGGCCAATCCGAGCTTGGACAAGGCCACACCTTTCCTCCTTTTCTGGATGAGACAAGCCACACCTTTTTTTTGTACCAGTCTTACCCTTCTGTTTTATACAAAGCCCCGCCCTTTCTGACAAAGCCACGCCCTGTTTGACAAAGCCACACCTTTTTTGACAAAGCCACACCCTTTTTGACAAAGCCGCGCCCCTTCTGACAAAGCCATACCCTTTTTGATAAAGCCACGCCCTTCTTTGACAAGGACACACCCCTTGCCATACCCTTTTTGATAAAGCCACGCCCTTCTTTGACAAGGACACACCCCTTAACAAACCTTAAAGCTTGATGCAAATGGTCTTCTCTTCAGTGAAGAACTCCCTTGAAGAGGTGGCGCCCTCACGGCCGATTCCAGAGGCCTTCGTTCCACCAAAGGGCAAGTTCAGGTCACGGACAAGCCAGCAGTTCGTCCAGACAGTACCAGCCTGTTTTTTTAGATAGAAAGAAAGCATACAAATTAGACTGGGATATTCAGTTGGGTCTAGGAACAAGACATGGGCCTCGACCTACGGATCATTCCATTGGTTATCTAACGGGAAATTTGTACCTGCAGTTTTTGGCCCACTCGGTGCGCCCGGCTAACGTCCTGTGTCCACAGGCAAGCGGACAGTCCGAACTTGACGTTATTGGCTCTCTGGATCGCCTGAAATGAACAAAAACATTCTTGTCAAATGCCACATCTCAAAAAACAAGCTCAATCGGAAATATCTCGGAAGCTGCGGGCCAACGAATTTGTGTTCATGCATGAGTCACGTGGTTGTGCCACGTAATTTCTGGAAGGAGTCGTGTTTTGAGTAAAAAAAGATCAGCTTTTTGACCCCAGTGACCCCATGATGACCTTTGACCCCAGTTTGGTCATGTGACATGTTGGGGCTGGGCTACTGATACTTTTGACAAATTTTGGTTGAAATCGGTCAAAATATGTAGGAGCAATAGACAATGTCAATGTTTGTTACTAACTAACTAACGTAGAGACATGATGATGTGTTGAGCTGCTATCGCGCAGCTAAAAATATTCAATTCACCAGCTCTCAATCAAAGTGTCTAGTGGATGCCATTTCTGTATTAAAGCCAAGAGTTGAGACTATTTTCAAGGACGTTGCAGTACCTCCTCCTCTGACTTGAAGCTGTTGATGCAAGTGACTGGGCCAAAGATTTCTTCCTGCATACTGCGAGTGTCGTCGGGAACATTGACGATGACCGTTGGCCTCATAAAGTAACCCTGAAAGAACACATACACCAATAAAGCTTTATTCACAAGTCGGCCATATTAAATTGAAAGCGAGCTAAAATCTTCATTTTTTGAAGTTGCGAGCAGAAATGATAGCAATGAAATAAAGTTAATTACAAATTAATACCAGTCTGCTCGGATGAATAATTTGTAATTTGTGATTAAACATATCTTAATGTTTAAAGCCACATTTGGAACAAAATGAAAGTGAGGCTTGGAACGCATAAATAGTCTGGCACCATCCCATTCAACAGTTTACAATTATAGGCATGGGTATGGGCATGGGTACGGGCATAGGTATAGGCATGGGTATGGGCATGGGTATGGGCATGGTCATGGGTATGGGCATGGGTACGGGCATGGGTACGGGCATAGGTATAGGCATGGGTATGGGTATGGGTATGGGCATGGGTATGGGCATGGGTATGGGTATGGGTATGGGCATGGGTATGGGCATGGGTATGGGCATAGGCATGGGTACGGGCATAGGTATAGGCATGGGTATGGGCATGGGTATGGGCATGGGTATGGGTACGGGCATAGGTATAGGCATGGGTATGGGCATGGGTATGGGCATGGGTATGGGTATGGGCATGGGTATGGGTACGGGCATGGGTATGGGTACGGGCATGGGTATGGGTATGGCTATGAGTATGGGGTTTTACTCTGTGACATATTCCAGTCTGTATATTTACATTTTTGTTTTTCTCTGGAAGCTCTAACGTCTCCTTTTCCTGTCCGCACAGCACTGTGCCGCCATCTTGGCTGGCGATGGCTACGTAACCTTTGACCTTCTGCAGGTGCTCCTTGCTGATCAGGGCTCCCAGGTTGCTGCTGGCTTCCTGCGGTGGGCCTACTTTTAACTTCCTGAGAGAGAGGGGGGGGGGGGGGGTTCAGAGACAAGTCAATCACGAATTAACTTTTAGATCTGCAATGATATAAAAAGGTGGATTCAGGCTGGCTAGTCATAGAACTGGTTTTACCTCGTTTCTTGGACAAAGCGCTCCACAAACTTGTCAAAGATGGTGTCCTGGACAAAGATTCGGCTGGTGCAGAGGCAGATCTCGCCCTGGTTGGCGAAGCTGGATCGTACGCAGGTCTGTACACAGTTCTCAAAGTCCGCATCCTCAAAGACGACACCGGGATTCTTACCCCCAAGCTGGGAGGGAAAACAAATATATTATTACCCCGCTCCCTGGTTCTTGGTTGGTTCTACTCCTAAGGATTCCACAGGGGAGTAATAACAGGAGGCCAGAAACACCGGGGCAAACCCCTTCTCTTAGCGATAAGTGTTACTGGGTTCATTCAAAAATTGGTAAACAGCCTAATGTTTATCCATACATATTGAATTTTGTTGCTGTATGCTTTGCACAGAACTTCGACAACCAGTATTTTCTGAAAATGGGTCGTTCCTAAACAAAATGTTGTTTCTTTGGCTTTTCTTTTCCTCAGACCAACTGAGGATCTATATTTACCTCCAATGAAAGCTTCTTGCAGAACGGCGCGCTGGTCTTGATGATGTGCTCAGCGGTAGCCGTGCCACCGGTAAACGATATCAGGGGAACGTCCGGGTGCTTGACCAGGGCCTGGCCGGCCCGGGGGCCCGTGCCGAAAACTATGTTGATTACACCCGGAGGGACACCTGGAGAAAATCAAGAATGATTCATTAGAAAGAAAGCCGTACTCAGTGTCTTAGATTGTGTGAGTCTGTACTTAAAAAGAATAAGATCACTGAGGCAGCGTTGTGGTAATATACATCACAAGTCTGTAACAAATTAATCACAAGTCGGTCATAAGTTAATCACAAGTCAGTCATAAGTTGATCACAAGTCAGTCATAAGTTATTAGTTCATCGTGTCACATCACAAATCAATATAACAATCAATCAGATCACAAGCAAAAAGGGATGAGTAAAAGAAAAGAGACACATTTCAATAGTTTTGGACTTGATTTCAGATGACTTGAGCTAGACTTGTGATGACTAGTCATGATTTGAGATGATATTTAGGATGAATTGTGATTGGCTTGTGATGACTTGTGATGACTTGTGAATGCTTGGGATGACTCGTTATGACTTGTTGTGATTTGTTATGACTTGTTGTGATTTGTTATGACTTGTGATGACTAGACATGATTTGAGATGAATTAGGATGACTTGTGATGACTTGTGATGACTTGTGAATGCTTGGGATGACTCGTTATGACTTGTGGTGATTTGTTATGACTTGTAATGACTAGACATGATTTGAGATGAATTAGGATGACTTGTGATTGGCTCCTGATGACTTGTGATGACTTGTGATGACTTGTGAATGCTTTGTATGACTCGTTATGACTTGTGGTGATTTGTTATGACTTGTGATGACTAGATATGATTTGAGATGACTGTGCTGACTTGTGATGACTTGTGATGACTTGTGATGACTTGCGACTGACGACCTATGATTGACATGTGAAGACTTGTCGTAAACTCGTTGTCTTGTGATGCCTTGTAAAGATGTTATGTCAACTCTGGGATCTGGAAGAGGCAGTGATGAATAACCTTTGGCCAATACTCTAACTTTAACAAATTGATGACTTTTACTGTCATGACTTTTACAAGACCTGCGTCGTTGAACACCTTCGCCAGCATCCAAGCAGTAACAGATGTCATCTCGCTGGGCTTACAGATGCAAGTGTTGCCGAAGGCGATGCAGGGGGCGATCTTGAAGCTCAGGAGGTACACTGGCAAGTTCCAGGGGCTGATGAGTCCGGCCACGCCCACTGGAGTTTGCGTCGTGTAGTTGACGGCACCGGCTTTGTCAAGGAGTGTTGAACTGAATTTAAATTGGAGAAATTGAGATGCAGGTTGAAGATGTTATACAATCTTGTTAGCTACTTAACTTCAGCTGCAATGGCCTGAAAACCTTTCTGAACTTGGCTCGTCAGATATTTTTTTCACATTTAGTGAGCTGAAATAACAACTTTTATGAAGGAAAAAAATGAAACGCATGACACAAGATGTCATCTTCACTTTGGGCATGTTTGGTCCATTTAAGAGAAAACTTTGGTGACTTTCTCAGTAAATAAAGTGTTTAATATGATTGGTAAATAAAAGTGTGGCCCATCAGGCTGGTGTTTATATTCAGTTTCAGTAGCATGAAACGACTAAGAATATTTCTATGCCCCTTGGATGGGATGCTAGTCCATCGCAGGTTAGGCCAAAAAAAAGAGATAGTTCTGCTTCCGATTACATGGCATTCTTAAATAGGGTAGGTAGGGAATTTTTTTTGGGGGGGCCAATTTTTTGTGTGTACAATCATATGGAGGCGTCTGAGTGTAGTCAATGGTAAAATATCGAAATTGATGGTTTTGGGTGTTTTTTTCTCATTATTCCCATAAAAAAATGTGGGTAGGGGCTGTCAGAATAGGGTAGGTATAGGGAAACGGAAGCAGAAATATTTTTTTTTGGCCTTACTCCCCAGCTAATGCCGGTACCCATTTACACTCCTGGGTGGAGAGAGGCAAGTGGGGTGAAGTGGCTTGCCCAAGGACACAACATATGACCAGCAGCTGGATTTAAACCCCTGACCCTCTGAAGTCTGATCATGAGTCCTGAACCCTAACCACTAGGCCACACTCCCTATGATTAGTATGAATATGATGACCAAAAAAAATGGTCTTAATCTATATCTAGGGGCCCACCTGTTTGTCATGTGGAGTATTGATGTCGAGAAGAAACGGAAGTTGTGCATGAGCCTGGGTATGTCCACCCGGGTAGCCAATGAGACCGGCTTGCCCTGGTCACGTGACTCGGCCTCAGCAAACTCCTGCAGACGCGACTCCACGATGTCGGCGATGCGTTGCATGATGCGGGAACGCTCCTCGGCTGGTGTGGACGACCATCTGCAGGGATTTTTTTTCATTGAGAGAAAACATTGTTACCAGCCAAAATGACATGAAATGTATACTGCTTGTAACTGGTTCTCTGCTGGTCTTTTTGCTGAGCTGTTTTTTGTTTTGTTTTTTTGGCAATAATTCAGGCAGCCTAATGAAATCCGGCCATTGGCTTTGATTAAAATTATTCACTTAACTTACACCCATCAGATCACTTGCGGTTTTATGGGTAATTTGCTTTGGGCAAAAAAATTAGTTCTGCTTCCGATTTCCCCACCTACCCTATTCTGACAGCCCCTACCCTAATTTTTTTTATGGAAAAAATGAGGGAAAAAAAACACCCAAAACTATATATTTCTACCTTTTTTACCCATGACCAGACACCTGCATATGATCGTACACAAAAAAACTTGCCAAAAAAGCTGGTCGGACGACCAGCATTGGAAAAAATACACTTTTTCTTAAAAATGTCAGCACACCAGGAGCCTTGATTTTACAGGATGCTTTAGACGTCATTCCCTAACAATTATCCTTTTAAGTAAGGCATTTCGTGATAATTTGATCATATCGTTTTTTTTATGTTTGCTATTACTATTAGGCCTAATTTAGTTAGGCTAATTCTGCCCTGCATGCCCATCAGCCATGTCAGCGCTAGCTTGAGTAACTCGAGCTGACATGCTCATATTCATTCACATGAATGAATATGGAGCATGTCAGCTGGAGTTACTCAAGTTAGTCAGCGCAGCCCCTGGTTAACCTATATATGTAATACATATAATTCGTGTGCAAAACGTTAGCATGGTTAGCTATAGCCCCATAAATGTGGCCTATTTACTGGACTGCCTCCGTAAACATAGGCCACACATCCACCATGTACAAAAACGTGTCGACTTTGCCAAATTTTGATTTTCACATTTAGGCTTAGTTTGTAGGATTTTTTTGCTTTAGAAGCATACTCACCCTCTTTATAGGCTAGTCAGAAAGTGCTGCCTTTTTCAGATGTCTAATTTTTGTGAAATTTCATGTTGAAATTTTGATACGCAAACGTGTAAAAATGAATCTGGAAATTTCACGAAAAATATACATCTGAAAAAGGCAGCACTTCCTGATTAGCCTATAAAGAGGGTGAGTATGCTTCTAAAGCAAAAAAACCTACAAACTAATCCTAAATGTGAAAATCAAAATTTGGCAAAGTCGACACGTTTTTGTACATGTGGATGTGTGGCCTATGTTTACGGAGGCAGTCCAGTAAATAGGCCACATTTATGGGGCTAGGTTAGCTACAATAGCTAGGTCATAAAAAGTATTAAAATACAATTCAAGAACACGCTTGAGCGCGCAACGTGTAGGGCATACGATCATCCGATATCTACCCTACCGCCGTACCGGTGCAGTGTAGGCACACGGTTCGCGAACCACGTAGGCCCTACGTACCCTGGGAATGCCGACTTGGCGGCCTGCACTGCCCGCTCGATTTCTGCCTCCCCGCTGTCCGGAATTCTGGCCCAAACCTCCCCAGTGGACGGATCGTAGCTGTCCAGGTACGACTCGGTCCTCAAAAACTCGCCTCCGATAAAGTTCTCCACCACTATTTCTGCCATTTCCCCCCGTTTATTTGCAAGGATTGTGGAAAATAAACGCGAGTTCTTTACGTTTCGTCTGCATGCTCTGCGTAGCTAGCTGAGAATGTCACATGGTGTTGGAGTAGGGCGCCACCACTCGACAAGAAATATAAATGGACACACCCCTCTCACACCCTCTCAAGCTGCGATTCGTCGAAAGTGGTTACCACAGCAACGCAATGATGAGAAACAAATAAAAAGAAACAAAGAGCAAGGGCTCCAAGACGTTTGGATTCAAGGCCGACGCAAAAAAACATCTTTTGAAATTGGGATTTGTTTACTTTTCAGTAATGAGGGGTTTGGGTGGGGGATGTGGGGGCCGGGGGGGGGGGGGGGACAGAGGCAAATCTATGTTATGCAATTCTCAGCTTTTTGGGGGGGGGGGGGGGGTTCATGGGACTTTTGGGAGGCTGAGGGGGTTTCTTTTATATCCCCATCATCGATCAGAAGTTTATTTTTTTTACACATGTGCATTAATCGTGTGGTCATTTCATTGTTTCCTAGTTTCTGCAAAAGAATAAATTATATTATTAGTATGTTGTACATGTATAATTGTTATATTTGTTGTTTGTGTGTCAGAGCGGGGGGTTGGGGGGGGGGGGGGGAGTGTTTTGACCCCCAAAACCACCTCTCGGATCCGTACCTGAGACCCAAATAAAAAAAATTAACACCTTGACGACAAATTATGTATGGTTAAATAAAGTGCATTCCAAAGCTTTATTGACAAAGTGACATTGCATATGAATAATATAAAAAAAAAACAGAGGAAAACCAAAAAACAAAAAAAGTGATAAACAACATATGCAGTTTTATGGGTACAATTAATAAAGCATTATACATGTATATGCATCTGCACAGAAGCCAACAAACGTTTAAACAATTTCACTGTTTGCATAATGTATATTCTGCCAATAAATCAAATGTTATTGTTTAGAATAATTTGAATATAAAATATCAAGTGTGAGATGTGAAACAAAATTACCAAAGAAATAAATGTATAAAACCATTGCATACATAATCAAAAATGATCTACTTATTTTTCTCCCAAATACATTGGAAAATACTGAAGCTTTTGCACACACTTAATACCACCATCAAACCAGCTTGCAAACCCAAAAAATTGCATAAATATGCGAATACATTTTTACAAAACGTAAAAAGCAATACGGACGGAAGCACAAAATGCATGTTTTGTATCAATTAGTTTGAAATGTTAAAAGTATATGTACCACCATTAAACAATCAAACTGTAGCCTTATTTTTCTCCAACCAAATAAGCTGAGGAAATAAGATAAATATTATGCAAATTTAACCGTTCATCAATTGAATAACTTGATCTCAAGACTCATTTGAACATTTTATTTGAGGAAGATATAGTGATAGGATTATTACTCTCCAAACCTCTACAAATTATTCGTACATCTATTCACTGATTTAGAAATGACCTCAGTGCACATTGAATGATAGGTGTACACATACAGTACACAAATGGTGCATTGCCAAAAACCAACAGGCCTACTAATCTGCAAACAGGACTCATTCTACAGTTCAATACTGACCTCTCAATAAAATATTTACCTGACATCGACATATATTCAACGAGGCATTCTCTAGCTCCCAATGACATCACTAAACTTAATTATTTGAAAAAAAAGAAAGAAGTCCACCAAAACTTCTTCAAATATTGTTAGGGCTAAAAGACTAAAGGTATGTTTACATCCCCAAGAAAGATATTTTTTTACACTTTTGTTGCAAAACATGCTATCATTCTATTGAACCCAAAAGAAAAACATTAGAAAATAGGGAGGGGGGGGGGGCATTTATGTTATCAATCTCGAGTTTGTCTTAAGTTTCTTTCATCTTCGGGGTATACTTTGTCTAAAAACAAACCCTGACCAAAACTGATACAGTTGTGAAATCAGATAAAGGAAAACAAAAAAATATAATACATTGATAAATGATGCCGACTTGCCGAGTGTTAAAGTTGTTTATATTGCACCGCCACCACCACCACCACCCCCACCGACACGTTTCTGTCGTATCTTCCTTGGTATGGGTAAGCATAGTTCCTCGATTCGAGGCGTGGCTCGCGCATGCAGCGACGCTGTGGTTAATTTGTAGGGATCGTAGTTGTCATTCTTGCCGCGGCTTTTCGGCCGCGCAAGCTGCTGCATCCGTAGCGTCGCGATGGCCTTGAGAGCGGACTCAGAGACGTCCCACTGGATGGACCGGGCGTTCTGGAAATTCGGGTGGTGGCGTTTGGATTCGGCGAGGGCCTCCAAACGGTCCGAGCAGCGCGCGTTCCGGGCCGCGTTGGAGATCTCCTGGTCCCACATGAAGCAGTCAAACTCGTAGCTTTCGCGGATCTTCAACGGCACGTACGTCTTCTCGCGCGCCAGCTGCTCAATGCGGTCCGAAGCCGTGGCGTTCTTGGCTGCTTGGCTGACTCGTGTCATGATGGGTCGCTCAGGGACGAAGCTCGGCACCGTGGTCTTGGCTTGACTAAGAACCTGAAGACGATCGCTTGCCTCTGCCTTTTGGGCGTTCTTGCTGACTGGCCAGATGGAGGTCGGCCTGAAAAATGATCAGAAAATTCAATCATAAAAATCAACAGTTTACTTAAATTGAATTGATTATCAAGTAATTTTACAGTACACACGCTGCAGTATTGTCAGACAAGTGAAATAGCAAATTACTCACTTAACAATCCCAAAAGAAAGTGTGATGCAGTGTGTTGCTCGTTGACACTGGTCAATTTTTTTTTTACAGATTTGAAAAGAGCACAATCTCAGCATTACTGCTGTGAAAACCGCATGCTGATACCATCTTTAGTTCAAAAATTATGGAAGTCGAAACACCAAGAGATGTGATGTGATGAAGTGGCCCTATTTTGGCCTGAATATTCCGAATGAAAGTTCCGACAAATGACTAATTTAGCTTGATCGCATCACAAATGTTTAACCGCCAATTTTGTTTTTAGGAAAAATTATGCAGATGCATACATTCTTTTGATATCAATTGCAGCTTTAGTAATGTTGCATATTTTTCTGGTGCAGTGAAGGAATTAAATTTTTATACAAGTGTTTTTTCCTGTAATATATTTTCCACAAAGTGTGTTTTATTTTACCTTTCTCCTTTCCAGCCGGCGTTGACAGGCTTTGCTTTGCTTAGTGCGTCCTGCCAACCATTCACAACTGTTACACAGACGAGAAAAAGAAATATCATTTTTACTCAGCTGTTTTTATAAAATTCAGTTAATTTTGATATTGTGAAAAATGAAAGAACGTATATATTGCAACTCAGTTTTTGCAGAATCAAAGACGAAATCAAATCCTAAATTTTAATCTAAATACTGTTAGCGTTGCAATTTTGGCCAACAGAACTTAAGTGGCAGCTAATTAATATTAACTCAAGAAAATCATTTTTACCCAGCTGTTTTTATAAAATTCAGTTTATTTGTTATGGTTTTTTCAAACGATCGAATTCCTGTTCAGTATTAACAGCATATGATAGTTTACAACATTGAAATCAATACCTTAAGTGCTGGCAATACAATGTCCAATACTGACTGTATAAATTAGAGATTAAAACTGAATAATTAAATAAATAAATAACAGAAAAAAATGTTGCATTTGTATTGACTCACCAAAAGCTGTTGTGCCCTCAGGCATTGGAGGGAGTTTGTCAATCCAATAAACAGATCGCCTACAAAAATTTAAAAAAATAAAATAAAATACATGACAAAAATTTAATATAAAAATGAAAATAAATGGTATGAATATTAAGATTGTGAAAAATGAAAGAAAGAAATAATTGAGTTTGTTGAATCATACCTTTTTTTTTCAGAATCTAAGATGAAAAAGTCCTAAATTCTAATCTATATAAAGTTAGCGTTGCAATTTGGGCCAACAGAAAGTGGCAGCTAATTAATATTCATGTTTTAAGATCACTGACACTGCAGTGGGTGGATCCTTACAAGGTATTATGACTGTGACACCTGCTTTGGAGAAGTGTTAACTCCGCCCTAATTTGTTAATTATTCAGGACCTGGCAACTGGCTATTGATTGTTTCAGCCATATCATTTGGGCTGTTCCATTTCCTTAACAGGTCAAACCAGATAATGGGAGGTGACATTCCCCTTTACAAAATGGATCACTGTCTTTCAAAGCAGGCTCCATTTACAGGAAGGGGGGGGGGTGTTGAAAAAAGACATTTATAAGTAAAGTTTCCAGATATTTTAAAAATCACTGTTCTGAAATATATAATTATGCAGAATAAATGAGATATCAAGAACTAACACTCTAACAGCAAGAAAGTCTCCTTGGATACAAATGCTAAAAAAATGGATGAATAATTAAAAATAACTATAAAAATACCTACAAATTATTCAAAATGTTGAATGCTATCTAGTTTTCCAAATGCGAATGGCTTTCCGTAACTTCTTCTTGAAAATCTAATCTTTTTACATCAAGCACAAATTTGTCTCAGTAGCCCTTTTCCAAGACGTTTGGAACGTTTTTCCAACTTTACACAAAATCATCTTGCCAATCGATAATACACAATTGCAAGACACGAACATCTTTATAGTGGCAAACAATGATAGTATATTGACTAATCACTTTCCGTCCTGGCCCCTGGCAGGGTAGCTTAGCAACGCTGTTTAACTTTTGCCAATGAATGGGGCAGCTTGCATGTGTTTATTGATCTTTTCTATTGTAGGGGGAAATGTTCGCTTGGGTCTTTTTTTACGCAGTAACAAAGTGGTGTACACAGTGTTGCGTGTTTAATCGTTGGTTGTTACAATGCGACAGAAATGTGCTACAACTTGGGTATTGGCAATTTGAGAATGGAATCCAAAGTGTACCAACTTTTCCACAACAAAAAATGAATATTCCTTATGTCATAAATATTAATAATAATTTTAAAAGAATGACAATAATGTTCAATCCTAGAAACTTAAAACAAAACAAAGTCCATAAAAATGTTTTCCTTTTCCCTCTATTAAGAGCATTGTTGGCCGATTTCAAAAGAAAAAGCACAATCACTTTGACTAGTGGTTTTAATCGACACCACAAAATTGTAAAAAAAAAATGTCTTGGAATTCATCTTGAATTTTCATCTTGTAGATTGACTGCAACTTCATGCTTTACTGTTGCTATTTTCTGTTGGATTCTGCAGGTGTTCTCAGTGCAAAATAATTTAAGGTGGGGGCGGGGGTTCAGCATTTCATTGAGAATACTTTACCTGTCCTCGCGAAACCCAGGTGGGAGTTGTTTTGGTCTCGCTAGAACATCTAATCTCTGGGAAGGAGGCATGGTGTGCACTGGCCTCACTGAAAAAAGAAACACAATTTAGTCAACCACTTTCCAATATTCATATCCTCCGCTTACCAGCATGGTGCCTATGGTAATTTATTTTGGAGCACACTTAGAAATAAATCATGAAAAGCATACAGTCGACTCTTGTTAGTACAAACTCTGTTAATACAAAATTCTGGTTATAACAAACATAAAGCCTTAGTCCCGACTGTGCATTTATGTGCACAATGAATGGGACTGATGTTCCTCTTTAATGCAAAATTCTGATATAACAAACAATTTGGCTAGGTCCGAACGAGTTTGTATTAACGAGACTCGACTGTACATATAATAGAAAGTGGGTGTTTTTCGGGACTTAAAAATTATTACCGTGATGACTCTTTGTCTGGTTCCACGCTTTCATTGTCATTGTGACTTCTTAATTATTCACAAGATGGGAATCAGAATGCAATTTTGGCCTTTATTTCCTTTCAAAAATAATCTTCAAAAGCCATCAATCAGAAAAAGAAGATGAAATATTCTTCAATTAATTTGTTTGTATGATTCGATTTACAGCAACAAAGAAAGACAACTCTTCCTTTTTTTGGGGGGGGGGGATCAAAATGAGTGCACGGACCGAATTATATAGCCCCATAAATGTGGCCAATTCACTGGACTTCCTCCGTAAACTACTTTACGGAGGTAGTCCAGTAAATTGGCCAAGTTTATGGGGCTAGGACCGAATCGAACGGAACGCATCCTCCTAATTTCTACTCCTAGTCTTACGCGCCATCCACTAGGCCCGACCGTTCGTTCGGCTTGGAATTGAAAACTGTAGGCCTGCTTCAATTGTATGTGTGCGCATGAGAGGGTGCTGTGCAATGTGCCGGCGTTAAAGGACGAAGAAAATGTGCAACACTTCCAATTAGTGGTCACGATGGTAAACATTAAATAATTTGATAAAAACTGTCTTAAGTTAAGGGCAGTTAATATTTTGTCTTGAAAAATAGGGGGAAACACCTATATTATTTAATATACATGATATAAAATGTCTGATTTGTGCAAATTACAACGTTTTTTTAAAGATAAATTCTTCTAAGGTAAAATATGACCAGTTGTGCTGGTGGTAGGGCCTACAGTGAGCTACACGCACAAACAATTTGTAAACAACAACACAACAAAGCACAGACGACCACGACAACCAACGCGACATGACTTACCTCCGAGTCCGAGTCCAAGCAGTCTTTACTAATTTTAGATTGTTCCAGACAGAAAAGTGTAATCAACTAAAAGCTCCATATACATAAGTACTTACCCTGTACTGCTGTAGCCATAGTTTGTTATTTTCAGTCCTTTTTGAATAAACAAAATCTTCGATTTTCTTACACGTGAAATCCCCACTCACGTACTCCTCGTTGCACGTTGCGTGCGTGGGACTCAGCTGTTTGGTTTTGGTTGCTAGGGACTCACTTCCGCATTATGTTATGAATATGCATTATATGGGCGGAGCGTTAACTGGTATTTGTTAAGTTTTTCTTCGGAAACGTCAATTTTGAATTCAAGATGAACGTTACAATTGATCCATTACTTGATATTTATTTCTATTAACAACAAATATTAGGAATATAACAGGACATTAGGGTAAAACTTCGTGAAGTGGGCGGGGCTTACACCGCAATGAAGTGTTAAACTACATCGAATATGATTCGTTCAACGAGAGAAGAACTCGGGATTCTATCCAATCAAACGCGCTGTAATAGTTATGAGATACATCCGGTTGTTTTCGCGGTATGCTGTCGCTTCTGAAAAACAGGTGCAGTTTGCCTTTGCTAAATCATCGATGATCACAGCGGTATGCTTCCTTTCTTGGTATTATAATTTGTTGTTAGATATTTTAAAAATCATAATCATTGTTAATGAGTTAACTTACGTTTTTACCGTTCACGTTTTTGTTAATTTCCACTCCAGCAATCAGCATGCGTCCAGGCGCATGCCAGGTCAGGGGGCAGGGCGGAGGGAGCCGGGAGCCAGGGGCGGATCCAGGAGTGTTTGCGCCGGGGGGGGGGGGGGGGGGGGGGGGGGGGGGGGGGTGACCAGGCCCTTCACATTTTTTTTTAATCAGCAAATCAGTGCTGAAATGGTGAAAGGTTTTTTTCTCCGGACACTTGGCCTCCATAATTTGGTTGGGGGGGGGGGGGGCTGGGACTATGGATAAATAAATCTGACGATTCATCATGAATCATGCGCACTAATCGCTATCGCACAATAGTGTGCAAATACCCCCATTACCCCTGCTCGCTACGCCTCTGTGTCCGACTGTCATGACTGTTGTGGACACAGGCAGACATATAAACGTACTCAGCGTTAACATCCAGAAGTGGACTTTGCTGAGTACCCACGTAGATGTAGATGTACTATGTAGGCCTATGTCCCCCAAAAATGTTTTGTGTCTGAGAGGGGGCGGGGTTTCACCCCCCCTTTTATTTACTCACCCAGTACAAAGTAGTACAGTTGCTGATATAGGTTAATGACAAATTAGCCAGCAAATTACATTGTACTTTGTAGGGGCCTACCTAGTCCGAAAATTTGGGACTCTCAATACTGTGTATGAGAGGGCCTACCCAATATATTTGCAATTTACATGTACATGTGTAATTGTTAGTATTTATGGGTTACGCAGTTTGAGTTTCAGATCTTTTGATTTATTATTATTTATATTAAATTTACTTCACCATCTGTTTGATTCCCATGTTAATGAATATTCAAATAAATATGGGTCATTCCACCGGGTTGGGAAGCAGTGCATGTCATATTTGATTATTAAAAGTATCAATGCATTCTAAACAATTGCTCAACATAATATTGTGTTGCATGTATAGTAAGAAGTACGTAAAGTGAATTTGGGTAATGTTTCACAGAATTTTTTTTAAAAAGGTACAAATGTCATATTTGGACGTAACATTGACACGGTGTCAATGTTACGTCTGAAATGACATTTTTTGCTCATATTTTTGGGGAAAATACATTGAAATGATTTCAAACTTTCTGCAGTAGTGAAACACCCAACAACAAACATTATGTACAGCAACTGATAGCAAGGCATTCATGCTTTTCTTAATATGGTCATATGTCACACGTCACACAACAACAACAACAGGCCAAGTAAAAAAAAAAACATGTTTAGCGTCCTGCCTTTTTTGAAAAAAAGGAAGGAGGAGGCCCTTTCCCCCCCCCAAAAAAAATGGCCGCCCGACCCATCAAGAAATGACATGTACCAGCTTTATATGGGCTAGATGCAACAGACAGAGGCCAAAATGATGTCACTGTTTAAAATTTATCATTTTTTTTTTTTCAATTAAAAAAAAGAAAAAAAAAGGAGGCAGCCTCCAAAAATGAAGTGGGCAGGAACGCTAAACACCTTTTTATTTGGCCTCAGTCATTGTCTGGTTCACTGACTTCTATTCATTTTTACAACTGGAAACTTAAAGGGAATATACAACATTTGCAAACATCGAAAAATAAAACTACCAAGTTTTTGCGAAATACCTTAATAGGATGTTGGTAAATGACAGTCTAAAGCCGCCTGTAAAATTATGGCACCTGGTATACTGTCATTTTCAAGAAAAGTGGTATTTTTGTATCAATTTCCAACGCTGATCGGCCGATCAGCGTTGGAAACAACTGGCTTTTTTTTCAAATACTGGCCCCAATTGACCATCGCACTTGTTTACAATCGATTACAAACCTATGAACGGGTACGAGCCAGCTAGACTGGTTCCCTAACCTTACAATTCCCCAATGTATGTAAACTGCTCTGTTTCTTCTTATATGGAGTCAGGGAACCAGACTACAGGAAAATGATCGTTTTTCTTGGTTTTTATAGCATTTTCGAACCCAAAACCTCCAAAAAGTCAGTGTAACTATATTTGCTTTATATTTCCAACCCCCCAATTCCAACCATTTCTGAAAATTACAGCAAAAGCAAATGATGTATATTCCCTTTAATGGTTGGATGAACACGACTTGGCCATTTTTTTTTCTCTCTTTTGTTATGTGTAGACTGCCAAGGCTGTTCTTTGAAGGAAATTTGTTCACACCACACCCAGACAAATACATTGTATTTTGTTGTGGGGTGGAATGGCGCAGTTAGTTTTATTGACCGAGTTTTTTGTACATCACAGTCATATGTGCACTTGAACTGTATACTGTGTACATGCAGTTTATTTAAGTGTCGTCTGTCGACAACACAGCTACATGTACATGTAACATATTCAAACCCTGCTCAGAAAGTTTTACATGTATAGCTACATTACATATCTGGTGAGTTGAACAGACATTTTAAAGGGAAAGTACATCATTGGCTTTTGCTGTAATTTTCAGAAATGAACTATTTGAGAGGTTAGTATAATAGATCAAATATTTGTTACACTGACATGTTTGAAGTTTTGTGTTCGAAAAGGTTGGAAAAACCAAGAAAAACAAAAATGTTCAAGAAGTTTGGTTCCCTGACTCCACAAAAGATAAAATGGATCAATTTATAGATGATGGACAATTGTAAGGCAAGGGAACCAATCTAGCTGGCCTGCACCCATTCATGAACATGTAACCAATAGCAAAAAAAAAAATGGTAAATTTGGAGCAGTAGTTGAAAAAGTTAGGTTTTTCCAACGCTAGTCGGCCGATCACCGTTGGAAATGTTAACAAAAATACCATTTGCTTGAAAATGACTTCACACCAGGTGCCGTAATTTTAGAAGATGCTTGAGACTGTCATTTACCAACATCTTAGTAAGGTATTTCGAAACAACTTGGTAGTTTTATTTTTCGATGTTTGCAAATGTTGTATATTCCCTTTAAAAGCTGATGTAGGTTTTATGTAGCACATGGTTAGTTATAACCAGTGTGAACACTGGCCTTTTTTTTTTTTAAATGCATATCCTATTGTATGCTTGGTACAATAACAAACATCTGGTCAGGGAAGTCTGTAGGGAAAAAACAAACATTATTATTGATTGTAAAATTATAACAAAAATAACCAAGAAATTTACACGTGTGAGGGCATGCATAAACAGGCACGGAAGCAGTGCGAGCAAAATGAATGCATAAATTGTGTAAACGTGGCAGGGAAGGTTTGCATTGTTGGACTAAATGTGTACACCTATGCATGATTAAAGTGGAATTTGACGTGGCTGATTGGGTATGTCATAACGGTAGTTGGCCCCATAAATGTGGCCAATTTACTGGACTACCTCCGTAAACATAGGCCACACATCCACATGTACAAAAACGTGTCGCACTTTGTCAAATTTTGATTTTCACATTTAGGCTTAGTTTGTAGGTTTTTTTTGCTTTAGAAGCATACTCACCCTCTTTATAGGCTTATCAGAAAGTGCTGTCTTTTTCAGATGTCTATTTTTCGTGAAATTTCCAGATTCATTTGCACACGTTTGCATATCAAAATTTCAACATGAAATTTCACAAAAATTAGACATCTGAAAAAGACAGCACTTTCTGATTAGCCTATAAAGAGGGTGAGTATGCTTCTCAAGCAAAAAAACCCAACAAACTAAGCCTAAATGTGAAAATCAAAATTGGGCAAAGTGCGACACGTTTTTGTACATGTGGATGTGTGGCCTATGTTTACGGAGGTAGTCCAGTAAATTGGCCACATTTATGGGGCTAAACGGTGGTGTGTTTTGTTCAAATCCAGACTACATGTTGAGTGAATGTATGATTTCATAATTTTCAGTGAGCCACAAGATGTACATGCACGTATACATGTATGAGAACTACATGTGCATGTATTGTATATTACAGCACGTTGCTCGTTTTAATAACTACATGAGCATGTACAATGATCTATTCATCATTAAGCCTCAGAAGCCCTTGTTGTTGGTACTGGTACATGTACATGTAGTACATTGGGCTTCTTGCAAATTCATGGAGGCATGAATCAAGTATCCACTTGTTTTCAGCGCAGCACCATTGGTTATAGCGCCCGCTTGCATCCTGTTACTTATCCCATGAGCGCAGCAATCTTAATTTTGCATCCTGTTTTACCATCCCATTAAAGTTGTTCCTCTCATTCGATAAGTCTTCTGTGGTGTCCCCCATTATGTACTTTGTGGCAATCCCACCACTGCCACCGCGTCACTACAACAAGTAGATAAGGGGTACGCCACATGAATGAATCACGCAGTTTCTGAGTGAAAAGAAAAGTAATAAGATAGAGAAGCGAAAATATCTCATGAGCTTTTTACTCATGAATACATCTTTTACTGTTTTCTTTTGTCAGGAGGTGCATGTGAGAAGTTAGCTTCGGCATGGAGAACTTAAAGCATTGGAGCATTGGGCACGTTGGACGGCGAAGTGTTCCCTTGACATTCAACATGTTCAATGCCAGCTCGGTAGTGAGCGTCCAACCTCCCCACACAGCACCTACCGTTGCTCAAGTCACTTTGTTTCTGTTATGGCTCACTGCAATCGTCATGTGGCTTCTCCGATACTTTTACAGTCGCCAACGGAATGGAGTTTCCGAGGCGACCGGTGATTTAGATCTTGAAGCCTCCGCGACTGACACGGAGCAGGATTCACCGAACAAAAACGATCCGGAAAACGGGAACAGAAACACGCCGCAGAGGAAGTACGCACAGAATCTAGGTGCTCAAAACAGCATTGTAACTACCGAAGCAACGGCGGAAGTTATTGTTAACGTTCAGCAGGAAAGTGCCCAAAATGGACTTGATGCCCAAAAGGGTAACATCGAAAGAGACATTCCAAATGGAAAAGTCACCACTGACCTCAGTGACGAAAATCCGCAACCAAATTCTGTTCACATTGCACCTCAGGAGAAAAAGCGTGACACAACTCAAGATCTGAAGATGCCAGAAAAAGAAGCGAAAACTTTCTCCAAAGTGAAGCCGCCACCAACATTTGACGAGTTCTTAAAATACTGTGCCGTGTTCGGCCTGATAATGATCTTCTTCTACGTGTGTGACTACCAGCATCACTGGCCCGTAGCGGAGAGGCAGTACTCGCGAGACTTGTTCATGTTTCTGGTCCTCCTGCTGTTTGCTGTCGCAGGGGCGTTCACAGTACAGAAAACACCAGATAAACTTCTCAACAGGTTAGTTGGGTATTCACAGGAATTTGCTGAGCGTAAAACATTTATTTGTTTTAATAGCAAATATAAGTTACAAGTCAAAATGTATGGCTATGGATTATGACACTTCTGTAATGGTTCAAACTAGCCATAGCTGTACACGGAAGTGGCTACAGATTGCAATTACGTATACACGTACGCCTATGGATGCGGCTTAATCCATTTCTCATAGACTCGTTTGTTATTGCCTGCCATAGCCACAGTCTTATCTCCTTCTTTTTCCAGGGACCAGACTGAGGAATGGAAGGGTTGGATGCAGGTAATGTTCATCTGGTACCACTACTACAGGGCGACAGAGACTTACAACTACATCAGGGTATTCATTGCTTGTTACGTCTGGATGACTGGATTTGGTAAGTTGTGATTGCGAGCTAGGAAACGGTAACGCAAATTTAATGACTAGACAACTTCTGAATCAGAGTTCGTCACAAGGCATCAATCACAATTGAGTCAATCACAACTTTTTCACAAGTGAATCACAGTTAATCACTAGTAAATTACAAATCAATCACAAGTCAGTCACAAGGCAATCACAAGGCAATCACACTCCAATTACAAGACAATCACTAGTCCATCACAAGTCAATCACAAGTCAATCACAAGACAACCACAAGGCAATCACATAAAGAAATACATTTGTCACAGTTCATTTAAATGGCATCTAACTTGACTTCTATCCAGTTTCATTTTTGTCAAGTTTCTTGCAGCAGAATCTTTCATAATTTAAAATTAAAATTTAAAATTGCCTTTTTCCGCTTGCAGGTAATTTCTCTTTCTTCTGGGTTCGCAAGGATTTCTCTCTTTGGCGTTTTCTAAAGATGCTGTTCCGCTTGAATTTCCTGGTAGTCATGACCATGCTGGTAACCGACAACAGCTACATGCTGTACTACATCTGCGCCATGCACACCTATTGGTTCTTGTCGGTCTACGCGTTCATGGGGATCCTCCCTTCCTGGAACGAGAACCGAGTCAAGATGGCCGCCAAGTTCATCTGCTACTTCGTAATCAACTTTTTGGTCTTTGATACGCAACTACGCGAGGTTGTCTTTAAGCCGTTTTGGCTTGTGCTGTCGTACAAAGGTTCCATGCACGAGTGGCTGTTTCGAGCCGGGTTGGACCACTATGCCGCTTTCGTTGGGATGCTCTGCGCGTACAACTACCCCCACTACGAACGCTTCATGAATTATCTGGACAAGCGCCACCTCAATCGCAGCGATTATTTATCCTCAATTTACATCAAGTTGTTCCTCAGCGGGCTTCTTTGTATCGCCGTGGCTATCTGGTACGACAACGTCATGTGGCGTGATAGGTACGACTACAATGAATACAACCCCTACACAACATGGCTGCCAATACTCGTTTACATCTTTTTCCGTAACCTGTTTCCGTGGTTACGGGTGCGGTATCTTGGCCTCTTCGCGTTCCTCGGTAAGATCACATTAGAGACATACATCAGCCAGCTTCACATCTACATGCAGTTCGGCGCGCGCAAGCTGATCGTTTTCATCCCCGATTATCCGCTTCTGAATTTCGCGCTTGCGTCGGTCCTCTACTTGTTCTTGTCGCAAAGGCTGTTTCATCTGACGTTAGAGTTTAGCGCTTTCGTGTTGCCCAAGGACATGAAGAAAGTTGTCATGAATTGCATCGTGGGAGCCGTGGTAGTCGGCTTGCACTTGTGCTTCGCTCTGCTCCTGCGGGAAATTGGAATCGTTTAAATCCTGATTCCCTCATAGAACACGGAACACGGACATCCAAGAGTTTCGTACATTGCCTTGTCTAGTTTCTTGACCTATTGTTTATGGTGGCTTCATATTCCAAGATGTTTATTTTAGTTGCTAAAACATGTATTCAAGATAATTTATTTTTACAGAAGATAGTTGGTGGTGGAAGACTTTTTATTTTTTTGCAACTGTTAAATGCTTGCAGTCAGCTTGAAGTTTTTGCAAAAATGAAGCATTTTGTTTTGAATTTGTTCTTAATTGTCAATAGGATACCAAATATTTGATACATCATGAAAAAAATGTAAATCTGGAGAAAATAAATTTCTGAAGACATTTCAAACTTCTGTGACGTCAATTCATAAATTCTCATGTGTACATTGGAAATGAAAGATTAGTGTCTTGAAATAATTGAGGTCAGAGAAGTTGGTTCTGAGAAGGAAATTTTACTAATAATATGATAGCTGTTTTGTAGCAAATTGTTGCACTTTTAAAAAGTTCTTTTGTGCAATCAATGCCAAAAAATAGTCTTTCATTTTATCTGTTATTTTTAGGAAATCTGTACATTTCTATTTCATAGAATTATCCTTGGTATTGTTTTTTTTTACCCTAACTCCATACGGTTTGTGAAAAATTATATTAAAATTGAACCAGCAGCATTAATGTCTAATAAAAAAGGATATTTTTTTAAAGAGATATACATGTACTCAAAAACATGCCAGTTCATTTCTGTACAGCAATGTAGCAGGTCAGTTCGTAATTGATCGGGTTTCCGGATAAGTGCACTATATAAATCTATATTATTATTATATTATTGCATGTCCAAAACTCACAATGCTTGTTTTTGTGTGGAATATTTCTTTGCAACTCAGATCAAAGCAGGAACACATATAATTATGGTAATTTTTTTTGTACAACTCGTTTATTAAATATTCAAAATATTAAATAATTAAATATTGTTCAACTCCCAATTGGGAAGCCCACTCCAGCTGTCATTTAAAGTGCATGCCCTCTACTTCATGAGTTTTTAATAATTTATATTACATGTTTATACGTTTCTTTTGTTGTGCGTTTTCAACAACTTTTGTGTAATTGTTGTTTGGTTCTGTATCACTGTATGTAATTCTTTGTTGAGGTCGAATAAATAATAATAATAAAAATAAATTATGTAGGTATGGATTAGTGCAATTTAGTTTATTTTTGACTAGATTATCGTTGAAGACGAAACATTGATATTTTGATCGGTTTCACTGTTTAGTTACGAAAAATTAATGTTAGCAATGGAACACATCACAACATTTAAAATTTAAATTTTAAACAATATTCGGAAAAAAGATAGTGTTAGTGTATTCCATCTATTGGGAGAAAAAAAAATTTCAATTCACTTAATAATTAGTTAAGTTGATCAGAGGGATACGTTTGCTTTCTGTTTCTAATAAAAAAAGATGACGACAGACAAAAGAAGACATTGAGACTGCATTTGTACACATTTCCTTTAGTGTTTTATTTACTCACTTTCAAGATTATTTTATCTTCCATACTAGAATGTATGTTTGAAATAACTGTCCACACGTAATTGTCTTTTACCCCAGTGCACTGTGCAGGACATGTGACTATTTTTAATAAGGGTATTTCTTTAAATTGTGGTGTCTCCTTTCAACTTGTTCATAATACACGTATTAGTGATACGAGTGGTGGGAGAAACCAGAGATTTAAAAATCCGGTCATACGATTTTCTTTTCAAACCAAATATCCAATTTTACCAGAAGCTCCCATTCGTGCCAACAAAAAAAGTGACGAGTAAGGTGCCACATGCAGTGCCCTCCACAATATTTGGGTATGGGCTCCATGTACCAACTAAAGAGGGCGCCCTTTTACCTAGAAACGACGTCCCAATGGCGTCGTTCGGTCACCCCCAACGGTACTTTCTTTGCCGGTGAGGGGGTACTTGTGAACAGAGCGGATAGTCTGTGGGAGTTAGTGACCACCGGGCCTTTACAAAAAAACACCCAGGAGCTGTCGTGTTAAAAACATGGGTGGGAACTCTCAGATCAGTCAAATCGGCAGGTTATTCACGAACCAAAAAACCACTGAGTGAATGTGGTTACAATCAAGAGACTATCGAGCAACTTCGGGGATGCTGCAAGTTATTTTCTTTAGCTTGTGTCACAAAAAAGTAAAGGCCTGATTTTTTTCCCCCACAGCGGTGTGAAACACGTCATGGGCTTGAGCTGCTTATGTTGGTTGGTGGGTAGGTTGATTGGTTAACACTTACTCGGCCATATATTGTATCCATACAACTCAAGTATTACAGCTTTGCATTCGAAGACCGGTTTTGCAAACACTGTATGCGTCTAATTTGCAGACTTTTATCACGCCCCATTCCTTTTCTGTACTCTCGAGGTACCGGTACTGCCTGGGTGCACGGACGGTGCCGTATAGCCCTCCTCACACGTTACCCGGCCTCACTGCTACCCGGCTGCCATGGGTTGTACCACTTGGTACTTATTTAAGGTTGGTTTTGAATATCCTTTTTCTAAAATTCTAACTGAATAGAGGAATTCAAACCAAATTTTGAAAAATCTGGATTTCAATTCCACCACTAGGTGTTGAATTTACATGTAATCATTATTTATGTGAAGCTTTTGTATTTAACGCTTCTTTCTACTACGGAATACCATGAATACTCGTTACTTTTATTTCCTTCATTCTTCCTCCTTTTCCATAAAGGAGTCTCTCTCTCTCTGAACATTCGGTGCTGTGTATATTTTTCAATTCTTTAAATTCATGAAACAAATTATCCTAAACATAAATAACTTAAACAATAAAAACAGAAATTGTGTCGATAGCCTAGACGTGAAAGTTAAAATACAGAAAATTCTTCAATAATTTTTTTTTTACTCAATGCAAACTCAATCACATGTCAAAATTCACCCAAATAATAAGCACTAGACAAAAGCATTGAATCTGTATTATGGTAAATTCCTGTGCGAGTCTTAATAGACAGTGCTGTGCACATTAGAAGGGAAGGGTACACTGTCAAGTGACGCAAATGTGAGAACCATCCCTCTTTTAAAAAATCTGTCCAGGACAAAAATTCTCTAAATACTTCCCGGACGACTACTTTGGTTAAATGTTACTACAACTAGAATTTATAGACTAATCCGGCGGCAGCCACTTTCTGAGGTGGCATTAAGCTCACGCGAGTCGCGCTCAGGTGGTTCACACACACACACTGCGGACTCCTCCGACCAATCGAGTTACCAAAATACGTACGCGCCTTTTCTTGAAGAACGCGTGCAGCATGCGTGTGAGTGTGGCACCACCGCAGTAACGGCTTCTAATTCTGGTCGCCGGAGTCCGCTATACGAAGCCGAATGCTTTGGTCTTGATAGCCATGAGTAGTTTCTTCTTCAGGATGGCCTTGGAGCTGTACAGAGGGATGTAGAGGCGCGAGATGCAGGTGTTGGCCGTGGGTAGGTGGTTATCGTCCGGCGGTCGGACGGTGATGGTCGGCATGGGTTGGAACCCTTCCTCGCTGGCCGGGAGGTTGGGGCTGGACGTCCAGAAGTAGACCTAGGGTGGCAAAAGGGGACACTTGGACCGTTACTAGACCCTCTAAAGCATTTCAGCAGTTGCTTTGGTCCTGGTACCCGACTGCCTGTGCATTTTGTTTCTCTAATGTAGCTGGCTTAGGCAAGCACGGTAAAGACGCCCTGGTGCAAGAGGGAGATATCCCCAAGATGAAGCAAATCAAGTCTTGGGAGATTGCGCACTCGTTTCGTCTTTGAATTTGGTTGCATTTGTTCAAAGTCAAAACCATTTTATTTAAAATGATAACCAAGTTTAGCTTACCAGATCTTGTCGTTGCTGGTTGCTCATCTTCTCCACGATGGCCCAGAACCAGAGTTTGAAGCGGCTCAGTTTCTCCCCGCCCTCGCCTGCGTGGGTCTCTCCTGTACAAAAACAGACAAATTCAACTTTGGTTCAGCTGAGATTCAACACAAACTTAACAACATCTTGGCTTCATCGCCAACTTTACGAGATTTAGGCCCCTGAGTTGGGAGACTCAGGCTCAATATTGGTCTGTCTGCTTCAGACAAATCTATCTTTGACTAACTGACCGACTGACTGACTATTATTATATCAAAGTTCTGTTGTATGTCAGTCGGTCAGTCAGCGACCCAGTAGTCTGAGCACAATAGCCTGGCCCTTCAGGTCCAGCAAAGAGGACTCGACTACTGCTGGCATCTGGAAATCTCTTCTTGAGGTAGGCCGCTCACCAGTTTCATCATTGAACGTTGTGTAGCTGATGAGAGTCTGCACATTGACTTGACCGCAGCCGTTGACCAACAGACGGAAGTCCTCAGCGGTCAGACCCTCTAAGGCTCCCTTGGGTAGGACGTCGTACAGGCCTTGCTTCATGGACTATCAGCACAGCAAAGACAAAAATCAGAAGGGACAGCATTAGTCTACAAACTTAAAGAATTTCCCATCAATTTCTGATTGACATTCCAAAGTCACGTCAAACTAAAAAGTATTTAGAATGACTCAAGCCAACCCGAACAGGTCTTGGTTTCCGGAATAATTTTATGCTGGGCCGGACTCATTAACAAACCGCATAATAAATTTGCTCCTTTGACATACCGCATAGGCCTTCTGCGCAACCACCGTCATCCGATACTCAGCGTAGCGTCGCACGTAGTCATACACATTCGCCACCGTGACACGGGTCTCCAAGCCGTGGGGGATCAGCTCCACCTGCCCCCCATTACTGCTGGCCCCGCCGCCTTCCTCCTTGCACAGCTCGATGCTGAAGTAAAGATCCAAGGAGTTGATGAGGCCTTCGGCTCCGTCCCGCTGGGCGTCCAGGAGCAGGTGTCGCAGGCTCTCATAGAGGGCTGGGTCAAGGAAGGCTAGATCGTGCCAGCCAACCTGCAAAAGGTAGAAACAAAATATTAATAAAATTTGCTCAACTAAATCTCAATCCAGTTCAGAAATTTCAGATTTTTAAGTTCGTAAAAGCGTAAGTGAACATTTTCTCTGGCCGGTTTACCTTTCTCCCAAGCAGCACCTTGACAACGTGTCGACTCAAGGTCAAAGGGCAAAGTTCATTCTGCAGGAGGCACAGTCCTAGAATCCTGCAACAGTACAAAACGGGAAGTGAGACATGAAGTTAATAAGAAAATGGTCAGCGTACCACAAAGATTAAGTGCTGTGGGCTATTGAACTAAGGGTCAGGGGTTTAAATCCCAGGACTGGCATTGTGCTGTGTCCCCAGGCAAGCCACTTTACCACAATTTGCTTCTCTTACCACTCAGGTGCAAGCGTTAGCAAAGGACATGTATTTGGATTATTGAGATGACTCTTTACCTTCCAACATTCCTGAAGCAGTTGAGACGCTCCGTGCTGTTCTTTCCCGGCCGGGGGGAATAGAACCCTCTCTTCCCCGGCTGGTAAAACAACGGCTCGTTGTCAAGCTCTGCTCCTTCCTCCCCTTCCTCGGATTCGTCCGGGCGTGGTCCTTCCCCGCCCAATCCAGGCTTGGGTTTGTCTTGGTGGGCTGGTCCAGAAGAGGGTCCTGAACCGCTGCGGTCCGAGAGACTGAAGATGTCTAGATCTAACAGGCTGCTCTCGGAACTTTCCTCCCTGTCAGGGGAAAAAAATTAGATGATTTCACAAAGCCAAGGTTTTGAAAAACCCCTTAGAATATATTGTTGGGACTATGACCCAGCTCACATACAAGTCAGATGTTAGGGCTCACCTTCCGTGGCTGAGAATGATGTCCACGGCTTCGTCCACTCGCTCCCTCAGTGTCTCCTCGCTGGATAGTAATAACAGCAACCTGGCTGGTGGCAACTCTAGCAACATGCCCGTGATCTTACTAGCCAATGACTGGAAAAAAAACAGAAAGAATACGTGAGGGAAATTTAAAAAATGAGCAGGATGATACTGCAACAGCTTTGGATCTTAACAAAATGTACTAATGGATTCAATGTTATCGTTGTCCCGCTGAGGTACTCACTGGTTGCAGAGCTAGGACTCTTGGAAACAACCTCTCTCCCAGGGCTTGCTTGGCAGGAGTCAGGGGCTCGTAGTCCCCGGCCCGATCCTCTGCACTGCCTCCATCCCGCGGGTAGAACGGTCTCGCGTCGTAGGAGAGCTGATTACGCTCGCGATCAAACATTTGGATCATGCGACCGCTGCGGTAGTCTGACTGACGACGGCGCTCGCGCTCCCGTTCCTGACTTCGAAGCCGCTGTATTAGCCCTGTGTGTAGGTTCAGAAAAACAACACAGAGATGAAATGAATTAATGACAATAATCTGATTTAAAAAGCAAGTATCGGAACTTACTAAGTTCAATTCATTTACTTGGATCAATTTCAACATCATAAAGAAAAATACACAGCCATTGTGGGCGACCATAAGGAACTCTGCTTGAACTATTACTCTGTATTCACAGAATCTCCATACAGAACAGGACCAGACATGGTAAACTATCCTCCCCAAGGACACAAACACTGACTATACTGAGGTACTGACTATACTGAGGTCCCTTGTAGCTCCCCTGAGACTCGTCCAAGCTGGGTAGCTTCTCTCCCGACATGAACGCCTCAGCAATGGCGGTGTAGAAGCTCCGGGCCACCCCGCTGCCTTCTCCGGGCTCGTCCTTGAAGGTCACCTTGACTCGCTGGACAGCCATGGGGGGACCTGTGGAGGCGCTGCTGCGGCGGTTGTAGAAGGAGTTGAGCTGGCGGATGGTCTGCTGCATCAAGAGCTCTCGTTTGCGCTCCACCTGACACAAAGATACAAGTTTCTACATTTTGAAGGGACAACATATTTTCAACCAAAAAAACACCCCCAAATTCTGAAAGGCATCTTTTTATAGTAAGTCTGAAGTCTTTGCTAAGAAGTTGCTTACTTCCAATGTCAGATCCCCATTCCTGTTGTTGCGTAGTTTCTCCATCTCACGACGGAAGCGTAGCTCTTTGACCTCAAAGGGGCGTAACTCCCCAAGCACTGAGTAAGGCTCGGCCCCTACATCCTCCAGGAAGACCCGGCCAAAGAGCTCTAGGCAAAGACGCCATCTTCCAAGAAGGTTGTCGGCTGAGACCATTGGGCTGAGAGCACTCTTAAACCTGACAAGAAAATTAAAAAATAAGTGCCATAAAGTAATCAATATTTTAGGAATAGCCACACTAAAAAACCCTAATCCTAATCAAGAGTATCAATAAGTAATCTGATGTTTTGAGTAACCTTCTAGGGAAACAGATATTAACCAACAAAACAAAGGAAGATCTCATGATTTCCAATCCTCTCTTTCACTTCTAGCAAGTAGTGTGTTCAGGTGGATAAGTATTTAAATCCAAGTTGTATTCGTACCTGTCAGTGGGTTTCCCTGGCCCAACAGTGAGCAGCCCTCCCAAAGCTTCCCCAGCTGAGTTGCTCAGTCCAGGACCCATAGCTAATCCTACATCTGCATCAATCCCACTGCTGCCACCATCGTTAGCATTGCCAGAGCGGGACGGCTGGTCCTGTGATGTGACGGCCCCGCTCCTCCTCAACGGGCTCTGCATTGGCGGCGGTAAAGTGGGTGGAGCCTCACTCGGGGCATCTAGTCTTACATCGATGGGGCAGAGTCCTGATTGTCCAGCTAGTAGCTGGGCAGGGTCTGCTAGGGGAATCATCTCTTGAGGTCTTGGACCCTGGCTCGAACCGGCTAGGTCATCAACAAGCCTCCCTCCCTGGGTGACCTCCTCGTAAGAAGGCGGCCTCTGCGCTAGTCCAGTTGTCCGGATGACTGACACCTCCTGAGGGGATATGGTGGCAATCGCGTTAAGCAGCTCCCGGTTGTCCGATGATGATGGGGCACCAACTCTTGGGGGAGTTGACAGCGATCCTCCTAGGATGTCCGGGAAGAATGGGGTGTGGGTGAACGAGCCAGCCCTGATGACACCACTGCGAAGGTCCCTCTCGGTCTGGGAGTCTAGGGAAGCACCGCTGGAGCCTAGCGGGTGGCTACGAGATGAGTTGCTGGGGTCACTAGATGAGGTTCCCTGGGAGGAGAGGGTTGGATCACTGCCGATTCCTTGGCTCTGGCTCATCAGAACAGTGGACAGACTGGCTAAGCTGGCTCCTATAAACATGTGGAACAACAAACATTTAGTGAGTACTGTAATGAACTCCCCCACAAAAGTATGAAGAGGGCAGTCACGTCTTGAAGAGCAGCAACCCTTTTATAAAAATAGTGCATCCCCGGGCATCTTAAATTAAGGCAAAATATGTCAGGAAAGTAACAAACACTAACACAGAAGCTTGTAACAACTTGTATTGTGGGTTAAGAAAAAGACAAGTTCTTAGCTCACTTCTGACCTATATTTACAAAGCAAAATACAGTTCTTTAAAAATTTTACAGGTATAAATTTTCAGCAGCCAACCTGACGGATCACTAGAAGTTTCTGTTCTTGCTCCAGATTCATTCTCCGCTGTGACATCCGACATACGCTGAGGTTCTCCAGCAACTAAGGTTTCTCCATCTTGTGGAGGCAGCAAACCATCCCCAGCCTCCAACTCCTCATCAGTATCGTCTAGATCGCTGCTGGCATGAGGGTTACGCTGCGACACGCTCATCCTCATTGGGATGACCTCAAGGAATTGTCGCTCAACGGTCACCGATGCACTGTGGGATGTAATGGGTGGGGGATCCGAGGAGGATGACCCAGGAACAACTTGGTGTGGGACTCCAAAGAGCTGCTCCCGGGTGGCATCTGGCTGTAGGAGCTGCGGTCTGTCAGCAAGCGGCAAGGCTTCTGAGAGAGGTGTGCTGAAGGGATCTGGTGGCTGGCATCCTAGGAAGGTGGTGGAGTCGGAACGGACAAAGAAAGGATGTCGCTGACCCGAGGTGGAGCCAGTGACACTGCCATCATCTTCGACGCTCTCCGTGTCCAACACCACACTGGCATCAGTGCCTTCCTCATCAGCTGCCTCCTCAATCTCGTACTCCTGAGAGACAAGATTCCATGAGGAGCGACGGATGCGATCCTGGTCAGCTGCTGCCATTCCTGCGCTGTCCTGCTCAGCGCAGCGCATGTAGTATATCATGGCATCCAGGACATAAGCGACATGCTTCAGAGCTGAGATATCTAGGACAGGCAGCCAGCTGGCGTGCTCGTTGTTGTGGGAGCGCATCAGCGACAGGGTGTAATTGAGAAAGTCCATGAGGGCAGAGTGCTCCTCGCTGTTACTGGCAGAATGAGAAGCTGCTGTGTTGCTGCGACGGTTCTCCAAGCTGCGCTGGAAGGATTGCTCCTCTCTTGTTGCTGCCTCGCGGGCCGCGCCTCTTAATCCACGCATGTACTGAGCATGGTTGGGGTGTGTTGGATGGGCGGGGTCAGTTGCAGCTGTCAAAGCTTTACCATAACGGAGTTGTGCCTCTGTGCTGTTCATAATGCAAACGAGCCAATCCCAGGTAGGTTTCAGGCAGTTTTCCACAACCAACTATAATGAGAAAAGCAATACACCCCTCAAAATGTACTCCATACATCAATCAAAATAAAAATGCACTTTAGAAACTACAAATAAGACACTCAGATTTGATTACAATTCTCAGAAGCTAATGACATATGAGGCTGAATTTTATAAAATGCCAACCTTTAAATCATCAGCCTCTTCAGCCGTGACTTCCACGCTCTCCCGCAGGCTGTCCGGGCCGTGGTATATCAACAGCATGGTTAGCAGCTCTGTGATCTGACGCACCACGATCCCGTAGGCTCGGGCTAGGCGGCTGGCCGTGGTAGAGGGCGCTGTTTCATTACTGGAAGCAGTGCTGCTGCTGTTGGCTAGGGCGCTCGCGGCGCTGATGGCCATGCGACGTTGACTGGAGGCATCAATGTAGATCAGGCCTCCTGGCAAATGAAAAACAAAAGATCAATATAAAGAGATCTGGCTAACAATAGCCCAACTAATTACGATCTTATTCACCTAGTTGACAACGGTTGGACTTATCTAGGTAACTTTTTGGGTCCAGCCTAGTAAATAAACCCACTCTTCAAGTAAATTTGGGAAGTGCGGCCTTGCGGACAGGGTTTGTGACTTATGATGGGAGGGTCAGGGTTCAAATTCTGTTGCTGGCCATAGATTGTGTCTTTGGGCAAGCCACTTCACCCCTACTTGCCTCATTCCATCCAGGAGTATAAACGGCTCCTAATATTTCCTGGAGTATAACCTGCGGTGGACGTGTATCCAATTCAAGGGGTTTACAAATTCTTGAGCAAGTTCCAAGTGTGCAAGACTGAGAGATGCAAACAACTCACGAGTGTTGGAGGTAGCTGCCGGAGTTGCTGTACTGGTCTCGCTACTCCTAGCAGTCTGATTCCGGAATGCCCACTGCATTGGGTGCTGGGGCTGGGTAGTCCGGGACCCGCCCTGTCGGCTGCTGTTGCCCGGCCTATCCAAGGTGTCCGTGCCGAAGGACGAGGGGTCTTCCATTTCTTCTTCCTCTTCAATCTCATTCTCGCTGTCATCGTCGTCATCGCCTTCCGCATCGTCGAGGTTGGACGAGGACTCATCTTCCGAGTAGAACACAGCCACTGATCCTCCACCTGTTTTCATAATCAGTCAAATGTTTTTGTTCTTCTTAACTCAATAAATACTGATGTTCCCTAAAATGTATTGTACAGTTATGGTTCGTTAGGGAATAAATACAACGTAATACACTTTAATACAAATCTGCACCTGCATCAGAGCCTGCCGTGGCGGCTGTCACAGCGCTGCGTCGGCCGCTTGTTGCGTCTTGGTCTTGGCTGGCCGCATCCTGATCCTGGTTGCTATGGTTACTGTCGCTATCACTATCGCTCTCGGCAAGGAGATCCAAGTCCATGTCGCTCTCGTTACCGTCGTCTTCATTCTGGTCGTCCCTGTGCTCCCCTTCAGGGTGATTGTCGCCCTCTACAGGGTCACGATTGTGAGGATCGCGAGGCACGTCAAGAGCTTCACCCTCCACTGCATCAACCTGTTTTAAAGCGACAACTTGAGGAGTCAAACTCAACCTTACCTAGCCTAACTTTTGACATGGATCAAACTTATGACATGAACCAAACTTTTCACAAAGCCCCAACATTTGACAGAGATAAAAAATTTGGCAAGGACCAGACTTCTAACAAAGATCAACTTTGACACATACCAAAGAGTTAACAAGGACCTGACTTTTGACAAGGATCAAATTTTTGACCCTGATCGAACTTCTTACGAGACCAAACTTTGACAGTATCTTTTGACATGGATGCACTTTTTGACATAGATCAAACTCTTGAGATGGACCAAACTTGTTGACAAAGACATACCCAATTTATGACATTGATCAAACTTTTTGACATTGACCAAGTTTTTTGCCCTGGACTAAATTTATGACAGGGATCAAACTTTTGACATGGATCAAACTGTTTAAAGTGAATCAAATTTTTGGACAAATCTGCCAATACCTCCATTCCATCAGCGCCAATATCTTGTTCTTCCTCGTCATCTCCGAGCCGGCTGGTGACAGAACGGTGGCGGAGGCTCCCTACGGGCCGCGAGCCCATGCTGCCCATCGTCTCGGAGCGAGAGCTGTTCTGATGGGGAAGTGGCTCTGAGAAGAACAGCTCCTCACTTCCCTGCATGACCAAATACAGAACCGAATCTCAAGACACTGTAGCCCATTATTTGTTAAGTCAAATCCTTGAATACAAAGCTTTTGCCACAAGATTAAAAACTTATCTATCCATTTTGTTAACCTTTCGTTTCAAAGGGCCTGCCAGGTTGGCCAAAATAACTATTTTAACCCTCGTATGTATCATTACTGGGAACCTTGCTGAAACGTCCTAATTGTAATACTGCACAGGAACCCACAAGCACATCCTGGGAGTGTAACTTTCAAAAGACAGCAAGCCCAATGCAATGTTAAAATTAAAAAAGCCCGTTTCAGGTGCCTGCTCGACCAGAGAAAGTTTCTAAGCCCAAGAGGAAGACTTGCACAGAAATAAGTAATGAGGTGTCCTATTTGGCAGGAGCAGAATTCAGCAGTGCCTCTCGGATAGTTGAGTTCCACAGAGTACATTTCAAAATTCTAAAACTGAATTTCAAGATCTGAGAGAGACGGGCCTCACCTGTACTGCGTCTGCGTGACTGCTGAAGAGAGGGAAGGGTGCCGTGGGACGCGTGATGCCCATCCTGACCGGCGCGATGAGGGACTCGGCGATCTCGCACAGCTCCCCGACCGACTGGTGGATGAGGGCCTGGAAGACGCGCTTGCAGCGAAGCACTGCCTCTGAACTGTAGCAGGAGGGACATTAAAGTCATTACATTAGCCCTTTTACAAAGCAGGACTGTTCTTATCAGAACAAAAACTACATAGCGAAAGTTGATAATAAGCAGGACAAGTTCTTTTCAGAACTAAATATCTTCTAAGCAGTAGTTATTACCACATGGTGTTACCGCAACCGAAACGATACCGATTCTCCACCATGCAAAGCCTAAAATCTTATATTAGCCCTTTTGGTGCACATTTTATTTGGATAAGATGCACAGATTATCACATTTCATGGATGGCCACTAGTGGCCAAAAAGGGTTTATCCATAAGTGTAAGTTTGCTACGTTTATTCAGTTATGTGTAGTTTGTGTGAGAACTAGTTATGATAATGATTGAAATCATTTCTTATATCAGGCATGCAACTTGGAATTAACAAAAAACGAAGAAATTCAAGTAAGATTTGAGGCTTTGCATGGTGGCGATACTAAGTAATGAAAGGTTTGCGGAAACACCATGTGCGAATAATTTCTCAACTAAGAGAATGGTTCTGAAAAGAACCAGAGGTATTAACTCAACGTTCCGGTCAGTATGCTCTGACCTAAGAAGAAATTCAAAATTTTACATGACTTTGTTTAGTGTTTTTCAATTTTCAATGGTCTAAGTGTGAAGTGAAAAACGAGGAAATCGGCTGATCCGAGGAAAAGTTGCAAGTTATATTTGTCGTTGGGAAAAATATATAATGAAAATCAATTTATTAGCTAAGTACAGAGAAACACCGAGAGTGGGGATTCCTACCATTTTTTTCCTGGGGCCATCTCCACCGTCAGCACGACAAAGACGCGAGCAACAGAGCGGACGAAGCGACTCACCACGTCCACGACCTCCGACTTCTGAGACGCGTTGGTCGTTGTCGTCAGTTTTTTTATCAGTGTAGTCAGTAATGTGTCTAAATCCTAGAAAAACAAAATTAACCCAAGAGGAAAAAAATTAAACCTAAACTCTATAGGCAATTTTTCGATTGGCATGAAACAAAGCGTTGAAATAGGCATGAAATAGATTTACAATAGTTTTTATAAGATGGAATTTTGCGTCGGGGTGATATAAATCGTTTTTTTTTTGCCCTTCACTGACGTTTAAGCACTGTATACTCAGTGTGTTACCTCCCGAGTGAAACTTGGAAAAAAATCACTCTCTATGGGTTCGAGTCCCACCCGAGTGATTTTTTCCAACTTTCACTCGGGAGGTAACACACTGAGTATACAGTGCTTAAACGTCGGTGAAGGGCAAAAAAACCTGATTTACAATAGTTTTGGCACTTGAATGACGTGATTTTGGCCACATAACATTTATTTTGGTAATTCTTTACCGAAACTCTCTTGGCTATACAGCTTGCCATCTTCTGAACATAATTACTTTGGCTTACCGTGCTCGTGCATTTGACAATTAGGGTGTGGGTGAACCAGTCTAACCGCATGGTCTCTGATTGGCTGTTCAGGTACACCTCCTCCTCTGCCATTGGTTCGTGGGGCTGGTTGCCGCAATCTGGGGCGCAGCTCCTACAAAAATCAGGTGGTGTCAAGTGAAACGAAAAATTTACTTCTACTTCAGTCAGAACATTTTCAGATCTTGTCTGAAACATTTCTAGCCAAAATTTGCTTTAAACACATAAACCCCGCAGTACAGACTACCTCTTAACCAGTTCGCGCTGGATGACGTGTATACACGTAAGGTTTTGCGGTATTCGGAACAGATGACGGACAAACCAGGCATGCAACTAGGAAGTCACAAAAAAGAGGAAAATCAAATCTTTCCCAGACTTTGTACAGTGTTTTTCCATTTGTAATGGCACACATGGGAAGTAAAAAAAGAGGAAATCAGCTGATCCGAGGAAAAGTTGCATGCCTGACAAACACGCAGGGAGCGAGGCCTGAAATATCTGTCAGTGACCCGCTCACAGCGAGCGAGGCCGGATATATGAGTGTGCTGCCCGAGGGTGATGGCTTCAACCCGCCTGGCTTAAGGTCGAGTGAAAAGTAATCCCGCGCCTCATTTCGTTCTTGTCAAAATATTCCCGCCTCGAACTGGTTGAATTCATCAAAAATGTTACGCTGCTCACAACAAAGTTAAGTATTTCTTGGATGCAAAGCATTTTCCATCCACAGTCAATTAAAAATGTGTGTTTCCCTTTGCGAAAAGTTGTCTGTATCCACTAGTAAGTTTTATAGTAAATAGAACCTCTCAAAAATGTGGAACTGATTACCGACCAATTCTGGGGCCAGGAATCATACGAACTACGAACTGTAACCGCCCCACCAATGCATGGTATTCTAAATTCATCAAGAATTAAATAAGGGAATAAATGTGTGCTCTGGAGGTTTTTATCACTCTGTTTAATACCGCTTAGAGTCTAGGTGCTGATTAATTATCAGCACCCAGACTCTAAGCGGTATTAAACAGAGTGATAAATACCGACCGAGCACATATTTATTCCCATTCATAAATACCTTATCCGTAAAAAAATATCAAATAATTCGTTCAAAAAATCCCGATTTTGTTCAACAAGTTCACTTCATGCTTTTTGAAACATCCCTCTAGCAAAATAATGGAGTGTTCAGCTGGCGAGTAAGATGAAAACAACCCTTTTATGGAGATTGACGTGCGCGTAGCATGTTCTGCGCGATGTCACGCAGAACGCACCTGGGGCGTTGCGTTTTGAATTTAGAACTATAAAATTCTGACTCCCTGGTAGTGTTGCGCATGCCTACGTGAGGATTGTGAACGTTCAACCAATGAAACGGTAAGAGGCACTGGATTTTTAGGAGTCCACATTTTATTGTGACACTGGAAAAGTGTTTAAGACCAGCTAGCCATGTCTTTATCATCCGTTTAAGACCGGCCACGTGACGGGCTCTCGACCAATAGGAATAGCTAAACTGTCTGAGGTATTTATGAATACAATATAATACAATCTATGGAAGGCACTGACTGTTGTTTCACTTACGCATCGAGATCGCTCCTACAGCCACTCCTGACCATAGCGCGGACGGCTTGCCAGTTCTGCAAGATGTTCTCCAGGGCTTGGCGGCAGAATCGCGGCGGCTCCAGGTTGTGGTCTGGCATTTCTGCGTCTGTGGACAGGAAAGCAACAACACAAAGGAGCGTCAAGCAAAATGGTTCTGATTCGTGACAAGTGATGAAAGAGTAAAGGGTTCAAATCCAGGTGTTTCCCAATCATGCCATTCTAAAAGCAAACCAGCTTGGACTCTTGAAAACATTTTAATATTTTGTTGCTGTTGGACATGTTGGAACTATTATAAACACTCCATTCTTTTGTTTTTCTTTTGTATGTTTTTTTCTTTTGTATGTTTTTTTTTTGTGGCACAAAATGAAGCAACAATGAGGTAGAAGGTGAAAATCAAGATGCTGAAGCCTTAGAACAAAGCTAGGAATGAAGCTAAGGTCTTCAAAAAGCTCACGTGCTGTGTCCTTGGGCAAGCCACTTAACCACAACTTTCCTCTCTCAAACCGTGAGTATAAATGGGCACAGGCGTCAGATGGGGGAAAAAGGAAAAAGAAATATCGGTTTAGGACTCCCCCCCCCCCCCCCCCACTAAAAATCACCCAACGTTTGGTGTGGATTCATACGCATACCTGAGTCGTTGTTCTTCCTAGGGAGTCTGTTCCTAGACGGGCCATACTGACGCTGCTCTGCAGTCTGTCTGGCAACACACTGAACCAAGAACAAGAGAATATTCTCTCCCCTGGAAAATAGAAGAAGCAATGATCAGGGGCCAATTTCATGGAGCTGCTAAACACAGAAATGCGCTTAGCATGAAAAGTCTTCCTTGGCAAAAACAGGATTACCAACCAAATGTCCATGTGCTGTATATTGCTTGTGATTGCTATCCAGCTGTGGTTTGCTAAGCATGAAAATCACATGGAGTTTTGGCTGGTAACCTGCTTTTACTAAGCAAGATTTGTTTGTGCTAAGCAAATTTTTGTGCTTAGCAGCTCTATGAAATTGGCCCCAGATCTTTATTGAAAGAATAAAAACCATATTCAGCTAAACAACGCTTCCTCAAGACTTACAAGAAGCAGCAGACAAGAGAAAATTTGACAAAGCATTTTTTTTTAGCTGTAGCTTAACCCAGTTGCACTGGAGTCAAGTTGGCATAGCAGTACTTTCCTCGCTTTCCATCACTGTGACCCGGTTCAATTCCTGCCTGGGCCAACATGTGGATTCAGTCCCTCATTCACTCCGTGGGTTTTCCCCGGAATATTCTTCTTGGGTTTATCTCTCGCATGTAAAAACTGTAATTTCTTCACATTGTTTTCTCTTTACTGGGCCCCACGGGAGACCAGTGGATTCCACTGAATGGGCTACCCAGTTGAAATTAAGAAATATATAAATAACTAAGCACTTGTAATGCTTGCATTCCATTGTATATATTCTCTGACGAATCCATGAAATTGTGATACAATCATAAAGGGTAGTTTTTGACAGCATTGGGAATAACAGGCAGGTCAATTTGAATCCAGCTGCTGGCCATATGTTGTGTCTTTGTGCAAGCCACTTCACCCCCACTTGCCTCTCTCCATCCAGGAGTATAAATGGGTACCGACATTACCTGGGGAGTAATCTGCGATGGACTGGCATCCCATCCAGGGGGAATAGAAATATTCCTACAAATCCTGCCACTGACCAATTGTGTCCTTGGGCAAGCCACTTCACCCTCACTTGCCTCTCTCCACCCAGGAGTATAAATGGGTACCGGCATTAGCTGGGGAGTAACCTGCGATGGACTAACATCCCATCCAGGGGGAATAGAAATATTCCTACAAATCCTGCCACTGACCAATTGTGTCCTTGGGCAAGCCACTTCACTCCCACTTGCCTCTCTCCACCCAGGAGTATAAATGGGTACCGGCATTAGCTGGGGAGTAACCTGCGATGGACTGGCATCCCATCCAGGAGGAGTAGAAAAGTTCTCAGTCGTAGAAAAGTTCTTCAGGCTACTGAAACCGGCGGTAAACGCCGGCCTGATGGGCCATATTGGCTCGTGACAGACTTTACTACTACTGTTTTCTTGAACAGGTGCAGTTTGGACACAGACTTACTTGTTGTTGGGCACAGTCACCAGATGAGTATCGTTCACCAGGCGATACAGCAGCTCAGTGCGGGTCTGCAGGGGGCCGGCTATCAGAGACTTACACTCGCTCTTCTCCCAACAGTCGCAGTAGGCAGTGGGCGACGTGCGCTTCAGTCTTGAGAGAAAAAAAAAATAAATAGAAAAACAAATTTAGGAATAGGATTTGGAGCAGGAAAATGAAAATCAATTCGGGCTTTTCACAATACAGTGCGCCACCAAGAGTTTGGCATGGAGAGTCCATTTTTTTTAAAAGTTTTTTTAAAACACGGCCTATTTTAATGCGTATCAGTAGACAACTTGAGCTAATTGTTAAGGATTGGGGCATAGCGATCTGCCACCTTACAAAAAAACCCACTATATTCATAAAAAAAAAAAAAGGACAAACACATACTTGAATCATACACTTACGAAATACTGACCGGACAAATTAACAATTTCAAATAGCCCGCACTGTGAATTTGTCGACTATCTCCCACAATGCACTGGAAAAAAATGAACTCTCTGTGGCAAACTCTTGGTGGCGCACTGCAATGTGAATCGCATGGTAATATAGTGTAGACAACTGGAAACTTGATTTGTGCCAAGTAACGCGTGTGTCCATGGGATGTGACTTCAGTTACTTCCAGGTACAAGATAAATGGCAAGACATAGCCAAGGTAATTTAATAGGACAAAGCCAAATGTCAAATCATTCGGCGGATGGTCTGGTGCCGTACACTTACTTGCAGTCGTGTCCCTTATGGCAAACCCGCGCACACTCAGTGCAGCAACACAGGGTACCAGTCAGACCGCAGGTGCGGCATTCAAAAATGTCCTGCGAAGAAACCACAAAGCTGATAATTACAGATTGTCAAAGTAGTACTATCTGCAATAACGGACCTGGCAAACAGAATATATACTTTTGCTGGGAAACTTAAAGAATAGTTCACAACTTGCCTGGTTGATATGCTCGGTCCCAGTCCAGGTGAAGCTACAAGTGTCGTTACAGCACAACACGTAGAGTGGTGAGGAGTCAGGATCACTGCCAGGCGGGTAGAACATCCGATCAAACACCTCTCGGTTGAACTCCTCTGCGACGGCAGGGCCAGCGGTACCGGAGGAACCCGAGGGGCCGGAGGTACCGGAGCTACTAGCTCCGCTAGGCTTGGCTTTGGCCTGCTGGTGGTGGGGGCAGCGCGGTTGCTGCTGGGACGTGCCCGAGGCTGAACTGCCTGGCTTGGTGGTGGGAGCAGAGGCGGTGGGTGCAGGGGTGGCCGCGGGGGGTGCGCTCCGGGGTTTGTGGGCGATCTCCTCCATGGCGTCTAGGATGGAGAGGGCTGCCGAGTAGGCCTGGCAGGCCACCGCGGCCATGAAAGGGGTGTCACCACGGGCATCCCTGATGGAAAAAAATCATAAAGGATTAACACGTAACACCAATCAATTAGGGTTACGGTTAAATCAGGTGCATGAAAAGACTTCCATTCCAAATCAATGGAATAGAATATTGTGTGCACTCGATCCAGCTTTACTTGTCTGGCCTTGTCTTCTTTGGCCAAGATGATACTTACTCTGCAGACAGTAGCTCCACGATGCAAGGCGTGAGTGCCGGAGCACAGCACAGCTGACGTAGGATGCTGTGGGCGTTCCTCTTCCTCTCCTCAGGGGTGAGGCGGGCCGTTGGGTAGGTGGGAGGTATCGGCAGGGTGGAGGCCAGGGAAGATGCGTTGCTAGCCAGGGAGCTGGTGGAGCCGGCCGTGGCCGCAGCGCTGGTGCCTAGGCTCAGGTTGTCCTCCTCTTGATCTGTGTGACAAGTGATTTCGATCAATTACAATTCAGATTCTGATAAACATTTTTAAAGACTTTATTAAAATTTTATATTTCTTCTTACACTGAACTGGCCAAAAGCCACTTCATGAGTTCCAAATTGTGTGCGCACATATCAAGAATTGATGATTTTCCTTTTCAGGAAAAACAATCCACCATTTGCGTATGATCTCACTGAAGAGTACCAATACAATTTTCAAAGAAATATTCCTACTCTGATCTAATGCTGCGCTCAAGTTCGTACAATGCTACATACCTCCATAGAGTGCGGACGGCTCCGGGGGCCAGCTCAGCGTTGGGATGGCACTGCCTGGAGTTGGTGGGGGTGAGGAGTCTCTCAGATCTTCGGCTGATAGTCCACTGCCGGCGACTCGGGCTGTACGAGCCGCGCTGGCTGCACGACCCATCAATTCTCTCAGGTTGATACTGAAAGAAAGGAGAAGTATAGGAAATGGTGTTTACAACTAATTAAGTCTGGTATAGTTTTGTGATGAGATGTTTAAGAGATGTATAAGAAATGTCTGCCAGGTATGTATAAGAAATGTCTGCCAGGCTGCCCATCAGCACACCAGCAAACCAGGCAGCCAGCCAGCCAGCAAACCAACCAGCCAGCGAGACAGCTAGCCAGCCATACAGCAAGCCAACCAATCAGCAAATTAGACAGCTAGCCAGCAAGCCGGGGAGCAGGGGAGCCAGCTAGCCAGCCAGACAGCCTGAAAGCCAAGCAGCCAGCAAGCCACACAGCTAGCCAACCAGCCGGGGAGCCAGCCAACCAGCCAGCAAACCAGTCAGCCAGACGGCTAGGCAGCCGGGGAGGGGGGGAGCCAGACAGCCAGAAAGCCAAGCAGACAGCAAGCCACACAGCTAGCCAGCCAGCCAACCAGCCAGCAAGCCAGTCATTTAGACAGCTAGCAACACAGCCAGCCAGCTAGCAAGCACGACAACCCTTCCAACAAGCCAGCAGGCCTGCCAGCCAGCCAGTCAACCAGACAGCTAACCATCCAGACGGCTAGGCACCAAGCCAGTCAACAAGCCATTCAGCCAACAAGCAAGCCAACTCAAACCATCAAAACTTTTATCAAAATCTTGCAACCTTCTTCCTTACCTCCTTGACGCCGCTGAGCTTGAGTTGGCCATAGCGGCTCCAGCGATGGCATTACTCAGAGTATGCAAGGCGTTACGAATAATCTGAGCTCTACTAGTCAACGACTCCGCAGACAAACTACTGGAAGTTGGCGGCGGATCTACAAAAAACAGTCACAAAAAAATGTCTTTATAATTCAATACGCAGAACTTATTGAGCAAATTCAAGCGAGAAGTATGGTCAACTATAGTTTAACTATCTTTGCTCGAACCCCCACTGGTGAACTAAACTTGAACTGGTCTATTTGATTATTAGGAGCCAGCCAACCGAGGTTGGTCACATTGAGAGGCATGTTAACCTTACAAATTATAGTGCACAGCGGGGAGCGAGGACCAAGAAGTTTCTTGGTGACATTTTTACTATCGTTGGAATAGAGATGTTCGCAGGTTGCTATTGGTGCACAGGCGTAAGTTGCATCGTGAATCATCCACTAGTCGACCAAACCGTCTTAAATTGTACTTGCACCTGATATTAAAAAATCTGGAGGGTTGGAGGGATTTTTTTTTTCGTTTCCTTTCAGTTTTACCTGCGACTGGGGACTCCGAGTTGGATATGGGCATGCAGTTACTGATGCAGGCGTGGAAGATGTTGCGGTTGCCATCGCAACGCTCCGCCAGAACGGCTTTCAATTTCTGCTCCTTGACAACCGCATCTGAGAGGAAAAGCAAGAAATGTATTTGTATTGATTAACTATGAATCTCTTTGATGCAATAACACGCTGCGGTTAGAGTGAAAAGCCAATTCATTAATTAACCCTAACCTTCCCAAATCTTCCAAAATCCTCTTTGCAAAATGGAGGATTTTGCAGGATTGAGGCTATATGGCCAAAACGTGTGGCTGATTTCGGAGGATGCAAGGTCTTGGGCCGGACCTTGTGTTGTTTATGCTCAGCTGTGCATAAATTTAGGCCTAGAGTATACTTGAAATCCTCCGCACTGCTCCAGGATGTCACTGGCTCTGCCTCAACATATTGACAGTGATTGCTGGAGGATTTTGCAGGATTGAGGCAATGGTCGACCCTCCAAGGACCACATTCAAGAAATAACGGAGGATTTTGCAGGATTGAGGCTGTATGCAATTTTTACATGGAGGCAGTTGGAGGACTTTGCACGATTGAGGTTGCATCCTAGCAAAAATGCATAGAAAGTTAGGGTTAAAACCCGCACAAGGATATTCTAACCGACCACTTACTAGTCTCCAGCTCCAGGTTGCTCAGGAAGTGGGACACCGCTTCGTAGTCGCATCTCAGTATGTGTGGCATCAGGCCCTGTGTCTGAGAATTAAAAAAGAAACAGGTATGGAGACTAGTTACAATAATTGAATTGTCAACAAAACTAGGTCTCTGTAACAGTTGAACTTAGGGTTTCCCCTAGTTAAAATATTTCTTGATGTCGACAATAACTCACTTGTTCATGTTGTTGGTATGCAGTCAGATCCCACATGCAGCTACTAATTTTTTTTTGACAATGTACAATTACACTCCACACTAAATTTGAATTGCTGGGGAAAGCAACGCCATATAGTACACAGCTGTAATTCCAGTTTAGACAATCTGAGACCTCTGAAAAAACAAAATACCTCGATTGCAAGGACCAACACGGCCGCTTTGGTCTTGACGTTGCTGCCAAATATGCCGTGGGTGAGGGCGTGGGTGCCTAGGGCCAGACATCGGGCCGGCGGCAGGTCAAACCAGATGGGGTCCCGGATCCCTCCGAGGGAGTTCTTAGCAAGGGGATAGAGGGCGCCGTTGCCGTCTTGTAGGAGGGTGACCGAATCCTGAGGGAAAAATGAACGCAGGGGTGAAATGTTAGGGGTTATTTGGTTGGAGGGGTGTTACAGGTCAAATCGACCATTTTTTAGATTTTTTTTTTTTTCCTTTTTTTGTTTGTTGGTTTTTGGGGGAAAGGAAATTCTTACATGTTTATTGGTGTACAAATATGTAATATTAAAAACAGTTAGATATTCATAAAAAAAATTCGCAGATTAGTGTATAAATGTATGTGTAATAATTGGAACAGATTACCAAAAAAAGGTCTTCTTTAAACAGTGCACCATATGAATGTTAATATGGTAGGGTTGCCCTTTTCATAAAAATAATTTTTTTTTTTTTTTTTAAACCAAAACTAAAAATAGAATAAAAAATCAGCCCCCCCCCCCCACAAAAAAGCACCACTCATAAACAAAACTCGAAACAAAATAACCCAAAACAAAACAAAACAGAACAAAACAAAACAAAACAAAAAAAGCCCCATAATTCAAATGAAAAGTTTAGATCCCCAACAATATAGGTAATATCGGAAGGAAATATACTGTACACTGACATCTATGTGTACAGTTAATAATGCAGCAATGTATATACATGTATGTACAGTTAATAATAGAGCATTACACGTTCGGGAATTCCCCCAGTGAGTAATAGGCATTGCTTGTACAATGTGTTAGTACATACCGGTACCCAGTTATGTTTGTACACATTGTGCAACTGTTTGTCTCAAGCCAAGAAATGCATGAAGCATTGCGCAATCACACTGCCAAGGGCAGTGAATTCAGAATTTTCTAGATTAAGGCTGACGTGTGACAACAACAGACCCATAAAAGCCAGTGCTTCGGTGCACAATGCACCATTTGGGCTACTCTAATACCCAAACGCACCCTACGTGTACGTACAATGAGTATCTTGCCTTTGTTTAACACATTCTGTGAGAGCTGTGAATTCACAAAACAGTAATTGCTTATAAATACCGGGCCATTGGCAGCAAATTTCACAGATGGAGTGCATCAAGAACGTAACAGGTAAGTACAATACCAAAATAGTAATTTAAGATTCAAAAGTTGGTGTGATATTCTTGAGAGAATTTTACCAGAAAAATCAGTACTTTAAATTAAAAAAAAAATGAGATGGCTTAACATTTTAAGGTACACACTGTACTAAGCAGGATCTTCCTCAAAGGCGAAATCAATTACTCTTTTACTTTGGACCTTTACAAAATGTGATTATGTACATGGTAATGTTTTATAACTTATTCATGAAATTGACAACACCCACAAATGTTTATGAACTCAAACAAATATGATTTTCATTTGCCATGTTTGGATTATACATGTATAAGGCGAGCTACTCGATAATCTGCAGATAAGCTGCAGATAATCTACAGATAAGCTGCAGATAATCTGCAGCCGAATCAAATTTTGGCCGACTTATTTATAATGAACCCACTCTACACACACCCACAACCAGTGTTATTGGTTGGTTTACTTTAAGGTTAGGCACGATGAAGATCTGCTTTTAAAGTTTAATAGGAGGAATGTGTTGTTTTGGGGCCCATTTTTGTCTAAAACTCTCATTTTTAGTCAAAAATATGATTAAGATCAGCATTTTTTATATCTGTCAGACAAGCCTGATCTATGAAGGTAAGTTTAAGACCAAACTCAGGCTCCATAAATTCACAATTTAAAGATTACAAAATGTACAGTAAATATTGACAGCACTGAGTGAAACTGCATTTTTCTGAAAATCGTGTTTCTGAAAGTAACAGAAAGGTAACATTTTGGTTCTTTACTAAAATCATGCCTGTTTTCTGAGCAAAAAAAATCTGAAAATGGTTGATATAACATTATGTGCATCTCTTTCGAAAAGGTTAACAAAAAAAGATTTATTGATTTTTACATATATTTCTACTCCTTGTTAGTGAAAATGGAGCCCCAAAAAGGGAAATCACTTGAAGTCACAGCCGAGTCCGTCTTGGAGATGATCACTGAGGATTTTTTCAAGTGCCACATCTGTCTCAATAACTTCTCATCTCCGACCTTCTTGGACTGCCATCATACATTCTGCCTGTCATGTCTTGAAGATCTACGGAAAAGCCAAGGCCGGTCCTGCAATGAACTCGACTGCCCAGATTGCAGAGTTAAGACGTCTTTGATGGGCAGAGGAACGTCGGCGCTCAAGCGCAACTTCACGATGGCGTCGTTGGTGGACGCAGTCACGAACCAGAAAAAACAATTGCGTATTCAGCAGGGCACGATTGTCTGTAGTCTGTGCAACAACGAGGCCCACGCTGTCCTGCGATGCAACGATTGTGATGAGAGGCTGTGCCAAGACTGCTATCTAGAACGCGAATCAGAACATCCCAATCATCAGATTGAGATTATCGATCCGATTTTGACTGAGAAACCTCCCTCTGCACCCAAGTGTAAGAAGCACGGGGAATACGACTACTGCTTCTACTGCAAAACCTGCGAGGCTTTGATCTGTGCTCTCTGCGCGGCAACCTCACACCGAGACATGGTGCATGAGCATCTGAGCATCAATGACGCAGACGATTTGACAAGGCAGGATATTTGCCTCCTCCTGTCCAGATCTGAGAAGCGAGTACAGGATTACATTTCCACCAAGGAGGGCATCGAAGACCAATGTAAAATAATGGAAGCCGAACTAGCTCATGCAGAAACAAAGATTAAGGAAATGGATGCACACATTTGGGATACAGACGATTACATGTATGATGAAGCTCAAGAACCAGTGAAGAATCAAACTTTAGCGGATTTCCACGCTTTCCAAACTGCCAGAAAAGAAGAATATGCCAAAGCGCTGGACGATGTCCAAGCCAATGTGGAATGCCTTCAGAAAGTCTGTGATAGTGTCAGTGAACAGGTGGGCGACGCAGACAAATACCAGCTTCTCCAACGCAAGGAGGAGCTGCTGATGAGAATCGAGGACGTACTTGACAACAAAATACCAACTCCTCGATTTCCAGTGGTCGTCAGCATCAAAGTGGAATCGGACCCGCACATGTGTAGCAGGGGAGTTGATAGAGAACGCAACACACTCTTTGGTGGATGGAATAATGGGGCCCATTGGGATTGGGTTAGCGTGAGAATGGTTCATACCGCAGTCAATGTGAACCACGCTTAGGGGTTACAAATGTAAACCAAATGGTCAAAATTTAAAAATTGTCAAAATAAGTTAAGTAATGTGTCATATCGAAGGTTAACACAGATAGTACGCCTATGTAATTTCATGAAATAGTACTGAATTTGAACAAATACACAGAGTTTGTCAGAAATAACATTATGCGTTGGCAATATCAAAAATATGAAAATTCCAGCTTCAGAAGTGCCTACTTTTACTACATCTGTTTACCAAATTAAACAATGATTAACAGTGCAATTTGAATATAATTTAAAGGTCATTGGGTAAATGTAAACATAGTAAGAATGAAATTTCAGAGGTGCTTTTTTTGTACCGGGCATGATTTGGATAAGGTCTCTTCTTCAGTGTATGTTCAAAACCGAAAATGCCTATTTTTAATATTATAAACAAATAAGCCTTACAAAGTGCAGTGATTCGTATCTTCTGTGCCCTTAAAGTGGTCTATATAATAAACCACTACTTAGTGGGCCTTCTAAGTTCTATGTTTTACAGGTTTGAGGGAGTACGTTTCAGACGTACTCCAAAACATCCGTCCAAAACCATACATGTATTCAAAATGTTTTGTCATTTCACGGATGGTTGATAAAAGAGTATAATTATTTTTACAATTCCTTGGCCACTTTCTGCGCCTTTCTTCCTAATATAATTTCTTTGTAATTTACAGATATAAAATATATGTATATTTGAATGTGAATATTTTCTTTTTCAAAACATGTACATGTTAATTTATTAACTGAAGTTGTAACCACTGGGTTCTAGCTCTTGTAATGGTACCTGTTTACATACTTTTAACCTGGAGCCCCCATATCAATGTTGTTATTCTTTATATGCATGTATAGATTCTCATTATTTATATTTTGTGATATGAAAATAAACCATAAACCATAATACGTGACGCTATTCATAGCCTTGATCAATGCTCTCGTCGTTATTCGTCCCGTACGCGGTCAATCGTCGGCATATATATCCTCATGCGCTATGCACATGCATGTAAAAATACAGCCCGAACAGCGACCTCATGCGGCCACTATTCTTTTATGCAAATCAGTTGGGGACGATCGAGAGCCTCGGTTCAATCGTCGGCAAAAGCTTATGTTTTCCTTTATTTTGCGCTGGATTTCTAGCGCACGACCTCGTATGCGAATACAGCGCACGACCTCGTAAGTGTAGGCGCGGCTAATATGTGGAGTGTCCAATCACACCTTGGTAAATCCGGACGTCATCAAATTATTTGCAGCTATTCGCCTTTTGCGGACGTGACAGGAACCACAGTTTTTGTGCATTGGTGCCGTGTGCAGAGACACACAACGTGTACGTGTATGGATTATGTACGGTGCCACGTTTCACTATGCAAGTTTCCACGCAACGATCGACCAATAAGAAAAACGACATTTAAGGTCAGCTAAGGCTATTAACATAATGAGCACCACCCCCAAAACCTCACATGGACGATTGAACCAAGGCTCTCGATCGTCCCCAACTGATTTGCATATAAAAATAGTGGCCGCGTGAGGCCGCTGTTCGCGCTGTATTTTTACATGCATGTGCATAGCGCGTGAGGCCGAGGATATATGCCGTACCATTGACCGCGTACGGGACGAATAACGACGAGAGCATTGACCAAGGCTACGCTATTCATTGCATTTGTACACCAATCTGCCAATTGATGATTGTAATAGAACACTATGTATAACTATTCACATGTACTTCCATTTACTTAGTAGGTTTCAACAGCTACATATAAACAGAACGTTCACACTACAGTCATGTATGTTCTAATTTTTTTTTTTATTTAAGAAATAATGAATTATGATTACCTACGACAAAAAAAGTTTGATCAGTTTGATATCTTTCAAAAGCATCTTTTTTCTTTTCTTTTGTTGCATGTATGAACTAATACCTTTTTTTGTAAATATTGTAATTTTCAGCATTTATGCTGTTTGTGTGCAATATATTTTGTTTCTAATAATAAACCAGAAGAAATAAATAAATAAATAAAAATAGAGCAACTAGACTACTTTGCTTTCTGAGGAAAATATGTAAATACTGTAAATATAAAATGTTTCCACCTCTTAATTTTTATTTGGCCTTGATTTTTAAGAAAATATTATATAATTTGTACATGTAGGAAAACACAAACTTTTCTCTTTGACAAGAAAAAAAAATACTTTAATATTCAATTTGCCATACAAAGTTATAAATATTTTAGCAGTGGAGTATTCAGTGCTATCTGAGAAATATCCACAAATTCACAATATTGGTCAAGTTCGGGCAAGGACCATTAGTCGACTAGTGGTTGATTTGTGACGTACCTTACGCCTGCGCACTGATAGCAACGTGCGAACGTCTCTAGTCAAACGCTGGTCAAAATGTCATCGCAAAACCTCTGGATCCTGGCTCTCTGCTAGTGTTATGAATGTGCGCGGCTATTGGTTACCAGCGAAGCAACCAACCCCAGTAGGCTGGTTCCAAATAGTTGACTAGCGTAGTCAACCACCGTCGACTAGACAGAGTTCGGGCAAACGTTAGTTAACCATTGGTCAACTATAGTCCTTGCGCGAACTTGGCCAATGTTCCAGAGGGACTTGAACCCACAACCTCCTGCTTACTAGCGCAGGCGTCTTACCACTAGACCACAAAGCTTGTCATGGTCTAACGACCAAAATTAAAAGCTGTTTCAGCCTGCTCATGCACATATGATCAGGTTTTCCAAGTTCTCACACACATAAATTTATGGAAGTGGGTTCCAACATGGATTCTTAACACAGAGATAAACGACTCATCTGAGCTTGTGTACAAAATTGGTGAAATACACAATGGTAAAAACAGACAAGTTTTTCATAAAAAAAAGGAACTTAAGGCCCCCCAAAAAAAAATATTCAGTCTCTGGTCAGACCGAAGTTCCGGAATTGACGCGGGGACGCGGCTTTTTTTTTTTTTTTGGCTTTTTTTTTTCTTCAAGCTTGGATTGTACAGACAAGGTGGGGTACTATTTTGCTTTTTTGGTGTCCTCATGTACATTGGTGTCCTCCATAATTTGCCTTAGTGCTCTCGATCATTTGCCTTGGTGCAATTTCCCATTCTTTGGTGCTCTTTGATAAAAAAAAAATTGAGGAGGTGCGGCAACAGAGGGCGCTGTTAGAGCTACAGCGGAACATTTTGGGAAAAAAAAAGATTGACGCGCATGATTAAAATCGACGTGCGCGCTGACCAGAGACCGACTTATTTTTTTGGGGGCCTAATAATGTGTATGTGTAATATACAAACATTATAAATGATAAGTACACATGAACATTGTAGTGTGTTGATAATGATATGGATGAGTTTCAGGAGAAACAAAAAAAATTCATCCCAACAAATAAAAACAGCCCCCCATAAAAAAAAAATTAAAAAAATAACAAATAAAAAAAATAAATAAATAAAATTAACCACGCATCAACAAATTCAAAACGAAATACCCAAAAATAAAATAGAACAATACAAAAAAGCCCCGTAGTTCAGTTGAAAAGTTCAATAAATAGGCTGTACATGTATGTCCGAAGGAAACGTTTAGGCCTACTGCATAATGTACACATTACAAAGCATGTATGGGGAATCCCCCAATGAGAAACAGGCCTGTTGTGCAATGCCTTTGTACATGTATATACTGCATTATGTGTATTGCACAGTACACCCATTCATGTAGACCCAGACATTGTATATTGCGCAATCACACTGCCAAGTTCGGTGAACTGGGAATTCTCTAGTTTAAGGCTGACGTGTTGTAACGACAACCGACCCATAAAAGCAAGTGCCTCACTGCCCAACGCAGCATTTGTGCTCCTTTTCTTCACACAAACACACCCTGTCTTGTGTTTGTTTAACACATTCTGTAAGAGCTGTCAAATTACAAAACAGTTACATGTATTACGTTACCTGGCCACTGCCAGCAAATTTCTAAGGATGGAGTGCACCAAGAACACAACAGGTAAGGATCATTAACAGTGTACAAATGATATAGGCCTACATTTGTGTAATTTGATTTTCTTGAATTGCCTTGAGGCAATTCAAGAAAACTTGGTAATTTTTATTTTTCATGAGGTACACATGAACCGGTACGTGTATACCAAAACTTAAATATTGTGTGCATATAAACAGAATACTGTTTTTTTTATCAAATTTGTATTTCAGAAATATTTGTAGAAAGACATGCGCCTGAATGAATACTTGATTGATTAAAAAATGACATCCTTGGATCTTTTGCAAAATGTGCTACATGTACTTTACATGACGAATTGTTGTTTGTCATTCATGTGCAAACTCAAACAAACATAACAATTTGCAGACCTGTGCATTTGTACACTGTGCATGTACGTGAATTCTGTGAATAAGAGTAATAGTTCAACATTGCCGGGGTTAAAAATTTGTTTCTTTATTTTTTCTTTCCTCAATTTCAGACAAAATGGAGCTCCAAAAAGGGAAACCGTCTGAAGTCACAGCCGAGTCCATCTTGGAGATGATCACTGAGGATTTTTTCAAGTGCCACATCTGTCTCAATAACTTCTCATCTCCGACCTTCTTGGACTGTCATCATACATTCTGCCTGTCATGTCTTGAAGATCTACGGAGCAGCCAAGGCCGGTCCTGCAATGAACTCGACTGCCCAGATTGCAGAGTGAAGACGTCTTTGAAGGGCAGGGGAACGTCGGCGCTCAAGCGCAACTTTACGATGGCGTCGCTGGTGGACGCAATCAAGAACCAGAAAAAACAATTGCGTATTCAGCAGGGCGCGATTGTCTGTAGTCTGTGCAACAACGAGGCCCACGCTGTCCTGCGATGCGACGATTGTGATGAGAGGCTGTGCCAAGACTGCTATCTAGAACGCGAATCAGAACATTCCAATCATCAGATTGAGGTTATCGATCCGATTTTGACTGAGAAACCTCCCTCTGCACCCAAGTGTAAGAAGCACGGGGAATACGACTACTGCATCTACTGCAAAACCTGCGAGGCTTTGATCTGTGCTCTCTGTGCGGCAACCTCACACCGAGACATGGAGCATAAGCATCTGAGCATCGATGACGCAGATGATTTAACGAGGCAGGAGATATGCCTCCTCCTGTCCAGATCTGAAAAGCCAGTACAGGATTACATCTCCACCAAGGAGGGCATCGAAGACCAATGTAAATCAATGGAAGCCCAACTAGCTCATGCAGAAACACAGATGAAGGAAGTGGTAGCACAAGCTTGGGATACAGACGATTATAATGAAGCTGAACATCAAAGTTGGAAGGATTTCAGGACTTTTCAAACTGCCAGAAAAGAAGACTTTTCCAGAGCGCTGGACAACGTCCAAGCAAATGTGGACTTTGTTCGGAGCGTCTGTGATCGTATCAGTGAACAAATTGCCAACGCAGACAAATATCAGCTTCTCCAACGCAGGGAAGAGTTGCTCATGAGAATCGAAGGCGTACTTGACAACGAAATACCAACTCCTCAACTTCCAATGGTCGTCAGCATCAAAGTGGAACCGCTCCCGTATGAGTTTGGCAGCGGAGTTGAAATAAGTAAATACAACACACTCTTTGGAAGGAATAACAGGACTCATATGTATTATTACCTTCACGTGAGAATGTAGTTCAACCAAAGACAATGGGATCCCCCCGGGGGCGTCGCCAGCCTCATTTAAGTGGGGGGAGGGGGCGTGCTGTGACAACAAAATTATACTGATAGAAGCTCCCTGCTGGAGGATAGCCAGGAATTTATTCTGCCGCAACATCACAAAATGGAAGGGGGTGCTGGACACCATCTGACAATTTGGGGCGCTGTTTAAAGCAAACAATCTTGACCATAGACGTAATAATAAAACCTAGACATGACATTAAGTGCTTTGACTACAAATATTGTGAGCAAAACAGGCTGCGTCACGCCGTCTGGCGCAGTGCCCTCATTATCGCCTGCCTTTGATTTCGGCGCATACATCATACGTGTACCACGTATATTCAGGCCAATGCCAATGCACTTGTGCACCACTTTGTTTTTTTTCCCTGTATGTCTACGGGACCAACGCTTTCAAATAACGCGCACGGTGAGACCACTCTCTTTGACGCGTCATGCCATGGTGAGTGTTCGCGTAATACGCGCAGCATTTTGCGCACAGGCGCAATAGCAAACGTCATGTCTAGGTTTTATTATATGTCTATGCTCTTGATACTGTAAGACAAAAGGTGGCACAATTGGTTGTAACAGACCACTATGCATATACACAGATATACTTATTCGTTTAGGTTTCAACAGCTACATGTATTATATATATAAATAGAACGTTCACACTGTACACATGTAGAGGCATTTTGTTAAGGTCTATATATGGGAGTTTATCATTTGATTAATGTTATGCACGTAGGTGTACATGTTCATTTAATAAGTTGAAGCATCTATAAGAACAATTACACGTAACACTCTGTACATAGGTGTACATTTAACTATTGTTGACTGCTGTGATGTGGGATATGATGTTTTTAACAACTGAGGGCCGCATCCTCGTAGACACGACAAACAAATTTATTTAGATACAAGCATCTATTTAAATAGAATAAATAGACCACATAGCATTTGAGGAATAAATACAAATACTGTAAATACAAAAGGTCTCCACCTCTTAATCTTAATTTGGACGAAAAAAACACTTTAATATTCAACTTTCCGTTCGAAGGTATAATTTTTGTAGAAAAGAATCTGAGAAATATCCACAGATTCACAATCTTGTCTAGGTGGGTCTCGAAACCACAACCTCCTGCTTACTGGCGTAGACGTCTTACCACGCAACCACCGAGCTTGCTATGGGTTAACGATCGAAATTACAAGTCGTTTCGCCACACTCATACATGTCATACACATATGATCAAGTTTTCATAGTACCGTTGGACTTTTTTTTTTTTTTTCTCATCGTGGTATTTTGATGTTAATTTTTGGGGACGATAACTTTTTAGCATTTATACCTCTGCCATTTTTAATTTATGTGTAAATTGTTAATAAATTTGTATAGATTTGTATAGATTTATATATATTCTTTGTGTAGCCAGAGGTATTGGAATTGAAGGCCTTCAGGCCACAATTTTTAGGTAAACTTTTTTAATTCCGGGCATATGCCCCTGGCTTTCGTTTTTGTTTTCTTGGTTTTTGTTTTTATATTTTGTGAATGTTTGTTGTTTGTATGTGTTTTTAATGCCAAATAAATAAAAATAATAATAATAATAAATTAGAAACACGTGTGACATGCACTTCAGTGATGCACCATCTTGATAAACGCAGTCACCAAATTAGTCTATTGAAGTGGGTTGCTACACGGATCCTCTACACAAGGATAAACGACTCATCTGAGCTTGAGTACAAAATGTACGGAACAGTTTGTCTACATGCGTGATATGCCGCGTCCACGAATAGAACAACGCATAGAACATGTAGAACCACAATGCGCGCACCATGATCGCCGACGGCTGGCTTCCTGACAGAAATTTGACCACTAAAAGACTGCAGTCGCGCCGAGTCTCGCACACGTAACGACGCGCAAGTGCCATATCATGCCTCTAAGCAGAAATTTGGGGAAGTCGTTTATCCTTGTGTAGAGTATCCGTGGTTCAAATTAAGGCCAAAAAAAAAAGTCTCCGGTTTCTGGTATGCGCGCGCGTCGCCGTAGCCATGCGCGTCGGCAAAATGAAAAAGTTTTTTTTTCAATACAAGATGATGTTTCAAAACCGCCAAACTCACTGGTTTGACTGGAATTCTGCTGCTGCACAATTTTAACGTGTTTTTAGATGGGCTTATGATCGAGAATAAGATTTATGTGGCCTCTCTGGACTCCCATATATTTGCACTAAGTTTAGTCGGGCACCATTTGCAGTCATCAGCCGACATTTGAAGCCAAAAAAAAAAAAAAAAAACAGGTAAAAAAAAAAAAAAAGCCGCGTCGCCGCACCACTTTTGGGGCAAGCTCCATACCAGAAACCGGAGACTTTTTTGGGGGGGCCTAATATCACAATATTTTTTTGTTTTTTGAAAAAGTCAATTTCTGACTTACCTCGCGGCCCGTGTGGATGCGTATTGTCTCGGGCGATTTGCCAAGGAAGGATCGCGTCTTGGTTGGGAAGGGGCTCTCCTGGCTCGGCCGGCTGGACATCAACTCATACAGCTGGTAGAGGAGACTGGAACGAACGTTGACCAAGACGTGCACTCCTGTCAAGCGGGCAACAACGAATGGTAAGCCACATGTTAAATTATAAGGCTACGACTTGAAGACTACGGCTGAAGCCATATCTCATAGACACGTATTAAGGCTAGCCATAGCTGAGTAAATCGGCTGTGGCTGTAAGGTCAAGGTTCTATTGGATCTGATTATCACACTGCCCTCTACTGGTGAAAACATGAAAGTCAGTTATGGGTGAGTGCAGTTCTTATTATTACAGGGTTTATAGGTTACAGTTGATAGCAAAATTCCAAAGATTTTTCAACTGTTTTTTTTTTCTCAAGTATTACTGACCTTGGAAGTCGACAGACACTGCCAGAATTTTTCCATTCTCCGGCAGAGCCAGTTTCTTAGGGGCACGCTGGAAACAGTCCGGGACTTTTGGGGCGACACCACCCTTGACGATCTGTTTGAAGAGACAGAAATACAAATTCATTCATTTTCATCTAAGAGGCAATTTCACACAAAGTGAATTTCAATGTTGGATTTTGCCTTTCATCAAAATAATGTTCTTAACTTCTAATGCTCGGATCTTTTTGAACACTTGTAAAAAAGTTGAGTTAACTTCTCAAAGACAAATGATAATATACAAACCTGTAGTTCATCTTTGCGCAACAGACGACAGTCTTGAAGCAGAGAGGGCACGTCGCAGTCAGTGGTAATGTCAGGAACCGGTTCCAAGGATGGGAACTTGACGGCCACGTACGCTCCATCAACCTGTTATCAAAAGTAACAGTTATTTAGAAGAAAACAATGCAATGCTTTCCAGGAAAAAATAGATACATTTTAAATTAGGAAGACATATTCTAAGGAACTGTGGCGTACCTTAAGAACGCGACCAATGGGAACAGAGCGTATGTCCTCCACAAAGACGACATCGGTCAATGCCCAGACTTCAATATCCGGCTTCTCAACCTCTCTCACTGGCGACGATAGAGGGCGCTTTGTCCCTCGTCCTAAAAAGAAAAACAAAAGAAACCACAAAATACAATTTAACACAGGCATGCAACTGGACAGCCACAAAAAAAGAGGAAAATTCCAATATTTTAGAAGACTTTGTACAGAATTTTTCAGTTTTTAATGGCAGACAAGGGAATTAAAAATGGGAAATCAGCTGATCCAAGAAATTTACATGCATGTACCTGTTGATAAATTTGAAAATTTACCAACAGGACCAACACGCCCACTTTTAAGTTTCTGACACTTCTGACAATACACAGACCCAAGTAAACAAGTCTGAAGTGAGCTCCCATGGCCCTCATAATCCCGCTAAATCAGTACCACTCCTGACTGGCGGTAAAGCCTTCAACAGACCTTTATCATGCTGCCACCATTGCAGTCTTGTTCCCTATATCCTATAACAGTACTGAATGCTAATGTTTTTGTGCAAAAGGGCACCAGACTATTTTTCCTTCCAGCCTCGCTTTGGTTACGTTGATTTGAATGGGAAAAAATCACAATGGCCGCAACATGATAATGGTCTATTGACATTTTCATGCACTCCAGAATACACTACACTTTTTTACAGCCTCCTACAAATACACTTCAGCTAGGACGCACTGGCATGTCCAACCAGCATGTATTAAATTACACCAAACGAACAAAGTTAAAGACGGAATGTTTCCTGCAAGATACTTACTCTGTGCAGCCGGGCTGGACACCACGATGATCTCCCCACTACTGGTCGACCCAGGGGACGGCGGCGGCCCCATATCACCCTTCACCTCCACTTTGCTCTCACCCCGTCCGTCGCCCTTACTGTCACCCTTTCCGTCACCCGCCTTGGAGTCCTCCTTAGCATCTGAGGATGTCTTCTGGTCCGATCGTTCCAGGGAGTTGTGACGGATTCGGAAGCGGCAAGTGTCGGAGAGGTTCCAGGCCGTGTCTAGCAGCTGGCCCACCTTTGGGGGGTAGCTCTTCGTGTTGAAGGCCAGGGCACCGGAGTGGTACATGGGGCAGCTGCGAAGGCAGACCTGAAAGTGCAATCAAGAAAACGAGATCATGAAACGGTTGATTTCTGACATACGCTAACTCCAATCTCCCAGGTTCCTAGATTCTGTGAAAACCAGAGCCTAATGTGTGATTAACCCAACCCTTCCAGTCCATTAAAAAAAATAGTAGACAATCTTTTTCTATCTTCCAGATCCTAAAAAATCCAGGTTTTGATTCAATTTGTATCATACCCTGACCTTCCGGATCCTTTTAATTCCTGACATACCTAAAAAGTAGCCTTCCCTGTGCTATTTTCGAGTTTATCCCAAGAAATAGATTCATTTTCTAAATCGCTATTTTTCCAGCAAACTATTCACTCTTGAATGAGACATTGACCGAAAAACATCAGCCCATGGCTAGTTACGGAATTATTACTACACAATTTCCAATAATTAGCTGCCAGACAATAATGTCATTCTGGCAAGATTGGCTGGTTCCCGCCCCACAATCAGTAAGGATAATGTACAGACCGGGGAGCCAGTCACTCGCAGAGTTGAAGATGTCCAAAAGAGAACAAAAACAAGTTGAAATTCTAAACTACTTCAGAACTTCGGAATGATATTATGTGAACATTCTTGAGTTGAACTGTGGTTTAACATCATCCAAATGAAATTCCATAGTTCGGGTTTCCTTCTGTATATGGGCTCCATGCGCCACCGAAAGAGGGCGCCCTTTTATTTTGCAACGACGTCCCATGGGCGGGACATTTCGCTGGTTAACGGGCACCGTTCCTTGTGTGTGACGCACGTACACCAGGGGATTTGTACTATGTACACTCAGTGGCCGCACTGTACTTCCTTTGCCGGTGAGGGGGTACGCGTGAACGGAGCGGATTGGAATATGCAGAGCTAGGTAAGTCTGGTGACCTAAAACTTTGGCCTCGGCCCGGCCACTTTACCTGTGCTCCTACAGTGATGCTGCCGGGGTTGCTAGCCTCTCGTTTCTTGGCTCGCGATCGCTCCCTGGCTCGTTCTAAGACCTTCTTCCTGACTGAGAGGGGCAGAACTCCCCTAAGTCACAGAGAGACAAAAATGAAAGATTAAAATAGACTTTTTTTTCTCAGTGAACCAGATCTGGCAATAGGCCACGCCCACCTTTGGTTTGTGTACATTCCCATGGTCACCTGACCAAAAGTCTTGATCTGATTGGTCATTGTACAGTTTGATTGACAGGCAGGAAGAGTCCATTTTGCATGAGCAGTGATTGAATCTAATTTTAGCCTCTGATGATAAATTGAAATAGAATAAGCCGGTTGTTTCACATCATACGATCTTACCAGGGGTGGGATTGGGGGAAAATGAAAAATCCACGAAATAATTGACAGAAGATTTAAAGGTTTGCGGGGGTCCAACAGCAGCACGCATGTAGGGTTTACGGTGTAAGACGCTCCTTTCATAGGTAAAATCCCCTGTCAAAAGTGGTTCTTAAATATCCTGAAATCATGAAAAATCCCGACAAAAATATTCTGAAATCAGAAAAAAAATAATGAAAAAACATCAGAAAAAAAAAAAATCCTGAAATCATGAAAAATCCTGACCAAAAAAAAATCAGAAAATCAGAAAAGAAAAGTCCCGACAAAAAAATCCTGAAATTGTGGAAAATCCTGACATATCTCACCCTGTCGAAGTTCTCACTGAAATTTACGACAAAAATTTCGCTCCCCCCAAACAAATTATTGTGTGGGTTTAACTCTTACCACCAGAACAGCATCCCGTTCTCCAGCCAGGCACAGGTGTAGAGAGGACAGGTGTAGACGGAGTTGATCCTCTCACCGTGGAACTCATTAAAGTAGGTAGCTGCATGCTCCAGACGGGAGGCGATGGGGGAGAGGGTCTCGTCCAACAGGGTGGCAATCTGAAACCAAGAACAGAACGTGATTGATGTCAACCTGATTTTTGTAGTACTTGTCTTTCATAGATTAAACTCCTAAGGTGCTTTTGTCAGAAACCTCCCTGAATACTTCATGGATTGTTGATGGAACAGAGCAAGATTGCCAAAAAGAAAGAGAATATTACCTTTCCTGATTCTGTGACTAGGACGGCCTTCTCGTAGCAAGCCGTGATCTGAACCACTTTTTCTCCTAGTAAGCCTAGAGTTGCTGCCTTAGGGTGCTGCAGGTTCAAATTCTAGAAAAGGAAAAATATAAGCGAGTATTCTGTCAAAATCTGGGCAGAGCTGAAAATGGATAAACCAAAAAAGATGTTGCGTGATTTTCAAGGGCTTTGTTTCAAATTTGTGACTCTAAATATTCCTTAGAGGTGTATCGGTGTAGGAAATACATCAGCATCAAGAACAATCTTACAAAAGTTCTCCCAATGCCCAACATGATTTTGGAAGAAGTTTTGAGAGTTAATGTTAAAACGTACCTCTGGTTTTCTATATGGCTCTGGGTCGTTCCATTTCCACTGGTAGAGTTGGCCGTTCACGCCAACGGCAAGGAGCTCACTGTACATGGCGGCAATGTGGGTGAACCGACATCCGTCTCCCCCCTGTTGAAAAATGGAACACGCCAATGATAAATTGGTTGCTCTTGAACCAAAGCAAATCACTAGAATTTTTTTTGACTGAAAATGTTCAAACAGACCTTTTCTGGCCACCATTCCAGCTCCTCGCTGACCGACAGTGGGCTCTGGCTGTGCTGTACTGGCGTCCCCTTCTTAGATTCCTGCCCGGCTGCTGCGTCTGTCGTGCTGGTCTTGTAGCTCCCCGCGCTGGTGGCTGCGTCACGCAGGGCGCTGTCCAACCAACGGCGATCCCTGGCGCGGAGTAGCGGGTCGCGATCGCTGGCATCCCTGTCGCGGTCTGGGTCGGAGAAAAGTTAAAGCTCAGAAGTTGAAAATTTTCACTGTATGTAAACTTCAATCCCAAAATAATGTGATAGAGGGCAGCAGACAGAATTATTCTTTGTTTTTCTCACCTCTGCTGGACGACGCTCTAGACCTGGCTCGTGACGAGTGTAGACCCAGGAAGTCTTCAGAGAACATGGCATCGGCATCGATGATGACGCTGGGATGATCAGAGTGGATACCGCCGTCCAACAGAGACATCAAGTCGTCTGAAAGTGGAAAGAAATGTAATAGCTTGCGTTCAGAGGTCTACTACGTATGGCTTGGAATTTCAATCCCTTCCAAATTATGCCAGGTTTTTCAAAAGGTTACCGGTGATTCTATGTCTTTGGATTCCGAGCCTAGTTCTTTCTAGAACTTTTGTCAGGTTTTTTTTAAACGCTTTGCATGGATCATTTGCCAGTGGGCTTTCCGTTGACTGTCTTTCTGGAGCATCCATGGGTTTCCCCTTTTAACATCTGCCTGGGGTTTCCAAGAGTTTCCATGCACTTCCTGTGGAAATTTGTCTTGAGTTTCCTTGGATACTCCCTGCAAAGTGGTCTTAATTGTCTATGGTTTTCCTTGGTGTTATGGTTTCCCAAATGGATGAGTCAAAACCCTCCATCCGATTCCTGGATTAACTCTCACCTCCTCCCGAGATGTAGCTGTCTCCTTCTTCCTGATCATCGCCGTCCTCATCATCGCGACTCAAGAGGTTATTCACGGCAAGATTTACATCCAAATTCTATAAAAATAAACATCAAAAAGGCTTAAAGACTTACAAATTTATTATAAACTGACCCAAACTGTTGTTTTCAGAAAGAACCCTAGTGCCACAAGGTTGGGTATTTAAACTATGCAAATCAAATTACTTGTTGTTTCTAATAAATAATGACAAGAACTCAAGGAATTCAAAACCCACCTATCTCTCTCCAAACTTAACTGACTTCACGGGCTCCTCAGCACAAGATCTTGCTAAGCATCAAGAAATGTTTGCTTACCAATTCTGGTTACCATACTGCTCGCGACTGGTCCCCAGCGAATTGCTGCCGACCAAATAAATTTGTTGAGCAGAACTTGGGACAAGGTCTGGTTCCTAGACTCACCGTGCGCTGCAGCTCCCTGATAATCACGCCTCGACTCTTCCCCTGCAGGACCATCTGGGCTTGAGACACCAGCTCCTCAGGCACGACGGCCGCCGGGACCACGGGTCGCGACCCTACGATGACCCCGCCGCGACCCCGGGACTGGGTGCGGATGAAGCGGCCGCGGTTGCGCGACGTGGCCGATGCTGTCGACGCTGCACTGGTCGTGCTTCGGCTGGTTGTGTTGCGACTGCTGGTGATCCATTTTCTAAAATTTGCGAAAAAATTTGTGAAAACGAACAGAAGTAATATGAAGAAAGATTTAGGCCTATACAACTTTTTTACGAGTAAAAACTTTTAATCATGGACTTCCTATTGTCCTATTGGTTCAAAACCCCACTGACTTCAGTACTTGTTGCCAGAGAACCTCGATTATGAAGTTCAGGGAGGTTGAAAACTCACGCTGTTGTGGAGGAACTAGACGGTTGCTCCCCGGAGCTCAGCAGCCACGGGTTGGACGGGGCTCGAGTCGTTGAGGAGAGGTTCCGCGAGCTTGAGGGCGCTGTTGTCTTGGTCTTCGAGCTGATGGAGAACGATAACGGTTCAAACATGAATACTTTGAGTTCTTATTTGTGCATTGCTTCAATAATTTGAACTGAAAGTGTTAAAACTTTGATTCCGTCCGGTCTTGCTAGGAGAATTTCTTGGATACTCCGAAACCCACCAGGAACCAATTACACATTGTTGGGGCTAAAAATTGAGTTTGTATCTGCATACCTTTTGACTGGCTCAGCTTTACCCGTTTCAATCTTATCTGGGTTGATGTGGAAGTGAAGACGACAGACTCGGCCATCCTATCAAAAGGAAACAGCACAGATAAAACAATAGACAGATTGCTCATGATAACAGCTACAGTTGGCACACTTTAATAGGTCATTAGCTGTGTCGTCTAACGTCATACTCCAGAGAGCTAAGTCAATAGGCATGCGACTGTGAATTTAGGGGAAAAAAGGAAGAAACTCCAAACTACACAAGCCTTGTACAGTATTTTTCAATTTGTAATGGCATTCATGAGAAGTGAAAAACGAGGAAATCAGCAGATCCGAGGAAAATTTGCATGCCTGAGTCAATTATTTTTTCCAAAATGTTACTCACCTCAAGGAGAAATGCTGAATGATGTGGACCCACAACCACCGACTTGACGACTTCGTGCTTCAAAGGGGGCACACCAGTAATGCTGCAAAAATAATAATGTAATAGAAATGTATGACTTATGACTAGTAGTAGTAGAGCCCCTTTAACGAAGACAGGGCGTGATGGCTCGGTGGGTGGAGTGCTGTTACAGTAATCAGGAGGTCGCAGGTTCAGAACCCATTCCAGTCCATTTCTTTGTTCAACTTTATAATTGTTTACTTCAGATTTTTACAAAGATCTTACCTTGCTGCTGGCTGGCAGCGGATCTTCTCTGCAAGTTCTCTCAACCTGTAGAAGACAGATTTACCATAACAAAGAGATGAACGTCGCAGAACAGGCATATTACCAGAAATTGAGAGAGATTCCCTTGATAACTTGAAAGTGAGCTGAAGAAACGAAGCTGTCATCGCAAGTACATGTAGGCCTCTTGGCTAGGGCCTTAGACATGTGTTAGTCATATCACTATGTGATGTGAGTCATCTAATAGATGATCTTAAAGTTTTGCAAAAGGCAGTGGATTTTCGGCCGGCGCTGGTTTCCTTTCACTAGTTTCAGTTTTAGTAAACGTCATTTACACGGAGTCATTCTCTGATTGGCTCATACATGTACATGTCATAATTATGATTACATATTCGCTGAGCATGATTTTCTTTAAGTAAAAGATACTTTGCCGGAAGAACCAAATATGACCTAAAGCAAATTAACGTTTGCTAAAAGAAAGCTGGCACGACCGATATGACGTAATTATGAGCTAATCAGAGAAAGTTGCTGGGAAAATAATGTTCACTTAAAGAAATTCGGCACCAACAAAATACTGAGTGCCTTTGTAAAATGTTATACATGTTAGGCAGCTGAGACAAATTTGCAACAACATTCATGACATTCTTCCCATTTTCCCTGGTTCATTTCCATCATTAGTCAATCATCGTGGTTGTCATCGCTAATTAGCGTCAGAATTGTCATCAAACTAAAGCACACACGATAACAATACAAATAAGACAAATTAAAATATAGGATAAATTAAATGCATTGCATACAAAGAGGTTATTTAAATTTTAACCATGATGTAAGAAAAATATAATTCCATATTTACCCTTAATCTTTGATGATTGAATAATTAATCATGAAATTGAAAAGGATGATCAAGGCAAGCCTTGACTTTGCCTTTATTAAAGATGAACCAACATGACCAATGGGTTTTTTTTTTCCTAAAAATAAAACACTTTGTTATTTTTCAGCTTTATTTTAGTTTTAATTCGACTTAATAATCAGATCATAATAATAATATCAAGCATGTCAAGGCTCTTTCTACATGTTCTAATCCTATAATCCTTCTTTGTTCTTGAAATTTCAACAGTCCATGTGCTGAACAAAGTCTGTGTGTGAAAGCTACGGCCTAATTAATGTACTGAGAGGAAAGTGGGGTGATGATGAACAGACCAACAAACAGATTTATGCTCGCAGTTCTTGCAAAATGTACATTGTGTGGTGTAATGTAAATTACAAAAAATCCAACAGCGCAACTTTGGAAGTAATAATCCTCACCTATCGTTGAGCTCCTCCTCTGTTCCAGGGAGTGGATGTACAACAAAGTGTACCGAAGCCATCTGGACAGAGCAACTACCATCTATTACATGAGAAGCTGTACAAAAAGGAGAAAAATTGAGGGGGAAAATTGCACTAGATGAGGTCGACACAGTCCTTTGACAACATCGAGTTCGACCATTAATTGAAAACTGGTCCGCGTGCCTGACGCCGGCGCACGTGTTCAATGGAGTGGCCGTTCAAAGATACACGCGGTTACCAGCGGAGTACAACCTTGCACGTTTAGAAACGAATTTGCGGTCATTCACATCGATCCCAACTTCGTTTGCTATCAGCGTGGGCGGAGAAGCTGTTGGTCGGGGGGGGGGGGGGGGGGGGGGGGGTATAGAGGAAACTAAAAGTCATCTGCGAGTGCCCCCCCCCCCGGAAAAGCATTAAAAAAAGAGACAAAAATAAGAAGACAGAGGTGTGAAGTTATAGTTTTATTTGCTCGTAATTTAATACACATTTTTTAAAATGAGCGTCTGCAGGGGTGTCAATGGGGGTGGGGGGGGGCAAATGTCTCTCCGCCCACCCTCAGAAAAAAAATTGATAACTTAAATTTCTAATAAAATATTTTGTTTTATACCTACAGATCAGTGCCAAGAACATTTTAAATTAGATACATCTACTTTGGTTACTCACATATATCACTGAAATAACATTTTAGTGCCAAAAAACCCCGAAATTTTAAATTTTGTCAGAAATCAGTTTTCTATTCTGTAAATGCGTTTGCGTACAAATATTCCACTATTTTTATATTTAGAAATAAAACCACAAAATCTGAAAACTCAAGAACAACGGGTGTTTGTTAATTTTGTTGCCATAATGTCTCAACAGAAACATTTACATAGGCAAATTTTATGATTTAACAAATCAAGAGTAAAGAATTAGCAGTACACTGGAAGAGACATAATAAGAAAGTGAATATGCTACATTTAGAAAAATGGTGATTATTTAAATCTCTTAATGGACAGTCAATGGCACAATAAAGTGGTGCATGCAGAATTCTTCAAGAAATTTAGAAATTTTGTTAAATATTAAATAATCTTTTGGTAAACATCTTGTAATTTATCAAATAAACCACCCTTTGAGTTAACATGTTGACAAAAAAAAAAGCCGCCAACATAGGGCTGGATTCGATAGCTCAGTTGTTGGAAGAGCACCATTGCATTGTTCTGGTGGTCACAGGTTCCAATCCAAGCCCAGTCAATTTCTTCACTAAACCCAGTAAATGTGAAAATGTTGCATTTGAACAATATTAGCATAACTACTGATGTAACCTTTTCATCAAAAGAAGTGTTCCGGAATTTTACAAATATTAGAAAACTAAACGATTGGCAACAATATCTATTTGATAGCACCAACCCAAATCAGTCAAAAGCCCTAAATTTAATAAATATGCCAAATTTCTGGTATCTTTGGACAAAACTGAAATAGTATCATGGTGAGCATGATTCTCACAGCTGACATAAAATCTCATTTACGATATAATTGCATCAATAACATTCTAAATCTAATCATATATAGTACTGCACATACAAAAATATAATTTATCGTTAAATTTTGGATAACATAATTTCAGTTTTAAAATATCAATATTGCTAATCAAGTAAAAAAATTAATTGTCCTGCCAAAAAATTGAATTCATTACAATGCAGTAAAATAACACTATCATTTTAAAAAGACTGTGTCAAAGATGACACTGAAAGTACGAAAATGATGTCTGGTACATTTTGTTGATTTTGGTAATCGAACAATTTACAAGAACTAGTTCAGTAGTAAACACTACTTTCGTACATCCCAATTTGTCACCCTGCTAAAAGTACTCTTGCTCAAAAATTCCATCCAATACGAAACCTGCAATATTCTTATCCATTTAAAAATAATTCTATTACCACACTTTTGGCGGGTCACTTGATTTTGTTAAGCAAATATTTTTTTTCTGTGCTCTAGCAAGTTCTCTGTGCTCAGCAGCTTGACATCTGACCTTTGACCCCAAGTGACCTCAGCTGAGCTGACCAACCGGAAGGCTTTCCTGCCAAAGGTCGTGCAGGAAATGGTAGAGATTGGATGTCACAGACACCTAAGGAGAAAAGCAATTTTGGAAAATTTGGAACTCGCATTAGGGTCGAATAACGTACAATACGACAAATATGAAATACAAGAAAATAGACAGTTTGCACTTTTGTTCATGTTTATGAGTAGGTCTTTGGGCATTCATTGTTAATGAATTAACATAACAAAGATGTATGCAATCAATCTATAGAATGCAGTATGCGACTTGTCCAACAAACATTCAGTTTGCATCAGTGCACAGTATTTACAGAAAATCTGGTGCCTAGTCTCTCTTTGCTATCTCTCAATGCTTTCTCTCAACAAGAAATAACACCAGACTATTAACTGAATGATCAAACTTTTCTTAAAGTTGGATATGTGCCAAGTCTGGTCTATGCATCATATTTCAATAACTGGGTTTCACTAAGAAAAGCTCTTAAAACTTTCCAGGAAATTTCTCAAGACGTAATTTCTCTTGACTCTGCGAAATATTAGAGCAATCGGTTGGCCTAGGGGCTAATAGGTGTGACTTTATATGTACCTTGTAAGGTGTAGGGTTGAGCTCGCGTTTGACGTCCGACCGCAGCGTCTGCATGCTGCGTTTGACATTGTCACGGACCTCGGACAGAGTTGGCAAGGGCTGGCAAATCTGAAAATTCATCGGAAGTGGATAAATTTAAATGATAGTTTTGAACTTTTATAATTAAAAATAGGCTACATTTTGCCTTCGAAAAGGTCATGCCAGCACTGAAACATAAGGCCATCTATTTTTTATTAAAAAATTGACCATTTTAACTATCCAAGACACTATAATGGCTACTTATAATTGCTTAGTTTGGTAAGTTATACTAAAAATAATATCAAAACAGAATAACAGTTTTTTCAAGGTTGTTTTCCTTACTTCTCCGTCTTTCATGTAGAGCTTGTGAAGTTTATCCACTTTCGTTGGCCGGACGTTCACTCTTGTAAGAGCCTGAAATTAAATGCCAAAAAAACCAAAATTACAATCTATTTTAAGAGAGGAGTTGGGTTGGCGCAGGGATAGTTTCCTCATCTTCTGTGACCCGGGTTCGATTCTCATCACGCAGGCTTTTTGAACACCTACCTCAAACGGGTGCCGGCACAGCACAACTTTCTGTGCCTCTGGGGATGTTTCCGACGGTTGGGCCATCAGATCGGCAATAGCCAGGCCTGTGATTTACAAAATGAAAGACGAGTCTAGTTACATGTCAATCACAAGTCGATCAGAAGTTAGTGACAAGTCAAATTGCAAGTGAAATCACACATAAATTACAGGTCTATCTTAAGTCAATCAGAAGTTAATGACAAGTCAACTTACAAGTCAAATCACAAGTTAAATTACAAGTCAAATCACAAGTTAATCACAAGTCCATCACAAGTCTTTCACAAGTCCATCACAAGTCAAATCAAAAGTCAAATCACAAGTCAAATCACAAGTCAAATCACAAGTCAAATCACAAGTCAAATCACAAGTCAAATCACAAGTCAAATCACAAGTCAAATCACAAGTCAAATCACAAGTCAAATCACAAGTCAAATCACAAGTCAAATCACAAGTCAAATCACAAGTCAAATCACAAGTCAAATCACAAGTCAAATCACAAGTCAAATCACAAGTCAAATCACAAGTCAAATCACAAGTCAAATCACAAGTCAAATCACAAGTCAATCAAAAGTCAAATGAGAAGTTAATCACCAGTCAAATAACAAGTCCATCACAAGTCAATTACAAGTCAAAATCATAAGTAAAATCACAAGTCCATCACAAGTCAATTACAAGTCAAAATCATAAGTAAAATCACAAGTCGATTGTAAGACAATCACATGTCAATCACAAGTCAAATCACAAGTTAATCACAAGTCAAATCACAAGTTAATCACAAGTCAAATCACGAGTCCATCACAAGTTAATCACGAGTCCATCACAAGTTAATCACAAGTCAACTCACAAGTCCATCACAGGTCAAATCACAAGTTAATCACAAGTCCATCACAAGTTAATCACAAGTCAAATCACAAGTCAATCACAAGTCAATCACAGGTCAAATCACAAGTCAATCACAAGTCAATCATAAATCAAATCACAAATCAAATCACAAGTCAAATCACAAGTCAAATCGCAAGTCAAATCACAAATCAAATCACAAGTCAAATCACAAGTCCAATCGCAAGTGGGATTGCGTTACAAACCGTCCGATCCGTAAAGTCGGTATGCCGTCTTTCTGCCCGGTATAGTGACTTTCTCGATGTCGTGACTCAGTTTGATACGTGGTTCGTCATCGATCTGGACCAACTGCAAAGCAATCCAAAAATATATTAAGTCTAAAAAAATTGCGACCTTCTTAAAATTAAAATTTTGGGGGAAACTTTGTTTCTTGTTTTTACAACCGAAAGATTATACATTGGCATTATTTTATCTGACCTTAAAGACACACCCAAGAGCTGGCTGCTTCTGGCACGTCACAAGATGTGTGCCGATTCCAAAAGCATCGATGGAGTTGCCCTGGAAAAAAAAAACCAGAAAATAAAATTTCACAAAACTCTTTATGTTTGTATAATTAGACTATCACTAGTACTAGCTACTCAAAATAGTAATTAAAAGTCGGCAAAGCATAAACTTAAAAAATATTATAGGGACTTTGGTTGGACGAGTAAATTTTTCTGTGTTTGGAAAAAAAAACTGACCTGTTGTTGAAGCGAGTGCAGGGTCTCCTCATTGATATCATTACTAGCAACGATTGTCACATCGCAGAACCATGGCAATCCAAACCTTTTTAACAATTGAAAGAGCAGAAAATAAATTAATTACATTCACTCAAGTAATGCAAGAAAAGCATTTTGTGGAGTGCTGTGGCCTCGTGGTCTGTGGCATTGAATTTGTGGTCTGAGGGTAATTCTGCAGGTTGTGGGTTCGAGTCCAGCCTGGGGTTACGGTGCGTGTGCCCTTGGGCAAAGCACTTTGTCACTCATTGCTTCTCTCCACCCAAGAGTAAACGGGTACCTGTGAGGGCAGAGATGGCTACTGTGATTGAATTAGCTGCCTTGCGCCTAACAGGCAGCATGGAGCTGCATACTCCCCAGGGAGCTGAGATGGTATTTGGAATGTTTAATTGGCCCAATGATCAAGGGTAACAATAATGTAAAGCGCTCTGATCGTAATTAAAAGCGCTATATAAAAACCTGTTATTATTATTATTATTATTAGAAGCAAAACATATTTCCAATTTTGGAGGACTACAATCAATTTCTCAAAATTGCCGAGGGGGTGAGAGCAACTTACTCCTGAGCAACTCTCTCGAAGATTTTCCTGATTTCCAGAGACTGGTAGGCTAAATCTCCACTGTCGATACGTACCCCGACAGCTTTATACCCGATATCGTTGAGGGCTAGAGAGACTGCGCAGAAATTGGCAACGCCACTCCTGAGAAAGTAAACAAAAGCAATGTTGGAGACTTTACCAGGGAAACATGAAAAGGTTACACTACGAATTTAAGTAACGCATTCCAGGGATTACAGGTTCGAGACCAGCCCTGGTTAATTGACTTACTTTAGCACGTCATAGGTGTCTACAAGAACTAGGAAGCCTTGCGGGAAAGCAACAGCGTAGGCAATGAAGGACGCTAGCTCCCCTTCGTTTGTGTCCCGCAGGTCCAGTAGCTGGCAGACTTTGTCCAACCAGGCTAAGGAGCTGGCAGCGAGATCGATGGGGTCGCTGGTGGCATCTTTAGGCTGAAGCATCTATCATAAAAGCAATGTTGAAGACTTTTATGAGGCAGGGAGTAGCGTCCATCACAAGTGGTCACAAGTGGTCATAAGTTATCACAAGTCATCACAAGTCATCTCATGTCATCACATGTCATCGCAAGGCATCACAAGTCATCACAAGTCATCTCATGTCATCACATGTCATCGCAAGGCATCACAAGTCATCACAAGTCATCACAAGTCATCATAAGTCATCACAAGCCATCCAAAGCCATCACAAGTCATCACAAGTCTCCACAAGCAATCACAAATCAATCACAAGTCCTCAAATCCCAAATCATGTCACAAGCTACTCAAATGAATAGTAACAAAGTCAAAAAAAGACTATTTGGCTTAAAACGCAACCAGAAAGAAGGATTTGAGATGACGGAAAAATTCTGGATTAGTACCTTATTTTTTAGGTCGTCAATACTGCGAAAGGACATGACTAGCGAGTGCGCATTGGTCCCCCGCAGAGGAATGTTGTACAGTTTGCCTGCCAGGACGTTACTTGTGGCATCAAACCCTACAAAACAGAGTAAAAATAACAAAAATGGATATTATAGCGCTGTTCATGTTATAATTCAGTATTCAGTAAACAGACTCAACAAAGTCACTCAGTGTTCTGCGGAAAAATACCGACATCCTTACCTCCGATGTAGCTGTATTTACTGGCTGACAGACCTCCGTCCGGCCCCTGCGCGCGACGAAGGCCAAACTCCAGAAGCTGCTTATTGGGACCAGACGCCAGCCGGAATCTCGCTGCGTTGGTTGCTACCAAGCTGGAAGACGGACATAAGCGAAGTATTGTTCAATATTCAAACATAATAACTGCAAAGCACAACAGTCAATACTTGATTAAAGTCAAGTGAATGATTTTTAAATGGGTGGGCAAGTTCCCATGTTTGTTTCATTGTAGCCGCCCCCCCCCCCCCCCATCACTTCTTAGTGCTACCCTCTCTAGGCTAAAATGACCAACCTCGCATAGTTGATCAGATTCAGAAGCGTCGTCTCCAGCAGCTGAACCAGAGGCAAGGGACCCTCGATCCTCAACAGAGGCACCCTGGGAAATACCACGGAGCCCTCGTCGATTGCATACAGCTGGATGGCCGAGCAGTTGAGAGCGGAGAGGTAGTCGAAAAAACCTCGCTCGGTGGTGGGCGGCAGCACAGTGCGCAGAAACGCAATGTCTGCAGAGTTAAAAAGTCAGAGTTGGGGACCAGGATAAGTCGACCTAATCACAAGTTCAATCACAAGTTCAATCACAAGTCAAATCACAAGTCAATCACAAGTCGAAATCACAAGTCAATCACAAGTCAATCACAAGTCAATCACAAGTCAAAGACAAGTCAAATTACAAGTCAATCACAATGCAGGTTACAAATAACTAGGGGATGAACAGCGACATAGAAATTCCTTTTCAAAATTCACTTGTGATGGGCTTGTGAAGGACTTGTGATGGACTTGCGATGGACTTGTGATGGACTTGTGATAGACTTGTGATGGACTTGTGATAGACTTGTGATGGACTTGTGATGGACTTGTGATGGACTTGTGATGGACTTGTGATGGACTTGTGATAGACTTGTGATGGACTTGCGATGGACTTGTAATGGACAAGTTTGTGATGGACTTGTGATAGACTTGTGAGGACTTTTGAGGACTTGTGAGGACTTGTGATGGACTTGTGATGGACTTGTGATGGACTTGTGATAGACTTGTGATGGACTTGTGAGGACTCGTGATGGACTTATGATGGACTTGTGAGGACTTGTGATGGACTTATGATGGACTTGTGAGGACTTGCAATGGACTTATGATGGACTTGTGAGGACTTGCGATGGACTTATGATGGACTTGTGAGGACTTGCGATGGACTTATGATGGACTTGTGAGGACTTGCGATGGACTTATGATGGACTTGTGAGGACTTGTGATGGACTTATGATGGACTTGTGAGGACTTGCGATGGACTTATGATGGACTTGTGAGGACTTGTGATGGACTTGTGATGGACTTGTGATGGACTTGTGATAGACTTGTGATGGACTTGTGAGGACTCGTGATGGACTTGTGATGAACTCGTGTGTACTTATGAGGACTTGTGACTCAGGAGACTTGTGAGGACTTGTGATGGACTTGCGATGGACTTCCGATGACTTGTGATTGACTAGCGAGGACTTGTGATGACTCAGGAGGACTTGTAAGGAACTTGTCACTACAACTCTTGTCAAGAGCTGAAACTTCATCCCATGAACACACAACAAAGTTTAGCTCCCAACTCTAAATTGTTTGTAATGTAAGACATAGCCTTCTGAAATTTCATGAAGGTTTCTGGAGGGTATAAATCCCCCCCCCCCCCCCAGCCTTCTCTTTCTAAACTTGGAAACCTACCGGAATCCGTATACCGGAAGTTCTTCAGGAATCTAAGGCACTCCTGCAAGCCGGCGAAAATGGTGAACTCTCCCCTGAAGGGATTCCGTCGGAAGAAGAGATCGAAGACGGCGCGGCTGTCCGTCCTGCGACTCTTCCAGTAGGCATAGGCCATGGTGATCTGGTACTGGTCAGTCAGTAAGGCCTGGATGATGCCGTTGGATTCCTGGCCGGATTCCAAGATGCTGGCATTGTTGTTGATGTTGTTTGCGGCCATTGTCTGCTGCTGAAAAATCAACCAAAAATTTAGGAAGTGTATATTAGCCTGCTAGATTTAGCTGCCTTCCTTTCAAGTTTCAGTAAAAGGTATTAAGCCAATTAGATTGTACAGCGCCCTCTTTAACGCGTATACGAGTAGGCCTACATTATAAAAGGGATTAATTTACCACGCTCGTTTGTGCTGCACCTGTGGCCGAGTGATTGTGTATCACATCAGACTGAGTGAGAAATCCCCAGCAGGGTTCGATTCCTACTCCTAGAACTATGAGGCTCCACGTGGAGCCTCATTGTTCTAGGAGTCAGGGGTGTGAGTGACCACTAATAAAAATAGCTGAAAACGGCTGAAAAAGGTGTTAAATAGCTGAACTTTGGAAATCTCCTATACTTTTGTACACAGCAAGTGAGGGAAAAGAGCCGATATCCAAAACAAAAAAAGCTGAAATCAGCTTTAAAGCTGAGATTTCACACTCCTGAGGAGTATTCGATTCCCTGCTACAAAAAAGTAGCGACATTTTTGATTTTTTTTTTTTTTTCATCAAAAAAAAATAAGAATAGGCCTACTTTTCTTTTATTATTTTGTATTTTCTCCAACATTTAATTACAGATTATGACATTTTTCTTTTTCAAAATTGTGGCTCTGGGGGACTTATTTTAAATTGAAGGCAAATTTGAAATAAAGTCCGAAATTGTAAAATGGTCTGATTCCCGTCTCGTGAATACGACGTCACAACGACAATGTTGGTGCGGAACCAGACTAAGTTGTCACGGTATAAAATGTCCAAGTCCAAAAATAGTCACCATTTAAAAAGTTCCCGTTTAAAATCTCAGTGGGCGACAACTATGACCATGGAGCTATAGCTCTATGCTATGACCAAGTCCAGGCTATAACCCCTAAGGAACACAATATGACCAATCTTGATAATCCCCAGCGGTAAATTTCGTATCTACTCACCTAATTGCAAACTGAAATTCCCCCAGCCAGGTTTCTGTTTTCGCCCGCTGTTGTTTATCTTCAAATATAGTCGGGTGACTCTTCCAAAAGCACATTAAAATGCCCACGCAGTCGTCTGGGTAAAAATGGTTGCAGACGCCCCCGGTTTTACCAGAAAGGCTTGTGCACAGAGCTAGAGCTGGGCGGGAATTTTTTTTTCTGAACTTACTAGGCATTGCTATATCAAAAACCAAGTCCAAACAATTATGTCCCATATTTGTGGAAACGGTGCTGCCTTATAATAATAGCAAATGTTTCTGAAGAGATAATCCACATTCAGAAAGAAACTGTTGCCTATGAAATCTTTGATATTTCCTCCGCAAATTGTGATGTATTTTAAACCATCATTCATAGTTAAAAATAATTTTAAATTGTTAAGAATTGGTGCCTATAAACTGTACATGTACATCAAAACTATTGTGCCTATAACTATTAAAAACATGGAAATTAATCAAAACACGACTCAATTAACATTAGAGGCAAAACACAGCTGAAAATTCCAGTCAAAACATGACTGAAAATTTGTCAAAACAGGCCTGAAAATCTGTTAATTTTTTTTGTCTGAAAATAGGTCACTTAAAACTATAAAAGATAAAAATTCCTAACTCATGTTATAGGTGCGATATAGTGGTTTACTGAAGTTTGCCTTACTTCTTTGTGCCAAAAATGGTCTTTTGAATTCTGCCTAACTGTTAAGTGCCGATAGTGGTCTTTTGAATTCTGCCTAACTATTAAGTGCCGATAGTGGTCTTTTGAATTTTGCCTAACTATTAAGTGCCGATAGTGGTCCATTGAATTTTGCCTAACTATTAAGTGCCGATAGTGGTCTATTGAATTCTGCCTAACTGTTAAGTGCCGATAGTGGTCTATTGAATTCTGCCTAACTATTAAGTGCCGATAGTGGTCTATTGAATTCTGCCTAACTGTTAAGTGCCGATAGTGGTCTTTTGAATTCTGCCTAACTATTAAGTGCCGATAGTGGTCTATTGAATTCTGTAGACCATTCCTCACTTATAGTTTGGCATAATAAAAAAGGCCATATCGGCACTTACTTCACTGAACAGTTAGGCAAAGTTCACTAGACCACTATCGACACTAAACAGTTAGGCAGAATTCAGTAGACCACAATCGACACGACACTTAATAGTTAGGCAGAATTCTTGAGACCATTATCGGCACTTAGCATTTAGGCAGAATTCAATAGACCACTATCGGCACGAGTTAGGCATAATTTAGACCACTATAGTATCGACACTTATAGTTAGGCAGAATTCAAAAGACCACTTTCGGCACTTAAGACAGTATTCAAAAGACCACAATCGGCACTTAATAGTTAGGCAGAAATCTTTGTGTCCCGTTTAACCTTTATTTTCAATGTTCGTTTCTCCATTTTCAAGGGTACCGTTACTTTGGTCAGCCTTAATATTTTTAGTTTTTATGCTAATGCAAATTTCCACATTCATACGCAAAAGTGTGATGTCATTTCAGGCAGCAATTAACATCAATGTTACAGCTATTTACAGCAAAAGCTGCCAGAATTTTGGATATTATTTTGTTGCTTTAGTAAATTGTCTTTTCTGTGGTGATTCGTTGCTGCGTTTTTTGGCAGTACGCCAATGAGCAAACTTGTCTCACAGATGTTTTCAAGGAGCAAATGTTTTGGTTGGCAATTTGGACAGAAAATATCTAAATTGAATTGAACCGTGTCTGCCGGAAATTACATCACATCAACATCGCTCTCCGTTGTCCGGAAAAGCATGGACTTAAATTTTTTTTTTTAAAGAAGAGCTCTTTTCTGTAAAGTTAACCAAGAACCGAATTCAAGCAAGATGAATCGTTTTAATTTTTGTGCTGCGTCTGTGAAGTAGCTTACGCGCCCGACCGTCACATGTCAATGATTTCATATAAAAAAATGTTATAATGTCATGAATCTTTATCTTCACAGCTGTTGAAATAATGACCCGTACCTTACCAAACAAATTACAATGTATTATCAATATGGTTAGTGACGACAAAAACATCTGCAGTTGTAACATTAATTAGGTCAGGCGCAATAATCGCACGTTGAGTGCGCAGCATGAGGACTTTGCTGCTTGCCTAAAAAAATGTTTCTCCAGATTTTCAAATACGATAGATGAAAATGTAGTAGTCAAAAAAATTTATGCATATCACTTTCAACGACTGTTTGGTGTAAATTATCGCTCACAGCACAACAAACAAACACAAACAAAAACAACATCAACAGTAAAAGCACAACAACAACATCAACAACAACTTCAGCAGCAGAAAAAAACATTACCAACAAGAACAACGAAAATAACAGCAACAACAAACAACAACAACAACAAACAAATAAACAAACAACAACAACACCAACAACAACCATAGATCTTGATGACAGTGGATACCATGACAACCGTTGCGACGACAACAATAGGATATTAGTGATGATTAAGAATTTAGTAGGAAACGATGACAACCAATGACTGTATTTTTAACGATAGAGGATGTGGTTTAGTGCAACAAGGAATAATATATCTAGATACTTTAAACTGCTAATTAAGGCCACTTACGCTACACCGCTTTAACTTGGCGGCTCCATCAAAATTGTCGCGCGTGAGAGAGCAGACCAAATTAAGAGATGGCGGTGACACCTCGTCATACCTGCACTTTCAACTGTAGCCGACCCTCCTGGAGGTGGATATAGTTGCTTCACCGACCGTAAATTCGTTGTTACAATTTACATGGTGTTTTTGGTAAAATTCTGCTAATTTTTGACAATTTCTGGAAGAGACATTTCCTGAAGAAAATGGGAGGTGTACACCACCACGACCGAGAGCACACACTCTTGTTTTACTATACTCCCGAGGACAATGCTTTGTGTTTCCTTTGTCCCTGTAATATAACACTAAGCACACAAACCTACTACAGAGGACCGTTTTGAACAAAAGACCCAACTCCTGAGGACTGAAAGGATCTGTTATTCTCCCTTTGTGTGTTTGTCCTCGGGGGGTTATGTAGAACAAGCACACTGGGCTAGACCCGCCCAGAAATGTCCATCCACTTTAAATTTCAGGCAGTAATTACTCCCTTTACTTTGTTATCGTGTCCTCTGGGTGCCTTGTACTTTTCTTTGTAATCCTTTCCTTTCCGTCATAAAAAAAATAGACGTGGCAAGCTTCTGTTGTCTTGCCAACCATGCTCCGTATTATGTCACCGTACCCAGACCCAGACTCTGCTAATAAGCCCGAAAAAGTCCCTATAAGCACAAAATACATTTGCTTAGCAAAAAAAGGTTTACCAACTAAACTTTCATGTCATGTGTATTGGTGTTACTTGGTACCCTGCTCAGCACACACACAAAATTGCTAACCAACATTTGTTTTTGGCTTGGAAACTCCACGAGATTCGACCCACGTCTGTTAGCGTAATTGCTTTTTCTTCGTCACCGTACCGTGTACCGTACCCATGTGAAGCAGCGATGCTTCGCGCGCGCCCAAGCGTAGCCAGCTACCATGGCATCATCCTCCCCCAAAAAACTCATCAATTTTTCAGGACAACAAATGAATTGGCGCGAACGCGGCGTGTAGTGTGGGGATGACACTGCCATGTTACGCCTCACTGTAGTATGATAATAATGCAGAAATTGCAATATTATATTTACATGGTTTGAAGTGAACGTCAATTTTTACGTTATTTTCAGCTGTTCAAGTACTGTACAATTAATGCTTGTATTTGATAAATTTGAGAGGACGGTGTGGGGCGGGGCACGGGAAAAAGGGAGGTTCGTTTAAATATATTAATGCAGTTAACATAACGTTTCCATATAAGCATCGGTGCTTTGACACTGTTTTACGACATCTTCATTATTTCAAAAGTCCACTTTGTTTTTATCTGCCTCCCGTTTTTGACCAACCACTTTTTTGTTTTATTGGTCTTGACCTATAGTTTATTGGCAATTAACAGAAGCCTACTTCCTAGTTGCATTAGCTCAGTGATAAAGTGCATAGCAAACTATGCGCATATTAAATTTTTCGAAAAAAATATGGCCAAAGAACCGAAGAGAATAACTGAAAAATAAAACACACAACATCAAGCTGATTTTTTTCAGCTTTAAGCTATAAGTTCACCTAAAATAATAGTTGAAACGTCGATCACTTTTTGAATTTTGGCTTTTCGATTAGACCTTCAACTGGCCCCCTCTTTTAATTTGATGTTTGTCCTTTGAGAATAACTGTCATTATTCATGGAGGTATGATAATGACAATGATTGTTCGACAAGCTAGGCTTCCGCTGACCTTGGATGGGTGATCTACGGGCGACCAATTGACTGTGAACACTTTAATTGCTTTGTAAAAAAAATAAAAAAATACACGACGCCACGCGCACCTTCCTAAGCACTGCCATTGGACGGCGCGCGTGGCACGTGGCGTAACCGCGCGGCGTTGTATTGGACAGCTGGGAGAATAATGAATCATGAATAATGAATCATGAATAATGCATGAGCGACTATTAACGCGCAAAGACATCACTGGAGGTGACTCCCACCTGGTTAGTTTTAATGCACCTGACAGGTAGCGGCGATTTTTAAGAGACATTCGTTAATTGCAAGGTAGCACAAGCTGCACGCGAGCTGAATGTCGGACGAAGAGTTTTACTAGGAATTATATGCATTAGCAAAAAATTGGTTACTTAGAAACCATCACCACCGCGTACCGTCATCTTCATCTTCCGTAGCAACCACCACCATCAGCACCCTTTCACGGCAACCCACCACACAATTGGATCAAAGGCAGCACACAAGGTAACACAGAAGTAGATCTGTAACTTTTGAAAAAAAAGCATGTGCTTTGTTTGAATTGATATATATATATATGTATTTTTAGCAGAAACCACCATTCATTCGAATGCAGTACGTATAGGCGATGCTGTGACAGAATATACCAGTACCACATCGATTTAATTACTAAGGAGCAGGAGCAATTTTATCATTTTGTAAACTGTTACGAATGCTGGTAGTTGTTTTGAAGGCAGTTTATTAAAAGACCATAACAAGCTGATAATTTGTGCTGTATGATAATCTAATTGGAAAATTCATCATGCAAGCTTTAAAAAAAAATATGCCCATTGTCGCATTTAAATGAAATATTTTTCAAAAAGACAACCCTGAATTCCTGAAGTTAGAAAAAAACGTATGCAAAACGTGGCAAGGGCCGATCCAGAACCAACTTTATGGGAGCCAAGAGGGCTAGAGTATTTTTGGGGGGATTAAGTATATACATGTAGTATCGTGTGCTATTTCCACATTGTAATATTAAAAAAGGTATGTGTAGCTGGAGGCTGGCGAAGGGGATACGCAAATTTTTAATTTATTTCTTGAAAAAAAAATGTCTTCACTCCTCTTCACTCCTCTGATTAAAAAACAACTACAAAGCACCCAGAGAGCGCAAATCTCCGCCAAGGCTAAACAATTCCTCGTCATATTGTCAGTACACCCACAAGAAATACTCGCATAAATGGTGAAGAATCCTTTAAGAAAAAAAAAACCTGGATCCCGCAGACCCAGATCCGGATCAGTTCCCAAATCTAATCGATTTGTACTTGTACCAAGGACCACCCCTAAAACTTTTCATGCAAATCCGTCCATACTTTTTTTGTTTAGTTATCTCGTTAACAGACAAACCCACCGACCAACCAACCAACAAACTAACCAAATCCGATGAAAATATAACCTCTTTGGCAGAGGTAATAAAGATTCGGAGGGGGGGGGGGCGTTGCCCCCCTCCCCGATCCGCCAATGACCAGTGGTGGATTCAGGATTTTTCAAAGGGGCCGGGGGGGGGGGGTTCGAAGTGTTCAATGTATAATTAAGAAAGACCAAAGCTTTTGCAACGAACTAAAATTTACAATATTGTAGTTCCTTATTTAATGAAAGAAAGTTTGATTCCTGAACAGAATGTGAATAATGAATATTGGTGAGAGAAAAGAGGGGCGGGCTAGACCCCGCTACCACAAAAAAATCGCCCCTGCTGACATTTTAATTATGATCAGCGAGGCAAAACAAATTGATTCCAAACTTGAAATTATGTTAACGCATTGATGATGAACGTATCAAAAGTGAGTCGTGAAGTCAGTCAAGAAAAACTCAGTAATAATCCACTTTTGTTTTTTACCACGGCAGTCAATTTTATAAAACTCCGAAGCAAAATATCGGATTCGTTCACCTTTGACTTTTGGATGGTCGGGAAGCTCTTCTGTCATTCCCCACAGCACGGGTAACAAAATTGAATGGGCAAAACATCTGGCTGCTCGCAAATATAAAAAAAAAATGATTAAAATCAGTGGAACAGAAACAACAAATCACCCTTGAGATTAAAGTGGCCATCACATGTGACAAGTTTGCCTTGTATTATGTTTCAGAAAGGGATCATTTCCAGCAGGACGATATTGGGAAAACTTCCGGCCTCTTCTGAATTAAATTGCGTTGTTGCATTTACGGTGATTGAATCGTGTGATCAGCTTATTCCATAGAACCATTGTGAAATGAGATGTAATCTATGCTATAGCAATAATCTTGTTATATACTATAGCATAGATTACATTATCTTATTGCAAATTGGACAATAGTAACTTCTTGATGCTAAAAAGGTGCTGCAGAGTTGAATAGCAATCTATTGACTTGTATAATATTCATTTTTTGTACTGTGCAATATGATAATGTAATATATGCTATAGCATATCATTCTATGTATGCTATAGCATACATTATCTTGCACAAGTTAGACAATGGTCACCTCTAAAAAAAAGGTGCTGCAGAGTTGAATACGAATCTATTCACTTGTATAATATTCATTTTTGAACTGTGCAATATGATAATGTAATCTATGCAATAGCATAGCATACATAATCATATTGCATAAGTTAGACCATGGTCACTTCTAAAAAAAAAGGTGCTGTAGAGTTTTTGTAATGGAAACAGAATGGAGATATTACACTTGACAAAAATGATTGTCTGCCGATTTTTTTTCCCACGTGCAGTTAAATTAAAGAAACTAATTTTTTAAAAAATATTATATGAAATATAACAAGGCACTTCAAATATAACTTTTGTTTCGATTGATCAGAATTTTGTTCCGTGGTAGGCTTGAATTGGTACTTATCTACGCGTTTGGAAAATAAAAAGACTGTATGCCTACAGATAAAGTGAATGTGGCGCCAGATACGCAGTTTTTGCTGTTTTCATGCGGGGGTGAAAAAAGATCCTTTCCGGTGGGAGGCAAACAAAAGGTCTCAACACCTGCGAGTGATATGAGAGAGAAAGGCAATGATACGGCCATTATAACGATGACTTTTAGCGTAATTAGTTGCCATGGCAACTCGCGGGCATTCTCATCCGCGTATTGCCATTGTTTATTTATAGCAAGAGCTATAGAGCGGACGTCTTTCCGAAGCATCGGTCTTTTGTGCACCGAGTGTAGCCGATGATAACATTTTGAGGGAAGGTTATCATTCGGTGAATTATCATGAACGGGCTTGAATAGCGTTCTTAAGCATCGTTCCTTGTTTGTTTTCAGCGCATTTCAAAATACCAGACATACGATAAAACGGGCTTGTATACATATACGAATTGTCAGGGTCGGATCCAGGATTTTTTTGCAAGGGGGGGGGGGGGGGGGTGTTGTTTCATCAGCAAATGAATGCTGAAATGTAGATGGTTGGGGAGAGTGTGGCGGGACTCGTACCATACTTTCAATGGGGCCGATGTTCAAATCCGACGATCATGAACACTATAGTGTACAAATACCGTGGGGGCACATAATTTGTAATTTTCTGTGGAAAAAAATTGAGTCACATCGGGGGGGGGGGGGGGTTGCCAACCCCCCCCCCCCCCCCCCCCGGCACCTGATGACTATTCATGTACTTCAGTTGCATTTATAGTACCACAAACAACACACATTGCTTCTGACAAGATTGATGCAATTGCTGTAGTGTGCCCAGCCCAAGGACAATGAACAATGTTATTTCAACAGACCGTAACCGTATACAGACGCTCTGCGAAGATGTACATCAAATTTATACCGTGTTCTCATTCTTATCCATGCTAAAAGATGGTTTTAAGGCGAGCTCAACCGTTTCTAGCCCAGTAAACACATACGATGAACTCGGGCATGAAATGTCTGAAATTCACCACACCGCTCTTTGCTCATACAATAGGCAGTAATGTTCAGATTTGTTTAACTGATTATCTATGAACATACGGAATAACTAAAGCTATTTCATCTTCTTGTATTTAGCGAACAACAAAATGTTATTAGTTTTGGTGAATGCTCCCCATGCGATATGCGCTTTATGTAGATTTCGGCATTGGAATTCAGCTATATAATTATACTTGAATAATATAAATCAATAAATATTACTATACCCCCTGCAGAATATTTAATAGTGAATACATAATGTATTATCGGTATACTGATGATACCAGTAAAAAAAAATGGTCAGGGTCTTATATAGACCGTGTGGCATTTGCTTACAAAACCGGATGTTGTGGTCACGTGACGCCAACTTTCAGCAACCTTCTCTTCTGTCGTGCATGAATATTTCTTGAAATGTTAATATAAGTGGAACGTCCCTATCCGAACGCCACTATACCGAACGCTACTATACCGAACATTCGGTTATACCGAACATCGTCTTTGGCTCCCGATCTGTGCGTACAAAACGTACCGAACATGTTGTTGTTGCAAAATGTCAACAGAAGAGCGACAAGTGACTGTCATTTCCCCAAAGGAATAGAAGGGGAAGGCATTGTCGTAGGTAGTAAACTGAACAACTGTGTAATTACGTAATTAAATAGACGGCCCAGGTTCAAAGTCATCTTTCAGTAACTACCAGGGCGTGCAGGGTGAAATTATGAAGGGCGCTATTTATTGAAAAGTCAGTACGTACCGGAGCACCGGCAGCTTATAATCGCTATACCGAATGATCGCTATTTCGCGGGTTTGTACGAAAAAATAGTTGTTGGCATTGTTAACCACGACTTTATTCCACGACAATGTTTAACATGCACCGAATTAACTGAACTGGTTGGAAAGTGAACTGAGGAAAAGAGAACTAGAACGAATACTGAATATACTACTGTACTGAGTTATTATTACTAAATACTGACTGACTGAACTGAAGGGCTAACTGAAGTTATTATGATAATGGTATAGGCTACCTCTTGCAACCCCTTTCTAAATTGACACTCGCAATTAGCGGTGTTTGCTTGCGAGGGGTCTGTGACTACTCAGCCGGCACTTGCCGAGCACAGAACGGGAGAACTGCGAACGGGCTCGGACCTCGAGAACAGAAACTTGGAGTAAACATCGGAAAGATGCGTCGGTTTTGCAGAGACGCAAAATTTTAATTAAGTTGTGGGGGCAAAGAAAACAAGAACTTGAGCTAAATTTACAAGGTGTCTAAAACGAAAGGCTAAACTCGACATCGCGACAAGATATTTCACAAATTCGATATATGTTTTTGGTTGTCGAGCCCACCACAAGTCTAGCAAGTCATTCAGTCCTATGACAATTCAAAAGCTATTAATGAATTGTGACCAAAGACGTTCCTTTGTTATTGTCTATCCCGTTACTTGTGACTTGTAATGTATTGTGAATGGGCTTGCGTTTGGATTTACGAATGGACTTGTGATTTAGTTGTGACTCGACTTGTGACTGAACTTGTGAATGCAGAAGGACTTGTGATTTACTCGTGACTGGACTTGTGAGTGGATTTGTGACTGGACTTGTGATTGACTTGTGACTGGACTTGTGATTGACTTGTGATTGACTTGTGACTGGACTTGTGATTGACTTGTGACTGGATTTATACGAATGGACTTGCGACTGGACTTGTGACTGGACTTACGAATGGACTTGTGAATTACTGGTGTTTGAACTTTTAGTTGTGACTGGACTCGTGACAAGACTGGTGACAGGACTTGTGATTAACTTGTGACTAGACTTGTGACTGGACTTGTGAGTGGATTTATGACTGGACTTGTGAATGGACTTGTGATTGACTTGTGACTGGACTTGTGTCTGGACTTGTGATTGACTTGTGACTGGACTTACGAATGGACTTACGAATTGACTTGTGACTGCACTTGTGATTGATTTGCGACTGGACTTATGACTGGACTTGTGATTGACTTGTGACTGGACTTAAATGGACTTATGACTGGACTTGTGATTGACTTGTGACTGGACTTAAATGGACTTGTGACTGGACTTTTGATTGACTTGTGACTGGACTTAAATGGACTTGTGACTGGACTTCTGACTGGACTTGTGAATAGGCATATGACCGCCGACTTATGAATCGACTAGTGACTGGACGTGTGAATGGACTCGCCTACATGTACAACATTGATTCAGACCTTCCGGTCAAACCATCGCACTCGCTTGCAGTACCAAAATATTAACACCGCATTTCTTCGTAAAAAAATCCAACATGACAGGTGCATTTGGGCAATGGGAGGCAGCAAGCGCAGAGACGAGATGTTGCTGAACTCCGGCCCCGACGATGAGAACGGATACGGCACGGTGGACGGCGAGCACGGTGCCCAGCTCCACCTAGCGAGACACGAGGTGCTACAGCGGGCCAGGAACCGACTGCTCATCGCTGCCGTGCTGAGTCTGATGGTCATGGTTGCGGAAATAGTAGGTGAGTCATACAGGAGTCCTTGGGCCACTACAACAAATCATCTGTTTTTGTGTAGGATTAGGCTTGTTTCTACAGGAGTCTAGGGAGGGGGAGTAACTCCGCCCACAAACTGTCTCTTGCTTGGTCGTTTAACGAATAATATTCACCGAGGATTTAAAAAAAAATTAGATTCTCTTGAGACGTTTATTCTAATGTCCTCCTCATACCAATAATTATTCCAACAATTTTCTACGTTTTTGAACAGCAAATCTCCAAAATGTCTCTAGTTTCTACGGAAATTTCCTGTTTCCAAAATAGCTATGCAAGGCAGCAAAAGCAGTTTTTAACCTCCAAAACTTCCATCCTTTAGTAACGCTCCTGTTTTGTAAATTTTTAGTGCAACATTGTGTACTTGAATAGCCGTAAACATGGGCCGGAAGTTCCCGGAACTGTACAAACACAAGCCACTAAACGTTCCCCTTTCGTTTCGTTCACTCCCAATGCAGGTGGCTACCTGGCTGACAGCCTAGCCGTAGTCACAGACGCAGCCCATATGCTGGTCGACTTTCTGGGTTTTATCATCGCCCTACTGGCTATCTGCTTAGCCCGGAAACAGCCCAGCCAGAGACTAACACACGGCTGGCATCGAGCAGGTAGGTCACGTGATTAGTGACGTCATCTGTATTTCCATGTCAGGTAGTGAACAAGGAGGTCATGTGATCAATGACATCATCTGTTCTCATGTCAGGCACGCGCAGGTAGGTCATGTGATGTATGGAATCACCTGCTCAGGTTGGCCATGTGATCTGTGACGTCATCTGTCTCCATGTCAGATAGTCAGCAAGTAAGTCACGTGATCTAGGACTTTATTTGTTCCCACGTCAGGCACGTGCAGGTCATCATGTGGTCTATGACGACATTAGTTTTTCATGTCAGGCATCGCGCAGGTAAGTCATGTGATCTATGACGTCATTGTATCTGTATCTGTATCATATTGTCAGCAAAGCATCCCGGGGAAACATCACACCAACTTAGAGAGAAGACAATGAGAAGAAGTTACAGTTTTAGAGGTGGGAGGAAAAGCCCAGAAGAATATTCTGAGGACAACCCACGGACTCGGGCAGGGACTGAAAACCCAACCATGTTGGCCCAGGTGGGATTCAAACCTGGGTCACAGCAGTGGAAGGCGAGGAAAGTACCGCTAAGCCAACCAGACTCCCCCAGTCGTCATTGGTTTCGAACTTTGGCCCCCCACAATGTTAGGCCTACCGAGAGATAAGAGAAAGGTGTGATCTTTTCCGCGATCCAGCCCTGTGCCAATTTGTCATGGAATCGTCGCAAAGCAACATAAATGTAAATGATAATGGTTTCACTTCGTTTGATTCCTTTGGGCACACGAACGATTTTGTTCGCTGAATTGTGTCGACTATAAACACGTCAACAGACTTTGTTTGTTTTTCCGTTGCAGCTGCTGTGTTTTGTCCCTCTATAAACATTATTTTTTGTTTGCCTTTTTTTATAGATCCAATTAATCTTTAATTATGACCATTCAATGTTTTGTTTTTCATCAGAGATTATAGGAGCCCTCTTCTCCGTGCTCATTATCTGGGTCATGACGGGAGTGCTCATCTACCTCGGTATCAAACGGGCCATGACGGACCGTCTCGAGATCGATGCTAACATCATGATCATAACAGCATCCATCGGGCTGACCATTAACTTCATGTAAGTTCCTAGAAAGAACCAAGAACCAAAAGTAAAAGGATAGGGGGACATGGAACTTAAGAACAAGTTTAAAAGAACGGACTCGAAGAACAATTGGCCTGAGCATCATGATCATAACAGCATCCATCGGGCTGGCCATTAACTTCATGTAAGTTCCTAGAAAGAACCAAGAACCAAAAGTAAAAGGATAGGGGGACATGGAACTTAAGAACAAGTTTAAAAGAACGGACTCGGAGAACAATTGGCCTGAGCATCATCATCATAACAGCATCCATCGGTCTGGCCATTAACTTCACGTGAGTTCCCAGAAAGAACCAAGAACCGAAATAAAAGGAAAGGGAAACATGAACTATAGAACAAGTATAAAACAAGGGAGAACAATTGGTCTAAGAACACTTAATCATACCAAGAACGATTGTACTGCAAGGCATTAAACCCCATCTTAAAATGGGACAACGACAATTAAAATAGAAGAACCAATAAGAACCACAAGGACCAAAGATCCAAGACCCAAGAACCATTCTTCTTTTATACTTGCAAATGATTCACAATCACATGTCTAGGCTCTAATTGTACTCGAAATGTAATTTATAAGTCCCAATTCAAGAGCAAAATCATAGAACAAGTTCTATCCATTTTCTTTCAACCAAGAAGAGTCCAAGAACCAAATCCAAAGAACCAATTAAGAACCAAATCCAAAGAACCAAACAAAACCATGCTACATTTCAAATGTGACTCAGGTAGTAAAAAGAACCACGAACCAAAAGAATGACGGTTCCATTTATTCTTGTGAACAATTAATTCCCGCTGATAAACCTCCCAATGCATCTCATGGCGACGGTTCTAGAACCTAGCACAAGTCTTAATTCCTGAAGTTCCCCTCTCAACATTACAGTTTGCTTCATACTGCATTTCAAATCTGGCAACGCTTATAAACATTAAAGCTTCATTCGTCTTTTTTTTATTCCTTGTATAGTCTAGGGTTCATACTACATTTCAAATGTGAACGTGGTAACATTATGCCAACTGTGTCGGTCCTTGAGGCATCGTACACGGAACATCAGAGCATGAACCTACGGGCGGCCACGCTCCACGTCATTGGTGACATCATACAGAGTCTCAGCATTCTGATTGGTGCAATCGTGCTTTACATTCGTGTGAGAACATTATCTCAAAGACACTTCCACCACGAGCATGAAAACTCTGTATTGGTCGCATCTTCTATTTTATCTTTTCAACTTTGCCTTTTTGACTCGTACCAGGGCTGTTGAATATCATACAACAATTTTGAAGAGAAAATATAACAGCATTTATTTGAAGAAATTGATTTTCAAAGAGTTTATGGTCGTTTGTTTCGCCTCGTCCGTGGCGTCACACATGCACTCATACCAATAATCTATTCGGGATACCGAAGTAGAACCATTCCTCGGCATTCGTTGCCATTTTAGTCCCATTGACATGATAAATTGATAGTTTTATTACGTATGCATGTTTTATCATAGCCGGATCTGACCATTATCGACCCGATACTGACGATCATATTCAGCGTGGTCGTGTTCCTGACCACGTGCAGACTGTTTCGGGATATCATGACGATACTCATGGAGGGTAAGTGCAACCAATGGCTTGCAGAATTTATGAATACACAAGATCAATATGTTACAGTTTGGTAATTCCCTCATAATCCTTTGCCTTCTGCTACGTTTGCATGTAAATCTAGAGGTCAACTGTTTTACCGCAATCGAAAGATGCAAGCATGAATATAACTTGTTCAAAATATGTCAGTCAATGTACATATGATGTCACTGTTTCACAGCTAAACCGACCTCTATTGACTTCGCCGATGCTCGTCGCCGATTGGTTGAGATTGACGGCGTCGAGGGCGTTCATTCCTTGCGCATATGGTCGCTGACAAGTGGCGTTCACGTCATCACTGTCCATTTAGTAATTGGTAAGATATTTTTGTTTTTGGTGTAATGATTTTTGATATTTACTGTAGTGCACAATTAATGCTGTTTGCTCAGAACATATGACTAGGAGCATTTTCTGGATCTATAAGCCCAAAACGTGAAACAAGTCAGTTTAACAATATTTTCACTAACATACTAATCCTCCAAATCCATTTGTTTCTGAAGTCCAGCAAAAGCAAATGTTGTACATTTCCTTTAAACGTTTATTCCACGCCCGGTGACATCTGTCAACTTGAACACCACTCGCTAACAAGAGGACTCGCAAATGCTTAACAGTTATACCTAACTTCCGTAAACTTAATCATTTTTCTTCTTCAGCCACGCTGTACGATGGCGAGCCGGTCAACGCCCGTGGCATCCTGAAGGAAGCCCGCCACATCTTGGAAACCAAGTTCGGCGTGCTGTACTCCACGGTGCAAATCGAATACAGCGACGACGGCATGGCCTTCCTATGCGCCCGCACGCCCGGACCGTCCGATTAAAAAAAAAAAAAAAAACGGTGACCCATAGAGCGCCCTCAAGCTGCTTGAAATCCGTAGGAAAAAAAAACCGAGACGGAAGTTTTGCACGAATGATTTTGAGTGATAGTTGGTTATCAATTGTGCCAATTAACGATTTACTGAGCGTATTACTGAAATTGCCATTAGCCGTCCTTGCCAAAGTGATAGTAGGCCAACTGAACAAAAAAAATGAAAATGATTACACTGTTTAACGATTAAGCTTACTTAAGCTTAATGCATAGACTTAATTGGTGCATATAAGCAAATCGTCTGTGTCGGTGTAGCGTGAATATCCGACTCCATGAAATGTGGACTCATTGGTAGTACTGCGCACGCGTGAATACGATAATATGCTATTTTTAGGATCATTAATGGAGAGTGACCTGTCACGTGTGAGGGATTAACCAATAATAGGGAAGAGGGGTCCGATTTTCATAGGAGTCGGATTTTCATGTGACACCGACAATCGGTTCATAACAACACTGGATTCCTTGTCAGTTAAAACAAAAGAAAAAGGCAAGGCCTGAACTGATACACAAATAGATACATTTTCAATGTGCTAAAACAAAATGTTAATACATGTAGTCTTTATGGTAACGATTTATGACTTTTTTTCAAATCCTTATTGTCTACTCATTTTAAAATGAAGCACCCATGTAACTTATCATTTGTATACACTGTACAGTGTGTCGAATGTCTAAATCAAGAATGCTTCGTCCTTTTCAGAAGTAATATTTATAGCAAGTGAGAGATGCACTTTGTGTTCAAAGCAATTAATGTTGCCAATTAAGTGGCCAAAGTAGGACGCTTGGTGGCGGTATCAGGGTTGTAGCGCCACCAAGAGTCCACAAGTATGGACGGCTGTATCATTCCTGCTGGGTTCATGAGTGAATCATACATTTGACTTGATTAGTTCTGTAGATTTCAATCTTTATATTTAGTGTCAGTAAATGATCAGGCATTGCTGTTTTCCGCCTTTCTGAATTTTTGTACAAAACTATTGTATTTGGTACTGTCCTAAGCGGCCTTAACTCTTAATAATTACATTGTGGTAAGTACATTTTCATTTGGGCATGATGTATATTTGTACAACCCACTGGATTCCGAACAGCACAGTAATGCTCCTGAAGCTACTTCAAAAACGTCTTCAAAACAACGAGGCATTTATTTCTGCTCACAAAAAAGTGATGCGGTTTACGTCATCGATTTATGTATATACATCACAGGCACTCACGAAAACCTCAGACGTGGAACACTTATGAATTGTTTTCTTCAGCTTCTGTCATATAATGTCAAGATGGGGTATTAAGTTAGGGCCCTCAAATGCTTTCTGGGTGAGAATCTTCAATTCGTCTTCTTGCATTTCACTTCAATCTCTTCAAGATGCATGCCTTCGTTTTTAATATAGCCTAGATTGATTTATATTACCACGTTTTGTCTAATAGTAATAGTAAACTTGAAAAGAATAGAAAACATTAAACACTGAACTATTTAAAATAAAAAGGTTTTGCAGATGTGAGTTCATCCCAATAAAAGTACACTTTGGACGAGATAGGTACTTATGCCCATCCGACACCATCGGTCTTAAATGAAGCCGCGCCGAAATACAACTTAGTACATTGTATACATTTTAATACATAGACGTGGGGTGGGGGATTTACACAGTCTCGATTTGATATCACAGAGACACCAGGCTTCTACATTTCATTGTAATTAGCAACACTTTGGCTTCTGGTTCGTTAGATTTAGACTGAGCATTTTGATATGGACAGAACCGCTTCAGACTGATACCGAGTCTAATATTCGAGAACAATAAATTAATCATTAGATGCGGCGAACGTTTTCATCACATCAATCAACATGGGTGATTGGGCATTATCTCCATCGGGGCGATCCACACTAGGCAGCTCCTGGAACTTTGGAAAGCAAACTCTGGCAACCATTAACTCAGTCAACCATTTATCTAAGCTAGTTAATGCTGTAAAAGGTTAAGAGAGAAACGTTGCACTAGTTTACAACGGCACAGGGACACAATTTGTCGCGACTCATAAGTCGCGTATAGAAGTAACGTGTCGCTCTTAATCCTAACTCCCAAATGTCTTTTACTAGGTACTGGACCAAGTCCGCAAAAATCCATCAATCACACTGCTTCCAATGCATGTTTTGCTTTAGGCCTCCCAGGCCCAAGTCCATCATATTCCATCAATGTTTAGTCAAACCACCAGGCCTGCAGGACCAGACCAAGTCCGCCAAAATCCATCAATCACACTGCTTCCAGTGATGCTTTGCTTAAGGCCCAAATCCATATACTCCATCACTGTTTAGTCAAACCAGGCCTGTAGGACCAAGTCCCCCAATGGGGAGGGGGGGGGGGATTTTGGAGTTGGGGAGGTCTGAGTTAACACTGGAATTATCGTGAGGCGACTAAAACTCTCCGACTAACGCGGAACAATCTCCTGACCATACATCGATGGCAGCTTGGACTCTGTGGAATGTTGGCCAGACCAAAATTCCAACATTGTCCAATGTGACATCTTCGACGCTGTTTGATGAGACAACGCCGCTTTAAACGGGTCAGGAAAGTCGAATGTCCATAGAGGGCGATGTTAATAGAGGCTGTATGAAGGATTGGTCGATATTGTGATAGCGTTGAAGTGCCGAATATGTGGCGGCAGATGATAGATGTGCTGCAACTTAGGTTCCCCTTTCTTTTTAGGAGACTTATCGATCAGTCAATTTGCTGCTCTTGGTGCCACGGGTCTTGTCCGTACCCTGAAGGAATCGCTGCGGCAGAAAGTCGGGAGAATCGTTTGAGATACGGCATATATGTGGGGCTAGCGTATTAAAGAAACCTGATATAAACCAGTAACACATTGCAGACTAGCTTAGACTGAACATGACCTCTTCAATGATAGGCTGAATACACGCCAACTCTTCAGATGATTATGGCTCATGTCCGTAGAAAATGTGAAAGACAAAATCTCAGTGCACCAAACCGTCTACAGTAGTTGGGACCGATCGCAGTGAAAGCTGTTTATTCTACTAAAGAAAGGCACTTTGTTACTTCCATTCTGACAGACTAGCACTTTGACAATCCTACAGTCATGGATGTTAACACCACCAATGTCATCGTCGGCAGTCTCTCCGGCCCACTGCGAGTTCTTTACGGCTCTGCCGTCATCCTCGCCTGTATCTTAGGCATCACGGGAAATGGTCTGGTCATCCTCTCAATCGCTACCACGCCCAAGCTCCGTACCTCCCACAACGCCTTCGTGTTCAACCTCAGCATCGCAAATCTACTGCTGTCGGTCTTCACCATGCCGTTCTACGCCACGGCCATCCTGGCTGAGGGCTGGCCTCTCAGCCCCTCTCTCTGTCGACTTCAAATCGAGCTCTCCTTAAACCTCTGGCAGGTGTCTGTACTCACTCTGGCCGCCGTTGCAACCAATCGCTATCTCCTGGTCGCCAAGTCAGCTGAGACATACAGCCGCTTTTGCGGCTTCAAACAGATTGCTGTTATCCTCTTCCTGGTCTGGTTGGAGGGTCTTTCAATGTCCTTGCTTGCCGAGTTTGTCATCGAGGTGGACATCAGGTATGTACCAGAATTTTCCAGCTGTGCCCTGAACCCGTGGCACTCACCCTCGAATCACTTCATCACGGCACTGATCAGCATCTTGGTAATGACTGTAATGATCATTATACCAGTGCAGTATTTCCGCGTCCTGCTGGTGGTTCGAGCCAGCAGGCAACGCGTCGGGCGCGCCGTAGGGATGGAGCTATCTACAGCCGGGCAGCAGCAGAACGGGCCCCGCCGAGCTTGTCCCAATTGCAACCTCCCAGGACCAGCGGGGGTCACCAAGGAGGAAATAAAACTCATCAAGATGTTCATTCTTCTTTCCCTTGTCTACACGATCTCCTACTTGCCAATCTCCATCGTCTACCTTTTTGTTGCTATCTTTCCCGTGCTCATCCGAGGTGCACGTTTCGGAGCGTTTGTCCTTTCGATAGCACCAGCCGTTAATCCGGTAGTCTACGCTTGGATGAACAGAGGTATCCGAAAAGCTTGCTACCGACTTCTCAGATGCAAACGTATGGTTACGAGTCCAAGGTTGGAGAGGCAGTTAGAACAGGCATAGGCAAGAAGTGTGGTCAGTCAACTGAGCCTTAATTCGTGGACCAATGACAAGGCTTGGAAACTTGACCAAGACTTATTCGACAAGTATACTGAACCCATTTCTGAATCAAGAGTATCCTGAAGTTTGATTCGAACAGTGCGCAGAACCCCAACTGATCTTTATGCAGATTTGTTAGCAAGTATCGGGGACTCGGTACTGAGGTCTTGTCATCGAGGACCTAGCATTGAGAAGTAAGCACCGCCAACATGGCAAAGAAGACTTCGCACTCTCTTTGAACAGATGGCCTCAAGTATCGAACTCGACGGAGACAGTCGAATGACTTTACTTTGACTTGATGATCATTATAACTCGGACTAGAAATTGGAATCATTGAATTGAAAACGGACTACAATGGGACCATCATCGACCACGTCTATAAACGATGCATTTTTGACTGTCAATTGAACAATTTGAATATAGTCGTTTTCCTGCTTTGTAGAAAACTTTTGCAAAGCGACACGAATTCGCACTTTCGTTTCTTCACACAATGTCCGCATTTGTACAGTTTGCCGTATTCGCTACATTTTGTTATTAACCAGAATGTAAAATCATGTTGGCTTTTTCTGTACACTACCAACGTTTGTATTAAGCTATTTAAAAGAAAGAAAACATGCTTTAAAACCGATTCCCATTCCAGTTGATATGAAATTGAAGTGGAAGCCAACCAAACTGGTGAAAAATACAAAGTAAAACACCTAAGTACTTCATTGCGGAAAAATCAGATTCGTCCAAAACCAAATAGCTGCTCAATTACAAATTTATTTACACAAATAACATCGTTTCTAGTGGGTTTTTTTTATCACAATAGCCTGAAGGAGGCTGGCGAGGGATTACCTGTTAACCCAGCGCCAAGTTTTGACAATCATAAAACGAGTAAATTGGATTCAACCAAACAAGCATTCTAGTCGTGACCAAGTGATCGCCATTTAAAGCCTGCCCACAAAAAAAACCCCAAAAATTATTACCGTCGTCTGAAACGCTGTCCGAGCTATTTATATTTTTTTAATTTCCCTTTCAGCCAATATGAAGTCCATTTCTCATCAATTGTATTGATAATCAGGGCAGCTCGACCCATGACACGTGGGTGGGACCAGTGAGACCTACCTACAAATTTCTGAATTTCTTTTTTTTACGTCACAGAAATATTTATGTGATGCTTGTTGAGAAAAGGCGCGACACACATTTCTGGAACTTTTTTTTCTAAGGATCTTTGTGTTTTATATTGGAAGATCTTTGTTACTTATAAATAACAAAATACAGGCGGATTTCTTCACTGTGAATCAGTAATATTTCAACAAAAATTGTAAGAAGCCAAACTGGTGATGCACCAGACAAATCAATATGAAAGAAATAATGGCAAACACGGTCACAAAAAAACGTGAAAAGCTGGTGGTGCTGTCTGCTATTGCTGTAATAAAATAGACCTACATTCTGTTGTCAATTATCAAAAAAGCAACTGATGGATAGTCTTGTTTACACGTGGCTGGAAACAGGTGAATGCCAAAGCAGCATCAATCCAATTTTAGAGACTTAAAATTGATTGGCCATTAATCAGGTGATCTTTGCTATTAAACTGCTGGCCTGAGAAACTGGGGCATTCGCTGATCATATTTTCTGTCATGGTAATTGAAGAAATATTTGTATGCTGTCCTTTGATGTCAAACAAAAAGGTCACGCTGTCTAAACGTTGTGAGTCTTTACCCACCTTTGTTGCAAACTTAAGTCCGACAATTTCATAAAACAATCTTTGGGTTCATGTTGTGAATATACAATATATTACAGTATATTACAATATATATACATCCCAGAAAACAAAATTAGCTTCATAAGGCCAAGTAAAAACAAAACAGTTTCTCATCCAGGTTTTAACAATTAAGTAGGAGGTGGCCCTTTTTTTTCTTTCAAGATGGCAAATTTTTCAAGACGGCGGATAGATTTTTCCATTTTCTGGACTCTTCTGCTGATACTTTTGTGTCCAAAGAAGCCGTCACTCTTTCTACCAGATTTGAACTTGTATACATAACTACAATTTTGCTTGAAACAAGTAAAAAGACAAAATATATTGCAAATGTATGATTAAAAAAAATAGAGGCAGACAGGAATCAGGAAGTGGCAGGGCAGGGACGAGAAACTGTTATTTTTTTTGACATGGCCTAAAGTATAAACTACATAAACAATACTTTTTAGTTTCAGTCCCGCCATCGGTGCCCGCACTCCGGACTGCAACACTTGTAGAATGTTGTCATTGGTTCATCGGCCGAGCGGGTCTGGATCTGCATGAAGTACGCCCTCAGGTGTTCACACTTTGGACATTTTTCTGAGAGGGAGATAGAAAATAAAACTGATTGAAATTAAGAACGGAGTGATGAAACTTTTCTCTAATATTTTTTTTCTTCTATTTTTTGGAGATTCTTACCTTCTGTCGAATCCACATTCTCCCAAGCTGCTGCTCCTCCTAGAACATCATCTACTTCCTTAAGATGAGGATATTTCTTGCTGGAAATCTAGTAGAAAATTGATAAACAAAACATAAAAAGTAATAAACAATTGAAAAATAACTTGAAAACTGTGGTATTTGTAGGCAGTTATCCATACCTCATAATTTTACTTGTACAATATGTTCAAATCTTTTATTTTATTTTATCGGGTCCTAAAACGGATTACTTCAACATCCCCCCAATAGTGTGTAGCCACGCCTACAGACGTTTATTGCACTTTGAAGATGATTGATGTAGTCCGTCCCGATATTTCGTCATAGTATGCACACACCTTTCTCGTTACATTGTGCACGAATGGGCAAGTATTACAGGCGAATCTGTAGCAGTTCGGTCCCTCTTCGACGACGAGAACATTGGCACACGTCGGGCAAAACATCAACATTTTGGAAACTGCTTTATGAGTTATGACAAAATCTTCTTCCTCACGTCGCACATACACAACACATGCAACAGGTTTTCGGTCCATGCGCTGTTAATAGCGCCCTCAAGAGAGCAAAACTAGTTAGCGACACACGCGACAATCATTGACGGTAAGATATGTATCCGTCTTCAAGTTCTTGCTTCTTTTATTATATTCACAATTTCTTGTTCTCGTACGGAATTCATTAGTTGAACCTTTTATGGATACCATCAAGTAGTAGAAATGGCATAGGTTTTTTCCTAATCTTTTTGGGGAGACATGTAACGTAGGCCTATTTCAAGTGTCGAACACTCGGACTCGGAGTCAGACAAAAACATTGGATGTGGGGGGCGGGGCGGAAGGGGGGAGGCGCATAGATATATCCGTTTATAGGGACCGTGCAAGTGCAAGTAATGAACATTTTCAGGATTTAGCCAATTTTGTGTTATTGTTTAAAGAGAAAAAATGTTGCAACCTGACGCCACTTCAGTCATGTCAGTGGTCATGGTGGTTGTGTTCAAGAGTCATGAGAGTAGATAATGGAGACGGAGTCAATTAGAAAATGTTCTTCCTACAAAATTGGAAATGTTTCTCAGTCCCAGATCATTTCATGTCTTATCATCATTTTTGCAATGACTGACCTTCATTGAGATGATATATGAAGAGAAAAGTGGAGTCAGGTTGTAACATTTTTTTCCATTTAAGCTTCTATTTTTTCAAATCGTAATTTTTTCATTCTCTTTCTTCAGTTCAGGAAACAAGCATCTAAGCCTAAATTTTCTTTGACTAAACGTAAGGCTAGGCAAATAAAAGGCGTCATGACTGTGTAGACATCAGGCTGATTTCACGTGGAATCATGGCCATGATGGCAGACAATTTGGAAAGTGCATTTGCAACAACAGTGGAGCCCATTGACCGTGTTGACTCACCCCAGCCAACAATATCCACCGCACCCTGTGATGAACCCCAGGACAAACCTGAAGACTCAATCCCAGACACACCCCAGAGCACATCCCACGATGAACCCGAGAGCACGGCTGCGTCATCAGGTGAAGTGACCCACGATGAGGCAATGAGGATTCTGCGCGAGGGATTAGGGGAGGTTTTCCGTGATGACCCGCTTCTAAGCGACCTTCCTTTCGAGGTCACAGCTGAGGAAGTCGGCTTACAGATTGCGTTAGAGTATGGCCAAGCCATGACTGTCTCTGTGCAGAAATTCACTGGTGAATTAATGCGTAAGTTAGCTTCAGAGGGAATTTCTTAATTGAAAAAATAATCGCTCAGTACCCAAGAATGTCTGTACATGTACATGTTTCAATAGACCACTTGCAGCTGAGGTCACATCTGAGGGCAGGGCTTTGCTCCTCAGTGATCCGCATGAGTAGGCAGTCTGTTCTTTCATTTTTGATGAATATAAATAACTAAAAACTGCGATGCAAAATCCAACTCCATACCCATGTATATTAATATATTTACTTTAACAGGGAGGCTCAATCTTACAAAAGCAGGTTAACATCAAGAAGGTTCGCTTTTCTCCAACAGCAATCGTTGTCATGCAAGGAGCCAGGGTGCAAGACTTGAAGCAAGCTATCCAACGATACGTGACCTTGAAGGAGTCTAGAAGAGGCAGCCAAACCAGCATCAGTTGGTAAGGCTTGCTGAAAAAAAGTTTGAAAACTACAAAAAAAAAATTGTAAAGAAAACCAAACCAACCATAACAAACATGAACATCACTTGATAAAATCCAATGGCTGACTATCTTTGTGAGTTCAATATCATCAGAATGCTCAGAATATTATTTGCTGTGCTTTTACAAAAGGAAATATGTCTGGCGGACCTACTCCCTCTGCTTTGAAGGGGAACAGCTGGACAAGAACAAGAAGCTCAAAGAGTAAGTTTACCAAACGCAACAGCCCAGCTAACAAGTGTTTCATTCAAATGGAAAAGCACTTCACACAATATTTCAAATTTTCCATGATCCAATCTGCTGAGTCGTTTGGCTTTCTTTGTGTTTGTTGGAGAGCAGAACTTGTAAATTTAATGAAAAAGGAATATTTGCTCTCCAATTTTAATGTTTTGAATGAGTGTGAAAAATGTCTGAATTATTGGCCATTTGTTCTGAAATACCACCAGTTTAAAAGGAATGTTTCTTTTATTTGTTTTCAGTTACGGCATCAGGAACAGAGACACTGTGACGTTTGTCAAGAGACGAAGACAACTGGGGGATAAATACTAGCCGTGTGGCTTTCTTTTTTATTTATTCTTGTAAATAAAGTGTTTGATACACACACAGTAATTTAAGAGTACAAAGTCTAATTTCTTTCTAAAATGTACATCCTTTTCTTTCATCAATGCTAAAAAAATAGCGCTTCTCAACTGCAATTACACACTGCAATATAATATCCTCATTTTTTAAAACCAACAAATATGCACAATAGAATATCACAAAATACCTCTCAAATTTAAACATCAAACATGTAAATCAAAATGTGGATAAATTACAATTTTACAATGTGATACAGAAAAGTTGAAAGACCTTTTTTTATATATATTTAATTTTTCTCGCAGAAATCAGTGAAATTCTCAAATGCAACACATGATTGAGGAATACAATGTATACATTTTCATATATTAGATATAATGGAGTTTCAGTTCTATAAAAATTCTAAATTACGTATGCCTGTAACGGCAACAAGACTACCCATAGACAATACACACAAAATGTATAACATTGGCAGTAACGATAATATTTATACATGGTGCTTATACATGTATAGTGCTTTATACCTATAAGGTTTCAAAGCGCTTCATCATTATTACCCTGCTCATTGGGCCCATGAAACATTCCAAATACCATCTCAGCTCCCTGGGGAGTATACAACTCGATGCTGCCATTTCAGCCCAAAGCAGCTTAAATCAACCACAATAACCACCTCTGCCCTCACAGGTACCCATTTACTCCTGGGTGGGGAGAAGCAATGAGTGACAAAGTGCCTTGCCTAAGGGCACACGCACCATAACCCCAGGCTGGACTCGAACCCACAACCTGCAGAATTACCCTCAGATTGCAAATTCAATGCTGCAGACCACGAGGCCACAGCACTCTACGCGATACACACATTTAAATGTCGGTAAAATAAAACCTCAGAATCTATAGAAAGGCAGCATGATTTTCACACAGAAAATACACATCAATCTATTTTTACGAGCACAAATGTTGGTCCCTGAATACTTGCTAAACAAGCATTGGATATTTGGTATCACTGATTGTCAAGAAAACAAACTGCTTCTTCAAACACACTGCAGTATACTGAATGGCTTAGAAAATCAAATCATTACATGCCAATCACACTTTCAACACATGTGCACCACATCTCAATCAAATGTCCCTCACATGCCTATCACATGTCTGTCACATGTCTGTCACAAGTAAAAGGGAACAAACAAGCTAGGTCAAAGGGACACTGCTATCACAGTTCATTTGAATAGCTTGTAACTTGACTATAGCTGGGTGACTTGTGAATGACTCTTGACTGAAGTTATTGATTGACTTATGATGGACATGTGATGGACATGTGATGGAGATCTGAAAGACATTTGATGGACATGTGATAGGCATGTGATGAACATGTGACTGACTCATGATGATGAACTTGACTACATGTACATGCACAGCTCAAACCTTAGGGAGCCAATTTGATTCCAGGTTCCCAAAGGGGTTCGGGCCCTTTAAAATTCTGTCCTTTCTTCAAATCGATGAGTATCTCGTCGCCGTCTTTCAGATCAAAGCGACTCATGGGTAACGAGTCAAGAAATAACTCGTCCATGACTGGCTCATTGGTGTCTGGGTCTTGAGTCATGTGATACAGTTTCACCATCCTTGAAAGGTGGAAAAGAGGTTTTAAAAATTGAGAAAATTTTATTTTAAGAAAACTGGACTTGAGCCTTGACTTTCAGAGTGCAAAATGACTACACTCTAACGAACAAGCTATGTAAAGATCAGTCATACAGTTGAGATACATGAACTTGGTAATGAGATAAGTTGAACAGAGGCTCAACAGGAATTGAAGGGCCAAGCTGGATTTTTCATTATTTGGCACACAAACATGCATAGTTCGAACGGTAAAGGAACTCTTCATACCTCGGAGATGTGTCGATCAAGTCACTACAGAATTTCTTCAGTTGTTTGACTGACTCTACCATCCTGATCTGCCCCTGGTGGATGCAGCGGCCGCCGTAGATGAATCTCAGCTCCATAAACTCCTTGTACCCTCGGCTTATGTCAACCTGGTAGAGGGGCTTCAACTTGCCTGGAGAAAGACAAACAAGTTGAGAGTGAGTCCAAGAGAGTAGTAGACCAAGACAAGTTGAGTCACAAGTGAAAACACAAGTTCAATCACAAGTTGAATTACAAGTCAATCACTAGTCAAATTGCAACTTAACCAGTTCGCATTGGAGGAGGTGATAACTGGCTGTTTTTATACACGGGCACGGCTGACAGGTTAAAATGTCAAGATTGCCTCGACTCGCCTCCGGGTGACGTCTTTTGTACACACAAAGTTTGTGAAGTCTGTGGAGGCAGACCGTGTGTTGATCTTGAATTGGCCGTTGTGCCTGGCCTATTGTACATTTTACGCTCCAGTGCACACCCCGGAGTATTGAAACATAAGAGATTTCGGCAAGAAAAATATACAAATTCTGTTGAAAAGACTCTTGTGAATCAGTTTTTGTGGCGTTTGGCTGTATATCGGAAGCTGGCTGGGAAATTTTGCCTTTTGTGAAAATCGAAATCTTCGGCAAAAATAATCCCAGCGGGAATTGGTAATCACAAGTTAAATCCCAAGTTTATCACAAGTTGGATCACAGTCAAGTTAATCACATGTAGACCACGTACGTTTAGAACATTGATTATTCTCAAAATATTTGATAATATTTCATTTTGTCTAACTTGAAAGCCTTACCGTATTTTTGGACCAGCTCCTCAAGCCTCGCAGGTGGTTGCTCATGGTCCACAAAGACTCGGACAAAATGACGTTCTGACTTCTCCCTCTCTTCCGGGGTTATTTCACTGCCGTTCAGCAGCTTGATGCTTGGAAGGCTGGAATTTAAAACAAAAAACACGTAAGGAAACTTCAGTAATCCACCCTCTCGTAATAAGCTTATTTGTTGTAAAATAAAAAGGATACTCACCAAGCCACAGCAACTTTTCGTCTGTCGGCTTCATCCCAGCTCTCTAAAAGTGGAATTTTCTGGGAAAAAAACACCAAATTCCAAGTAACGAAAGTAATTGAGACTTCTTTCACCTGAACAAAGCTTTTCATAAGCCTATTTTATTTCCAGTACTTTTCCGACTTTAATTCAATCTCTTTAAAGGGAATATACATCATTTGCTTTTGCTGTAATTTTCAGAAATGGGTGGAATTGGGGGGTCGGAAATATAAAGCAAATATAGTTACACTAACTTTTTGGAGGTTTTGGGTTCGAAAATGCTATAAAAACCAAGAAAAACGATCATTTTCCTGTAGTCTGGTTCCCTGACTCCATATAAGAAGAAACAGAGCAGTTTACATACATTGGGGGAATTGTAAGGTCAGGGAACCAGTCTAGCTGGCTCGTACCCGTTTATAGGTTTGTAATCGATTGCAAACAAGTGCAATGGTCAATTGGGGCCAGTATTTGATAAAAAGCCAGTTGTTTCCAACGCTGATCGGCCGATCAGCGTTGGAAATTGATACAAAAATACCACTTTTCTTGAAAATGACAGTATACCAGGTGCCATAATTTTACAGGATGCTTTAGACTGTCATTTACCAACATCCTATTAAGGTATTTCGCAAAAACTTGATAGTTTTATTTTTCGTTGTTTGCAAATGTTGTATATTCCCTTTAACCCTAACTTCCTAGCATGATTTACAAGGAACCATACACATCATGGCCAATTCCAACACCATATGGGAAACTGCACACACATATTTCTGACATTGATTCTGGAGGTTTGCCAACCCAATGTAAAAGACTGTCAGTTTAGGGGTACTGTACCCATCCTGACAGATTCCAACAAAACAAGCCGTTGGGGTTTGATGGGTTGTGTTCTGTTAGGGTTAAGCATTCAAAAATAAAGGCAACTTACAAAGCCAGATCTGAACGTTCAAACAATGCATGCCACACCAGAGATCTAACGAATTAGCCATTCAGTCCTTGCTGTTGGGCCACTTAACATGTTACTCACAAATTGTGGCCCTTGTTAATAAAGATGTAACAAAGGAAGCATAAACATTAGGATTGAGATGACTCCAGTTGATCGACAACCCACCTTGATCTTGATGGAGTGTAATGAGGGGAAGTGCCTGAGCTCCTGCAGGTGTTTCCAATCAGACAGGGAGGTGCCTGTCACACAGAGAGACTCCAAGGCTGGGAAGGCGGGGTCAGCAGACTCTTGCTCCTTACTCCCAGATGATTGGATGTCTGTAGGTTCTGTGGTTCCCGTCTCAAAAAATGTACAATAGGAAAGAAACTTAGTACATGCATAGGTGCAATTAATTATAAAAACACCTATGCTTCAAAAAGGTTTGGAGTCAACTCAGTCCCAAACCAACTCGGTCCGAGTCAATTGTCCCAAGTAAACTCGGTCCCATGTCGACTCAGTCCCAAGTCAACTCGGTCACAGGCCAATTGTGATAATTCTGAGTTGACCTGGGACTGAGTTGGCCTGGGACCGAGTTGACTTGGGACCGAGTTGACTTGGACTGAGTTGGTTTGGGACCGAGTTGACCAGCACCCTTCAAAAATCTGCAGTCAATCTGGGGATCTGTAGTGACCAAGGGCCAATTTCACGGCACTGCTAAGCACAAAAATTTGCTCAGCACAAAAAGTCTGGCTTATAAAAGCAAGCTACCAGCCAAAACTCCATGTGATGTATATTGCTTGTAATTAGTATTCAGCTGTTGTTTGCTTAGCATGAAATCACATGGAATTTTGGCTGGTGACCTGCTGTTATAAGCCAGACTTTTTTTGTGCTAAGCAAATTTGTGTGCTTAGCAGCGCCGTGAAATTGGGCCCAAGTCCTCAATCTAACAATTAATTTATCTAACCTTGTTGCATTTCTCACTGTCCTCCGATGGTCTAGACCTGGCACTTTCTAAATCTCCACTTTCTTCCTTGGCGTTACCGCCGGCTCTCTCCAATGACACATAGCCTGGGCTTCCCTCCACCGCATCCTCAACCACACGTCCCTCAACATTCATTCCTACCAAAGGCTGGCAGTCATCGTTCTGACTTGGCTGCGAATCTTGCTTGTCGTCAACAACGTGTTGCAAGTTACTGTCCACAACATTGTCCTTGTCTTTAGAAGCAGCCTGCTGCTCACAGCACGCTGCATCATCAGACTCCTCAGCTGACTGATTCTTTTCCTCGTTAGCTTTGTTACCGTGGAAACAAGCCTGTGCATCTTCCGAGCCATGGGCCTCCGCTTGTTTGTCGGAGCTTTCAGGAGGAGCTTCTGGGTGTGTTTGTTTGTAGTATACATCCTCCAGTGGGTTTTCCAGAAGCACGAGCGTGTGAAGCTGTGGAAGTGACTTCAACTTGGCGACTTCGTCCCATCTAAAGGAATGGACCAATTGGGAACAGGACAGTCCTTAGTTATGGGTCATTCTATAAATTTGGGGTCCAAAGTGTGACATTTTTCCCGTCCCTGTTACCTTGGTACTTTGTAATTTGCCATTCAAGCATCATTAAAAGCGACTTCAAATGATTGTTCATTTGTTGGGTAGGTAGTTTGCTATTCATAATCACTCTTGGAGGATGACTGCATTAAGGAGTGCATCAGAATTATACAATCATGGATGTCAGATGTAACAGGGACGGGAAAAAAAGTGGACCCCAAATTTATAGAATGACCCTTATGCCATACGCACTGTTCGTGTAAGATTACAGTAAGTACAATCAAATGACACAGATTTCATGTTTGGAACAAGTAAATCCAAACTTGCAAATTTTAAAGCATTCGAGGAGTGTGCTTTTAAATGCTTTCAAATGAAACAAGTATTAAGGCCCCCCCCCCCCCAAAAGAAAATACCAGGTCACACGTAAATGTACACCAGCAAAATCTTAAACAGCCTTTTTTTTAATTATCTGCCTTGAATTTTTTTTTAAGAAATCAAATTAATTTCTTACCTCTTAATGTGGTTATTGTTCAGTGCCAATAAGCGTAAATGACGAAGAGTATCTGCTACAACCTCATCAGATAAGTCAATGGCATTGTAATCTGTAGAAATATTTATGGATAATTATTTATATATTACATGTATTACTTTAATATTTAGGAAAAAATATGTAATTAGCCGATTCCTTTTTATGTGGGAGGTGGCAAACATTGAAATAAAGGCTTGTTTTGTTAAAGAAGTGACATTTTCAACAAAAAGAAAGTGGTGGAACTATTTTGTTTACCATTTTTGCACAAGTGCAGCTGTAAATATGTAATTAGCCGATTCCTTTTTATGTGGGAGGTGGCAAACATTGAAATAAAGGCTTGTTTTGTTAAAGAAGTGACATTTTCAACAAAAAGAAAGTGGTGGAACTATTTTGTTTACCATTTTTGCACAAGTGTAGCTGTTTCAGTTTGGGCATGAGGCGTGATAAGGCAGCCACTTCACTCCATGTAACTTTGGTATCATTCAGCACCAGGTCCTCAATGGGGCAAGGAATGTCTTCATTTCTGGCAATCTGTACAATGGATCAAAATAAAAAAGAATTATGGAATTGTCAAAGAATGTTAATTCTCAAAAAAAACCTCTTGTCTCATAACAACCTTGTTATAAACTCTTGTCTCATGCATGTAAGCCAGTGAACACAATTTTAATCACTTTCTTGATATCACCTCATGCTAAAAATGTAACATGTTTACAAACTGATAGCAAGAAAGTGTTTAGAATTGTGTACTCACTAAAGTAGGGCAGGCAATTATCAACACAGTACAGAGTCAATTAGGCTACCTTTGTCCCAATGCCAAATTGTTTTAATTGAAAACTTGGTCCCATGGTCAATTTGAACTCTCTTGGAAAATCACTCATAACTCTGTCAAAATTTATCAGATTTGGACGTTTGATGTCTCATTTTAAAGTGAAAAGGCGTATCTTTAAAATCATACCTATATTATCTATGTTGGTTACACGTTCTACGTCTGGCATTTCGTTATATTTTGTTTGCATTTTTTGAGACACACTTAGCCTCCTGTTCATTGATTAATAACCCAACAAATATGGGGAGATCATTTGGGATAAAAAAAAACCCACTACCTCACAATTGCCCAAAGGGTTGGAGCTGAGGTTGACAAACTTCAGACGCGGCAGGTGTTTGAGAATCGTCATCACTTCATTCCAGCTGCCCAGCAGGTTGCCGGAGAGGTCCAGATCATGGACATTGGGACAGAGGGAGGAGAGTCCGACTGACGGAATAGCAGCATGGCTGATCCTGCTATTGTAGAGTACCTGGTGGTAGGTTAAACAACATAGTCAGTCATTAATACATCATGCACACTGTCATGGACAACATACATACATGTAAGTTACTAATAATACAGTTTGAAAAGTTGAACAAAGAAATTGACTGGAGCATGGCTTGAACCTGTGACCTCCGGATTATCTAACGTTCCAGATCTACCAACTGTGAGCTGTCCAGTCCCCCAGTCCCGTGTTGCAGTGGTTGTCCAATTCGATATCATTGTTCGAGAGGCACTAACTAGTCCAGATGTCATTCATTTGAATCCCATAATAATCACAAAAATACATCAAAAATTACTAAGATCTGAAAATAAACAAAATTGTAAATGAATAAACTGTAAGCAAAAACAAGAAGCAAATACAAAAATATCAAATTTTTGTTGTGTAAAAAAAGCGTAAAATTAAAGAAATGGACAACTTTCTTACAAAAGACAGCGAAAATAAGGATTATTTTGTTTAAAATTGAATTTTCAGATTTTCCTACGTTTTGAGTCTTTTGACAAAACTTCAAAACTAAAAGACAAGAGAAAAATAAGATGACATTATATTGTTATCTGTGACTTTTTCGAGAAAAAACTTACAACACTTTTCAAGTAGTCCAACTCTGGGACACTCTCATCACCACCGTCTCCCCCGCTGACTCGCCCGCCGTCCTCCCCGGCGCTGTCACCGCGCGGCCGCCGGCGACTGTTGCCGCCGAACACGGTGATCTGAACGAAACTTTCACAACCTCCATTTTCGGCATCGTCGTCGCAATATTTCGCCCTCAGAGCATCCACAAATGAAGTCTGTTCCTCCATTTCTCTACCGACTGTACTTTCATGCAGTCACTGAAGACAAACACGCAAAAAATCCTTGAATAATCATTGTCATTTTCACTTCCACGTCTACATTTTGGTTGACGTAATGTTTATTTAAAAGCTTTGCGCTATAGACTGGTGCCTATTACTTATTTTATTGCACTAAAGGAGTTTTTGAATGGGAACTAGTTTGGCTATAGCGCCCTCAAGTGGTGAAAGATCGGTCATTCAACTTGCCAAGATGGTCACGATGGGCGACTCGAATGAGTCCGGAAAAACTTCGGAAAAGGTAAATGTTGTCCATTTTTAAACGTCAACATTTGTACGGAACATTTTGCTATAATGATGCTATATTTATGAAACTGTATTGGCTGATAATATTGTTCCGATCGTTTGGTTTTCGACTAAATAAGTTCAAGTAGAAATCGGCATTCCGTACATTCCATTGTCCTGTGTGTGTTTACCATTGTTGTAATGCGTTTGGTGCAGATTTCCATATTTGGAAGTTTGGTATTTCCCCTCAATTTTTTTTTCTTCAAATTTCATGTTCATGACGAATATTAAAAGGAAGAATGGGAAAGAATATTGCATCCTGACGCCACTTTTTCCTTCATATGTCATCTCAATAAATAAAGGTCTTGCATTTTTGCAAAATTGTTCAATTTTTGGGGCCATCCATTGGCACTGATTGTTGGAAAGACGTACATGAATCTATCTTCTTATCTGGGCCTGGGGGACTAAATACTTTGAAAATGTACGCAGTTCTTCATATACTTTGTACACAACCAAAGAAGTGGCAACAGGATACTACGTTCTTTTTCTAAAGTTTTAGAAATAATTTTTATCAGGAATGACAACAATTGACATGAATAATTGATATTCTACTCTTTGGATTGAGCAGGTCGCAGAGAAGGTACTGTATTTCTTAAATAATTTTACAGAGACCTCATCCTTAAAAACATTCCAGGCATTCCTTTTGTTTCTACCATACAGCAGCTCCAAGAAGCACAAAAATGGAAAGAAGAAGGCAACTCCAACTACAAGCTAGAAAAGTTTGAGGAGGCTGTGACTGCATACAGCAAGGCACTCAGTGCCTGTCCCAGTGGGCACTCCGATAGGGCTATATATTACAAGAATCGCTCGGCCTGCTACCTGAAACTCTTAAAGTTTGACAAGGCAGCTCAGGATGCTGCTGCAGGTGAGATTTCAGAGAAAAAGAAATTGAGATTGTGGATTGAATAATTTATAGGTTATAGATATTTGGCTGGCAACAGTTTTCTCTCAAAGTGTAAGTGGGCCAACATGTAAATGTTGTTACTTTTCATTCATCCTGCAGCGCTGGACATCACCCCTAATGACACAAAGGCACTCTTCAGGAAGTGTCAAGCGCTTGAGCAGCTCGGCCAATCGGAGGAGGCGTTTAAGGAGGCGATGCGACTGAACAAACTTGAGCCAAGTAACACCGCTGTACAGGCCATGCTTCGAAGACTGAATGCTGTTGTCTCTGATAAAGTAGGCAATTTATGAAGATGGTTACAATCTTTTTTTAACGTCGATATATTTTTCGTCCCTCTTGTTGCCAAATCGTTTTTCAGTAAAAAATGCCTGTAGTAAGTGTCAGTAAATTTATAAATATAAATCAAATATACCTTTATTCAAACTTGAACAAGTTGTTGATGTCTCAGCAACTCTAGCTCGTCTGCAGATTTTAAAAATATGTTTTGAAATGAAAAAGAAAATTGCTGTCCTTTTTTTTCAGGTCAAGAAGCTTTCCACAACCGACAGTAAAGTGTCGCAGATGTTTGCTGCATTGTCAGATGGAGATATGGAGAGAAGAAAACAGGTAGACTGACCACATGCTTACATGCACCTGTGAACACATTATTGAATGATCTCTCGTTATTGTTGATCATTTTAAAAAGTCCTGAACAATAATTCAATGCCAATCATTGCTGGTTGTGTTTTAGGGGTGTGGCTAAGATCGATGGGCTCCGCCTTCAGCTTAGCCACTAACATTGGCCACACCCTCATCATTTTTGTTGAATTCTAGACTCAATCATCTCACTTTCTTGGCAGGCTGCCAACAACTTGATCGTATTAGCAAGGGAGACGGCAGGGGCGGAGCGGATCTTCAGCGAGGGGGGCGTGGCCAAGGTTCAGCCCCTCCTACAAGGGGAGGACCAGGAGCTGGTACTGGGTGGTCTAAGGGTGCTCAGCTGTCTCTGCCAGGGCCATAAAACAAGGGTAAGTGCATTTTCAGATTTCATATCCTGGATGTTCTTAATTTGGTCCTCAGCCCCGTCCACCTTTGGTTTGTGTTCATTTGATTGGTGGGCGGGAAGGGTCAATTTGCATGTGTTTGACATGGAATATTCAAAATGTATGTAAATCAAATGAGCACAGGTTTTCTATTTTACTATTTTGTCAATCAGGAGCACTACAGGGGAACAAGCAAATACATTTTTGCATTTCTTTTTGTTTTCTTTTGTACACATTTGTTTAACTTAGTTTAACTTGTTATATGCATATTTTAGGCTAACGCAGTCTTGAAAGATTTCACTTTACCAACTCTTGCCAAGTTCATCTCGTCGCCTACAGAAGAGGTTGCCAATGCTGCGGCCAATATTCTTCTCACAGCCATTCAGGTAAGAATAAGACTGTTACTCAAAAAATCTAACCAATAATTCACCTTTTCAAACAATCTCTTGTAAATAATTTTTTCAAGAAATCACATTTTCAGACTAAGAATTTGTTAACTCACTTGCTGAAGTTGTACTTTTAATTAGATACCAGACTAGTACACTGAACAGCAAAAAATCTGAAATTGTGGCTGAAATTTTGGCAAAATAAAATTTTAATTTGTGCTTCCAACACAGGCAATGATGGGTGAAGACACGAAACAGCCCAGGAAAGCTGAAGAAGCCCTCGTGCCTGGTGAGTTATTAGGGCCCATTTTTTTGGTCTTATCTTACTCTTAGGGGAGTCTGGCCTAGTGGTTACAGTTCGTGACTCATGATCAGAGGTTCAGGGGTTTAAATCCAGCTGCTGGTCATATGTTGTGTCCTTGGGCAAGCCACTTCACCCCTACTTGCCTCTCTCCACCCAGGAGTATAAACGGGTACTGGCATTAGCTGAGGAGCAATCTGCGATGGACTAGCATCCCGTCCAGGGGGAGTAGAAATATTCTCAATCGTTTCGTGCTACTGAAACCGGTGATAAACGCCGGCCTATTGGGCCACATTGGCTCGTGACTGACCTTACTTACTTTACTTTGGTCTTATTTACTTAAACAGGTTTGAGTAGTATTTGGGTTTTTTTTAGAATTGAAGAAAAAAATAGTGTAGAAACACTATAGCCCAGAGTACAAGCTGCATTTTAAGTGTATTTTTCTCTTTCAAATACCTTCGCAGTTTTGAAGTGTCAAACACTCGCATTTTACCTTTCGCAGATTTGACGACCGAATTCAAGTCGTTACTGATGTTTCTCCTGGGTCTACTGACGGACAAGAACGTCTCAGGTTACGGCAGAGACGCTACCATCGACATCATCATCAAATTTGTGCCAAAGGAAACGGGAGCCGGGAGAGCGCTGACGTTTATGACCAATGGAGGTAGGAAAAACCGGTATTTGGGGAGTCAGATTGACACAGTGGTTCTTTCCTCGTCTTCCACCTCTATGGCCAGGGTTCGATTCCTGCCCGGTCCACATGCGGATTGGGTTTTCAGTCCCCAGCTGATAAACAGTAATTTCTTCGTTGTCTCCTCTCTACAGGTTTCTTTAGGCTTGCGAGCTACAGTGCCTATGGCGCTTTTGAGGAATCCTTGGTTTCCTTACCAGAAACAAATAATGCTAATCACAAGTCCTGTCACATATCTATTTGCAAATAACAGGTGATGAACACAAAACAACATTCTCATCACAGTTTATCTGAATAGCTTGTGACTTGTCTTGAGATTGAAGGACTTGTGAGGACTTGTGGGGATTGTTTGTTAATTCAAAACGTTTCCCAATAAAAATGAGTTAGGATGAAGGCCCCTCAGCGACCTCAATATTTGCTTATGTGAGTACATGTGACACTGTTAATTTAAGAGGCCTGCGATATTCTGTAGTATTCATTCCTAACTTAGGTGGTCTTTTTCCTTTTTTTCAGGTTTAATAAAGTTACTGACAGTGGCAGGCCAGGTACCGGAGCTTAAACGGTTACCGATAACTGTCAACACACACATGCATTCAGCCGTTGCGCTGTCTAAGCTCTACGACGAAATGCATAGCGACAAGAACCGGCAATATTTTGACGAACTGTGCAATAAATTCATCACGTAAGTTTTATATGATATTTGCAGAATTTTGTTAAAATCAACACTAACTTTTTAATCATCTCCCAAAAAAAAGAGAATGGTATGCATGATTGTAGTTAAGTCCTCCATAAGTCCTCACAAGTCCATTACAAGACTGTCACAAGTCCATCACAAGTCTGTCATAAGTCCATCACAAGACCATCACAAGACCATCACAAGTCCATCACAAGACCATCTCAAGTCCATCACAAGTCCTCACAAGTCCATCACAAGTCCATCATAAGTCCATCACAAGTCCATCACAAGTCCATCACAAGTCTGTCACAAGACCATCTCAAGTCCATCACGAGACCATCATAAGTCCATCACAAGACCATCACAAGTCCATCACAAGTCCATCACAACACCATCTTATTTTTCTGTCTTGAAGGGAAAAGTTCAACGTGAATACTATGGAGTCCAACATGGAGGCAATTACGGCCATCGCAGCCCTTCTACAGGGCCCGTTTGACGTCGGAAACAAACTCATCGGTCGAGAGGGTGTCATTGACGTCATGGTTGCTATGGCGGGCAGCTACGACGTCCTTCATCAGGTATAATCAGTTACACGGAGTTGGTTGCCTTGCTGGGAACCAGTCAAAAAAGCAATATATGTCACATGATATCTTAGCCGCTAACCAATGCAGAACCAGATTGCTTCAGAGGCTTTTAGCAGATGCTGCTTGGCAATTTTCCAAGCAACAATCGGCAGGGAACCAGTCTTGTGCAATATACATCACATTGTATATTGACTGGTAACCAATTCAGGGCTGCTCAAGTGCTGAGCAAAAAAATAGTGCTTAGCCTTAGCAAACTTTTCTGGAATCGACCTGCGAACCAGTCACAGGCTATTTGAATCACATGATAATTTAACTGGTAACCGTTTTTTTTCCCAAAGCAATTATGCACCAAGCAAATTTTGGCATTAAGCTAGTCCCCTCATTTCCGAAAAAAATTGCAGAAAGTAGCGTTGGAAGCGATCGTCCTGGCCGCTAGCAAGAAAGACCGCTGCACCAGTAATCTGGAATCGAGCTGTGAACCAGTCACAGGCTATTTGAATCACATGATAATTTAACTGGTAACCATTTTTTTTTTCTTAAGCAATTTTGAACCAAGCAAATTTCGCGTTAAGCTAGTCCCCTCATTTCCGAAAAATTGCAGAAAGTAGCGTTGGAAGCGATCGTCCAGGCCGCTAGCAAGAAAGACCGCTGCACCAGTATCCTGCAAGCCGGTATCGGGATCATGAAAGACTGTTACCAGTCTAGCAACGATAACATCAGAGTGAGGGCGCTAGTCGGCATGTGTAAGCTAGGAGCGGCGGGCGGGACGGATGCGAGCGCCCAGCTGTTTGCTGACGGGGCAACGGTGAAACTCGCTAAAGAGGTGAAGCGGTGAGTGTTCTGGGTCATTCACATTCATTTATAGCTTACTTCTGGTGAGGTTCGAACCCTCCACCTCCTGCTTACTAGTGCAGATGTTCGCCCCTCGACCACCACTTGCCTGAATGATCAATAAATGTGTACAAATGTATTTATAAAGCAATTCTATCCACCAGTATTGGTGCTCAAGGCGCTACATCATTATTACCCTGCTCATTGGGCCCATGAAACATACCAAAGACAATCTCAGCTCCCTGGGGAGTATACAGCTCGATGCTGCTATTTCGAGTAACCATATCTGCCCACACAGGTACCCATTTACTCCTGGGTGGAGAGAAGCAATGAGTGACAAAGTGCCTTGCCCAAGGGCACACGCACCATAGCCGCAAGCTGGACTCGAACCCACAACCTGCAGAATTACCCGCAGACTATGAACTCAATGCTCCAGACCACGAGGCCACGGCACTCCACAGCTAGTCAGCTGGCCAGTTTGAATCTGAAGTAGCTGCAAGCACCTCAATCAGTCATTATTATTTTTCACTTTATTTTCTCCAGATTCCTAGTAAACCCTGAGGAGGATCACGACCTTCGGAAGTGGGCGGCAGAGGGCTTGTCTTTCCTCTCGCTAGACGGAGATGTAAAGGAAGATATTATCAATGACCCTAAGGCACTAAAAGCTCTGATTGAACTAGCCAAGGTAAATTTCCAGTTTGAACTGTCGGTAGAGAATTCTTTTTGGAACAAGAGCTAGTCTGTACAGACCAAAACTTCAATTTGCGATTATCTTTTATCTTCAACTTGTTTTTTTTTTTTTCGCTGGACTTACTTGTCAGAGTGGAGATAAGACAGTGCTGTACAGTGTGGCTTCGGTTTTCGTCAATCTCAGCAACAGTTACGATGAGGAGAAACCCGAACCAGAGATGGTGAAACTGGCTCAGTACGCCAAACAGCACATTCCCGAACCACACCCTAAGGTAAGTGTTCGGTCGCTCGTGGCACCCTTTATGCTATACACAGTGAAACAGCAGACTCTATGAAGTTTAACCCACAGTACTCCCTACTAGTTCTCCTGGACTAACCTTCGCTGAATCCAACAGAATCTGACTTGTCTGACGGTTTATCATCTGGAGTTTCCTGCTCAATCCAGCACAATTCAACAGGACATTTTGCTGTATACAATACAAAAGGACTTACGTGCTCGATCCAACAGAATTCAACTGTGCCTTATGTCTCTGTTGCCTGCAGAATGCAACAGAACCCAACAGAATCCAACAGGATCCAGCAGAAATGCAGAATAGTTGGACTCTGTTTGATTGAGCGGGGTTAGGGTTGTAGAACTCAGTGTCTAAAGATCTGGTGGATCATGTCAGCATAGCGATAGTTTCTTCCGTGGGTTTCACGTTGAACGTCATTACTGTGATTTCCTGTCATTTTTAATCTGTCATAGCCTTTTTCATCTTGTACAAAGGAACCTCACCAAGAAGACTTTTGTGGCCTTCCCAGGCAATTGCTAAATAGTAATTAATAAGTAAATATAACAGATATTGCATGAACATTTTTTTCTGTTTTGTTTTTTCAGGATAGCAAAGAATATTTACAAGAGAGAATTAAAAAGCTACTCAAGGAGGGAGTAGTGACAGCTCTGGTTTTCCTGGCGAAGGCAGACAGCGAGAATTGTAGAGAACAAGTTGCCAGAGTCTTCTTGACGATAACGGAAGGCAAAGACGATCGCGGACTGATCGTACAGCAGGGCGGTGCCAAGGCTCTGATACCGCTGGCTAATAACGGGACGATGGAAGGAAAGATCCGAGCAGCCCAAGCGCTAGCAAGGATCGGCATTACCATGAATCCAGAAATTGCATTTCCGGGACAACGGGTGAGCAAGATGCTTTCAAATTTCTCAAATCTGGGTCTGAGTTGGTCGAGGTCTGAGTTGGTCTAGCTCTGAGTTTGTCTTGGTCTGATTTTAGTGGGCCCGAGTTGGTCTGGGTCGGAGTTGGACTGAGTCTGAGTTTGTGACGGTTTGACTTGGTCTGGATCCAATTTTTGAGCAATATACTTGGTAATCACTTACAAAGCGCCTTCAGAAAAGGAATGATTATTAAATTACATTTCTCTTATTTGGTTACTAACTTATATTTTTCTTCTATGTTGTTATTTGTCTTTCTAAGTGTCTGGAGATTGTCCGTCCGTTAGTGAGTCTCCTCCATCCTGACAGAACTGGTTTGCAGAACTTTGAGGCTCTGATGGCTTTGACGAACCTAGCAGGGATCAGCGAGTCGCTACGGTAAGCAAAGTCGAGATCTACCATCACGGTTTAAAGGACTATTTACAGACGTTACACTGTTTTATTATGCTAGAATAGCTCCTGGATGTAATATTGATTTTGGGGTATAGGGGGTCGAAAGCCAATCTAAATTGACATATTTGTACCTTAGAAAACCTTGCCATTTTTTTTCTTCCAGAAACCGAATTCTAAAAGAAAAAGGCTTCTCCCAGATCGAGAATTACATGTTTGAGGACCACGATATGATCAAGAGGGCAGCCACGGAATGCATGTGCAACCTTGTAGTCAGTGAAGAGGTAAAGTCGGCAACTGGAATTTTATTTTATAAACTTTAAAGTGAATAATTCATTCATAAGGTTTGGAATCGAACCCAGTGCCTCACCCGAAAGTACAGACGGTCCACCAGTCATCCTGTGGTATGGACAGATCCAGCGGTAGCTGTTTTCTTCAGTGGCACCAGGTTTGCGCGAGTCGCGCTCAGGTAGTACACGCGCACTACAGGTTCCGTTGACGAATTGGAATACCAAAATGCGTGTACGCCTCGTCTTTAAGAACGCGTGCAGCATGCGCGTCAGCGTGACACCACCGCAGTAAAATCGTCTAATTCTGATCGCCGGATTCCACTAGAGGTCTGATGGTGGATGCCTTATACACTCTGATAAAAGGTACCATCGTTTCTCCCAATACAACTTCATTTTATCAGGTCAAACCATTTTAAGATACCAATCTGAAGACTAAGAAATTCACCATGTCGACGGAGTTTTTGTTTCCGTCGATTTTCAGGTTGCTCAGAAGTTCCTGGGTGATAACGATCGCGTCAAGCTGCTCGTTCTGTACTGCGGGGAGGAAGACGAAGCGTTAGTCAAGGCTGCGGCAGGAGCCCTGGCCTGCATCGCTCACCAAAAGGAAGTCTGCGATAAAATCTTGAAGGTAATCATCAATTGATTGACGACAAGATAGCACAACTTTTGGTTCACCAATTCATTGATTGCAAATACCCTTGAAGTACCACAATATGTGGAGTGTTTATATTGATGTATCAAGTGACACACTTTTGGAAATTTTTGTTAGTAGTTGGTTTGTAGTTGGGCGAATCCATAAATGGATGCGTGGAAGCGTTGACACGATGCAGACGTGCACACGGTTGCTATAATTCGTTGGTTTAGTGTGTGACATCGCGTAGCTGCAATCGGCTAAATGAGAATGTGTCCCGGACGCTGATTTCAGAGGCAATTCCAACTAGACACAGCAGCTTGTAAATTGAATCGAGATTCTAGAATATTGTTTTCTCGGAATATACAGCATTCACAGATCTAAAACTTCTTCAGGTTAGTTGTTAAGCACCGTTCTTAATATTTTGAGCGCTTCAAATGAAAAACAAAAATGGACAAATTAAAAATGGTCCACTTATTTGTCTTTAACATATCAAGGTTTTTCAGTCGTACAATGACCAAAACATCACCACCAAATTACTTGCTATCCTGGCTGCAAATTGTTTTTTCCCAAACGAGATCCGGCAATACCATCTCTCTCTGCATATTCATGATGTCCAGGGATTTAGAGAATAACTTATGTACTAAGGAATAATGGTGTTTGAATCACTGACGATTGGCAGCTGATTCGTGGACTTGTTGGAAATAGTCCTGACTTCTAATCAGGTGATCAGAGTTCGAATCTCAGTCAGCGTTTTTCACTTCTTCTCATTTTACATTTTAAATAACTAAATTGAGGAAGGAGAATTTTTTTCACAAGACATAAAGCCTATCTTGGGTTTGTATTATGGAGAACAAGGCATTACATATGCATGTAATGGACCAATCAGAAGATGGGAAAAGGATGTCATTGGGGAAAAAAAAACACATCCTGGCTAGCCCCTTGCTTACAGTACAAATGTTTGTTAGGTGTGCGTTGTGAGACCTAAAGTTTAATTTGATTTCCTGATGTAGGTGAAAGCATGGCTTGAAATCATGCCGGGCCTCTGTGTCAGCGAAAACCTAGACATCCGGACGCGAGGCGTTCACATCGTCATGAGCATCATAGAGAGCAGCAAGGAGAACGCCACGGTGGTCGTGGAGACCAACCTCCTTGAGATCCTGATGGCATTCTCCAAGGACCAGACCCCGGCCATGGACGGGGTGCGGTCCAGGGCGGAGCAGGCCCTCAAGAGGGCGACAGAGTGGGAGCTGATCAAGCCAGCCAAGTAAGAAATAAATGGTCACAAGAGGGCGACAGAGTGGGAGCTGATCAAGCCAGCCAAGTAAGAAATAAATTGTCACAAGAGGGCGGCAGACAGGTATGCAACTCATTTTTATCTGGATGGTTGACCGTTGCAGAGTTCAATTGTTTGAGAAACTCTTTGGTTAGAAATTCTAGAATTGATTGTATAACTAATTTTTACTGCATCTAAATGCGAATGCATGTTTTAGTAAGATGATAGTTTTGGTTGTTTGTTCGGCTGTAAAAACATCCATCTGGATTTTCTTGACCCCTGAAAATGTAAAACCACCTATAAATTGCTGTTCAAATACATTCAAAAAGCAGTAGTTTTAGCTGCTAATTATTATTCATAAAGGACCCCTTATAGATCCATTATACTTCGTAATTGCTTTTGTACTCTGTAGAAGGTAATATTCAGTTTGTAGAATTGTAGAAATGTTTTTTTTATTAATATATTTATTAAATTGATTGAAGTAATGTATTAAGTACGTTTTTATTGACACTGCTGCTTAAAAACAAAAACAAGATGGTGTGAGAAATTTCTATAAAACTTTTAATAGTATAATTTCCATCGCAGTAAATAAATCTATGCAAGTTAGTTGTTTTCATAAAGCCCAAGAAATATGTATTTTTGGATGATCACAATTTAACATTTCCTCGCTGGTGTGTTTTGTCTTGTTTGTTTTCATGATATTCTATATGCATCACTTCAGTGAGGACGATTGTAATTAGACTAATTAGTCAAATCAAGATGACGCTCCACTAATTAACACCTTCAACAGGCTTTCCAGTAGTGTATAGATCGGTTTCCCGTTTTTTTGTTCTTGCCTGTCCTGGTGGGATCTTCTCATATCTCGTCATTTCTTGTCTATTAACATCTTCTCTGTTGCAGGGTGACTGTTTTAGCCGATTTTCGGCTAGATTTGACAGATTTTTTTTTGGGAAAAAAATTGAATCTAGTAGAAAATCTGGCAGAATGTAAATTTTAACAGATTTCTAGCAGAATTCTGTAAAATCGAAGATCTTAGCAGAAAAAAATAGAGCAGATTTGTTTTGAACATTACAAGCTTCAATCACTTCAAACAAACCCTTGAACAGCGGGGATGGGCAGGCCAGTCTAAGTGTTGAAGATTCCTGATGTATATGTCTACACACTAAAGTACTGTAGACATTGGAAAATAGGCTAGGCAAATTGTTTTGTATGTTTGTATTTTTTTTTGAAAGGAAAGTTTATGGTTTTTAGTTTTCATGTTTAATAACATCTACATGTGAGTGTGAGTGTTTATAATTTGTTTCGTGTAATGCTGGATGATTTAGCACATTTTTGTTAAATCTAGCAGATTTTTGAAGAGCATCTACTATATAGCAGAATTGTGCCATTTTCATACGGTCACCCTGCCCTGTATGTGGTAATGTGAAATCCACCACACACCACCCCTACTCGTTTTCAGATCTCTTAAAACGTTAAGAGATATTATTTGTGCTGTCGTGGGCATAGAGAGACGAACATGAGCTAAAACGTCCGATTTCCGTCGTAGTTCACAAATCCTGAACACCGACAATCTACCAATTTCTAGTCTGAATCTGAATGGTATGGTTGGCAAAGTATCCATCAGGAAAAATCACACTATGCTCATTTCAAAAATACCTCTCCGTTTTCCCAAGACGCGAAATTACAGGAGTCGAAATTTAAAGGGGTCATACATGGTCATAAAGGGAGATGTCAGTTTGCTGTATAATACGGTCCAAGACTTCCGCAGTTGATGAGCCGTAACGTCTTGACAAATATTTGTGAAGATTGCGATACCAATACCAATTTGTAATAAAGCCTTTTCCGTATCGTTTTGCATTTCCCTACTATTGACAAATCGTGTGTGTTTGTTCAACATGTCCTACGGGGGTTTAAAGCGGAAATATTCCACCGCTTGATGATGGGAGACATTTGAGACAATTGGTGGCAGCAAACACACTGGTTCATTTCCAATGGGTGCGTCATTTTGAACATGCGCACATCAGCTTATTAAATCGTCAGGAAAAGGACCAATGTGTATGCTGTCAACGAGCCTGTCAAAAATCTGCGATTGACAAACGATTATTTCTGAATTATGTGCGTTAATGCTAAGACAAGATAAGTTTGCGGTAGAACCATGTGAATAAATCTCTTTTGTGGGTATGTGTGGTTCTGAAAAGAACCGGAGGGACTCGACGTTTCGAACAGTATGCTCTGCCCGTCGTCATTCTCATGTCCGCTATACATGTCTTTCAAAAGGGTCAATGGCATAACGTCTCCCATGTGTAGGCCTTCAAGAGCGGAAGCTTGCACTCTTTTTGTCCCGAGAACGTTCTCCAAGTTTTCTCTGGGTTTTTTTTCTGTCAACACTAGCTGTCATTCCAATTATTCATCTAATTTTCGGCCGTGGCGAGAATTTTGCGAGCTAATCCCGCGCGCCATAGGGAATCTCCTCAGCGCGCAATGAGCAAATCATAACCCCCGTGCCGAACAAACACATCCCCTCACTCCATCGTCTCATCATCCACTCCATCATCCCGTTGCCAGGGTAACCTGCGTCCGGGAGGGAGTCAAAAGCAAAGATGTTGACCCGCCCTAAACTGACAGAGTGGGGGAAGAAATTTCCACCAGGCGTTGAATAATTCCATGGTCTGATGTTGATCTAATTAGGTTGCGCATACAGTGTGATCGATTTCCCGGAACCAAAGATGTTTGCTATGTCGTAAAGGGGGAGATGAATGAACTTCAGAGGTACTTTTCGCGCGACTGTCTTTAAACTGAGTTAAACTGTACTACATGTACATTGAAGTGGTTGGCAACACGATATACATGTACATTGGCTTATATTACCAGTATCGTGTATCGTGTACTTTTTAGGTATCATCCATAGTGTACATTATTCATATCCGATCAGTCTTTGTCGGATACCCGACCTTCCTAAGTGAATGTAAACCGACAAGCTCAGAAGAGAGCCGGACGATTTGAATGCATGTATGACAATGGGTACATGACCTTTTATATCTGACTAATAGGTCAGGTACCCAACCTCGCCAAAGAGGATGTACAAAGACAAACTCAGAAGGGAGACCGACTAATTGGAAACTTATTCTTGTCTATTTCTGACTTGTGTCTACTTCCACCGTGTCTACTTCTATCTTGTAAGTAAAGCGGTGTGGATGTGTGGCGCCATCGATTGTATACATAGGAGATGTTTACCTATAAACTGTATGTATATTGCACTGTGATTTCCATAATCGTTTAGTTGTTTATACATTGTTGTATAATGTGGCAGTTATTTGAATTATGACAGTTTGCATCTGGAAAACTTAATTTTTTTTCAGATTTGATGAGCTGAAAGTAGACTTGCTACCAATCCCTCGGGGTGTATGCCCTGCACGGACATGGTTACCAAGAGGCCCGGTTTATCGTATCCGTAAAACAACCAATATATTTGTTTTCTTTGCTGTTTTAGAATTGCCACGTTGGTATGGTTTACAAAAAAAACTAGAAAAACCTCGGGCTATACATTTCACAAACCGTCCGGAGACAGATTTGTCATTCTGTATACCTTGGTGAGTTTAGAGCTGTCAGTCTTAAGATATAAGACGGCGCTGAGGTTATTAAGATGTTAATCAGTTTCATGTACGCGTCGCCAGTGGTGTGTCTTGCGGGTGAGTTACTAATTACAGACCCGAAGCTCAGTTAATGTTCTTGCAAAACGATGCGCTGGCAAAGCCGCCCACGTTGGTACGGTAACTCTATGCCTTGCTGAGTTGATTTTTCCCTAGAGGGGCATATACTGTTTCTTTTAGCAAATCCCAAGCATCGAGTTCTAGATTTTAGTTTTAAAAATTGATGGATCGGTTCAACTTTAATTACATCTAGGTCACTTTCGTTGTCATTACGGCTTGCAACTGATCGCAGAATGCACAAACTGTGCGATCCCAACGGTCCTTTGCATCTCGATTTGAGTCTGCAGTGAAGACCTGGCGGAGGAGAAGCTGACTACATAGCTTTAAAAGAGATTGGTTACCCACCCCACCCCCAGCCCGACACTCAAATTTATGAAAAACAACAGTTACCAAGCATGACGCCTTTGTTGAGTTTAAGTCTCACTTTTTAATGTATCGGACTGCTTGTGTTATGGCTAAATTCTAAAGAAACATCACAAGACTGATCCCAGTCAGACATTTTAGATGCGCCAGGCAAATGGGTTTAGCGATCTTGTCATCATAATTTCATCAGTGTTTCTACCCGAAGATGCATGCCTAGCCTGGCTGCGAACGCAAATCGTCGTTGCTCTGGTCGAAACGGTGCCAGAACATTGAGTATTCCAGGCGACACGAGGAGACACGGTTAACAAAAAAACACAACAGAGTTCTGAAACCCAAGCACTGTGTAGTCCCATGCGAGCCACGAAGCACCGCTGCTAAGTGATCCTGGAAGGCACTCAACTCGCTTTTAGCGAATTATCTCGCGGGATGTCTCCCTTGACCGCGCGGGAGCTCGACCGAGGGCCCAGGCTTTTCCCCCACGGGGCCACTACGCGCTAGAAGTCAGCAGAAGTCACCATCTCTCCGTAGTGGACCGCCGCGACGGGCGATTCCAAAAACCCAGATCATTTTACCTCCATTTGCCCTCTCCATTTTTTCTCTCTCATGAAACACAACAAATTGAGGTGGCTTTTCCAGATTGTGTACGTGACAAGAGTAAGAAAAGAAAATCACCTAGGATTTTCCTCTTCTGTGTTTGGATCTCGAAAATGAGAATAATATTTGGATTGGGAGTTTGGCTTCTGCATTTTGACGAGTTTGCGTTTATCATGTATTTCAGATTCTGTAATAATGCGACATTTTGACGACTTAGCATTTTGACGAGTTTGCATTATTATGTACGCTGTATTTCTGATTCTTTAATCATTCGTCACCTAACTCCAAATCTCCCAAGTGCGGTTTCGAGACATCAAAATTTATGGACAGACATAGGAGCCTGATGGACAGAAAGGCCATCGATTTGAGTTATCCTTAATATCAACAAATTGAGTTTTTTTTCTCTCGTCTAAAAAAAAAATCGTGTTGCAGTCGAGTTCATTACAAGCCCGGTCGCCAGTTGGGTCACAAGTAACAGGGGAATGCCTTTCTCACAGTTCATTATGAATACTTTGTGATCGAACTTGGGACTGGATGACTTGTGAGGACTTGTGAGAACTCGTGAGGACTTGTTAGAACTTGTGAGGACTTGTGAGAACTTGTGGGGACTTGTTGAGACTTGTGAGAACTTGTGGAGACTTGTGAGAACTTGTGGAGACTTGTGAGAACTTGTGAGGACTCTTGATGACTTTTGAAGACTTGCTGTAACTTATGTGGACTTGTGAGATCTTGTGAAGACTTGTGAGAACTTGTGAGGACTTGTGAGAACTTGTGAGGACTTGAAGGGACTTGTGAGGACTTGTGAGGACCTGTGGGGTCTTGTGAGGACACGTGAGGACTTGTGAAGACTTGTGGGGACTTGTGAGGAACTCAGATACAGCATGCCGAGTAAGGGAGTTGGGTTGATCGTAAATTAATACAGACATTGGCGTCAAACAACAAACCTCGAAGACAAATACTTAATATTTAAATATGAATTATATTGTTTTAGTAATCCCCTCTAAGCCCCTCCCACGGGAGGGAGGGGCTTAAGAACGTCCCAAATTGTTCAGAGTAGGCAGCCAAAAATCCGATTTAGAAACTCCACTTTGTGCTTATTTCTTCTCTTTGTCAATATGTCGCTCAAGTTGCCATAAACGATTTAAAGCATATACCACACAGAAATATTATCTATTTCAGCCACAATCGTGATATCGCATGACAAGTATTTTTTTAGGACATTGCCCCCAGAGAACCAATCCACCTGTATTTAATGCAATTGTAGATGCACCTGCTTGTAGTTAAGGCGGATTTAGTTTCGAGCGATTACGGGATATAAATTTGAGTAGCGAGAGGAGCATCAGAAGTCGTGGGTCTTCTTACCGATAGGCCACGGGCCGTTTGCACGCTGACAATTCAGATGTCGCGGGGTTTCATAATTTCGCATGATATGTCATAAACCTGGCTTTATTTCCTCGAACCTTAATTATATATTCTGCCCGTAATGACAGTGCATGTTGACTGCTTCGCGGCCCGGAAATCGCCGGCAGCGACGTCGACCGTGAGTGCTGTTAACATGACAAGCATTCAACGTGGTTTCACGCTTGTGAACAAACGCTAACAATACTCCACATGAGCAATGGCTTCATTCGATTATTGTTTGTAAATCGTTAGGCATGTTTTATTGATTTTCCACAATAATTTTTACTATTCCAACAATCCAATATTAAAGATTCCAGATAATGTCAACTTGCTGCTTAACTTCAGTGTAGCACATTAATTATGGTGAAAGACTGTGGCTTGAATGGGGCAGTGTATAGAACTTGAAACTTTGAAAAACTTGAAAACAATTTGGTAATCTATCAACTGGTTGACTTAATAATACATGTACATTCGTGCAATAAATTGGCAGACGTCGCCGTTTAGGCCCTGATCTTCAAAGATTGAGGGCGCACGATATTCAACAACATCAACAGAGGGCGCCCACGGCAGAATACGCAACATCAACAGATTACGTAATGAAAGGGTCATCTGGAGGGCAAGTTCGATCAAGGACCATAGTTAACCATAGTTCGAGGTGTTTTATGGCTCCGTGTTCTGATTGAACTAGTCTAGTCGACTATTCACGACCGCGTCTGGTCGCCTTAGTTGGTTATCAGTAGCAATTTTTCCTAGCTTAGTGCAGAGGGAACCAACTATCAAAAATGGCGGCAAAACGA